GTCATGCCATCCTGAACTCATCCCTAATCTTGCGTTCTCCTTGTAGATAACGTTGATACGAAGCAGATAGTTGTTGTCAAATTCAGCATTTTCAACGGTCATCTTTTTCGAGAGTTCTCGACGTAACAGGGGGACTGCCCCGTGTGGCCTAAAATGTAATAAAACAACTTCATGTCGCCGACCATTTGTAGCTAAAATTTCTTCACCATTTTTCCAGACACGTCTTCGTATAGAAAATAGCAAAAATCACGTCATCATCACCATTCGTTCGAAGCCTTCCAGATTTCGCTAGTTGGCTAAGTCGATATTGCAAGAGGTTTTAAACTTCTCTGTAATTTTTGAGTTGTTTTTTTTTTTAACTCGTTAACAGTTCTTACATTAATTCAACGCTTGCAAAGTCTTTTTTCGCAATTTATCTCTCTTTCGCGTCTTTTCTACTCGAATTAAATACAAATCTGCCTGTGACACCTTTTCGAACACCCTGACACCTTTTCGAACATCAAAAGCCGGCGGAGTGATGGACCGATATCAAGGGAAAGTCGCTCTTTCAAGAACTTTTCGAACTTCCGAATTTATCTGAAAGACTATAAAAATATCGTTTAAAACTACATATTCTGCTAAATAAATAATTAAAATCGGGTTTTACAAACTTTAAATTAAAAATTTCGAAAGAAAATAGAAAAATTGCGCGAAAGGTTAACTAATTAAACAGTTAACTGGTTTCGAAATTTACCCGGTTAACCCATTGCTTGAATAAACCGGTTAATTTGGTTAACCAGTTAACCGGTTCCGGAAAATAACCCCATTGTGAAAGCTTCGAAATTCAATTTGGTTTTTGAAATAAAATGATTTTATTCGTATTCGTTTCATTGTTCTCTAATTCGTGTTATAATTTTTTCTTCCAGAATATGAACATGAGCTCAAAGCTTTCAAAAAAAAAATCATCGCTTGAGAACTTATTCACCAGAATGGACGATGGTCGCAATTCATGCAATTATTGCCATAATAAAAAATAGTTCATACGAGACCAAATTTTAGTGAATTTGTTGAATGTTGTGACCGATGGAGCGAGAAATCAAATCGTATTATTGGACATGAAAGGTCATTTTTTACAATCATTTATTTTGAAAAATTCGTTTTAATGCTCGATGTGCAGCACATGCCGCATATTTAATGAGTGTTTTTGCTGGCCGAAATAGTAAATTATCATCTGCTTATGGTAAACCACTGCAACTGCGCTAACAGACGAAAAATAGTTAAAAAATAGTTGAAAAATAGTGCAGACTTTGGATGAAAGAGGGATCTGTAACAGATCTATTTTCAAGTCTATTTTTCATCAGCGCTTCATCTATTTCTCAGCCATTCTCTATCTATTTAGCATCTTGGATTCATCTATTTTTCATCCATTTTATGTCTTGTCTCTGTCCCTCGTTCTTGCATTTTTCATCAGTTTTCTATCTATTTCTCATCCATGATTCATCCTTTTTTTAACCCATTTTTGTCTACTTCTTGTCTCTTATTCATCTATTTTGCGTCTATTTTTCTTCTGGATGGTTTTTATGAAAAAACAACAGTAAACGGAAAACAACAAAATAAAAAAAAAGAAAAATACAATAAATTGTTTAACATTAGAAATATCAAATTTCAATTAAATAGAAAAATGCTGATTGAAATATTCAGCGGCATCGGGCTTCAGTTTTTTGAGTTGGTGCTCTTTTCCAATTTTGATAGCCAAACTATGCGCCATAACTTTGCTAGCGTGGTGAGATCCTTTCTGATCGTTATAATTTGAACGAAGGCGATCGCTAAAAGTACATGGTGTTATTTAGTGAAACATTCGCATAACTACATGAAAGTAATCGCAGACTCTTTGATTTGCACAGCAACTGAAGTAGCTTGATCCGTCGTTGGAGCAATATCTAATCCAATGAACAATGCTTCTTAATTTTTTATTAACATTGTTCACATATGTATGTATTATCAGAATTACCAGATATCATTTGATTAACAGCAGAATCCATGTGGAGATATTCCAGACGAGCACCAGGCGTTCCTAACAAGGTATAAGCTATCAGGTAGTTATCCTTATCGTAAATCTGCAAAATATATATGAGCTCTATCTAAGACAACTTTAAACCTCGGCAAATACATGACGCACCAGTTTCGATGCCGATGTCAATAGGTTTTGACCAATACTTCCGACAAATTTTGAGCAGATTTCTGCGATATCGACAACTACACCCGACGGCAGTGTGTATTTACAGTGTTGGTGATTCAATAAGCAGCCTTGGAATAGGTAGATGGTCTCATCGATATCAACTTTATTCTGAAAAAGTTCACTGCACATATCATTATGCATTCAATACCTTTTTCCAGATGCGCGTTCGATATACGATCATGTGCGGGGTAATTCGGTACGCATGACGGCCCGACTACTTCGGAGAATTCTTCAATTTCGCTTTCAGATCGTTCTCTCATGAGAAAGGATGTTGTTGATGCATCATTTTCATTATTTTCGTTGTTCGACGATTTGTTTCGAAGTGAAAGCCGGGCGTTTTTTCGAGCAAAGACCACACGTTTGGTCGGCATGCATCGCGAACCAGCAATTTGATCTTAAAATAATAAACAATCAGCAATATTAATATACGAAACAAACCTACCTTTCCTCAATTTGAGACCTTCTTTGGGTAATCGATGGCGAAGAGTTTAAGGCATTTCCAAAATTGATTTTTAAAAAAATTGTGATTAACATGGCGCCATCTGCATTCACATTACGATCAACTGCACAATTCCATCTATTTTTCACCCTTTCAGTGTCTATTTCTTATCATTATCTTCTATCTATTTTTTCCCAATTTTTCATCTATTTGTCATCCATTTATCGTATATTTTTCACCAATTTTTGAGATAATCTATTTTTCGCCCATTTTTCTCCTAGTTTTTATCTACTTTTCCGAGTAATCTATTTTTCATCCACCTTTTCACCATTTTTCGTCTGTAGCACAGTTGCAGTGACTTTCGACATAACTTTCGACAGCTGGTGGCACTAGAATAATCTATCACGCCGCAAAAGATCAGGTAAATGAAAATCAATCGGTTTTGAAAAAAAACAATAATTTCAATCGAAAAACACAATTAGAAAAAACACAATTTGTTTAGACATTTTTCAAATTTTAATCAAAATGTATGATTTTTAAATCGAATTCGAAAATTTAAACTAAAAAGTAATGAATCGAATTCGATTTCCCGTCCGCAAACACGATACGTTATTTTACGGAAGTCGCCTCAGAGCCCAAAATATGTAGTTATTCGAATAGTAATCTTAGTTTCGGTTATTTTTTGAATTATTTATAAATTTTGATTGGCGTTGCTTATGTTAATATATTAAATACATTTATTTACAGTAAATGAGTGTTTTGTGCGAATAAGGAAAACAGGTACAGATTGAAAACGAAGGATATGATTGAATTGAAAAGAAAGTAAATTGAAATGAAAAAAAGATAGATGAAATAGAAATAGGTAAGAGTCCCATTTTAAAGTGTTGCCAATTTTGGTTGCATTTAGATTTATCGTCTTGAGCATAACATTTGCTGATATCGACAATGAGACCGCGCATGTGACGATCAGTCTACTGCAGATATACGCCACAAATCGATTGTACGTTATCTAATTAAACGATATTTTAGGAGCAACGCATCGATATTGGACCGTATCCGTCGCCATCATCAAATAAATCCCACCTAGTATTGCAGCACTATCTGTTTCATATTTTAAAAAAGGTAATTTTTTACAATGTGGCCAAAAATTAACCGGACTTAAATTTGGAGCTTCCCACGTTGGAGAAAAAACGTTTTAAACGAAATAAGCATTCTGTGTGTTTTTTTAAATTTATTTATTTCATCGTTCCAAATAATCTATTTAATAATTACGAAATTCATAAAATTTATAGGAATATTTTAAAAGTTAATTAAATTGTGAATAAATTTTTATTCCATAGTGGGAACATTATTGTTTTTTTCTGGTGCGAAATCTCAAAAATTTTCTAAAAATATGGCAAAATGTTTGTCAGCATAAACAATTAGTTTAGAATTTGGGTAACACTTAAGATAACATACAAATAGGAGAAGCAATATTATATAGAAGTTCAGTATCAAAGTCACCAATGTTCAATAAACTACAGTTTTTAATGTAATCATCAGATGTTATATTGTCGGCGTCAAACGACTTGACAAAATTTTTAAAAAAGTTGGCTACTTGCCAGAATTCTCAAGGCAAAGAGAAGTGTATGGTTTACTCGTGCAGCGTGTTTTTGGGCGCGTGTTTTTTTTGGGAATTTTTCTGTGCCTCTTTTTTTCATAAATAGCCAGTTTTTCTTCATTTTTGTTTCATCTTGCATTTTTTTCGCTGATCGATAGGCTATTATCGATTTCATAAATTCTGTGGCATTCTTTCATTAATTTGATACTGTTTTATTATTTTAATTTATTCTTCATCATTTCCCGTTTACTTAATTTTAGTATATTTTAGAGGAACTATCATATTAAGCAGGGATCGAAGGACGAAGGAAAGAAGAAATTACTAAATTAAAAAGACAGGTATTTTTAATAATTTTTGTTGTGAGCACACTCACGTAAACTATTGTAATCTCATAGGTTATAGAACATTCTAGAACCCACGTAAACATCCCCACGCACACATTGTAGAACATTCTAGAAGCCTCACGTAAATATCCCCACACGCGCATTGTAGAACATTCTAGAAGCACATCCCCACTAGTATAAATACCCGGCCATCATACATTGTAGTGTTCAATCAAAGGATATAATAAAGCTATCCAACTCTACATCACTGTTCACTTCGATCCCCACGCTTCGGCACCATATACACGGAACTCAAGGACACAACAACTGGCGATCAGGATTAACCGACCACTATGGATGCCGAAACCCTCAGTCGAATTCTAGCGGAGCAGCGCGAATCGTTAAATTATATTTAAAATGCTATTCATCAATATAATCTAGCTCGTCGTCTCCGTCTTCTGTGTCATCCGATTCATCGTTGCGCACTATGGTTCCATCAATAATCGCCTGACGCATCGCATCTTCGTGCTTCCTCACATGATTGAGAAGATCAATAGCTTTGTCAGGTGAGAATTTTTCTAAAAATGAGCGTGTTCTTTCGATTATTGTCTCCAATTTGTCCGTCGTCTTTCCAATGCTTTTCAATTGGTTCTTCAACTGCGCCCAAACGAGTTCGATGGCATTCAACGAACAATGATATGGCGGCAACCGGACAATCTCGACTCCATGCTATGTTCGTGCCCATTCGTCAATTTCATATCTCCTCATCCGAAGTCGCCCACCATTCATCGTGATCACATCCGTGACTGATTCCCAAAGTTCTTTTTTTTTTCATTCTAGGATGAAATACCTTCCCATTTTTTTTCAGCAGAAACGAGCAATACTCTTCCTTTTTCGATGTACACATCGATGGATTAATTCAGAATCCCATTCTCGCACAGTACTCCCAAAACAATTGCTCGTTTCCCCTTATTTTTTCCAGCAGGTGGACCAGGGAGTGGTTTTGTTGGATCTGCCATTTCAGCGATTTTGTACCGGTTTGTGTCCATGAAGCTCCATCCAGATGAGTGGGTCATTCCGTGAAAAACCCAAGTTTCGTCGAAGAAACAAAGGAACGATCCAGCTGTTCTCAACGCATCAATTTTCTCAAGATATTTCTTCCTCCAATTGATTAGATCATTTCTTTCGGTGATCACAGGGTTGTTATTTTTTAGTTTGAAACTCAATATCATTGAATGAAGCGCCCTCCGTAAAGTAGTAGTGCTACACTGGACATTGAGAACGTTTTTGCACCATTCGCTCAAACTCGAAACTGTCACCAATTCTTCATTTTTCCAACAGTACTCTAGCCTTTTCCTGACGACTTCTTTCTAATATTCAGAAATTCCTTCTCCTGCAGCCTTATAAATGGACGTTCTGCTAATCCATTGTCGTTTTTCAGGTCGCTTCGTTTCGGGAATTTCATCAAGTCTCCGTTGGATCGAAGAAGCAGATATTCCAGTGAGAGCTCTTGCGGCGACTTCAATGTTATCAAAAATTAAACCTTTCGCGCAATCTCCAAGACGATTCGTGATGATCTTCACCGCGGACGCCAAATTCTGAACAATCTGCTCGCCTCGGTTCTTCACATCTTCATTAGTCCTAGGGATAGGAAAGCCATCGATTGTCAATGACTTCAAACTTCTTGCCAAGAGTAAGTCAGCATTTTTAACCTTATAAGACTGCTTTTATTTGGTATTCAATGTGAGGTTATTACTTGTTCTAGGTGGTCGGAATCAACGCCTGTTTGTGCACTTCGGTGATGAACCTCGATTGGCGGCGTCTGGATGCATTTGGAAGATTCCTCATTAATCGGCTGACTTTCCCCATGTAATAATAATCTTTCTATAATTTTTACAATTAATAAAACATTATTGTGGTGTTCTTAGGATTTTCGATAAATGTTATAAGCTCCCGCCTTTTCGTAGATGCCGTGAGTTCCACGAACTTTAACATATGGTGGTCTACTCATTATAAAAATGTGAATAACAATGGCAACGGAATTTAAATTCTCATAAAAATTAAAAAAAAAAAAAGAAAACGAGAAAAAACAATTAAATATCAGTCTGCGCGTAAATCTACACTGATTACGATATACTGAAGGCCACGCACCCATCAAGTCGTTTGACGCCGACAATACAGTCCGCTTTATTTTGGGCTACGCTATAATACACATGACCCCGATTAATTACTAACTCGAAAACATTTTAACTCAGAAAATTCACATTCAAGCTTTTCATCCACCAAGGCTCATCCAAAAGTATACGCATGGTAGTCCTCGGAATGATGATAAGCTAATCAAGATTCCCGATGAAATCTTAACGGTTCTAAAAGGTTAATTTCATATTCAAAAAATACGTATATATTGAATTAACGATATCAGAGGAATTTCTAGCGTATTTTTGCTTAAATGAGGAAATCCTGGATCAGCCGTATCCAGATTTTGAAGAATTGTCGATGAATTCGAAGTAAACTGGCAATATCTTCGAATATTTAGAACTTATTTCAGATTCTTCAACGCTCTAGGTCTAAACCGAAGTGAGAAGATCGGTGAGCTTAAAAAGCTCACTATTGCCAATCCAGTTCGCATCTGTATTTGATGCGCAATTGTATACTGCGCTGGCTGAGCTTCGCTATGGTCGCTTTAATGATGATGGTGGATTTTCGAGAAGAAAGGTATTGATTACTATACTTATTCCACTTAATTAAATGAATCCATTACAGAGGAAACTTATTGATAAATCGCCGAAGGATTAATTGCCTTCACCCAGAACGTCTTTGAAGAATTGTCGAATGGAACAGTCAAAAAAATTGTCCAAAAAAGTAGTTTTCAACAAAAATGTCTCTCAATTTTTGAATGAATCAAAAATTACAATTTTCGAATTTCACGGATCCGTTCATTGAAAAAACCTATCTTTCGAAAATTTCGTCCTTTCGAAAAATTCAAAGACTCATTACTCCCACTACTATTCATCACCTTTGTTTTTTTAAATGTTGTTTGTTATTATATTTGTTTTATTTTTTGTTGTGCGTTTTTATAGATAAATTTTAAAAAATTGAAGTGGAATAAGAAATTTTACGAGGGCTGATGGGCGAATTCGCCTAGTAGTAGAAGCGAATTAGAACCAATACCACGGGCGAATTAAAAAAAAAAAAGGGGGAAAATATATTAAAAAAAAACACAAAAGAAGGGGGGGGGCCGGGCGTTTTTTTTTTTTTTTTTTTAAAATAATTTTTTTTTTTTTTTTTTTTTAAAATTTTTTTTTTCATTGTGAAATAAATAATACTTAGAAATCGAGACAATTTGAACTTCGCATTCGTCAATCGAAATAGAAGAATTATCAATCGTAATCGAAGTTTTTTGAATCGAAACAAAGTTGTAATTCGATACTTTCTTAATCGAATGGGGAAACGGAAAATGATTGAGTAACTGAGATTCTAGATACTAAAAGTTCGATTTTTGGTTAAAAAAAAGGGAAGGGTTGTATTTTAAAAAATCACCAGACCATTCGAAAACTGTGGTTAGGATTACTTCAGACCGATAAACTTGAAAAACTAAATTATGATAATAGTACAAGTAACTAACTTTATAATACAGATAAGGCATTGAGTATGATTGTGGCCCTAAAGAGGGCCGTTGGGGTTCGGTGTTGATAACTGCAGGAAAGCAAAGAATAATCGAAATTATCCTCCGAATCCGTAGAGTGTGCGGCCTTGACGCTTGAGGGCGTAGACGACATCCATAGCGGTGACGGTCTTTCTCTTGGCGTGCTCGCAGTAGGTGACGGCGTCACGGATCACGTTCTCAAGGAAAACCTTGAGCACTCCACGGGTCTCTTCGTAGATCAATCCAGAAATACGCTTGACTCCACCACGACGGGCAAGACGGCGAATAGCTGGCTTGGTGATTCCTTGGATGTTATCGCGGAGAACTTTGCGATGGCGCTTGGCTCCTCCTTTTCCAAGACCTTTTCCTCCCTTTCCACGGCCGGACATGTTGACTCGATGCAGATGTTACTCGAAATGAGCTTAGCAAGACTGAATACAGCGCGTCTTTTATACGACTGTAGGCGGAGTTAATTTGAACCCCCGCTCCGCGACACACCAATGTTTGCGGTGAGTGACTCTCTCTCCTCGTCTCGCAACGGCATGCTGTTTGCTTGTGCATTAACGGGCGCATATGTGTCGCGGTGTGGTGGTTCAAAATGACTCCGCCCCGTGAACCTGCGTATATAAGATCCAGTGATCGCGGCAAAACATACGAGACAAGTCTCTGAAAGCATTCGAAATGGCCCGTACCAAGCAAACCGCCCGCAAATCAACCGGAGGAAAGGCTCCAAGAAAACAATTGGCTACCAAGGCTGCCCGCAAATCGGCCCCAGCCACCGGTGGAGTCAAGAAGCCACATCGCTACCGTCCAGGAACCGTCGCCCTTCGTGAAATCCGTCGTTACCAGAAATCGACTGAGCTCCTCATCCGCAAGTTGCCATTCCAACGACTTGTTCGTGAGATCGCTCAAGATTTCAAGACCGATCTCCGCTTCCAATCGTCGGCTGTTATGGCTCTTCAGGAGGCCGCCGAGGCCTACTTGGTCGGTCTTTTCGAAGACACCAACTTGTGCGCCATTCACGCCAAGCGTGTCACCATCATGCCAAAGGACATTCAACTCGCCCGCCGAATCCGAGGAGAACGAGCGTAGATCGCTTGCTCTGCTTGATTAACCGAACCCCAACGGCCCTCTTTAGGGCCACAATTATGGAACTGTTCAGTTCATTCAATAAATACAATGTATAAAGTTTTTCCTATGCAGGTGTGTAGCTAAATAGAAATTAAAACAACTTTGATAAAAATAGTAATTAATAGATTTTCTGCCATTTTTGAAAAGTTAAAAACTGGTTCTTCAAAGTTTCATGAAACTAAATTTGGCTTAGTTTGTTCGAAAACCCCTGAATGATCGAAGAATGTGTTCGTCGAACCAACAGATGTTCATTGTGACGTCACAGAAAAGACGCGCAAAATTGGCGGGAAACGATTAATTTAAAATAGTGGAAAAAATAAAGAATTTTAGAATAAAAAAGGGAATTATCTTTGAGACAAACAAAGAAAGATATCAAGATAAATGAAAATCAATCGATTTCGAAAACAATTGTTTTCAATACGAATTTAAAATCGAAAATTTCTTCGTGCGTGACATATTTTTTTGCGTGATCTTCAAAAATCAATCGAGCTCATAATCATTTCAATTCGCGTTCAGAACCGTCCGTCCAATTCGATTGGTGAGATTTTGTTTTTAATTTTGATATATTTTGTAAGGCTTTATATCTGTTTTGAACTTGTTGGCAATTAAATATAGATGAGGACAACTGCCAGCGATAACTCGATAGTCGATCGCAAGTATCTTGCGATTCGCTCATCGAGGACCAATTCGTTGAATCGAATTTGTCGCTATTAAGCCCGCACGAGCGCGGTGGCCGGTCAAACCACCCGGCCGCCGAGAAACGCTCCGCCTCGGTGGTCCGAAGGGCCCGACGACTGTAAAGGAGGAAGTCCGCTGGCGGTTGTGTGGTTTGGAATATCTCTCAAATTGCGAACCTTTTTTATTTCCAAAAAAATATATATTTAATTAAAAAATACTATTAAAGGATATATAATATTCTTTTTTCATGAGTTCTTCTCGGCGATGTCGATTCCGAATTGATGCGAACTTCAACAGGAGTTATCTGGTATGAAATACGCATTTTAATGTCTTATTTGCAGTTTTGTTTCAAATTTGCCAATTTTCTACAATTATCCGGTGAGTCTTCATGTATTGATTGTCGATTCAAACGACTGATCGAAATCCAAACTAAATTAACTCTCCTTTTTTTAATATTTAGTAAACGATAAATTTAAATCTACACTGATTTCACGAATTTGAATTTCCCGCCAACGATCAGTCATTTGAAACCTACTATAAATTTGTTTTTAAGTAAAAAAAAAGCTCGTTTCAATTATAATGTTTTGGTTCTTTTTCGGGGAATATCGCCCGCCGAGCATTTTTGTTTTCATTTTTTTTAACGAAGCCTTTAAGGCTAAGGGGAAAGAAGAGAGTTAAACGAAGATTAATTTTATGAAGACAAAATAAAATATTGCAAATGTTCAATGCAGAAAAAACCGAAATTAATAATATTTTTCATAATATATATTTCAAATTTCCCGTATTTCAGGAACCACAGCAAACCGATTGATGGACAGCTCTTGGCTTTGCACTCCTTATTCCAATATTTTTTAATCTGTTTTGTTTTTTCTTAGCAGTCACCCCTTATAAGCGGGTGACCTGCTATCGCTTGTTTTATTTATTTGCTGTTGCTCTTCTAGTTCGTAGATTCTTCGGTTTCGTTCTGAGTCGACAAAATTGCAAAACAGTATTTTTCCGTCGGTTCATCAGTTGAATTGTCACAATGATTTGTCGAAGTTGCGGAAAATTGGCTAAATGCCAAAAAAAACAAAGGCAGTGGTCTTGGCACGATAATAAGTGTAGATTTACGGTCCTAAGGACGGCGTACATGAGGGGAGTCTCCTTTAAATGGTTGGAATTTGTGTACCGTACTCTGCATATCGATTATCACAGAAGTTGGTGCCAAATATTATTCGGGTCATTCCTCACAGCTGGAATTCTTTGGTTACATTCGATAATCGACCGATGACGACGCCAAACCAACAAATGTGCTTTGCGACGTCACAGAAAAGACGCGCATAATTGGCGGGAAACCATTAATTCAAATCCTCTGGTAAAAATGAAAATCGATCGGATTCGAAAACGATTCGTCAAAAAAAAAAAGAGTGACGAGATATTAGATTTTCGAAAAGAAGAGAGAAATATATTTCAGAAATCCAATACACAACTATTAAGGTGACGACTATCCGTATCAGTTCAACAATTTTTCATTCACTAAGTTACTAATTTTTATTTGTATTAGAAAATCATCAATGGAAATTATTGAAAATGATATTTGTGGACCTAAAGAGGGTTAAAGTAGATATTAAAGACACCGGCGAAATTTGATTTCACGCTAATATAAAAAAAAAACGCGTTTTTATAAATCAAATTGTTCAAAATCATCTTTGAGAATATTGAGGAGATTTTCGAAATGAAATCCCAAATTTCCGCATAAAATATATTTAACAAAACCAATACGTATTTATTACGCCGACTATTATTAATTTTAACACATTTTCATTGGTATGACTAGGTTTTTTTATTTCTACTAGAAAACTATTAATGCAAATAATTTATTTTATCAGCAATTAAATAAGATTTTGTGGCCCTAAAGAGGGCCGTTGGGGTTCGGTTATAGCAAGAAAATTCAACGAAGAATTACTTGCTGGAGGTGTACTTGGTGACAGCCTTGGTTCCTTCCGAAACGGCGTGTTTCGCCAATTCTCCCGGCAAGATCAATCTGACCGCGGTTTGGATTTCGCGAGACGAGATGGTCGATCTCTTGTTGTAGTGGGCCAATCGGGAAGCTTCAGCGGCGATTCTCTCGAAAACGTCGTTCACGAACGAATTCATGATCGACATAGCCTTCGACGAGACTCCGGTGTCTGGATGGACTTGCTTGAGAACACGGTAGATGTAGGTCGAGTACGACTCCTTTCTCTTGTTGTGTCTCTTCTTGGCTCCATCACGGGGCTTCTGGGACTTGGCGGCTTTCTTTGCTCCTTTAGCAGATGGTTTTGGTGGTGCCATGGCGAATTGGTTGAACTTGTAGACTCAAGTATGAGGAAACCGTGAATCATTTTCTATTTACGATTATGCGCGGAGGGGGAGGAGTCATGAGAGGTGTCGCAGAGTGAGGGCAGTGAGACATCTGCTGCTATTCGTATACGAATATTGAAGGTCACATGTGTCGCGGTGCGAGGACCTACTCCGCCCCCTCCGCGAGGACCCATTTATAGTAAAACATGAGATTCTGTCCTTTAGTGTATCAACAACACAAACCTAGCGACTTCATCATGTCTGGACGTGGAAAGGGAGGAAAAGCCAAGACCGGAGGAAAGGCGAAATCTCGTTCATCGAGAGCCGGACTTCAATTCCCAGTCGGTCGTCTTCACCGTCTTCTTCGCAAAGGAAACTACGCTCAACGCGTCGGAGCCGGAGCCCCAGTTTACTTGGCCGCTGTTCTGGAATACCTCGCTGCTGAGGTTCTCGAGTTGGCCGGTAATGCTGCCCGTGATAACAAGAAGACGAGAATCAACCCAAGACATCTCCAGCTTGCCGTTCGCAACGACGAGGAATTGAACAAACTTCTCGCCGGTGTGACCATCGCTCAAGGAGGAGTTCTCCCGAACATCCAGGCTATTCTTCTTCCAAAGAAGACTGCCGGAGAGGAGTAAACTCTTGTGTCCACACACTGCTAACCGAACCCCAACGGCCCTCTTTAGGGCCACAAATATTTATTATTGTTCATTTCATTTTAATAAAAACTTTGTTGTCGCATTCTTTAAAAGGAACGATTTATGCTAAAACTCTATCAGCATAAACAGTATTACTATAAACCAACACCGAATACAAAAAATTACCAGTCGGATGCGGGAAAATTCAAATAGAATCCAAATGACTAAAAAAAAACAAGGACAGATTGGGTTCATAAATTTTTCATGTTTTTTTTGTCAAATTTTGAAGTTTGGTGAAAAAAAAATGAAAAATTTATTAAACAAGAATAAAAAAATCTGAATCTGCCAGAGAAAGTTTTTGATTACGATGTCTTTTGTATTTTTTAAGCATGAAAAAGATATATATTTCGACACTTCATCGGAACCATCGACTTCATTTCATTTACAGTTGTAAAATATTAAATATTTAAAAAACGTATTTTCGATGCCTGCGGAAAATTGACTAAATGCTAAAAAGAGATCTTCGCTAAATATGTAGTTTTTCGCGTTATCCAGTAGGATAGTGCTGCGCGTAATTACACTTATGCGAAAGAAAATTTCGACTTAATGAAAAAGAATTTTCCCTAAACTTTTTGGCATTTAGCCAATTTTCCAATTTCCCGCGACGCCGAGAATATACAATTAGTAAACTATAATTCATGAATAATTTATGAGAAGATATCTTTTGCTCTCCAATCAATATCAACATCAAAATCAACGTCATCATCGTCTTCGTCGAGTTCCATCTTCTTCTCGGCCTCTTTCGCCTTTCGTCTTTCCATCGCCTGATGTAATCGTTTTTCTTTTTGAATTTCAAGCTCATTTAGCTTTTTCAAAGCAGCCATTTGCTCATCGATGCGTTCAAGCTCGAGCCTTCGAATTTCCGCTGCTTCGGTTTCTTCCTCCTTAAATTAAGAAATAAAAGAATGATATTTGAAAAGGTTATTACTTTTGCTTGTTGCTCGTTCGTTTCTTCACCAATTTCCTCCTTCCATCGCTCGAACTCCTTGTCGAGAATCGCATTTTTCTCGCGAGTGTCAAGTACTCGATTGTCCCTCTGCTTATCATCAAAAAATCCTTTCGGAAGACCTTCAATTACACCTGATGATTTGAACTGGTCACTCTTTAATGAATCATCTTTTCGGCGAGTCGTCCTGTAAAATATTCCATGTTATTCGGTGCTCTTGTCGATATCGCGTGACTGCGAAAAACTTGAAATAATCAATGTGTGTATTTTCGGCAAATAAACCGCATTGTCAATAATGATTTCGTTTTTTGCGTATTTTTTCATCGGTATTCGTCATTTGCAAACAGGAAAACTAAGAATTCCATACTTGCAACGGGGCGGCGCGGGTCAAGGTGAGAGTTTTACTCCACCCCTGACCAATTAATTCTGCTCAAAATGATGCAATTCGAAATTCTTATTACGCTAAACAAAGGCCTCGCTGTAAACTTGGAGTGTCGTTGCGGGGTGGGTGGCGAATTTTTTTACTGACCCGCCCCGCCAAGACCCTCGATAGCGGTTCGACACGGAAATTTGCAAGTACGAAGAATTGGGCATTGGAAAGTGGCTTGTGACGAGTACGACACTCCATTTTCTTTCCCGAATTTGATTTTTTGACGAATTGAATTTTTCCCCTGTATGTCCCTCTGGTAACTCAATATCAATCGGATCCGAATTGGAAAAATTTTTCAATCGGATCCGAGAAATTACCAATCGGATCTGAAATGATACAAAAATCGAATCGGATCCGAACAAATCTGATCAGAACAATTTCCAATCTTATCTGAACATTTACCAATCGGATCCGAAAAAATACAAATCTTACCCGATAAATTACCAATCGGATGCAATTACAAATCTTATCCGTAGAATTACCAATCGGATCGGGTTGATTCCGGAGCCGAATTTTGTCGGATCCGATTTGTAATTTTTCGGATCCGATTGGTTTTGAGTTACCAGAGTAAAATGTTCCGCTGATTATCCAAAACCAAAAAGAGCCCCTGTGCGTTCCGATCGAATCGCCAAGTTTCCATGATATTTTTATGATTATTTGCCATCCTTCAGATTTTTTTCAATTTAAGTAGTAAAACTCACAAATCAGTGGCCGATGATCCATCAAAGAAGTCGTCTGGAATTGCTTTTGGTCCATCATTACTCGACGACTCTAAAAAAATCATAAATTCGAGCCATCTCTGTCCTTTTTGACGTACCCTTAGCTTTCTTATTCGGAGGTTCTTCCGCATTCGACTCAATCGGTCTTTTCGGAGCAGCAGCAAGTGCTTTTATCCGCTCAATGCTGTCTCTGTGCTTCTTACCATTCACATGAGCTGTCCATACTTTTGCCTTAACTTCCGTATTGCAGACTAAACACTGAATATTTCCATTCGGCTTCTGTTTGGCGATATTTGGGTTTAAAGACATCTGAATAAAGGTTAATGAAAACAATAAATAAATCAGTTGCAAATATAAATTCACTGGAATGAACAAGGTATTAGTAAATGCAGAGAAGTTAACAAAAAATATTTTATTCTGAGGCAATTAAAAGGCGTTTGCACCCGCTAATAAAAACTTTTTTACATAATGAGCTAATTTACAAATGCAGTTTTTCAATATCGAACTTGCATGTTGAATCGACATTCAGTATAAACGGACCTTTTTGACCAGGCTGAAAATTAAAATAATAAAGGATATGCCGATTTTAGTATACCGTGAAGGTTGCTAATTTGAGATAATAAATTCCGGCGGGAATTTTTTCCATTTGCAAGACAGTATAGCCAGGACGATATGGTCCAGTATTCTGCGTTTCAAAGAAGATCACTCGATCCGAACTAACTTGCTTAAACTCCAAAGCAACGCTGAATTCTTTTGGAGCTTTTAATTCAAATAGCATACAAATGTCATCAGAATCGGAGTTTAGTGTTAGTTTCATGATAGGGAATCTGTAAGCAAACCAAATGATCATTTAATGCTCTTCCCAATGGTTTACTTTTTTTCCGGTACCAACGATCCTTCCCAAATTCCTTCCAGTGTTTTCGTCACAGTATACGGCAATTTAATTGGTTCTAAAACGAAGTCAGTAGTCGAGTAAACCCTCAGCGAATAATGGATTGTGTTCGTTTTTTCATACTGAAAACGCATATTGCAGTTGGAAACGTTTCCTAAACATACTTGAGCAACAACTAGGGTATAATTATTGATTCCAGGTTTTGTGACGAGCATTTGACAAAGATAATGTGGACTGTTGATGCGAACACCGCTTGAGATTGGCGCTGGATCGGCTGTAATTTGAAAATTTTCGGATAAAATCCAACATATTTCAGTTTGTAAATCAATCTAACAAAAAAGTGTAAGATATTGCTATGTTGTTGCCTTCGCTTGACTTCAGAAAATTGGCTAATATCAGTGGCCTGGGCGCAAGAATAAAATTTTAAGCTTATGAATAAGGATAGATTAAAGGCGCACACCGCGCGCTGAGAGCTCTCCTCAACTTGTTTGGCATTTAGCCAATTTTCCGCAGTCGCGTCAAAAATATATAAAATGGAAATGACTAACATGGAATGTAGACCTTCTTCTTTGTTTCGTATACCATTACCGTGATGTATTCTTTATTTACCGCAAAATCGTCCTAAATGATTCAATTGATGCTCAAATTTCCAAACAAAAATAGACGGATCCTTACAATTCGAGTTATATGTCGCGTGAGAAGAATCCAAACCGCCGACGATCCACTTCGATTGTTAACACTCAACGAATACTGCGGATTGTCTCCAACAGTATAAATATCTCGAACAGGACCAGAGCATTGATTCCAAGTCGCATGATATACAGAAGTGTGCGGAAACAATTCCGAATTCCAATTGACGTAAAATACGTCGAAAAAATTGATAACTGAATCATAATCGATCCAAAAAATACCTGAAAATGGTGGAAAAAAAAATAATCAAAACTCTAAAAAAAAGAACAAACCGTCGTCATTTTTTTCAGCTTCTTCGGGATTGTAGTTCAAAGCAATTCTCAATTTAGATGTCCAATTCGCCTTATCGCGATCTGAATATTTTCCTTTCCACCGCAAGTGTTTCCATGGATTTTTTAATTGGAAAAGTCGAATATTCTACAAACGGGTGTAATTAGAAATATATGGAGGCTAATGGCGTTATACATCAACACATCTCATATCAAGGACAGCATAAGCATGAGTCTCAACGAGTCCAGCTCGATCGCATTCTTCCTGTGTCATTCGACCAGTTGCCAACGTAATAAGGCAATCTCCGCGATGCATTCGATCGAAAAGCTTCCGGAATACTTTATCGGCATCAAATTCTTCGGGCTTTTTGCGATCAATCGAAATTCGTTCGGGTATCCACCCAGTAAGTGCGTTCAAATCAATATTCGAATTTGATCCCGGAAAATCGTATCCTCCCATCACTTTCATATAGGCTTTTTCGAGTAGCGAGACCCATAATTCGCCTTTTCTTTCACTTTGAGAGCACATTAACTGATCTCGTTCATCACAAGGAAAATAGTCGTCAATGACAACCTGAATTATTTTGTTTTTTTTTCCAAATTTTTCAAATAAATGCTAGTAATATTCAAACTTTGCGCCAAACTCCATTTATGTGCAGTCTAATGACATATTTTCCAGCCGGATTATACAACGGTTTGCCAGATGAATCTTGGGGGAATATGATGCTAAAATATTTTCACATAGCGCGGATTCGAGACGTCTTCTCACCTGGTGACCAGCCGTTTTTTGAATTTTTTCTCATAAAGAGCAGCAATTGACAATGAAGAAATGAACGAACAATCGGAAATAACCGTCTACAATTTTTATAACTTGTTTTGTTTTTAATGAGCAATGCAATAAAAATAAAAAATATAAATTTCTTCTTTTTTACGTCATTTTTTTAAGTGTGTTGCTCTCGTTTAAAAATAAAATACCTGTTTAATCGCTGCACTATCAATTGATTGAATTAAGCACGGATTTTCAAAGAGCTCGCTAGCTCGTTTCCAACTTTTCAGTCTATTTTTCTGCTTCAAAGTTAGACTAATTTTTCCATCTGGATCTCTAAAAGTTAGCAATTTTTGGTTCATCTTTCAGATTTTTAACTTACGTGAATTTACCGGCAATTCCTTTAAATTCGTTAAATTTGTCATAAGCATGAAACGGCACATACAATCGGTTATTAATATTAGACGTTGTACTCAGCACGGCTAATTCTTCTTTTGTATATTTTTGACCTCCTTTTGTTGGTGAAGCAGGCTAAAATATGATATTCCCCGATGAACGATTAGAATAAGCTGTGAATACCATTGTTCTTATAGATTTGGATGGAGAATGAGCATTATCATCCGCCGGAGTTAATGTGATTTTCGAAATTTCATCCACAGGAACATCAGGTAAATTCAATTCGAATTCTTTTATTGTATTTCTTTCATGGATCTTCTCAGCGAGTCCTAAGGCTTTTTCAGCAAAATTTCGAATTATTTTGCGCGATTCGGAGCTCATGGCAGTTTTTGAGGAATTTAGGCATTTTTCCACGACTTTCTCATAAATTTCACAAACTTGTTGCTGTTTCTCCACATTTTCTTGTAATATTTCTGCTTTCAGCATTAAAAATTCAACATCTTCGATTATGTTTTCATTTACTGGATACTAAAATTGATGTGAAGACGATTAGAGCAATGAGATTACTTGTGTTTGAAGACGATCTAGATTAGCTTTGAGGAATTCCGCTCGATCTATGCATTCTTTCACATTTCTCCGGAAAATCGGAAGGCATTTCTTTTCATGAATTAAACGTAACAACTTATTAGCCGCTTCTGTATAACAAAAAATCGCTTCTTCGTAGCGTTTTCCCTGAATTTTTTAAATAACAAAATAAACACCAAATATTTTAACCTGGTCATAATATACTGCCTTTTGTGATAATCCTAATGCGGAACGTGTTTCAGAATCATCCATAAAACTGAAAAATTGTGAAGTAAAACGGAAAAACGTGACTTCAAAAAAATATTTTTCGACGCTAAAAAATAAGATGGCCGAAAAAAATTTCTAGTCCTCGTATGAATTAAATGTAGTCCGCGTGAAAAAGAGATTTCAAATTTTCGCATTGTGTTATAAACCAGTCGGATCCGAAAAAAATACAAATCTTACCCGATAAATTACCTATCGGATGCAATTACAAATCTTATCCGTAGAATTACCAGTATCGATGGGACAATCCAAGAGATATTCTATGTGCTCAATTATATAATATTTATTCCATATTAAATATACGATTCAACGGAACTACAAGGAATAATATAAATCACAACCAATACAAGACCGAAATTAGTAGTAGGATCGAAAATTGAAAAATTTGTGTGTCTTTACTCTGGATCATATCCAAGAATTGGCGACAGCCATCGCTCAACTTCTTCCTTAGAAACACCTTTGCGTGCGGCGTAGTCAATCACCTTAATTACCAAATTACTAAATTTAAAAGTGTCTAGCGAATGGTTTACTTGATCTTGGTCGATTTTTCCAACGGCGAAGTATTGACTTTGTGGATTAGCAAAATACAATCCAGAAACGGAAGCAGCAGGAAGCATCGCAAGATGCTCAGTGAGCTGAATTCCAGTACTAGCAGCGTCGAGAATTTTCCACAACATTCGCTTCTCAGTGTGGTCTGGCTGAGATGGATAACCACAAGCTGGTCGAATTCCATCATATTTAATCGAAAGCAAATCCGATTCGGTCAATTGCTCATCCTTTGAATATCCCCAAAGTTTCGTTCGAACTTCTCTGTGCAAATATTCGGCATAAGCCTCAGCGAGGCGATCAGCAAGTGCCTGAATCAATGTTGATTGATATCAAATTCTAACGAAAATGAAGAAAACCTTGACCATAATTGATGCATAATCGTCATGATCTTTTTCAACCTCCTTGCAATATTCTTCAGCACCCAATCCGGCGGTACACGCAAACAATCCCAAATAATCGGTTGGCCTTCCTAAAAAATTATATTCGATGAGATAAGTAAATACATTATAGTCGCAATAAAACGAGCACCCTATGTAGATTACGACGAGTTTGATTTGCAGGTTATCCAGAGTACGGTACCCGAATTCCCACTGCTTCTAGCGAAGTTTGAATAAATGTCTCACATAAGTGTATTCAAGACTCGTTTTTTTTTTTGCGATGACAATATTAATTTAAAAAATCACCATTCTCAAGAGGTTTAACAAAATCAGATAAACAGAAATGGGGCTGGTCATGTTCTCTTCCCGACTGTTGTCTCAATCCATAGAATGTACCAATCTTGACACCAGACTCGTCAAACACCTTCAAAACTAGATATTATGAATGGTTGAATTTTTCTTTGAATTACATGAATATCGTCTCCTTCTGAACCAGCATCCAAGAATGAAACAACTGCGTTCGCTTTCAGAATTTTCTCGTCAATCAATTTTTTGAGCCAAACATGAGCGTCATCGAATACTTTTTTCGCTTCAGCTCCAACATCGGCGTCAAGGAAAATTTTCGGGTAACTACGATTCGGGTATTTTCCGCGTAATTGCCAAACATCAAAAAATGGTTTCCAATCGATATAAGGTATCATTTCATTCAGATCGACATCGTTGAATTCGTTTCGGCCAATGAATGACGGTTTAACTGGTGGATTTTTCAGCCAATCGATTTTGAATTTCTTCTCTCTGCTCTTTTTGATATCAGTAAATCGGCGATCTTTGAGAGATTCGTAGTGCTCTTGCCGAACTTCTTCATATTCCTCGGCAATATCTTGCAAGAAGGCTTCTCGAACAGTTTCATCGCAAAGCGACGAACAAACGACGACTGATTTTGAAGCATCAAGGCAATGAATGACAGGATGCGGATATCTAGGAGCGATTTTGACCGCCGTATGCGTCTTTGAAGTCGTCGCTCCACCAATCAAAAGCGGAATGTTTAATCCGTGTCTGTTCATTTCCTTCGCGACGTGCACCATTTCATCCAAACTTGGAGTAATCAAACCAGACAGACCAACGAAATCTGCCTTCTCCTCAATCGCTGCTTTGATAATCGTCTCGCATGGTGTCATCACACCCAAGTCAATGACCTTGAAGTTGTTGCAGCCCATCACAACCGCGACAATGTTCTTGCCGATGTCGTGCACATCTCCTTTAACAGTGGCAATCACAAATGTTCCTTGATATGGACTCTGAAGATTATTTATATTCACAAGAATGGATCTCTTATAATTTCACTTCATCTCCTTGAAGACGCAATTTGGCAATATTCTCCTCTCTTTCTTTGTCCATAAATGGCAACAAATGTGCGACAGCTTTTTTCATAACTCTCGCAGATTTGATAACTTGCGGAAGGAACATTTTTCCGGATCCGAATAGCTCTCCGACAACAGCCATTCCGTCCATCAACGGTCTTTCGATAACATTCAATGGTCGCGGATACTTCTCCGTATTCAATCTAGCTTCTTCAGTATCTTCAACAACATATGTGTCAACTCCCTGAAACAATTCACGAATTTTTGAACAAAAAAACAAACACAATATATTGCCGTTTTCACCTTAACAAGGGCATATTTGAGTCGTTCTTCGACTGATGTACTCCTCCATTCATCAGTCTTCGTGTCACTCTTTTTACCGTCTTTCTTCATTTCTTGTGCTGCTACCAACAGTTTCTCAGTCGCATCCGGATCTCGATTGAACAGCAAATCTTCCAAAAGTTTAAGCAAATTCTTGTCGATATCCTCATACACAGGAAGTGCTCCAGCATTCACAATTCCCATATCCATTCCAGCTTTGATCGCATAGAAGAGGAACACAGAATGCATTGCTTCACGAATTGCTTCCATGCCACGGAATGAGAACGAAATATTTGAAACTCCTCCAGAGACGTGAGCTCCTGGTAGATTTTCCTAAAATATGAGTTTTTATGAATGAAAAAATTGTTATAATAAATGAATACCCGAATCATTCTAGTTGCTTCAATGAAATACATTCCATAATTGGCATGTTCTTCCATTCCAGTGGCAATTGTCAAAATATTTGGATCAAAGATAATGTCATTCGGATTGAATCCGATTTCTTCAGTCAAAATTCTGAAAATTGAACGCGTATTACTTAGTTGAAAAATGATTCAAATTTTCTAATACCGGTAACTTCTTTCGCAAATTTCAAACTTTCGCTCAGTTTCAGCGGCTTGGCCTTCTTCATCGAAAGCCATGACGACAACTGCAGCACCATATCGTTTAATAATTTTTGCCTAAATGCATGCCAATAAGGAAATTTCTCATAATTCGATATTACTTTTTCTCTGAACTTTTCTTCTCCTTCTTTCAATGAAATCGAATTAACCACACACTTTCCTTGGGTCGATTCGAGGCCGGCAAGGATAACATCAAAGTCGGATGAATCAATGCAGACCGGAATCTTTGCAACATCGGGCTCAGATGAGATCAACCTCAGGAACTTCGACATGGCATACGGACCATCAAGGAGACCGTCATCGACATTTACATCAAGAATTTGGGCACCATTTTCAACTTGAACTCGAGCAACATTGATAGCTTCATCGTAATTTTCGTTTTTGATCAAATTGCAAAAACGACGGGAGCCAGCAACGTTACATCTAAACATTCGAATCATGCATATTATGCCATTTTCGAAATAAACCTTTCTCCAATATTGACAAAATTAGTTTCTGGACCAACAATACTTGGCTCTAATCCAGAAAGGAGCATTTTCCCTTCGTGTGGATCAGGATGTGGAAGTCTTGGTGATATATCCTGAATCATTCGAAATAATTTATTTTTAACAATAAAATGCAACCTGCACAACATCATAAATTGCCTTAATATGGTCTGGAGTTGTTCCACAACATCCTCCAATAATGTTCACAAGACCATCTTGTGCAAATTCTCGCAAAACCATAGCCATATCTTCAGGAGTTTCGTCATAACCTCCAAGAGCATTCGGCAAACCTTTGAAAATATAACACCATTGCTCAAGAATTCGTATAAATACGATTTACCAGCATTCGGATAACAAATTACCAAAGTGTCAGTCCAATTCGACATATTTTCAATGAACTGACGCATGTCTTTTGCTCCAAGAGCACAATTCAAACCAACAGCCATTGGCTTTCCTTGTCGTGTCGAGACCAGGAACGCTTCGCCCGTTTGTCCGGAAAGCGTTCTTCCTGACATATCGACAATCGTTCCAGAGAGGAACACAGGGACTTCCATCATTTCTTTAACATAGCTTGTGATTTCGTTCAAAGTTCAATTTTGACTTACCTTCATCTTCGAAAAGAGTTCGAATCGCGAAAAGAGCCGCTTTGGCATTAGCCGAATCGAAAACAGTCTCCACAAGAAGAACGTCAGCTCCCCCTTCCAAAAGTGATCGCGCTTGATCTTTATAAGCTTTTACTAGTTCTTGGAAAGCTGAAAAAAAAATTAAAATGGCTAAGATAATTCACAAATGTGGAGATTTTGCATCTGGAAAATCACTTACTAATGTTGCGGAAGTCGGGTTTCTCAACGGAAGGCGAAATCGAAAGTGTTCTGTTGGTAGGGCCGATAGCTCCGCAGACATAGCGACGTCTACCTGGTTGCAAATTCAATTCAACATTGTCCCATTTTAATTTTTAACACTACCGGTTTCTTTCGTAACATCATCGCAAGCTCTTCGAGCAACTTGAGCCGATTGATAGTTGATATCATGAACCTTTAAAATGAGAAATACATATAGAGAGGTGAAAATGTTTTATTACTAAATGTTCACATGCGTAATCCGCTTGCGCAATAGTTGTTCCCGAAAAAGTATTTGTTTCAATAAAATCCGCACCAGCTTCCAAATAGAGTTTGTGAATCTAGAAGAAACACGTGAATAGCACTTGGTCAACGATATCGAAATACCTTATAGATAATATCGGGGCGCGTGATTGAAAGCAGGTCGTTATTTCCCTTTAGCGGCTTTCCATGATCTTTGAGGATCTACAATATCGAGTACAAATTTGAATATTTATTAAATTATTCGCATTATTGTTCGTTCAATTTTCGTAGTTTTATCTTGTCATGTCACAAATATTTTCAACTATTATTACTTGTTGGTAGACAATTCACATGACTAAGATAAAAAATGAAAATCATTGTTTGATCGTGCGAACATTTTTTGATGTGCGATTTGTTTCGCTATAATCACGTCACCAAAAAACCATCTAAACAAACCACTGCGGAATTTTTTTTAATAATGATAAAATCTCTTACCAATTTTCTATTAATGTTTTCCAAAGAACGATCAACGAACATTAGAGTAGTCATTGAGTTTAAATTATAATCTAATATTTAAAGAACAATTTGGGTTCGATAAATGATTGAATAAAAACCTTTGAAATTTAAATAATTTAATAAAACCGTTCGGCAAAATCTTTGCGCATATTTCAAAAGACTACGCAAAAGTTTGGTCAAAATTTGTGAAAATCCTTTGGAACGTCTGTTGAATATCTGAGCACCTTCGCGTTCAGCAGAATTTCCACAAGACTTTCTTAGACTTTATGCAGTTTTATTTGAGATATACCTCTCCGCGGAAATCATGCTCTTCCATGTGCTCACGTTGAATCATTGTACCCATAGCACCGTCGATGAGCATAATGCGCTGCCGAGCGATTGCTGCCAGTTCTTCGAACAAAGGACTCCGAGCCACCATTTTGCTGAAAAACATTACATGAATTTAAACAAATCAAATCGTTTTCAAAGTTTGCAAAATGATTCTCTTCTCGAGATTATCAATTGGAAACGGAGGAGATTGTATTGAAAAGAATCTAGTTGGCATCGTACGATCGGCCGAATAAAAATTGAATGCGAGACTCGCTCGTATGACTGTCTGGGTCGCCTCTTTGATTAGAATAAAACTTGGGCGGAGATAATATCATTCGTAAAAATCAGATAATAAACGAATGCATTTCATTCGAAATGAATTAGAACAGAATAACTCGAATCCGCGTTGGCTGCTATTTTTTTAGGACGATTCTGCAGCTGGTCAAATTGAATTGACTGTGTCTGATTGGCAATGAGAGACACTTGTTTTTAGACATACAATCTCGTCGGCCAAAAAACCAAAATAAAATTTCGACGATATGGCGCCATTTTCGATTGTGACACAAGAATAATTCAATTGTCGAGATAAAGTTTGTCGAGAACAGTCGTCGTGAACGTGCGTACTATCAACCCATCGACGGTTGACAAGTACAAAAAATGTGGGTTATTGATGATGACCGATAACATTGATTCTGAACAAAGTACTGTTATCGCAATTAATTCTATGCAAACGTTTTAGAGGAGTTTTCGAACAACATTATGCTTTAGAAAATCATAAAACGTAAAAGAACGAATCAAAGAAAAATATATGTTACTTCTGAAATTAAACAAAAGTGAATTTTGAAAATTTCGATTTTAAAAATTCACGCAAAAAATGTGTTTGCACGTGGCAAAATGTTGCTCTCTCAATCTATTAGCAATTTTAATATAAACTCAAAAATTTTTGTTCTGCAATTTCGTAAGAAATATGTCAAACTGTATCGAACCGATTATGCGTCGCTATTTCGAATATGGTACGTATATTTAAGATTTCAAACTCTACAAAGTATTCCCAGCCCTTTCAACGGAAAAATCAAATTTTTTAAATTCGCACATTTTTGACAACAAGCAAGTTCGCGCTATTGATATGGTGACCTTCGTCGGTGACCATGTAAACGGTTGAATTTTCAAAGAATTACACTCAGATTTAAACTTTTCCTTTTTTGTATAGCATTTTTTCAAAATTGTGATTTTTGTGAGAAAATGTTTTCAAGTGAATGTTTTTTTTTTGTAGATCCAGTTGAGGGACTTTATATCTGAAAACTTTATAGGTTTCTTTTGTACTTTTGAAGAAAATCAAATAAAATTACAATAAAAACCTTTTTATTACTATGAAATTTTAGGGTACGCCTTGACGGGTATTACAGCGGCAAGAAAAGCTGAGAATATGGTGAAGACTGATACTGCAATTATCGAAAGAAGGCTCCGGCCCGTTTATGGTAACATGTGGGGGGGAACATCAGAGAAACCAACAAATGTTTCAGATGCATTGGACAACAATAATCCAAAAAAGGCCATTCAAGAGGTTGATAAAATTCTAAAGAAACATCCGGATACGGTTTGCGCTAAAGTTTTAAAAGCGTTGTCCCTTATTCGATCCGAAAGATTAGCGGAAGCCATGAGTATTATTGATGCAATCGATGTTCCCGGAGTCAAACACGATGAAAACACTCTTCTTGCATTCGTTCATTGTTTTAAAGAAGCAGTGCTACCAGAAAGAATTAATACTTTATACGAAAGGGCTGTGGAGCTGGAACCTACTGAGGCTAATCTCACACAACTTTTCATGGCTTACGCAAGAACTAGGTATATATATTTTTATTTATTTATTTATCATACATTCCTTGTAATGAATAAATACTATTTTAGACAATACAAAAAACAGCAAGCGATTGGTCTAAGACTGTACAAGGACTTCCAGAATCCACCCTACTATTTTTGGGCGGTTATGGCAGTTCTTATGCAAGCGTACGAAAATCCGGAACTAGGAGGCAAAATGTTGCTTCCATTAGCTCATAAAATGTTTGTTGCGCAAATCGAAAAATCGGGATATACAGAAGGAACTGGAGCCGGTACGAATTTTGAATCCACGTGCAAATTTAAAACAAATTTTCTAGAAGTCGAGTTGAATTTGTTGATTTTGGAAGGAATGAACCGCTGGAAAGATGCAATGGATGCTCTCAGCCATCCACAAGCGCAACGTCTCCCAATGCCGCCAATATTCATAACAGAGAAACGTGCGGAGTATATGGTCAAGGAGCAACAATTTGATGATTTAAAGGAGATTGCCGAACGGGAAATTGAATCATTGTATACTCACTTTGTAGATTACGGGTTATGCATTATAATCTGAATTTCAGGCCAGACAATTGGACCATGTGGAGACATCGTCATTTGGTTTCTATTGAGACTATGAAGAAGAAGATTGAAGAAAATGATATGAAAGGACTCAAATCGTTTGTTTTAATAGCCTAGCGAAAATATGGTACAATTGCAGAATTTATGATGAATCTGTTGATTTTATTGAAAAGATAATCGAAAATGCCTCAAGCAAAATGAGAGGACCATTAATGTCGCGACTCGAATTCATTAAACAGATCAGTGCAGTTCCAGAGTTAAAGGATAAAGTTGATTTGAAGAAACTTGGTATTTTTCGAAAATTTTCCTTTAATTATTCGAAAACTTGAGGCGATCCGGTTGATTTAATTTTCTCATTTATTGAGATCTTCTTCACAAAACCATCATGTTATAATGATATGCGAATGGTATATAAAATATAAAACATTTCGTTTAATTACCCCCAATTTTCTAGTATTTCTGTTTGCTCGGTGACGACGATGTCAACAAGTTGACCGTAAAGTTGAATGAATGGATCGAGTCGGTTAGCAAACTCGAAGATGATCATAAAGAGACCAAGGTGTGGGCCATAATTACCTACGAACGAATTAGACGTACATTCGGTGAATACAAGAAGGAACCAGAGACTCAAAAAAGGCAGCGATTTCAGCAACTAATCGCTCAAATTGCACATGTTTGTCTTTTTTTTCGGAGAAATTGTTGAAGTTTTTACTTTTATAATTTCAGCCCGGAAGAAGTGATTTGGCTATGGGATTCTTGTGCCAACTTGCTATTTCGTCGCATTGGGATGAATGGAGAGAGAATAGTAATTTATTTCAAGCATATTTATTCAAACAAATCTATTATTCAGACGATGAAGCGAAATTATATGAGCTTATCTTGCTTCTTGAGTACGTCGCTGCCAAAAACAAAGCGGATCCGGTGTGCAAATTGTCTCTGATTCGCGCTTATGCTCATCTTGGTATTTAAAAAATATATTTGTGAATTAATTGAGTCTTTCAAGGAAACACTGCTCGAATCACTGCGCTTGTGAAGCTTCTTGACATCAAGTCGGTTCAGAATGATTCGCTCGGCTATTTGACGTTTCCGATTTTTGAACTTGCTGGAAGATTCAATTTGGCGATTATCGTCAATACTCAGTTAGGTGTGATTTACGACCAAGCAGAAAAAGAGGTTGAACGATATTTTCATTTTGCAATTTTTGAAATTATTTAATTAAGATAATGGAAAGTGTCGTAAGCGCCTACAAAAACGGAAAGTTTTCGCATATTCCAAAACTCATTCAGCTCGCCGAAAGAATGCGAAAATCTTCTCAGGTTTGTTTTGATTTAAAAAAAAATCAAGTTTTATATTATTACATGAAAAAAAACCAAAAATAAATTTTGTAGGCGGTCGCTTGCGATGTTCTAAATCGTTATCTCTCGTCACTTTTCGTTATCGATGACGTTGATGAGGCGATCACAACTTGTTATGGAGATGATGAACCGATTGGTATTGTTTAGAAATCGAATTCAATGAAATCTCAATGTTTCATGTAGATTTCACTGATATTCGAGACAATCGCGACTTGAATATCATTCCATTCACGGAAGGCGATTATTATCCGCCGCTTATTGAGGATATGAACAAGCGCACATTCAAGGAGTTTGTACGAAATTGAGCTCTATTTTTCAGATTTCACATCTTATTTTAAGGTTGATATCACAAAACTTCGTCATATGGTGTGCCGAACGATTGGTGCAATCGGACGCGTTACTAGAGCCGGAGTTGACGCGAAAAAGGCGAGAGATGAAATGAGGAGTGAGATTTCGGCATTCTCAAGCTTCTTGCGTCAATGCACTAAGGAATATGACAACTGCTTTTTGCCTGTATGATATTTAATTAAAATTCAAATCATTAATTGAGTATTTTTCAGTCGCGGCTATTGCAATCTCCTGCACCAATGCATATAACCCAATGGGTGCATTCCGGTGGTTTGCAGATTGTCGAGCGTCTCTTCTTTGCTGCTGAGAAAGTACTTGAGGCAGTCGATAATGGAAAGCCGGTAGATGTCGACATTTTCGGAACTGCTGATCAGATACGGGAGGAATTGACCAGTAAGAATGATCATTTCTTAATATTTGGAGCGTCACGCTATTACTAAAAGATTAAACAAAATGATAAGTAAAAGGCGCATGCTTCAACGCGTTGCTCCAAATCCAATTTCTCCCCTTTTTTTCAATTTTTCTTTTGACATTTAGCTAATTTTTCGCAATAGCATGATGCCGTCATATTGTCAGCGTCAAACGACTGAAGGGCGGCGGGGCATTCAAACTCGCGAAATGATCGTTGACTGAATATTAAATGCGCGTACACTATAATGCAATGTACGCAGTCTCGCGTACTACTCTCTGCCTCGAGACGCATTGGCACATAGTCATTAATTTTTTTATTTTCGTAAAGTCGTTTGATTCCGACAATACATCCATGAAATTTTTAGAAATTACCAATGTTTTCTCACCCGAGCGAAAACCATCAAAGCAATTTTGGATGCGCGAGGTCCTTACTGCTGCGTCAAGAGCTCTTCAGACATTGGCGACTGTTCGAATCACCCTTAAGTTAATCGAGCGACTTGTTCGTCGAAAGGGCTCAAATGCACCGGTCAATGAGAAAGAAAGTGTTACCATGAAGGAATGGAAGAAGAAAAATAAAAAAGATGAGGTTGGTTCATCTTGAATTCGTAGCATCGATTTTTGCATAGTTTACACTTAACTGTTATTTTGCTTCTAAACAATGGGTATTCTCGGTCCCTAGTTTATATGTAAGGTAGTTCAAAAAATGGACGTAGTCTAGGTGTTTCCTCTCACCGTATTCATAGTCACCTTATCGCGTGCCCTCAAACCGTACCCTAGAAACGGCGAGAAATGAAATACGATTTGCTGAGGCATTTTTTCAGGTTTTTGGCTACAATCGTTCGACAATAATTGTCGTCCACATGTTTTCTTATTTTTATAAGAATGTATTTCTACGGAAAAAGTTTTGTGTGTATGGTTGATGTGCTATTCGTACGATACACAAATTTCCATTGATTAAATTCTTATTTAAATTTGTTTTCCGAAAAAAACCCACTACGTATTATGCAAAAAAATCTTTGAATAAATAATTTCAGAGCTCTGTAAAGAGTTCCGACGTGCAATTCTATCTCTATTGTCATGCTCTCTACCTGGAAGTCCGTGCTGCTGCGCTCAACCTCAACAAGTCTCTTCAGCCGCTAATGGATGAAGTTGGATCGGAGGCTTTACTTCCGAAAAGTGTTGCTGAGGATTTGGGACAGGTAAGAATTGATACAAGAATAAACTGCTGAGCGAATGTTTATAGACGCGCGTTGTTCTTACTGATTGTCTTCCAATCATCGATTCGAGAATTCGTCGTTCTTATGTAATGGCCATCGAAGATATGCAAACCACAATTTGCTCAAGATTTTAATCATATTCTCATTTTCTCAGACACAATTACCAAGTTCATTTTCTTCTCAGTAGGTGTTTTATTTTTGCTTTTTAAGGATCTCGTAGGTCTAGGAGCGAATGTTTCTGTTTTACGGTGAACAATATTTGTTTTATTGATATTATTATTATTATTATTGTTATTATTGTTATTATTTATTATTATCATTTACAATATTCTTATGCCATTTTCATTTGTTTGTTTTTCTATCCGGTTCCCATTAATTGCTTCCGTTGATTTGTTAGATCTTATCGATAATGATGAACAGTTTTTTGTGATTTCCACCCCGTGATATATTTTATTTGTGAATTGCTCATTTTCTTATTAAAATGTCTGAGGAACATTCTCTCGAAGAATTCACTTCACTTCCTGTTAGCACTGTAGAGGTGCGACTGAATAGACAAAACTGCTCCTCGCAATATCAGCATTAAGATAATTTCTTATGGTCCGGTTGTCGTTTTTCGCACTAGGAACCATCGACCCGAATCGACAACATTATACGATTTCAAGGTAGTTATTTGAGGACGACTTGCGAGTTCAGCGAACACGACGAACGATTTTGAGATAATCCATGGATGGACCCCTCTTTTACTCTCGACTGCCAAATTTTTTACTTATCTTATTTGCAACTCGGAAGTTCCGATGTGCGCGCCTTTAATTCCAATATTAGTTGTCGAGGTTTGTTCGAAATTCTTTTCAATTTTGATTTCTTTTGAATATTCAGTGCATAAATGCTGTTTTGTATACTAGCACATCTCCCGAAATTGATCAGAACAATAATAGCGATTATACGTATTCAAAGTCATTTTTTAAAATTGGAATTGTGAAAAAAAAAATGATTGAATTTCTCTGCAATTGTCTCGTACCCAAACCAGAATCCAGAGAGACGGCCGCGTTTTTTTTTCTGTCGACTAAGCGTCGAAAAAACTCCGCCGTTCTTTTCGCGCGAATTGCCGAGAGTACGGTGAACATTGTTTCGCGATTGAAGCCGAAACCACCGTATACTTATTTTGCGTCTTGTCGCGATAATACATTTTTTCTGGATTTATCGAAATTGTCGCAAAACACAATTTTTTAATAGAGAATAAAGAAAAATGAATTTAGAATTTCCGAAGAAGACGTTGAATTTCATAAAAGCGAAATCAATATATTTTGCGCAGATTTGAGCAATTTTGGAGAAAAAATACAAGTAAACCAACACGTTTTCCGGATTTTTTAAAACAATTTCAGGTTCACTTGAAAACACCGACTACAGTTTACAGTATGCGAACCGAGCAGGTTCGAATTGTGCTCTGCAATGCCCAACCGAGTGTTTCAGATCGTGCTCAAACCAGGATCATCGATAACAATTTTCGAATACTTGAAGAAGTAAAATCAATAAATATGTATTGCTACACAAATTGAATCACAACGTTTTGCAAAAGAAAAAAGAAGTTCAGAAACAAAAAGAAACAACTAAAAACAATACTATCAGAAGAATACACTAGGAGAAAATAGGAATTTAACAAGACTTCGGCAAAATCAAAACGAATTACGTTTTAACTAATTAATATTTCAAATATTGAAACAAAAAACGTTTAAATGGAATTGTTTGCGATAAACCGAAGGTGAAGAGAAAACAACAAGGTAATGGAAAATTTCCAACGTTGTAAGGCAATTAGCAAATTGGCACGTGTGAGAACAAATAAGATACCGATTCTCCATTGTGAGTACGACGAATCGCTTCTGCGAGAATCATCGATATGTCGATACACTGAAAAAATATAATCAATTAATAAAATAAACAATATTGCAATTGATTGATTCAAATCAGCTCAGAAACATGCCTGGATCTTTGAGCATTTTTTCATATTTTCCTCCTGAGGCACTGTGTTTGTAACAACAACAGCTTCGAACTTGGAAGCATTGAGGCGAGTTATAGCAGGCCCCGAGAAGATTCCATGAACGCAGAAAGCGTAAACTTTCGATGCTCCAGCTTCGACGAGCTTATCAGCCGCCATACAGATGGTTCCACAAGTGTCAGCCATGTCATCAACAAGAATCGCAACTTTTCCTTCAACGGATCCGACCAATGTCATTTTCTCGACCTCATTGGCACGCTTTCGCTCTTTATGAATCAAAGCAAAATCAACATTGAGGCGATCAGCAATCGAAGTAACTCTTAAATATTATGAACATTATAGATTTTATAAGGGCTTTGAGAAACCTCTTGGCACCACCCGCATCTGGAGAAACAATCACGGAAGTCTGCCAATTTGGAATCGATTCTTTTATGTATTTGAGAATCGCAGGTTCCGCATAAAGATTGTCAACTGGAATATCGAAGAATCCCTAAAGCTTAAAAGTTCGTTCAATTATCGCGTTTTAAGCATTAATAACCTGAATTTGCGACGCATGTAAATCCATCGTGATTATATGATCAGCACCAGCAACCGATAGCATATTTGCGACGAGTTTAGCCGAAATTGGCGCTCTCGATTTGTCCTTTTTGTCCTGACGTGCATATGGGAAGCAAGGAATCACCGCAGCGACACGACACGACGACGCGATTTTGCACGCGTTGATCATAATCAACAACTCCATGAGATTGTCGTTGATCTCACCGGCAGCGGATTGAATAATGTAAACATCTTCGCCACGAACTGATTCTCCTATTTCAACGTTAGTTTCCTTAAGAAATAATTTAACATTTCGAAACAGCGGCGATTATTAACCTTGTTGCTAAATTTTTTGAGCGACGCCTTTGATAGTTGTAACTGAAGACGCTCACAAATTCTAACAGAAAGATCTCTGTGAGAGGAACCAGAGAAAACCTGAAAATATTCAAATAAACGAGCGCGTAACCAATAGCGACAACGCGTTTTAATTAGGCAATTATCAGATTTCGCACCATTTATCTGAAACGTTTTATTTCTATTCATTCGCACGTTTCTTTTTCAATTCTTCCTCATTTTTTTCTGTTTCATTTCGCAAAACAGCTCAAATTGATTTTCTGTCGCTAACAGTCAATGTCAAATCTTATCAAATTTGTCGTGAATCGAAAAAACAAAAACCCATTTTATTTTTGTCGACGACAAACCTTGATGTTGGGCATTCTAAGCTCTTCTTCCGAGGAGAATGTGTTCAAGGGTTCAGTCGACGAATGGACAGCCAAAGATGTTGACGAGAAGAACGAGCGGGGCGGTGTGGGATGGTTGACCGAGTGTTGAGTGCGCTCGACCGGTGTCGACGACGTTTTGTCTGCAAAACGAAGAAACCGAAATCTATTAGAACATATGTTCGTGACGAGTAAAAACGAATGAGCACGTGTTTCTTTGTTTTCGATTCATTTCGTCATTTGATATTTCAATATTATCAAGTTTTTCTCTTCGCAGTGCTCATTTTGATATTATTATGAAAGAAAAATTACCTGCAGCCATTTCGCAAAGTATTCGAAAGAAAAGAAGATATAAAATAAGAAGGAAAGAGAGCGAAGCGACTCGAGCAGAATTGTGTGCAAAAATGGGCGGTGCTTGCTAGTGGTAAATATGACACCGATATCGCAATTTATGGGCTGTCGTGGATAACGATGGGAATGTTAGGCTAAGGATACTTGCAGTAAACAATGTTTTGTGCACTTAAGAGTAGTCAGACGAATAAAGATATTCTATTGGATTGATACCAAACGCGAATAAATTAATTATCAACGAATAATTTCGTTTTTTTTTCGCGACTAGAAATAAACTTTAGCATCACGTGGGAAGGTTTTATTCTTGAGTAGCTGCAAAATAAACATTTCTGTTGAAGAGAGAGGTAATTATAAAAATTGTAAGCGCTGCATATTTAAATAGAATTTTATAGTACAGTTTTTGTAGGGCTTAATAGAAAAAATGAGACATAAACTTTGAGACAGAAAATTCGAATTTTCAACAGAAATGTGAAGAGAAAATTGATTTTCGAAAATATTGCATTAAAGGGACATCGAGTAAATTTCCGCCGTAATTTTCAAACGGAAATTTGAATAATTTTTATGTGCTTCTATCTGCGACTATTTCTCTCAATTTTCAAGCAAAAATAAAACAAAACACTTCAATATGGAAATTATGAAAAAATTTGTGCTCGACTTCTATTTTCGAAACCATGAAATAGGAATGAAAAATTCATTTTGTTCACAAAACTGCTGCACGCCCATCTGATTGATTACAGAGATGCGTAGGTGGACGTATTTGAAATTAAAATCGTTGTCAACGCCAGATATCTGCAGAAAGGCCGACAATTCATTTCCAATTTCTATAAACTTGATTTTCAAAAACTATGATAAGAGGTTTACATGAATATATCAAATTTACGGTACATTAACATTTTTTCACACTGTTAATTGCGACATTATTGTAAACCTATTGCAATTTGTACTTTTCTGTTGTACATATTTTTGTTATAGTTAGCAAGACAATAAATATTAATTATCAAATCAAAGCTAATAATAAGAATAATTCCCAGAGGAATTATTTTTTCGCAAACTATAACAGGACCATTAATTGCAATTATTCAGCTCTACAGTGTATTTATCCAAAATGTGAATTGTAAAATAAAATAGATGGCGCTAGATTGCAATCTCGCAAAAATATTCGGATGCGAAGACTAACATATTTTGCAAAAATGTAATGTTCTCAACGCTTTATCAACGACGAGCGTAATATGAATTGATAACGAAACTTTGACCGAATGATTTAATATACATCAGATTAAATGGAAATTTCAAAAGAAAAAATGAGTATGGATATTTTGAAGGAAAATAATGCTTCAACGCACAAAAAATGCAAAAAGCGTGTCAAAATTGACGTGTGAATCGAGTTACACCAAATATTTTTGTATTCAAAACATAAATATTTCTTGCCTGATGTGGTCGAAATTGGATCACCAATAGATCCGGTTTTCTTGCGCTGAGGTTCGTCGATTTCCACAGCGGTATCCCCGATTTGAGCAGTTGCTTCTAAAAATTTCTAACATTAATATAATTAATTAAAAACAATAAAAAACGAGAATAAAATGTTAAATTCGCAACGAGACACATCTAATGAAATGAGGCAGTCGAAGTGCTTCAAACCCACTCGAAAATGCCACATTGATAAAAAAAAGGACAAATTTGATAACAATAAGACAGGTATTAGAGAGAACCGAGCGATTTCAATGACTATGAATTTGGTTTGCACATGCGAAACAAATTAATAGATCAATACGAATTCAGATGAAAAAATTGACCAGAAAAAAAGAAATTCTCGAAAATTAGAGATTGGGAAAGCAAAGAGAGAGAAAAGATGGATGAATAGAGAAAATAGAGGAAAGAGGATGTGGAATGTGACAGACAGGGACTCAATTGCTATGGAAATATGCTCAAACATCTCTTTTTCCTGAGAAACATTTTAAAAAATTTAAACCTTAAATTGTAGATTATTCGTAAGATTTTTTTTTAAAATAGATGACAAAATTGAAAAGATTCGAATATGGCCACCGGTGTCGGAAAAGAAATAACCATGCGAACCTTTATTATTATTATTGAAGTACTCAAGTCTCGAACTTCGGGAATGCTTCTGATAACGAATAAGGCGATCCTTGATTCCGCCAAACATGACACGATCAACCTCGAGCGGAAACTTGGAGATTTCAATTACAACTTTTTCCAGATATTATCAAGATTGGGTAATATTATGTTCACCAACTCATCACTCTATACTAGGTTAATAATATTTTCCGACAACTACCAACTTCCAAATTTTATTCAGAATTGCACTGATGCTCGGAAGCAGCAGTAATTGTCTTATACAAACCAGTAAACGTCAACAATTTATTCAATAACAATACATTTAGAACTTCATGTTGTGTGGATATTGGTTCTTTCCCAAGGAGAATCTGGTTCCGAGGTATCCGAACAAGAACTTGTGGTCTGGGTTCTTTTTGATAGCGGCAAGGATTGGGGTATCAACGGTCTTGATATCCTTCTTTCTCTGCTCGGTGACCTATAAGATTTCCATCATTTGCATTTTGTGCACTAAAAACTGTTCCATAATATTTTGGCATTTAGCCAATTTTCCAGTCGCCGACAATTTTCAAGATAAATGTGGGAAGTACTTGACACTCTCCATTTACAAAAAAGTAAAGAAGAGTAACACGTAACCTCTCTATTATATCGCACCAAAATTATACGGAAATGTCTACAGAATCATTCCGTCCCTTTTCGATGCCGATTATTCTGATTACATAAAATACTCACGGTGTATTCGGTCTTTCCTTGGGCAAAAATATCCTTTCCCTTGGTGCTCTGAGTTCTCTTCTTGAAGTAATCGTCATTGATGTGATCTGGGATTTTGACTCCAGAGACGTCGATTTTCAAGGAAGTGGCGATAACGAATGCCTGAGCGATTCTTCTAAGTGGGAATCCGTTGATCTTGTGTGGTCCTGAAATTTAAAACTATAATTAAGAAATGTGGGAAGTATTGGACGCTCTCGCTTACAAAATGTAATAGAGAGTAACATAAGCTTCTTCATTATTTCGCATTACAATTATACGAGAAAACAACCGTGAACACTCGTCCCTTTGCAATGCTACAAAAAAATGGCCAAAATACTTACCAGTAACAAGGAGGAGTCCAGACTTCTCGAGCTGCTTAAGGAACACAACTCTCTTTCCCTTATGACGTCCAGCCAAGACAATGAGAACTGTTCCTGGTGTCAAAGACTTGCGGAGTGGAACTCTCTTGGCGTGTCCAAGTTTGAACTTCTGTCCATCGCGTTGAAGCGAAAGGGATTTCTCGCTCTAAAACTACAAAATAACATTTCATTTCAAAAAAAGAATATTTCCGACGTCGCGCGACCGCGGAAAATTGGCCAAATGCCAAAAAAATGACAGTGGTCTTGGCACAAATCTAGGTGTAGATTATACAGGACAAGTATAAAGATAGGTTAAAAACGCACACTGCGCATCGAAATCTCTTTGGCATTTAGCTAATTTTTCGCAGTCCCGCGACGCCGATAATAAATGAAATCTAATCAATTGATAGTATATGTCAGAAAATGAGGTGGAATAGAGGAGCAGTATGCAAGCTCTATTCGCATATTATCACTATTTTATTTTCGAGTTATCCTAGCACCCAAGCAGTACAAACCGAACGGGTGACTCTGGACCTCGTTTCAATTTTGAAATCAAATAAAAATATTACCGCTTTTGGCTTCTGAACAAGTGGCTTCTTTTGGTTGCGCTTCAAACGAAGACGAGCAGTTGAGAAGCGAGACACTCCGGGGGAGAGGTCGAAGTTTCTGCTGATGACTGGGAGGTTTCTCTTTCCAACCATTTTGTACCCACTGAAAGATGACCATTATTTGCATTCTACATTATGTTGAAAAAGGAATAACAATTCAAGGCCAATTAAAAAATTCTAAGCTATAATTTCAACCAAAATACATTAACAATCTGTCAAAAACAAGTAATATATGAAGGAGTAAATTTAGGACAAATGTAACTTAATTTACAGAAAAAACATTACACAAAGGTCACAAGAATCTGTAGAAAACCTTCAAAAAAGAGCGAAAATTGAAATAATGTGTAAGAGAGAGAACGTTGACTGAGTATTAAATGCGCGTCGTCGCAAGACCCACGCAAAACTACGGTAGCATTACTTCTGCTGTGTCGCTTTGTATGAATGAAATTGTCTGCTTCCACGAGAAAATTAGCTCATTTACACCGATGTTTTTTGTGCGATTTTGGTCATATGGATTTCTGGAATAACTGGAATACGTGTTGAATACATCAAAACGTTGTTATAAGCAGCCAAACTGTTTTATTATTGAATTTTGATTGAATTATTCAATTGATTTCGATTTTATTAATTCAGAAATATTTAGGTCACATCATTTCGTGCATTAAAGAGCCATTTAATTCAAAAAAAAAAAAATTCTTCGTTTTCCACGAGGGTCCCTGAATGTGAATGTGTATAAAAATAAATTGCAACTTCAATAAAAAATATGTAAACCGTTTTGTAATCTAATGATATCACAGTTTCAAAAACACAACGTAAGCGTAGCACGGATTGACTAAGTAACTTATGAAATGCGATAGACATGGCAAAAAAACAGAAAAAAAGAGATCTTTCCTTTTTCTGTTTTAAAAATTGCTGCAAATTTCGAATTCACGGTATTCAATCTCAATAGCGAATAAAAACGTGCTAAATTATGTTTTCATTTATTTATAATCACAGGGGATCGATCTTTGAAAAACAAGGATCTAAATACAATGCATTGAATTGATTAAAAACAAAATCATTGAAATATTAATTGAGCCCGTATTTAGTAAGAGTTCGACGAATACACAGAACACACGATGGCGATGATTTTCTTCTCAAATTGATCACCTAACACAGCGTCCACGTGACAATGTAAAACCTGGGCAGCACGCATTTTCGCAAGGTGCCATGACTGTCTTTTCCCTAAAAACAATAGCGGTTGTTTGAGATATTTGAAAGCGAAATTCTTACTGCCTACAACGGACGCCTCGCAAAAGGGAAAGGAATCCTCCACATTGTCCTTCCTCTTCCCGCTTCTGCGCGCACATACCCGTACATGCTTGTGTATTGCAAACCTGCGTTTCTACTGGTTCCCCGCTGAAATAAGATAAAAACCGAATTTCATTCGACTGTACGCTTCATTTTTGAGAGTTAGTCGCAAGAAACGAGGTGTGAGAAGAAAAAACGTACGCGCATGCATTTCCGGGGGGACACGTGCGGGTTCGCATTCGACTTCCGCATGCACCACACGAGGCGCTGCACGCCGTCCATGGACTCCACGCATTCCAGCTACCCGCCTCTGGAACTGCTCGCGCGCGCGCCTCGAATCCTTTGCCGCCGCGATAGAAGCTTCGGAACAACACAACCATATCGGTGGTCGCTGAGCGAATCCGAGTTGGTGGCGTTCCGTAGCAGCAATATCTCATTCCGGTGTTGGCGAAGTCTGTCGAGTTGCGAACCTCGACATAGTCCATGCACAATGAATGCCGAACCTGAACGGGGTATTGTCGAGTTCCCAATCGAATTCAACCAACCTTGCAATACATTTCGAATTCTCCGATGAACTGGAACTCGACGATGTGACCGGGAGGTGCAACGAGCAGCCACGAGCATTCTTGGCCCTCCTTGAACTCGCGCGGATATCCTGGCGACGAGATGCGTGTTGTCGATCGTGTCAATCGGATCATTCCACCGCACGTCGATCCATATCCGGGCATCACCTGCTCGCACAATTGTCCGGTGAATCCATCGGGGCATCGACAGCGGTCGCATCTTCTCGGATCCGTGTAGCCACCTCTTTGGCACGGCAATTTGTTCGGACACACACCTCCACAATAGATTTTGTTCATAAGGCGTATGTCATTGAAGGAGAGCTGATCGCGTTGACCTGAACAACACGAACAATATCAAAATCGGCATTTCGACAATGAATCAATTGAAGCAGAAAACTTTCACTTGTGAAAAGAACGAACCTATAGTTTTCTGGTAGTCGGTAACAAAAGTACTGATCGTATACAAATCATCGAATTTGGAAAATGCTTTTGATCTACAACAATTTTCAATTCGTGTTTTCACTTTCGCGCCGCAAATTTTCATCGATTACCTGTAATGCATGATGCTACCGTAATCATAAGGTACTCCGGCATTGTCGACATCATCAGGATCCTCCTTGAGGAACTGTCCTTTCGAATCCTACGAGAAAAATGAATGATTAGATCGATTCGATGTAGATCGCACCTTATCAATGTTCTCCCAACGGACAGTCACGTATTGATCTCGATCTGGTCGCGATTGTTCGTGCCAAAACCCGAGAGCGTGAGCTACCTCGTGTGCAATCACACCCAGCTAACGACAAAATAAATGGACGCATAATTCGAATACGATTCCACTTACTCGAATACACTCGGGAGCAAGCGAGACAAGCTGCTCCTCACCCAATGGATGTCTGCCCACGTTGCTCGCGCATCCATCGACATCGGTGAATACAATTCTGTTTCCGCTGACGGCATTGTCGTTGCGTTGGAAATTGAGACAAGTGATATTGTGCCAGTGCTCAAGAGCAAGCTCGATTATTCGTTGCTCCCTTTGAGCTGGAATACAACATTTCTTAAAGCTCTCCAACTCATCAGATTACTGTGAGATCCATCAAATGAATAGATAATTGGTCTCGAAGCATCCCAACGACGAAGATTTGATCCAATGAACTTTCTTTTCACTCGAGATTTTCCTAGAAGACTCTAAAATTTGAAATCGACTAATTTGGGCTTACCTTCAATCACCGCTCTCTCATATAAAGCTTTTGCTTGTTCAGGAAACAGCACGATATCTCCTAAATCGAATTTTATTGTTTTTTTTTAAGTTTCCGTGTTTCCGAGTCGAACCTTGAAAATATTTTCCGCCTTCCTCGGGATTCAACACATTATCCCGCCGACGCTGTTGCAGCCATTCTCGGGCAATTTTCGAATTTGTCGCAAACGGCGTTTCTATTGTCTGAAATTGATTCCCTTTATCATCATTTGAGAACTAGTTCGATTGTGTTTGTTTTGACACTCGGTCAGTCAGCGTCTCAAAAATTCTCAACTAAAAAAAAGTGAGCGTTGTCACACTTTATTTTTGACGATGGATTTGAACTTGTCGAATACTGTCAATCTCTCGCCATGCGAACCCCTTTCACCTAGGTTGTTTATCTTCGAAATGGTTATCAAAAAAAAATCGATAAATTCGATGGTTGTGGTCAAATTTCGAGAAAATTGCGTCTTCTTCTTGACATGAATTGTCGATCCGTTCAATCGCTTCGAAGCGATTTCAACAAATCGCAAACAGGTTATTAAACACACTTCTCAATCAATCCATCGATGTGTTTTTTTCTCATCTCGAATATCAACAAAAAAGGGAAAAAAGAGTGAGTGAGAGAGAGAAACGATATGAAATTTCCTCGAGATAACAGATCATTCGTTCTCATTGACTTGGTCTTGCGACGAATTGTACGCAGTTACGGTAGTTGACGAACACCACCCGGAAATCGATTACGTGCCAATGGGTGACGTTTCGAATTTCAATGTCTCGGTGAGTCGCGAAACATCTCGAATAAAAAAGCGATGATGATCAACTTCGATCAACGCCGTTTTGATGAGAACAGGAAGGGAATGATGCAAAGATAAACAGGACCGGAATCCGAATCGGTTTTGTCGCAAAAATGTCGAACACTCGAAAATTGATAACATGGAAATATTCTAATTTGGTTAAAAACGAGTATCTGAGAATTTATCAGTTTTGTCATAAAGATTTTTCAGATCGCTCAATTCATTTTGCATAGAACGAATCTACCGTAATTCATTCCCTGGGTCTTGTCGCGATTTCAGTGACACGAGCCCCGATAAATTGTTGACAAACCTGCGGATGTTTCTCATCAGCCAATTCATTCAATTTGTCCATGTAATAGTCGACGATCTGTTTGTCTTCGTCGGACATCATCCGCTTTTTGCGGTTCACCGCGTGCACATCATCGTCGGCGAGAGTGTCCTCGAAATGGTCTCGAAGCGAATAGAGGTGAGCGGTTTGCACGACAACCAATAGACATATTAAACTTATCCGACATGCATTTTGCATTTTCCGATTTTCTGCAATCGACACATTTGAGAAATTGATGAGGCATCTCAATCGAAATGTCCACTACCGTATGATGTTACAATTGGATTTTTTCGTAATAGAAATCGAAAGGGACGAGGTGTTGAATCAATTTGAAACCACTGATCGTCGATAAAAATTAATTTTCTTACTAACAAGTGTTGAAAAAAAAAGAAGTTGGTTATGAGAAATGTGTAAAGGACACGATTGGCTAGCCGAATATGAAGAACTGATGGTTGGAAGGAAACGAAAATGAATAGAAGAATAGGAAACGCGACGATGGCCAAGAAGGAAAAGAAGGCAAAGGAGATGATGATGATGATGATGATGGTGGTGGTGGTGGTGATACACGCTCGGTGTCTCACTTCTCCATCTCAACACTATTTCTAATTGCGGCAAACGGGCCATCCGTCGACTTTTGTATTATACCGGTCCGCCCATTTCTACGGAAGTCGGTTTGCGTGGTTCAACGGTTGGCTTTTAAGCCTTCGGGGCGAATAAATATTCTCATGAATGGGCATCATTATTCATATTTTGAACGTTTCAAGAAGCGTAAATTTGAATATCACTGAATAGTGTTTTTGCATTTCAAAATTACATTTCGCTGGGCATATTTTCCAATGATTTTTGCACATTTCACCTGTAATTTGTAAACTTTGAGAATAAAAATTTGCTGAAATTTTTTAAAGATAATTTTTTGGGTTTACAATTTCACAAACAATTAATATCGAAAAAACTAAGGCTGATTATCTACCCGATAATTGCTTTAAATATTATAGCAACTTTCGAATATTACGTTTGGATTTTTAAAATAATATTTGGCTCAATGAATTTTAATTCGTTTTTTTTTTCAAAAATAATTATTTTTTTTTAATACAAAGAAGAAGCCAAACTTTTGAATTTCTCTTCTTAATTATTGTGACTTAAAAATAGTTATATTTCAGAAAAATGTTGTTTCGAAGCAAATTCATTTAATTCATTTTTTTTTCAACCGCAAAGCACTTTTTGTTCTCAAAAATCTGTTCTCTTGATCAACATGATTACTGTAGCGATTGATACGAGAGAATGTTGTTCTAATTGAATGAACAATAAATTTCAAATCAAATAATTGAATAATCCGAAATTTTCTAGACCATTTTCAATGAATTCTGTTAGAATTAATATTATTCTTGAATATCGATATTTGATTATCTCCAACTCGTATCGAAATGTCTTTATATGCACATAAAAAGAGAATAAATTTTAAGTGTTCATTCAAGCGCAACGATCTTTGAAATAAGGTGATTGAACAAGTGATAATTTGACATTTGATCTTCATTTTGCAATATACGAACGGTTTTGGGAAATTGCGGAAATGATTTGTGAAACGGGATGATTCAATTGATTAGTTTAGCAATGAATAATCCGATACTCAATGAAATGAACACTTTGATCTCATTTATATATCCGAAAATGGGGCGGAATGTTATTGCACACACGTCATTTGTATGTTTATTTTTTCAGAAAGTTAATCTCAAAAAGGTTGATCATGTGATTGATTAGCTTCTATAAATAGGCGACAATCTTTAGAAATCACACAAATACTCTTCTTTCATGATCTTTGAAGAGAATTGATAAGCGCCGCGCGTGTGGATACATTGAAACAGATTGGAAATTTTCTAAAACATGTTTACGAAGCGCAGTAGTACCAAAAATCAAAACAACTCTTCTTTGGTTAACTAGCTTTTAACAAAATGCAAATATTAGGCGAAAATTGTTATTCGGCAACCATACTAATGTGAAGAGGTCGAGTTTAAGTGATTGTTGATTATTACCGCGAACAATTGTTTGCCTTATTCGGCAACTTTTACAATTATTAATACTCAAAAGAGCAGCAAATGAGCAATAAACACTAAATATATGGAATATTGACAAAATAAAAAATTTTGAACTTGAAATGTTAATTCCGCAATTCGTCGTCTTGGTTGCGGATGGGTTACTGTAAGCCGCCAAATCCCTGATTTTTTACTTTTGTGCGGGAAAATTCGAAATCTCGAAATATATTCATTTTTCTTTTTGAATATTTTAAACAAGACTAACACTAATTAATTTTTTTTTAATTTTTTAATCTTTTTTCGGCAAATAACAATCTAACAATTAATTCTAAACCAAGAAAAATATAATGAAACATGGATACAAATAAGGAAAATATTTATGAAGTTTCGTTTAAATTCCTGTAGGCGTGACTTTTGTGACTGTTTCGCCTTGAACCGAATAATGCTAAACGCTGCAAAAGTCAAACAATCACTTGTCGAACGCAAAATCATTTCGGACATTAATTTTAAAAATCAAACTTGATTAAAAAAACAAAAAAAATTTGTTGGAGGTTATACTTCAATTTGGTAAATATGTTTTTGGACTTCCATTAGGCGAATTTTTCGAAGAAATTATTTTTTACACATGAATGTGCAAGGTTTTCTAATGACATTGAATATCTAGTTCGCCTTGAAAGGCCTAATTTTCGATTGGAACCCATTGAAATACATTTGGCAGGTCGTAATTAAAACGTTCCGACATTTCGTCGACTTGCGATCCATTAGGCTGACAAACCAGTCAAAAAAGGGATCCTCATTGAACTAATTGTCAATTTTTTTTATATAAGAGAATGATCAAACGCAAAAGGCAGCAACCAGCTGAACAGCTTCTTCGCAATTCCATACTTACCATTTTAACAAACGCCGGAAGGAACGGCCTTACTTCAAATACGTGTTTAAAATTATACAAGTACGCTAATTATTGGCGAATCGAAGAATTATTTAATTAAGACAACACCACGGGCATCCAAATTATGGGGATTTCGGTTATCTCACATTTGACCAGTTACTGGATTCGATGGAAACCGTCGTGAAAAGTCGATCCTCGAAAAATGTGATATATTTCGCGAGGTGTTGAGTGGTTTCAATTCGTTCGAAATTTGCCAATTTTAGATCAGCCGTTGAAAATTTGGAAAATTATGAGCCATGTGGAATCGAGAAACGTTCTATTAACAACAATGATACTGCTCGAAACAATAACCGGAACCGCGAAAATCACGTTTGAAACTAGCATCATTCTGATGAAAAATGTGTTATTTTTGCAGGTTTCTAGCACTCGAACTGCCATTAGCCAGCCACAATTGTCGAAGATTACAAAACAGATTATGGTTTATTGTGGTTCCATATTTCTTCCAATTTTTTTGTTAAGATAACTCCTGAAGAGCCCAAACGCTACTCGTCTTTCCGATTTTCACCTTCGGAGCACAGCGGATATGTTTGTCATATGTTTTTTCTTTTCCTTTGAAGTATAGAAATTACAGCTTCGACATTCTGGAGTATATAATAAGAATACAAGAGATGCTGCACATCATCTTGAGGTTGATTATCGCCTTCTAACACTTAAAGCCATTTTTGCAGACAACGAACTATTCAGATGAGCTAGCCAAATCAATGGAAGACAGTTTGTCTTTCAGTGAAAGATCTGGTATTCAAATGAATCTAAACAATGATTTTTAAAATGTAAAATTTTAGATTCTTTAAATAGTCAATATTCATCTTCACCTGATTTTTCACGTGTTAACCAGAAAACGCCTCTTCGTTGTCGTATTGATTCAAAATTCGATTTTTCGCGAATTGTGAAACAAACAACGATGTTCAATGAAAATTTTGAAAAGAAGGCTTACTCTCCGGCGCGTTACTCAATGGGTAGTATAATTCTAAAAATCAATTAGAAATACGTTTTTCAGAGAAGCGCGAAGTGAGAAATTATTCTGTAAATCATAACGACACTGATACATGGATTAATCGATATTCGCAAATTCCAAAAAGAGGAAGGGGACCTTCATTTGTCAAATTACGAAGCGAGGTTTAATTGAATCCTCACCGTTTGTACGCAAGTAGACTAACGAGTGCGCCTTTCGAAATGGTCCCGCTGCACGTGAAGGCTTATTTTGGAATTTTAACGTGAACTTTTTTTTAAATTTTTCTTGGATCAAATTTCCTTGAATACCATTGAAAATAGAAATTAACGGAATTATCTCAAAAATGGTAAATAACCAGTTGGTCCGATGAGACCATAGTGAAGGGTCATGCATGAAAATCTACCCGCGTACAGCATTCGCCTATAAATATTTAATAATCAAAATATTATAGGGTGATCCACCGAGTGATTTAGAGCCAGAAACAAGTATTCCTTCGTTGGACATCAGTGTATTGAGATTTTCGATAAATTTCGTTTATCAATTTTTCTTAGGATTGTAAAATGGACGACAATTATCGAGATATGGATAAATTCAGTACGCCTAGTCCGTTTTCTAGTCAATTCAAAGGTCGAACGGGTATTTTGAAAAATTCAACGGAAATTCAAAGCCGATCCAAGGCGACGGAAAACAAAGAAGCAAAACCTTCCATTGCGGATAATAATGCTACGCGATGTAAGAAATTTTTCGTACGGATTTTTAAAAATTAAATTAATAATACGATTTGCTATCATTAAGTTTGAAATTAGTTTTCATTTCAGATAATTCTTCTACACCAGAACTTCAACGAAAAATTGTTCCACACGGATATTACAAAATCGAAATTGTTAATAATTCAAATGTTAGTTTTTCTTCCATCTTGTATTTAAAAAAAAATTTTCTCAGAATGGAGTTCAAGAGGAATTTAAGAAAATTTTAAATGTTTTGCCAAAAGAGAAACAAGACGAAGGTAAGGAAGGTAATTTATTTGTGGTTATTTGATAAGTTACTTTTAGAATTAAATAAGACATTTGAAAATATTCAAGCGCGCCCATTGGATCACAGCTATTATTGTGTGTATGTTTGTGGAAACGCAAAAGATGAGCGGGTTATGCATCAAATTGAAAAGACGGTCCGACATACTGAAGAACCACTTCGGTTTTGAATTATTATTAATTTTCCATTTTTGTCACTTTCCCAATACGTCATTGGTTTATAAATTTTGTCCGACCGTTAATAAAATAATCATCACTCAACAATATGGTGTAATCAATAAAATCGGTTGAATTCCTTGTCATGTTTCTGAAACTGTGTGGCCTAGAATTGTGGTGGCCGAACTTCTAACTATGCTCGTTCGGTCGCGATAGGAATTGTTTTGTTTCCTCTAGATTTTTCCCATTGAATTGAATATTCCTACCAATTATTTTTCATTTAGAATGTCCGGCGAAGAACCAAAAATGATTTCGCTGAATGAGCTCGGCATGGAGCAACTAAATGCTCTTCAAAAGCAAGTTGAGCAAGAGATGCAATTCTTCCAAGAATCAGCGACAACATTGAAGGTGTTTTGCTCAATTTTATGTCAGTGAGAAATAAATATTTTTAAAGATGTTGATGACTAGAAACGAGAAAAGCATTGAGGCCCTTGAAGATGTCAAAACGGCGACTCCTGGTCATTCAGCGCTTGTCCCACTCTCAGAATCGGTGAATTTTTTTAATTTTGTTGTTGAAGTTTTGAATTCATTTATCCATTGCTTCTACATAATATCAAAAATTTTAATAATGCTATTCAGCTTTACATTCGGGCAGAACTTTCTGATCCGAGCAAGCATCTCGTCGAAATTGGCACCGGTTATTTCGTCGAACTGGACAGAGAAAAAGCTAAGGCTGTTTTCGAACGCAAGCGGGAAAACATCACGAAACAGGTATAATTATTGTGTGCAACGAAAAATTTATTTAACAAATGTAAAATTGCAGGTCGAAACTGTCGAAAAGATTTTATTAGAGAAGAGACGAACTCGAGCTGTGATTTGTGACACATTCCAGCAAAAATTACAAGCTCAACTCGCTCAAATCAACATGGCCGGAAAATAATATTCAAGTATAATGCATTCGAAATGGAGTACATCATTTATACGCTTTTGAATACTTTCAATTGTTTTCTTCCGCGCTTTATAATCAATTTTTCACAGTTCTCATGCCAGAAAATCTTGTTGATCATTGGTTATTGTTAATTTGCTTCTCGTAATAAATAACGTAAAAAATTGCAGAATGGAATGTGCATTTATAAAATGTTTGAAAAACATGCATTTACTTGAGAAAGTTTGGGTGTAAAAATGTAAAATGTGATAACGATTTAGAATGCGTACGCAACCGCTGACGCTATGTGAGAAAAATCTGATTCTAGAATCATTGCGAGCTGGAAAGGTAATCGAAATAAATCATTCTTGATGAAAATTACAATGTATCCTCGATAATTTTTGAAATGATTTAAGATCAAAAACTGAAAGCAAATTTTTTTTCAGAGATTAGATTTCCGAAAATGCGATGAATTCAGAGATGCGAAATTAGTAGTAGGTGCTGAATGCGGAACTGCGATTTGTAGTATCGGGCAAACAAAGTAATCGCAACAATTTGGGTGAATATTTCAAACCCAACAATTTAGGGTAATGTGTGCTGTCAGTGCTCAAATCGCCGAGCCATCATCGATGAGGCCGCAAAAAGGAGTTATCAATATTGACGTCGATTTGAGCCCAATGGCAAATCCTTGTAAAATTGAAATATTGAAATTCATCATTTTGACTAACTTTATTTTTAGCTAATGAGCATGATCGATTAGGCCAAAAAGGAATGGAACTCATTCGATTGTTGGAACTAATTATTCGCGATTCAAGATGTGTCGATGTTGAGGTTTATAAATTTAGAAAATATCCCAATTCATTTTATAAACTCATTAAAAATCATTAAAATAATTTTTTTTCAGTCTTTGTGTATTCGTGCCGGTAAAGAAGTATGGAAAATTCGTGTTGATGTTCGTATTCTTGACGAAGACGGCTCGATTTTGGATTGTGCGTGTCTCGCCGCGATCACTGCTTTGCAACATTTTAAACGACCAAATGTCACACTCGAGCCCCATCATACTCTAATTGTAAACGAGTTTCAAAAGATTTTAATTGAAAATCATGATTTTCAGTATTCGGAGTATGAGAAGTCACCGATTCCGTTGAACATTTACCATATGCCCGTTTGTACAACAATCGGAATTTTAGACAAAGGGTAACATTTTTATTTTTCGTGGATGGACGAATTTAGCGGAACTTTACTTATTCTTCAAATTTTAGCGGCGTCGTCGATTAGTTCAAATAAACCTAAATAGTTTTTAATGAATATACACAAAACTGTACAATGAATATTAAATGAGTACAAAAATATCTTTATTTCGCATTAAGTTAAAGAAAAACGAGTTTCATAATTGAAAAATTATCGTCTACAGTGCGTTGCAGAATTATAAGGCCACCCCCAAATTTGAGCGCCGCGCAATGATTTCGATACTTTGAGACCAACAAGTGTTAAAATCGTGTTTAGCATGAAAAATTACCTATATGTACCAATTTTTATGTTAGTATCTTCAAAAGTAACCGCGCTGTGGTCTAAAACCGTTTTTTCAAGCGGTGCAGAATTATAAAGCCACCCCCATGAAACGAACTTTTTCGCATTTTTTTTTGAAACTTTGGCGGGACCAGTGTGCATAAAAATTGTTGTGTGGCTTTGAGAACCTACAGTGGTCCTTATTCGTCTCTTTTTAAATCATTTTTAAATGCCACGTTGTCGCTGTCTTAGTGCTTCTGCGCAATCTCAGATTCTCGCATTCAAAACGGCAGGATGGTCGAACCGTTGGGTTGCGAAGAATTTAAATGGTCCGAAAACATTCGTAGACATCTTTGTGAAGGATCTAACTCGTGTCAACATGTCGCAAAAGTCAGGCGGCAGAGGAAAACTGGACTATCGCGCTAAACGAGCATTGATTCGAGCAGCTTCGAGCAGTATGAAGTCTACAAATGGCATCAAGAAGAAGCTAAACTTTGACAAAAGCAAGTGGACATTTTGGGGAACCATCAAGAATAACCCCAACATCGCTAGAGAAACAATGAAGCCGGCCCCGCGACTCACAGAGGACCATAAAATTCGACGCCTTGAGTTCGAATTCAAAAATATGAATACCGATTGGAACAAGGTGTTCACATTCGAGAATGTTGGGAATAATAACCATTCAAATTTCAACAGGTTATTTTTTCCGATGAAAAAACAATTAATTTGGATGGCCCAGACGGCCATAACAGTTGCTGGACCGAGTTATGAAAGAATCGCCTCCTGCTTTCAAAACGCAATTTTGGAGGAGGAAGCGTGATAGTATTTGGAAGCGTTTTCGGTAGCCTGGTTTCTGCAAATGGCTTTTCTGACGAGTAAGGTGGACTCTTCGGACTATCAAAATGACCCTGAGAGCCATCTTCTTCCATTCCGACGTCACTATTGTCCTTTTTCAACAGAAAAATGCGGTCATTCATGTGAGTCGGTCTACTTTGGACTGGCTTCAGTCTCACAATGTAGACGTTCTCGACTGGCCATCATGTTCTCCTTTTTGGAGTCCCATGTAGAACGTCTGGGGAGAGTTAGTACGGCGTCTCTATGGCCAAGGAAGGAATTTCGGGGAGTTGGAGAGCTCAAAACCGAAATCGTAGTCGAGTGAAAGACGTTAGAGCAGCAATTCAAATCTAGATCGACCCAATATGTTTCGAACCTTCTCAAATCTATGCCAGACTGTGTTTTCGATGTTATAACCTCGAATGGAGGTGCCATCATACATTAGACTGTTGTTATCTTTGAATTTATAACGTATTTCATGGGGGTGGCTTTATAATTCTGCACCGCTCGAAAAAACGGTTTTGGACCACAGCGCGGTTACTTTTTGAAATACCAACATGAAATTTGGGACATATAGGTTATTTTTCATGCTGAACATGATTTTAACACTGGTTGGTCTCAAAGTATCGAAATCATTGCGCGGCGCTCAAATTTGGGGGTGGCCTTATAATTCTGCAACGCACTGTACTAACAACAATGTTGGTATGAATAAAATAACGAATTCCAGAAGCCAAGTCATTATTGATCCAACCGAAAAAGAATCTGCTTGTCTTGACGGATCAATTGTCGTCGCTTGCAATAAAAGGAAGGAAGTTTGTGCTCTTCATCAGAGCACGAATCTCATTTTGACTACGAAACAGGTTTGAAAACCGATAGATCAAATAGAATCGTAATTTTTCAGATCGAGAATTGCGTCAAAATTGCACTGAAACGAGCCGAAACGTTGACGGCTCTTGTGAGTGACGTCATCAAGCAAGATCAAAGGCAAAGAAGCGCCTATAAACGACCAGACGGATTCGCAGTGACTGCTCCAACGATTGTGCTCAATACTGGTACTGCGGCAGCTGCGAATCTTCGAAATCCGGTTGTCGAAATCAAGAAAGAAGTGGAAGAAGAGAGTCCAAAAATACAACCGAGCATGATTTTGAATGTAAGAAAAATTGGAAATTTATCATTTAAATTGATATGAACATTTTAAGGAAAATCCATTAAAACAGAATTCGGTAAAGCAAGAAGAAATAGAGGAAGATGAGCGTATTGAAAAGCAATTGGAGACAATTCAGAAAGGCGTTGATGACGTCGGCATGTCCGACGTTGGTACGCCGAACAAAACTAGTTTTAATCGAAAGGTTCCTTTTTTCGTTTTTTTTTGTCTTATTTAGATATTTTCAGAGAGAAGTTGAAGAGGTGGACGATTTGTTAGCTGGATTAGAAGACGATGAAGAGGAAGAAGTTGTGACATTAACGACTTCGCAAACTGTGGATTCAGATGAAAATGACGACGACTTCCTATTGAAAGCGAAAAAGAAAAAGGTCTAATTATTGTTGAGTTTTTCAATAGTTTTTTTGAATTTTTGCAACCCGTTTGTTGTTATTCTTTGTTAAATATATGAAAAAACTTTAAAACGAATCTGTTCATTTCCTTTTCGTTATACATTGAATGCAATACAATCTCGAACAGAAAATAACCTAACATAAAAAACAGGTGATTATACGCTGTTGTTGTTCTATTTACAATGTTTTTAAACCTGTAGAAAATATACACGATAATAAGTTCTTACTCATATAACAACATGACACTGCACAGAATATTACATGAAATTGGCAATCTATTTACATACCTAAATGGCTAAAATGAAGAGATATCTACAGTCTATCGGGAGGGGACAAAATTCAGTATTCGTCGGTTTCGAGCTCACCTGTTTGAAGGTATTCGATTAAATTTTCAACGACTGGCACACCCATTCGAAGTGGAACCATTTCATTCTAAAATTTCCGATTTTATTATTTTTCATTGAAATATTTAGAACCTCAATTTCAAATTCATGAGATATATTTAGTCCTTCGTCGATTATTACCCTCCGATTTATGCATTTTACGCATTGTTCTATTTCGATGTACTAAAGTCGAGGTTATTTCTTATTTAATAACTGAATTGCTTACTCTGTTGCGTAAAATTCCATTATTTCTCGTGTATCCGTTGTTAAAATATGTAATTTGGGTGGTGACATGTCGTTTTCCATCAATCGAACACATCAGAGTTGCACGTGAGCTCATCAATTCCCCCTTTTCATCTAGAGATGGTTCCAAAGCTGCGTATGCCCTGTAGTCGTTCGTTTTCATGCGGTGGGTCAGTTTCTAGGACGTTGTTTCTAGTAAATAGAAGCACAAAAATAATCTTACTCTGAAATTTCCCGAGTTCTGAATCAACGTTGCCACTACAACACCATCAGACAGCATGAAACCATCGTGTTCAGTAATCATGGCATCTAACAGGTGAACCAAAGTTTGAAAATCGAGGTCGACCGTCGTTTTAATAGCAAGACGCACGAGACATTGGCCTCTCTCACGGGGTTCGGCGAGCAGAGACTTCTGAATGTTCTAATTTAATATCACTCAAAAGGAATTCACCAATTACCAGAATAAGTTCCGAAATATCCTCAATGTGAAGATTTCGACATTGAATGGCAAAATAATACGGACGTGCGTTTGGGTGTTGCAACACATAATACAATAGATCAAGTTCGGACTGTCTTGTTGTATTATGCCACCTTTGAGTGTAATAATCGTATCTTTCCGCCATCAATTCACACGATGGGGTACCCTCAATTTTTCGAAGAACTTTGACTGCTTCATCTCGAATGCGTTGCTCGCGAATTGGATTTTTCTTGATCACCAATTTCGGAGTCTCATCAATGCCGTGTACAGTGCCGTAATTCGGCGCGTCATTCACTAAAACAACGTCGTCAACCGATCCAGACTCAATTGGTTCGGGCTCTGTTTCTGTGGCCATGGTTGAATGAATTGCACGAGGCAATTCAAAATATGTGTTGGCAGATGGAATATAACGGGTCGTAATCATCTCCCGAAGAGCTGATGGATCGTGGAGAGCGTCATGACGAACCTCCATTCTAGAAACAAACTTTAAAACATTTTCAGCGTATATAAATCAACAGACGTCTAATAAAATGTGAAAAAAGACAGAAAATGAAAATCTTAAAAAAAAGGAAGAATGAAAATTTAAATTTTAATATTTTAGCGGGGCGTGTTAAGACCATTAAACAATTTTATACGCGCCTTTAATACCGTACTATTTTGTAAATGTTCACAGCTTTTGTTCAATCTTACTAATTATTTATTAGGGCCAAATTATGTGATGTGAAAAAAGCGAAAGTTTATTCAACTAACCAACAGCAATTTTAGCACATATATACAAGATCGATCAATGGCAAGATATTGATTATATTGATTGTTATTATTACACATTATTATTCGTTGAGCTATTAGGAGAAATTGGCGTAAAAGATCCACTTATTCCATTGCCTGCGACTAATTGCTGAAGAGATGAACCAGACTAAAACATAATGTTAAATTGTCTTTTTTTTTAGATAAATGATGAACTAACGTGGATGCGGCATTCACAATATGAGCCAGCCGTGAGAGTTACAGTTGTTTTGACGCCATTTTCAGTACGTATTGCATCAAATGTACGGTGTCCGACAGTACAAGAGGCATATCCTATAAAAATACATTGAAAACCAATCGTTATTGTGGTGAATCTAACCGCTTAAACACGTCGAATCGGTATCGTCGCACACCAATTCGTTGACATACTGGGGTCGATAGTTATCTGGCAATTTGCGCCAAACCCAGCAGGAGCTGCACAGCGACACTGTTCCCGTCTCATCCGTCGACACTCCCTTCTTCGTGCACGAGAGTGGATATCGCGTTCCTGCATCTACACGTACATTTTTGCAAAACAATGAACTGCTCTTTGGTACGAACGGTAAACGAATTAGAATTTTAAGCGTGGATAAATAATGGATTATGTGGCAATTTTGTGTTATTCCGATACCTTTCAGAGCAAATTGGTTGAATTAAGCAATCGGGAAAATATTGCGAACATTATTTATTACTAATAAATATTTTGTATATTTTAAACTTTTTATTGAGTTCGCAATATTGTTCCGAATCAACACAATACCTATCAATTTGCTGGCTGCACTATTCGTTTGCCTCTTCGATCGATGTTTCGATGATTCCTCTTCGCTTGAATTATCGTTTTCTTCGTTTTTCTTTTTCAAAAAATTCTGATATTCATCGTCATCGGAAGACTCAGAAGAATCGTCGTTTTTTTTACTTTCTAAAAATTCAAATTGTATTTATTCATTGCCGATGTCGCGCGGCTTCGAAATATTGGTTAAGCGCCAAAAAACTGTCTTGAAGAAAAAAACTAGTGTGTAAATTTATGAGCCAAATTATGTGTTAAAAACGTACACCGAGAGTATTTTACAGAATTTTACGGAAATTATTATTTTTTTATTTGTTTTCCCACCGAAAATGGTTCCGCAGAACGGCAGAATTTCAGTTTAAAAATTAAAATCATTCCGTCAATTTTACTTTTTCCGTTTTCCTTCAGTTTTGCCTCTTTTCTGAAAAAAAAAAACAAAAGTTTATTCAGCCTTTTCAAAACTGAAATTCCGCCCAACTGATTAAAAACGGAACACAAAAAAACCGAGAGAAAACGGAATTCCGCACAACTCTGTAAAACATTTACGTAAATTTTTGGAATTTAGCCAATTTTGGCGCGATTCGATTCCAACAATAAAGTAAGGAATTAAAAAAATGCGCTTACGTTTCTCCATGGAAAATCGATATTTATTACATGTCACATTTTGATCAGTCACGAGTGGAGCCCCTACTAAATCAGGCAATGTTGGAGTGAGAAGACCGACCTAAATTTGGAATATTTCGAATTATTTCAAACATTTCGAATAACCGACATCTCGAAGTCTCTGTTTCAAATCACTTCTGCATTTTTTACATTCTTCCGTCATACAATTTGGATCATTTTGCTGTAAATTGCAATTCAATCGAAATGCATATAATCCATTTAATCACTTACCGTTTGTCCCGGTTTGTCCAATGTAAGGTCTTGAAACGAATTCATCGCCTCTTCTAGCGTGTCAGCAACGAAACTCGAATCATATTGGAAGCATTGAGTAGCAGCGACCTCAGGAGGAATACATTCGCACTGAAATCGAAAATGTCATCGAGATTCAAAAAAAAAATGTTTCAATTTTGATTTGCTTTTGCAGAAATTTTATTCATCAGACAATATTTTAAAGTTTAGCGATTCTTAATAAGTTTTAGAAAGTATCAATAAACTTTAGAATTTCTCATAATTTTTTAGAATTTATTATTGAATATTTGATTCTCAAAATATTTTATTTGATTTGCCTGAGAAAATGATTAAGTGCGGTTGAAAATTTTTTTTTTCGAGACATTTTCGAAACTTACAGTTTGTGAATTGGAAAATTCAAATAAGAGTTGAATGAAAAGAATTGAAAACAGTTTCATTGAATCAGTCGGGAGGTTTTTTTTTTGCTGCTGCCACTCTTATATAAATTGTTCCAACTCGGTCTGTATTTGTGTGTCTGCGTTGCCCCCGCTAACTGTTTGCTTCTCAATTTGAACGTGCATTGATCTCTTCAATTTTCCCCCGAGTTACGGATTAAATACTTGTAGTCAAATACAAATTTGACTCGCAAATACACTGAATCAACTTCGATTTCAAAAAACATTTTTTGAATTTCGCTTTCAATTTTCACACATCATGCAAGCCGGCTCGAAGCTGTGCTCAAGAAATGTGCTCTCAATTAACAATGCGTGCAATGCACGATTATTGAATTAATTAATTACCGGCTGACAGGCGAACTTCAGAAAAATGAGTGAGAGTCACATCATGTTCAAAAATCCAAAACAAATAAACCCGTTGTATATTTAATTTGAAGAATCCGAAACAAACCAACCATAATAATTTATGAAAATTTTCATAAAAACAGTTTTCTTTTTCCTTTTCAATTGAGCACGTAATTTCTCAAAACTTTATTATGATTTAAAAATTTTCGAGTCATCATTCCTTCTCTCATATTTTCCAAAGCTTGATGACATCTGAAAAATTGTAAAAGTTGATCAATTCAGACCAACAAGAATATTTATGTACAACCGTAGCCATTCAAAAGAAAAAGCATCAAAGTCATTGAACATAATGATAATAATAATAGAGCTTCGGACATATTTCAAAAACAGAAACAGTCGGAATAATTCGATCAATTCATGAAATCGTGAAAACGGCTACCACGTAATAAAAAAGTAAATCAATAAATAACAAAAATGAATAAAGCGATAAATTAGATGGAATGATGAGCAACAGCCTCAAATTGTCGGAGTTCGGTGAGATCTTTCATGGCGACATGCCCATTCCTATCCGATATCCATCTTCCGTTCATTCCCGGAATTCGAGCTGTCGGCTTTCCCCACACCATTCCGCGATTCAGGAGAACTTCGTCGGCTAAAATCGTTGAGATATCAATAATTGAGAATGATAGAGTGTTGGCTACCATCACTCCACATCGCGTACACATGATCACCTTCTCGTGTTTTGTCTTCATTCGTTTTCTGCAAAAGTGCCGAATAGTTGTCCTGTGTGCAGCTGCCCGACGTATATCCACAAAATAGCTGAATCATTTCGAGTCATCCCCCCGTTTCACGCCATCAATGCTCACCTGATCCTGACAGGTGTATCCTGGATATAATCCATCGAGAGCGTTGCACCAAGCAGGAACAGTTTGAGCCAATTGGCACACACATAATCCATAATTGGGTCCGGCGATTCCCAAGAATGTATCGACTTTGTTGCCCAATGGAGACCCCAACGTACAATTTCCATCGGTTCCAATCAATGTTCCTCCTTTGACAACTTTCCTGTGAAACAAAGTGATAATCAGAATTTGTGTAGAGAAGCAGAACAACCTCATAAGCGGTACTCCCACCGAATGAGCAATGATGTCGATTTTTTTGGCGCCAGTGTATCCGATAACAGCTTCCAAGAATCGCCGCAAGTAAATCAAATTGCCGCAAGTGTGCATTGTCGAATAGGTGTCGAGCATCGAACCCGTGCCCCAGGTATCTCCCCACGTCGTCGCATACAATTCAGCTTCGGTGTAATTCTGCTCAAGGAAATACTGAATCGAACGGCTCCATCCAGTAGCCAATGGAGGTTGTGTGAACAGGGCAGCATCTCCGGCGCCGTGGATGAATATGACCGGCTCCTTCTCGATTCTGTCGTTTGGTCGAATACGACCTCCGAAACTTCCGTGTGGCCCAACATCGGGACGATCGAACGCGTCTTGTTCATATCTGTAATTCATTTTTTTATAGTCAAATATTTTAGTTTGAACCAATGCATAATTTGGTAGTTAAATTTTCTTTTAAATCAATATATTTGATTGTTGAATTTTCCGTTCCAAATCGAATAAAAAGAATCATTTTGTTCGAAGAGTAAAAAATGATTTGCATATGCACACGTCACTCGAATGCAAATTCTCCCCAAAAAAGGAACTGCACATTTTTCGCATATTCTCAAAAAAGACATTCACCCATGTGCTATGAGCCAATCGACGAAATGTGAAGACATCGGACCAGGTGGTCCCTGCTTCTGGCATGTTGCCGTTCCAAACAGTAGCACTAATCTGGAAGAAAAACAATTGTTCTCCAAAAAAGGGAAACGAGAGAGAAAAAACTCACAAAACCGAAAATAAACGTATCATATCGTTACGTAAGCAGAGGCGATAAGAAGATGTGGACGAGGATGAAATCGTCGAGCGAATTCCGAGGATCATTTCCCTCGATAGGCGTGCAGCTTCAAGAGATTGCTATTGTCGCGGAGGGTCGAACCGGTCGTCGTCGCGACGGCATCATCGGTGCCAAATCGAAAATTGCAATTCCAGATAGGCAACTGAATGACAGGTTTTCGAATGACCGCCGTCGATGCGCCAACCAAGGTGGCGATTATGCAATCGAAAACAACCCGACGTCGGCGCTTTCATCTGATAACCGATAGCCGACGCCCGGTTCCAATCAAACGCGCGCAATCATATCAAACATTTTGACCTATGATTCATGATTGTACAACAACAAAACACGCGAATTAGTCAATTATCGAACACCATTCGAATGCGTTGCGGAACATTCGAATCCATGCGGCCAATGGGATGTCGGATCGAGGATCGAATGGGAATGGATACTTATCCGGCCATTGCCATGCCAAGAATGATCTGGGAACCTAGTATTAAACTTGATTGCTTGCGAATACCTATCAGAATGCGGCATCATTGCCAAATGCCTTCCGTTTCGATCGCAAATTGCGGCAACATCGTGAATGGACCCGTTTGGATTGTGCGGATACGGTAGATGCGACGAATTCGACGACGAAGACAGACCATTCGAATCAGTATATCGCAAACAAATTTGACCATTTTCACGCAACTTTGTAAGCACTTCCGGATTACGGTAGGTGAATCTTCCTGAATTCTCGACATTGTTTGAAAATTCCAATAAGGGTCGAAGGACCTTCTCCGTGCGACGACCACAATCCTAATACGGACTCTTCCATTCCTCTCAGCATTATGCTATTGAATTTTTCGATTCTCACCGGGCCAAACGTGTCGTTTCTTTTATAAAACTTTTCAAATTCTTCAAACACTTTTTCATTGAATAAAATACTCGCAGCCCATCCTTTAAAAAATTATTTCAAAAAAAAAAAAAAAAAGAATTTTCAATGGCAAAAAACCTTTGGCAGATCCAAGGACATCCGCATATGAGAACCCGCCAACAAACGCGATTCCCCTTAATTATTTCTTATAATTAATTGAATTGAATTAACTGAAAAAATAAAACACACACGAACCGAAATGAATGAAGAGAAAATCCATTGAGAATATCAGTCATTGTGACATCAAATGTTTCGAATCCGGCCAATGTGAAAGCAGCAGCCATTTCGCGATCGCCATTCGAACCCTCTTCTCGTATTATTGCCATTTTTGGGGCCAATTTGAAATAATTCGAATCACTCAAAAACGATGTGTCGAAATCATATTCAAATTTGCATACGAAATTGATTTGTTTCGTTAATTCTCGAACCTTAATTTTGTTTTTGAAATTTTTCTCTTTTTTTTCAAATTTTTATCTACCTTTTTGGCATCTTCGAGGCATTTCTTGTCCGTTTGATAAATTCCCAATCGATCTCCGAGTTCTTCCCATTCTTCGCGAATAACTACCAGTTTCTCATTGACAACGAGTTCATTGTTAAAAGAAATTTTGACATTCGCTTCAGGACCATATTCTGGTTTCGCGAAACCGACAATTGTCGCGATTGAATGGTTTCGATTGAATTTCTCGCAAATTTGTCGAGCATTTGATTCTCGAACCTCGATGAACAATCCAGCTTCTTCAGAAAATAAAAATGAAATTGCATCTGAAATGAGATTTTCGTTAGATATATCGCTGTTTATTGAATGATCTTACGTCTATTGACGATTTATAGGAATCATTTTAGAAAAAAAACTTGATTCGTTTCTCACAAAATGAAGTTTCATAAAGAAAAAAAAAAGAGATTACGAATTGGTTCATATACATATGCACGCAAAATTGCACACATTTTTAAAATTTCTAAAAATTATTATAACGTGAGATTTTGGTCAAAATCGTTGGCATAAATGAAATATAGCGAAATGAAAAAAAAAAAGAAAAATAAATGGAATATTGCGGGAAAAATTTCATGACTAATCGCGCAAGTTTTTCTATTATTTTAATATTATTTTTTCCACAAAAAATCGGAGAACAATGAAAAAACTTACCTGTAGAGTTTTGGTTGAAATTTGCTTCAATTGAACAATTTCCAGCAAACGCCATCTCCAACAGAGCCACAATCACGCCACCGTCTGATATATCATGCCCTGATAGAAAAAGGCGAATAATTCGAACAAAAAAAAAATAGAAAATAGCCACCAGATAATATTTGTTGATTTCGAATTAAATCTTGTACAATATTAAATGTTGTTGAAAATATGGCAAAATCTTCGATATCCGGGCAGTCGTCTCCGATCTTTAATTTTATTTTTGTTAAATTTGAAATTTGAAATATTGAATAAAATCAACCTGCGAAAAGACTTGAGCAAGCGCACTTCCGCCCAATCGACATTTGTCCGACAGCTTTATGACGATTATTGAGCTTCTTTGATGATTGTCGCATTTCAAGTTCGGCGTCACCACTTTTGTTATGTCAATGCACGGGGCATACGAAGACAAGACAAGAGTTCCAGGCGCCTTAAAGGGGAAGGGAGGTTGTATCAAAAATCAAGAAAAATATCATGGAGGCCGTTTCAAGGCTACTATCTGCTTTCAGCCTGCACCAACTCTTCTAAAGGTCGGTGCAGAGCGTCAGAAGAGCTTGAGCGTACTTTCTTCAGCGACATTATGCAGTTTCTCAAAAGAGTCTGCTGGAAATCTGCGCTGTTTCCCCAGTAAATATAAAAAACGACATGATTCTTCCGGAGATATTCAAATCAATATGTACCGCATCCAATTTAATTGTCTTCCAGGGTCAGATTTATCAATCTGTTCCTAATCTCATATTTTTTATGTGCAGCATATGCGTCATCACTTTTCGAGCAGCATTTGGTGTTAATTTTTTGAGCCATGAGATAGTCTTTTCGCGAAATATCAATTGATTTTTAATGAAATAATCTTGATTTCCATATACGTCAGTTTGAAAAAGTGTTTCAATTGAGCACAAACTAGTTCAATAAAATTGAGATGATGTGCTCGTTCAACGCCCATTCATCGATTCTATCGAATCTCTTCTGTTAGTCGTGTTCTTCAGAATCAATGAAGTTCTAGCATTTAATCCGAAGTTGAATTCTGTTTGGTCAATTTTTCATCTTTTTTTTCCACTCCAGGATTGCTTTTCTTATCGCATTCGTTAGCATTGCTCTTGAAGTGTCATAATTTTCTAGTACAAATTCGGTCATGACTGTTCCCTCATGTTTCAGCGGGCTCAGCTAATATGCATGGGAGGCTCAACTAGAACTACACGTTTTTTGCGATTGAAATGTTTTGGCGTCAAATGATTGAGTAGCCCGACTCCGAAAATGTGAATGTTTTTCTTAATGATTTTTGATATTATTCCCACTTTTAAAACTTGAATCTATTGAAATTATGAAAAATTACAAAAAATGCATCAGCCCGATGCGGGGCTCGAACCCGCGACAGCCAGATTAAGAGTCTGGTGCTCTACCGACTGAGCTAACCGGGCACGACCGACTGCCGTTAGGGTGCGTCTAAGTGTCTGATGAAAAACCTTGACTGTTTCGCTGCCTGCCGTCACCGCCATACCCAACGAATCTTTGCCGCCGTCGATAGCGCAACCAACTTGTTTTAACGCATCGCACAACGAAAACACAGCTGACACTAGACGGGCGCCTTCTCCGTTGCATTTCGCAGCCCACATCCAATTTCCAGACATTTTCACATCCTTAAATGGAAAAATTTTAAAAATGAATGGGCCGTTTCATGCAATATGAAAATTGCAAAAAAAATTTTTTTTGAAATATCAAGATGATGCACAAATTTTGAAAAATTCAAAAAAAAAATGATGCGCTCGTAATTCACCGCATATATATTTATCTTCGAAAACGTATGCGAAAAATTGTATGGGTCACGGCTTATTTTCGCTATTGTTATTTTTTATTTCTTTGTTGCAGTGTTATGAGGCTATTCCATTGCAAAGAGATAGAAAAATATGAAAAGACTATCCAGAAAAACATAAAAAAGCCAATTCCGAAAAAAAGAAAAAAAAAAAAGAAAATTCAACTGATTATTTTGAATTTTTATATGTAGTGTCTGTGCCAACACCCAACGCAAAAATGCAGATTCTCTGTATTTATGGGTCCAGTGGAAAATTTTCTTCTCACGAAATCAGTGTAAATTTTCAAAAGGCTATAAAGTTGGCTAAATATTAAATGTGATAAAATATTTAATGCAGACACTCGAAATTTATAGCAGTCGCGCGTTTTCGACAATAGGATATTAAAATTTAAAAATTATTGCTGACAATAATTTTTTTTGTGAGAAATGACAATCCAGGTGTCGTGGAATCCTGTGTTTTGTACGCAACGCAATGAGCCAGTTACCGTAACCCTCGCAGTGATTTACGGGGGAGTTGTTTAAAATGTTCATTTTTTTTTCATTCAATTTTCGTATTTTCTTTCGAAATTGTTTATTTAAAATTTGTAGCCAACTGATTTTAATTATTTATTGAGCAGAATATGCACTTTTAAATGATATTTATCGATATTTTTTGGTAAACACAGCATAGATTAAAAAAAACATTTTCTGTCGTTAATAGAGTTAGTTATTCGTGTTTTGCTCTTATGTTAATACGCGTTTCTACTATCTTGTTTTTATATTTTTCATTTCAAAATCATTTTTAGAGCGAGCGAAAAATATCGAAAAATATATTTTAAAAGTGCTCACCAAATCATAAAAATCGGTGGCTTTTTTTCGATAGAACATTCAAAAATTGAACGAAAAAAAATGACCAAAGTAAATTTTAAAAAGTCCCACGTAAATCGCTGCGAGGATTACGGTAACTGGCTCATCGCATTGCGTACAAAACGCAGAATCCTGGATATATTTGTCTTTTTTTCTCAACAATACTTATTTCATAGCTTGAGTAGGTCCAGAAGAAAAAGAAAAACACCTTTAAATTTGATATTGGAGCAAATACAAGGTTGAAAAGAGTTTCGGAAACACACATTCGAGCACCTTTCGCGGGATCAACGAGCATTTTAATTGGCTGTTCGCCAATCCCAACAGCTCCGCCGACCTGCAAAAATTATCTCTATTTAATTTTCTGCCCGATTAAACATTCAAAGCTGCTTATAGATAATTCGGTATACGGTACTACCACAAAACAAGGTTTTTTTTCTGAAAAAATCCGCAAATAATCTTCAAATCCCTCAAAGAACACTCCAATATTCAGATTGTCATGTGATTTCAAATAAGTCGAAAAGAATTATTCGTGTTGTGCATGTGCAGAACCTGAACACAATGCACATTGTTCAGGCAGGCTATGGTTTAATTTCATTTCGAATTCGCTTTGAAGCAGACGAGCTCGTCAGATGGCTCACGAAAAATACACACACACATTCACATCATCAACCTAATGAACCGCCATTGTTGGGCGGGTGCAATCGCCTCTCCAGAATCACAATGAGAACGAAGGCTTTCGAAATTTTTCGGTTTCACTCCAAAAATGCCAAAAAAATGTTTGTGTGATGTCAGAAGCGGAAAAAATACAAACGAAAATCATGTGAGACAGTATTATTCGCATTTGAATTTGAATGTTTTTTTTTGTGATTTTCTATTTTCTCAGAGTCTCTTGATTTCGGCGGCTTTTTTTTGTTGCAAAATCAATGTTCGCTGAAGACAATTGTAAAAATCTGTGTGAAAATCAAATTTGGAGGGGGCGAATTCTCGCGGCGTGGTCCGTCTTCTACGACGAATCGAATCATGTCTGCGTCTCTTACGCGTCGCCTACTATTTCCTCATTCGAAAACCAATTGGGCGTGGCGAACAAAAAACGGCAGCGGCGGCTGCGAGCTGGCTCACTCCCGACGGCATATGCTGTTGTGACGAACGACACCAATGATAGTAGTGGTGTTCATCGCAATCGTGCTGCTAGGAGCACGAGCCGTCGAGGCCGACCTGTGCCATCATTGCGAGTGCGACTTCATCTCCGATTCGGTTGTCTGCAATCGTCCGTCGCTTCTTATTCGTACCGTATCAATGCTACCAAATATCCGGTTCGACTTTTTTAAAATATTCATTGGTTTTTTTTAATTATCCTATTTTTGAGTCTCAAACTCGACGAGGAAACGCCTGAAATTTTTTGAATACGAAATTATTTTTGAGAAATGCGCTAATTTCCCAAAAAAATCATCTGGATAGAAAAAAAACGAGCACCTTGAACAATTGTGGACCATCGCACTTTTTCAAGGCGGCAATTTAAATTCGGGCATGAAATCGGGTACCGTACTCTGGATAACCTGCGAATCTAACTCGCCGTAAATCTACACAGGTGCTCGTTTTTTTTCGAATGTAATATTTTTAAGCATTAAAAATCCAAAATCTGTTTTTTTTTTCATCAAATAACGGATTATCGTTTCTCAAATCACTTGAAGCTCATTTTTTTCGAATCAAAAAATTTCAAACTGTTATTCAAATCAATAATAATCTCAAATGACGCTCAGTCTAAAATTTCAGCCAACTACACCTAACCAAAGTGGTCCTTCCGCAACCTCCTCACTTCTTATTCCATCCATCTCTTCGTGTTCTTCGTATGAGCTCTTGTGGAATGCAGGAAGTGCCATCGAGCACGTTCCTTCCTCTTCCGAATCTCGAAGTCGTCGATCTGTCGAACAACAAACTCGAGACGATTCCGGCGACATTGCTGCGAGGCCTCAAACGACTCCGCGTGCTCAATCTCTCCAACAACAATATTTCGAATCTCGAGGCTCTCGTGTGGATCCTCGCCGACAATCTTGTGCTCGACCACCTCGATTTGTCCAACAATCCGATTGCAATTGCTACGTCGTTGACGGTTTTTCCGCCTGTCCGACAAATCTTCATCTCGAATTCGCGGCTCGAGCGAATCGACGACGACGTCATTTTATTTGAGGTCGGTTTGTTCTTCGAAATGCACACATTATTGATTATCGAGCACTCCCATAGGAATCGCCGGGAAAATGCGAATCGAAAATGTGTCGAAGTCTTCCGATTCGAAATTTGAACACGTCCCTCATCAATACCATCGATCTCTCATCGAATCCACATTTGCACGTCGAAGTTGCAGCTCTCGAAGTTTTCTCAAATGCGACCTACATGAATTTGGCCCAAATCAATCTGCCAAACGGCTTCGAAGAATGGCTAGAAATGAAGAGCCACGTGAAGAATTTGAATATTTCGCATTCCAAAGTAATCAACATTTTCAGACTTTTCTCATTCCGATATTCTCATTTTGCAGATTCCGCTGAGAGACGAAACATGGCAAGCATGTGGCCAATACCTCGAAACTCTCGACATGTCAGGAATCGGATTGAAAATGTTGAAATTGTCGAGATATTGTCCAGCTAGAACCATCTATTCGCGAAACAATCTCATTTCTTCAATTTTCGTCGAATCAATTGCAATTGAAGCTCTACACCTGGATGGTAACATGTTCAGCGAATTTCCAGTGCCACCACCAGGTATGGAACACTTTCATATCAATTATAATAATTATAAGAAGAAGAAGAAGAAGAAGAAGAAGAAAAAATGGGTAATTTAGGAGTTGAATTGGACCAACTTCACACCTTGAGCTTATCGTGTAATATGCTGACATCTCTTCCGCCGCATTCTCTCGTCGGATATCCGAATCTGCAGCATTTCGATATTTCTCACAATCAAATTAGCGAGGTTATCGAAACAATGTGTCGTCTAATATCTCCACTTGATTTCAGATCGATCCAATGGCTTTTCCGACAATTGGATTGGGCCTCATTTCGCTGGATATGTCGTCGAATCAGCTTTCAACTCTTCCTCATCCCATTCTTCCTTCTCTTCTGCTTCTCGACCTCTCTTCAAACACTATTGCTACTCTTGATCCCCACTTCTTCACCGGACTTCCGATGCTTCAGCAATTGCGCATCGCCTCTAATCCGACGCTATTCTCTCGGTGTACTCCGCACGGAGCCGCATGTTGGTCGGACCATCTCGACGAGCTCACTTCTCTCATCGACCTCGACATATCCAATTGTGGTCTCGAAGTGTCGCTGCATTTGGCGCATTTGCACACTCTTCGAACTCTTTTGTTGCGCGGTAATGAGATTCGAGTCATCGATGCGCATTCTTTGCCCGAAAATTTGCGGACATTAGATCTTGGAGAGAATCGAATTCAGTTCACCTCGAATTTCTCGAGAATGGAAAAATTGAGGTTCGACATATCAAAAGGAATTTCTTTTCGAGAGAAAAAAACTAATAATGTGATAATTATAGGGATCTTCGAGTAGATCAAAATCCGCTTCGTTGCGATTGCTCTCTATACGATATTGTGTCGCATCTGCTCAATCAATCGCAGATCGCCGATCCTCTTCTCTATTATTGTTTCGCCGGTAGCCGAGGCGAATTTTCCAAGCCAGACACTCAACGTCGTCGTATTTCAGGCTCTTGGCAATACCCTTTGCTACCGTATCTCGCCGCTGTGAAGCCGTGCTCCGACAGTGTCAAAGGATTCTATTCGATTCTGATTATGACATTCCTCATCTCAATTCTCATCGTCGCTTCATTCGTCGGCGGCTATTTCATCTACAGAAAATGGTTTGATCGCGGTGATTTCGTCTATAAACGCGTGGCAATTGTCGAACCACCGGTGCGCCTTTAAAATCGCCACGAGACCTCATAGCACATAAATGCAACGGGTTGATAATAAACAAAATAGTTAGCGGTTTTTTTTTTCGTGAATATTTCGAACATGTTTTTTTTTCGCCGTTGCAAAAATCGTCTCATAACTGCCGAAATCAGAGCGATTTGTCATTTCAAATGTCAGCAAGTGTAGAATTTCGCGGAATCCCATGGGAATCGAACGATGAATGCGAAATCAGATGGGTTGTCTTCAGTGCCATATTGTTCGTCGTTTTTCCATGTATATGCAAGCGGGGGGTCATATTTTGAATACCTTTTCGAAATGCGAAACTGCGACGACGCCGACATCGGCGAGCGGCGTGTGAAGTGGTCCGACGCATTGCTGCTGAGCGATCAGTCCGCTCACACTGCGATCCACTTTGCACGTCAAATATCTGCAAAAACACCTTCAATTACGTTTGCAACTGGTTCGGCCAAAAAATGTTTTTCGTTTTTACCTCTTACTCGCCACAGATGGCAGTCGCAATACTCTCGAAAGCGCCTCTCGGACAGTCAAAGAATCTGGAAGTTTTAAAGGAACAAGCCGTGTTGGCACAATCGACAAATGAAAAGTCTGAAACAAAAAATGAAATTTGTCTTTAAATCTCGTCGAAATGAACCTTCATCTCTCGTTCACCTAGTAAATGAGTGTTCAAATCGACAGGATTCCGTGATCCAGCACATCCGAAATCTTCCAAAATCACACGTGTCTCTCGTGTTACTTCGCCAACAAATGAGACGTGGCATTTTTCTCGTTTCGCGATTTTCAAAAGCGCTTGTTTGAGATTCGGATCGACGAGAGCCGCGTCATTTTCCTGATATTCGGCAGTCCACAATTCGCGAATCGAAATGGTCCCGTCGCCTAGTTGGAACTCGTCACTTTTCACTCGAACTCCGCATCCTTCGACTAGTTCTTTGATGACATTCCCTATTAAACCAATTCTATCAGTTTAGGGGTGTAAGATGGTGTTGAGGCACCATTGCCGCCAGCGCCTTGATCATGAATTGACAAAAGCGGATTCGCGTGTGCTCTTTCGGCACAACCGCGAACCACTCGGTGCAGTTTCGAGCCCATCTCGGCGTCTCCTCGTTGCACAGCGGCGAAATCGAGCTCGTTCTCGCGATCGCCTGAAATCGTCAATCGATTATCGGGAATTTGCTCGATGAATCAGCTGCCCTGAACTGATATCGAACTAGTGGCGCCTCCTCCGACGCCGATTCTGTAGACGGGCCCGCCGATTTTGGCGACAATCATTCCTGGAGCACACATTTGTTTCGTTAATTCGTCTTCATCTTCAACCAATCCCAATACAATCTCAGTGAGGATTCCCCATCCGATTACCGATGGTTCCGATCCCGCCCGAAAACATGATTGGCTTGAGGTATTCGCACCGTTCGCCATTCGCAAGTCTCATTCCGAACGATCTCGCAAATCCGCATATCACTACTGGCTCTCCAAACTTGTTACCGTAATCCGATGCTCCGTTCGACGCTTCAATCGCAATCTGACAACTTACAGATTATTTTAATGCGGAGACGAGAGGTGTATAACTCTTAATGGATCGCACATCGATGTCGGATATATTTCGTTTTTAGATTCCCATGGCAACTCGAAATCCGGAATGTGTAAATTTCCGAACGAATAGCCAGCAACACCTGCAAGAGAAGGCAGTGGTAGGCAGTCGACGGATCAGATGGGATACCAGCGATTTCGAAAGCACCTCTGCCAGTCGCGTGAATGTCTCGAATCCGTCCACCAGTTCCAGTTGCCGCGCCCTGAAATGGACACACGGCCGTCGGAAAATTGTGCGTTTCGGCTGAGTAGATCAAATGCGACGGATTGGAAGCTATTCGAAAACTCGAACACATCTCGGGATTTGTCGGACGAATTCGATTCACTTTTGAAAACCCGCGAATCGCACTGGAATTGTCGTGAAACGCAATCAAGCTGTTCCGATTCGAATGCTCCAGTGTGGATTTGATGTGGTCCATCAATGAATTCTCGATTTCGTTCGAATCAATTATCAATTTTGCACGGAAAAACCTTCAAAATAATTAATTTTTGATCATTGAATTCTGATTTTTTGTTTTTTGATTGATCACCAATGTCTCGAATGTTCGGAATCCGATTGAGCCAAATCGAATAATTCAACATCCGTTGGATTTCGGTGGAATTTGTTGGCGAAAACGTTGTAGTAGAAGTCGAGATCATCTCGATCAAGAGCCAATCCAAACTCTTCGTTCGCTTTTTCCAAGCTTTTTCCATCCCCAATCACGTCGATTTCGAAAAAGTTTGCACGTTCTGATGATTGCTCAAAGTTGGTTTTTTCATCGAAAATCATTTCTAGATTTAAATAATTGATTTTTTTCTTCTTTTTTTCCAATACCTGTCATTTTATCTCCGACAATTTCGAAAAATTCATTTTCGTTTATATTTAGTCCTTCGATGTTATACAATATGCTTCTCTCCACCCGATTCACATTTCGGATATTCGCGATTTCAAAAACGCTCAAAATATTCGTACACATCGCAGATTTTACACATGTTCTAAAATTCAAAATCAAATTAATCAATTTTTTTTCTTAAATCGTTTCGAACCTTGGTCCGATTTCAACATATTTTTTGAATTTCGACTCAAATCGAATGCATCGTTCAAACGGTGAATGTGAAAGAAGATTTGTTAGGCATTCGTGGTTTACGTGCATGAATTCTTCGCGAGATATCTGGAAGGAACAACTGTCAAAATGAATGAGAACAATGCGCGACTCGAATTGGCGCATCGAGCCGAGGCCGACGCTGCTCAGTGGCTGATCGCAACTGAAATTGTCTAAAAACCAAACAATATTCTTTTGACAAAAGTGGATTCGCGTGTGCTCTTTCAGCGGCTCCATGCGGAGTACATTGAGAGAATAGAAACACCGGACGCGGAACAGAAGACGGAAGACTTAATTCCGTGCAGCTCTGACTGTACACCATGGTGCTTCACCCTTCTTGTCTATTTAAATATTGTCCAGGATAGATGAATTTAGAGGGGGGGGGGCTCCTTCCTTATATCCTGGTTGCCAAATTAGGATATCAGCGCGATATAAGAGATCCCGTTATTTCATTTCGAGTTTCCGCAAATTTGTATGCAAAATTCACGAGGGCTAAAACTTTGAAGGTCCATATCTCGGGTAGGGACCTAGTTCATTCGATTGGAAATTTTCTAAAGAATCTGTATGCAAAAAATAAATAAAAAATTTCAGACGGATTGCAAAAAGACCTCTCAAAATTGGCTAACGCGTTTGATCATTCAAATTTGGAGAATTCGTCCGTCTTCGCCAATAAAACAATCGAAAGCAATCTAGAAAAGACCCCGAATCCAAGAATAAATTCGTCGTTGTTTCTTGCATATTTTGCATCCGCCTTCAATTCTTATCTCACCCACAGATCACACCCGTGGGTGATCCGCGTAGAGCGCGTTATGCCCTCCCCCCCCCATGGGTCTCACCTCGCTGAGCTACACGGTGTGCATTTAAAATCCGCCTTACCTTGTGGTCAATCACGACGTGATAACAGAATTCGGCCTTCAACTCGACACGCGTACCCAATTTCTTCGACACATTCTCATTGATTTCATCGATTCGTCGAAACTCAAAACAGTCGGAAAATATTTTCAAATGGTTTTGAGGCATTATTGAACAAATCGAATTGATAAAAAATTGAGTAAATTGAAAATGGGGGAAAATGAGATAAAAAGTTCATCAAATTGTTTGCAAAAATAAATAGTGCATATTTAATTTGATGAAAAACAGAAACAAATTTGTCCTTTCTAAATTCGGACTCGAGTATCAATCAGAATTAGATAAATTCGACAACGATGAGTCAATTCCCAATTGGCCATCAAATTTGAAGTAGTTTGATGACATTAAACTTGGTGTGCATTTTGCCCATAAATGCCATTTAAATGCTCATTTGTGTGATGTCAAATCCTCAAGTTATTCTTGTTTTCTTCTTTCTGAAAATGAGAAAAAAGGCACAGTTTGTTTTGTTTTGTTTTGTTGAGCATATTGCGCAGTTTTGTGCGGTGTGAGACCCCGAAACGTCGCGGTCGCGAAATTGATAGACCCTCGGGGATTCGTTTTGAAGCGACCATTCCTTGCGGACGACGAGCCGACCATGGAAATCCGACACGACAAACACCAGACACAGTGCTTCCGGTCGCATTTCCTGAGCCGAAAAAACAAACTTCGCGAAAACCTTTTTTTTTCATTCGATTTCTTATCTCTATTCTTCGTTTTTTTTCGAAAATATCTAAATATGAAACATTTTTGACAATATTTTCCCGAAATTCTCTAAGGAATTACTAGAATATTTCAGCTTCTGGCGACTTCGTGCAGAATTCAACGATTTCGACTCTCAAGAAAATTTTCACGCAAATACAAGGCTTTTACTTAATTCATGTTTTTATTTTTGAAAAATTGAGAAAAATTACTGTTCTATTGTCGAAGTTTGCAGAAAATTGGCCAAAAAATTAAATTTAAAATTACAATAGCGAGCTTCAAACTTTTTTGACTAATTGAATATCACCAAAAAAGTATATAAAAAATTTGTTGGCATTTGGAAATAATATAATAAAAAGTTTACAATTCGATTATAAAATTAGAATATTATTTTGACCAAACAACCATGAAAATTAATCGAAAACCTTATTAATTCAGATCGATCGATATTTGAAAATTGTCAAAAAATTTGATTTATAAATTGCATATATTTGACGCTTTGCTGCATGCGCCTTTAAACGAAATCTCAACCTTGTGGAATCATGTCCTTCAACTTTCGTTTCGGTTTTTTAAGCCTCTTCTCATTTTTTTTGAAATAGCCAAAAACAGTAATGAGAGTACTATTAAAGGCGCACACCTGTATAGTTTATTTAAGCCTTAAAAAGTAATTCGAAACTGTTTGACTCAGCTAAAAAGAAATGTTGGTTTTCTTGGAATGTCCTAAATAATGAGAACAAAGTGAATAATTCGAGTGGAAAATGGGGGGGGGGGCAAATGCTCTTCTGATGGCGTGCTTCTCAACTGTTTTGCGCCATCAAAAATAAACCGCAAATCCCGCCAACTTCTCAATCCATTTTATTTCTTCAATTTTTCGCAATTTTTTTCAGAAATGATTTCGTTGCATCGGCGAAATATCGAATTCGACGAGCCACCCGACACTCAAGAAGGCATTTTTGTCTCAAAATCGCACATTTTTCTGTTCGGAGACATGAAAGAGGCACGTTTTGACAATTTCAATTGATTTTCAGCATTAAATAAAGTTTCAGACGATCAAAGTGTGGTGGCACATGACAAGAAAGGATAACATGATGGATTGGATCGGATTATTCAATTCAGGTATTTCGTTTTTCTCAATTCGTTTCGATTCGCATATTTCAGACGATTCTTCGTTCTATTTGGATCAAAAATCTCTTCGTCGTCAGAATTCGCCAATTTTTTTCAGTGTCTCGCCGAAAAACCTCCTTCATGCCACTCATATTTATTTCGGGTAATTTTTGTCTTTGAAATTTCTTTTCCAAATTCACATTTCAAAATGAAGGTATATCGATGGAATGACGGGCAAAATGTTGGCGAGATCGACAACAATCGAAATTTGTCTTCGAGCAAATTTTGTTGTACATGGTAAATGCGAGGCTTCGATTCGATGTCGACTGATTCGATTTGCAGAAATCACAAGAGATTTGAATTGTTTGAATTCGAGAGTTTGGATAATGGCCGATGAAAAAGAAGTGGAAATTCCCGAGAAAATGGTCCGAGATATCAAGGTCCGTTACACTCACCGATTGCGATGGTCCCACTTTAAGCTATTGCCCCAGCTTCTCTCAAATCGATAAATCAATTTGTTCTCAAAATTTTATGTCAAATCCTTTTAAAAATTTAAAAATTTAAATTGAAAAAACCAAACGAGAAAGCCGCATAATGATCGTTTTCCTTTCAAACAAACCTCAAAATCTCACCAGTATTTTTATTCGAAGCTCTCAATAAATTCCGTTGAATTATTTTCATTTCGAACGAATTTGAATGTCTTGTCAGCCATCATTCAGAGTTGGCTTTTCGCAAGATTCTATTTTTTTTTGCAAGCAATTTATTAAAACGACAGTCCAGAATTGCGCTTTAACTGGAAAAAAAACAAGATTTGAAACAATTTAAAGAATTTTTAAATTTTTTTGTTTTCTTAATTTTGTTTTAGATTTTTATTCCGAAATTTCTATTCTCTCTGATAAAATTATAGTCGGCGGCTGCTGCAGATTTACGGGGATGCGTCTTTCTCATGGTCTCGCACGGAAGAACAAGTTATTTCAAATTTTATGAACCGGTTCAATAATTTTTTAATCGAATGATGTTGGAAATTCAAAAAAATGCGAAACTCATCAAGAAAAATGAAGCAGTTCACGTGAAAACAGCAAAAGAAGCATTCACGCGTGGCGAGACCTCTTCAGGGCGCATGCGCGTAAATCTACCCGCATACAGCAGTCGCTGGACGCCGACTATGCTATCAATTGAAATCAAATAATTCCAGTTGAATTTTGCGTGGCAAGAGGTTCAAATCTCGTTGTGCTCACCCGCCTCGAATGCCGCCTTCTCGTGCCCATCGTCCTCATCCTCGTCGTCGTCATCGTCAACAGCAACATCCGCTGGTTTTCCACGATTTCGCCACAATTTTCATGCCCATCAGTGAGTTGTTGGTTTTTTTTTCTCGCTCGGATTAACCGTTCATGCAAACAAAAAAAGAGGAGCAAATGCGAGTGAGTGATTGTTTTTTTTTCTAGTTGCTCGATTCTAATACGAGCTCCTCTTCTTCGTTTTTTTTTCGCTTCCGTTCGCCACAGTCTTAGGTCGATTTGATGATGGATGACGCGTTTCAATTTCTTATCCTTTTATTCCTTTTCCAACTTCCGTGTTTTTGGGCGGAGCATTGTTGCGTTTTTCCTTCTGCAAAATTCTATTTTTTTTTTCTTCTTCTAAATATTCATTCATTTTCGACATTTATTTGTGTCAATTTTGATAGGTTTTCCTTTATATAACTAATTATACTAAACAGATTTAATTACCTAAATTAATTGATTTTGCACACGTATAATTAAAATAGGATTGAATCGAATGCTACTGCGTTATATTTGATTGGATTGCATATGCCATTACTCAACCTATTTCACGAGTGTTGTTTATGTATTTCCTTATGAGACCCATTCGATTCGAGTCCATTCGAATCTCGTTCCAAAATCGCTCAAATTTCCATCCATTTTGCTCTCGTCGTTTTTTTTGCGCCATGAGAGACGCCAATGTGTGTGCCACCATCAAATGTCAGATATGTTGTGCCGCACATCGCCCCCATATATGGCCGGCCATCAAATCTCGCGGGTATTCGCAGCCATCAATTCGCCCCATCAACCGGCCCAATTTTTTTTTGAGACAAATTTTTCTTTCCAAATATGTATTTTCAAATTCTCAACGGTGTTTCGAAACGAGTATTCTTAGAGAAAAAACGAAAACGAGAAAAAAAAACGAAAGGAAAGGAATGGGTTTGACGCAAATTTGATTGTCGCCAAATGTTTCTTTCTTCTCGCATTTTTTTGCTGCCGTATTCCCATTATGCTCTTCATTCCATTTTTTTTTTGCAACCTTTAAAATCTTGAATTTTGATGCACAATTGGAAAAACTTGCAATTTTTAAAAATTATTACATAAAAACCAATTAATTATTATTGTTTTATCTCGTTCCAAAAATTTAAGCGAAATTTCAGATATTTTTAATGTACCTGAATACACTCAATGCTGACCATAATTCTATATAAATCTGTATTTTCAGCTCGAAATTTTTTCGAAGTTGATCTGACACCATTAAAAAGAAAGTGAAAAATTGAAATTTTATTGAAATTTGAAAAAAAAAAATCCAAAAATGAGACAGCACTCAATTTTGATAATTTTAAAGCTCATTCCAGTATTATTAATCCAAAAAATTATTCGAAGCTGATTCATTTTTTTGTTGGGCAGCCCAACAGCTTGACATCTTCCATTTTCAGACTCCAAAACGAATGCTCTCGTTCGATTGATGATCGCGGTGATTATCGAATAGACATCATTTACAGCATCGAACCAATTTGTGGTAATTTATTGAAAATCTCATTGAATCAATTAATTACAGCATAATTTTATAGACGCTTCAAACTCAATGGAGTCATCGATTCCGAGCACCAGCTCGAGTATGTCGACTGGCCTCAGCGGCGATAGTGTCGAGCAAATTTCGCGCCAATTTCCACGCTGGCAAATGTGTCTCGACGCGAAAGGACGCGTGTTTTACGTGAACCACGAAACGAAAGAAACGAGTTGGACAAACCCTGAAAAGGTTTTCTCGATCGATGAGGGTTTCGCGAATTGTTGGCGTGATTTCAGAATCTTCCGCGAAAGGGCTCTTCGCGAGCACCGCTGCTCATTGGAACGCCGAAGCCATCGCGAAGATCATACGAGCGATCGAACGAAGCGTAACAAACAAAACCAAGTGGGTTACGGTATTCATGTTTCGTTTCAAGGTTCATCACACCGCGCAGAACGATTGCGCTGAATCAAAAAAATGGGAATGAGGGGAATGTTCGAGAAGAAATGGCCGCGTTTTTTCAAAAATCCGATTTCGTTGTGCTTCTTCATGAGAATCAAGTTGGCGATTTCTAGATTCACGAGAATCACACACAATTGCTGAATTCAGAAAGCCCTCGATATCTATAATTCAAGTTCTGTGGTGAGGCATGCCGTTCAAAGGATCCAATCGCATTTGGATTTGCCTCAAAAATTTGAGAAGAACCCAAAATTCGTGATGTTCTTCAATTCATTTGCCGATCAAAGTGAGCCGATGCCAAAAGGATGGGATGCGATTGAAGGAGACACTCCGATATTCGTCAATCACTCCTCAAAAATCACCAGTTTTTTGGATCCGAGAGTTCGAAAATTGGAATCGAAAGAATCGCGACGAGGTCGAAGTGCGCCGTCGAGAAGATCGAGACAGGTAGATATTATTCAATTCGATTTCATCAAAATAATTCGATTTTTGTTTTATTCGAAGCTTGATAACAACGGAAATCATATTTTGCTGAACAAAACCGAAGAGATTCTACAAGTGGCCGATCAGAAATTGCCGCATATTGCAGGTGAATTGGCAATCAAAATGATGAATACATTGGAAATGAGGTTTTGAGTGGATTGATATTTTCAGATCGGATTCGGAAGAAAATGCGGCTTGTCGAGAGATTCGGTGAATTGGCAATCGCAAGTCTCGCAAACGATCTCGACCTGTCATTGGCTGTTAGGTAGCATCGTTTGGCTGTTGAATAAACTCGATGAATGTTAAGCATGCTCGAGATCGAAGACGAGAATAGGAATCCTCGAATTGATGAGAATATCACCACATTCTTCGGCATTCTTCAACGCGCCAAATATGGGAAAGGACCCGGAAAATTGACGTTGATTTCCTTCTCTTTATTTTTTTTTTATTTTCAATGTTTAGATGGAAGTTTTCTCGAGACAATTTGCTTGAAGATGCGTCGAAACAAATTCTTCAAATCGATATTTTTTGCCTCAAAAAATCGCGTCTTCACATCTCATTTGATGACGAAATTGCGTAATATTCGAGATTTTTTTTCCCATTTAAAACAGACAACTATAATATTTCAGATTAGATTACGGCGGACCATCTCGCGAATTTTTCATTCTATTGTCGCGCGAACTTTTCCATCCGAAACACGGATTTTTCGAATATTATGGAACTGATTATTATCTACAATTGAGCCCAAAAAGCTGCGAAATTGGTGCGAATCGAAGATGGTCCCTAAATGTGCCCCTCAATTATTTGTTTGAAATTTTGATGATTCAGGTTGGAATTGTGCGGTCGTGTTCTTGCATTGGCTATCATCCACAAATGCCTCATTGACGTTTTTTTTACAAACACATTTTACAAATTATTATTGAACAGGTTCAATTGCCCAAAAATGGAAACGATTTGAAAATTGACTTTTGATGATTTTTAGGAAAGCAAATCTTGAAGACTTTGAAACGATTGATACTGAATTCTACAACAGCATGAAATGGATTCTGGAGAATGACGTCGACGGGCTGGATATGCGATTTGTTTTCACTGATGTGAATTGCGAGAATCAAGTAAGATTACGGATCCAATGTATTTGCTTAGTCGGCGGCCAATGCACACAAATATGATCCGATGAAATGATTTTTGATAATTTCAAAATCAAAAGATTCAAATTACAGGTTGAAGACGTTGAGCTTCTTCCGGATGGCGAGAATCATGTGGTGACGAACAACAACAAAACCGAATTCGTTGAGATGATGTGCCAGAAGCAGGCGATGAAGGGAATTTCGAAGAACTCGAAGATATTGACGAGATCGTTCCATCAGGTATATTCGAGAAGAAAAAATGTTGAATTGGTGCCCGCAATTCATTCGCACATTCAGATATTGGATCCGGAAATATTGTCGTGTTTACAAGCCGACGAACTTCGAATGGTTTTGAGTGGATCGATGGAGCTTGATTTGTATGATTGGCGAATGAACACCGTCTACAAAGGCGGCTATTTCGACAGTCACGTCGTCATTGAGTGGTTTTGGGAAATCGTCGAGAAAATGAGCAATTTCGAACGATTCAATTTGTTGTTGGTTAGTCGAATCCCAGTGGTTGAGCACGTCTCGCAATTCAACTAATTAACAGTTCGTCACCGGAAGCTCATCAGTGCCGTTTGAAGGATTTTCGGCTCTTCGAGGAACCAATGGATCCAACAAATTCTGCATTGAAAAATGGGGAGACGAGGCGTCTCTTCCTCGGTAAATTTTCGGGTTCCTCTCATGATCGTCTCAATTTTGCAGTGCTCACACCTGCTTCAATCGTCTTCAGTTGCCTTCGTATCAGACGAAGCACATCATGAAAGCGAAATTGAGCAAGGCAATAGAGAATGGAATGAATTATTCGATCGAATGATCAACTTGTTATCCAGTCCCAATCCTGCCACACGCTGGATTATCCGGCAGCGCCTGTCAAAACGCGAAAACAAACATTGCGACAACGTCGATTTTCCGGAAGAACTCTGCCGAATGTATATAAAGAGGCGAATAAGAGGACAATCAGACACGGTTGCCATATGAGAATAAAATATTTCGCGTTTCTCGTTTTGTCGGTTCTTGCCGAGACCAATGTCACTAATAGTTCTATTCAATCCAGCGACATCCAAAATGACCAAAATGGTAATATTTCGTTTCTTTTTCTCTATTCATTCCATTTTTTTTCTTAAACTTGTCAATGTGCTCAAAAGCTGGATTTTTTTGCGTTTATAAAATGCCATTTTTCAATTTTCTTGATAATAAATTTACTTTTCTTTCATTTATTATTCAATATTATGTTAATCAAAAATTGGGTTTCATTTAATTGACAAACAATCATTTTTATATGTCTACTCTCAGGTAAATCAAATAAAATATTTTGAGATTCATTGAGAAACTAATGTCTCTCAATAATATTTTAGATTTTTCTCAATGAATTTCAGAAATTATTATAAGATTTTAGAATTCTATTGAGATAATTTAGAATTTGCTCAATAAATTTTCGGAAATGTTATAAGACTTTAAAAAATATTTTAAAGTTTAGCGATTCTCAATTAATTTTAAAAAGTACAATCAAAAAACTTTAGAATTTCTCAAAATATTTTAGAGTTTATCATTGAATATTTGATTCTCAAAATATTTTATTTGATTTGTCCGAGTAATTTTGTGAAATTATTTTTTTTTAAATTAAATTTAATGTTAAGAGAAAAATAAACAGACTGTGTTTTACGTTTTTAAAAAGAACGAAAAAAAAATTCGTATTTTTTGATGTGTTGAGATTGAAAAAAATTTCAGAAACGTCAAAAATAAAACCGAAAATCGCTCGCGATCAGGGTGCAATAGTCGTCGCCGCGTTTCCGGTGGTTTCGACGATTCGAGGAAAAAACAAAAAGAAAAATAATATCGGTAAAACATTTCCGAATTTGGTATTTACACAATCGAATGTGTTTAGGAGTATTTGAAAAAACGCCATCGAATACTGGGCATTGGTCATCAACTGGGAATCCGTATTCATCGTAAATTAAACGGGAAAAATAAACGGAAATATGTGAAATTTAGAGGATATCGAGGACTTCCTGAATCACAAGTGAGCTCGAAAAATGGAAATGTTGGAGGAATGACGAGATCCGGAAATCAGCGGATGACATTCGGCAGTTATGGTAAGTCGACTTCTTTTTCTTTTCATATTGACCGACTGTACTCAATTGTGATGAATTAGGAAGTGTGGACAGTGCTAAAGGACAATCATCATCACACAGATCAGGATTCGGCTCAGGCAATGGTCACGGAAAATGGAATCAAGGTAATGAATTAAGTGAAATGAATCGAATTAGAAAATGTGATTCAGGATCGGGATCTCATCGGGGAAACAGGAAAAACTCGAATGCGAATAACAACAATTGGGCAGATAACGATTGGGGACAGAACTCGGGCTATTCGAATTCGAAATCGAGCAACAACAACAACAACAATTGGTCAAATAATAATAATAATAATGATAATGATGAGTACAACGAACGAAACTATGGAAACAACAATAACTATGGTGGCAGCAATGATAACAACAAATGGGGAAACTATGAGGAGAACGATAATCAAGGAGGAAGCGGAGGAGGAAGCTGGAGCACCAACAACAACAATAACAATGGAGGATGGGGATCGTATCAGAAAGGAGGAAACGGCGAGGAAGACAACTACGACGGAGACGGTAATAATCGGAGTTATGGACAAGACAATGATAACTATGGAAACAATGGAGGAAGCAGTGGATCATGGGGAAACACCAATGACAACGATAATTGGAATTATGGAAATCGAGGAGGATGGGGAAGCAGCAACAACAACAATAATGAAGACAACTACAATGGAAACAACAATTGGGGAAGCAATTCGGACAATTACGGAAAAGGAGGAAATGATAACTGGGGAAGCAACAACAATCAGGACAACTATGGAAATGGCAACAACAATTGGGGAGACAATAGCGATAACTATGGAAATGGAGGAGGATCGTGGAACAACAACAACAACAACGATGGAGGAAGCTGGGGAAACAATGATGGAAGAGGATCAGGTTCGGGAAGTTGGGGAACCAACGACAACAACAATTATGGTAAAGGAGGGAGCTGGGGAAGCAGCAATCAAGGAAATTCGTGGGGAAACAACGATAACGACAATGACAATTACAATGGAGGATACCGTGGAGGAAATGGAGGATCCTGGGGATCGAGCAACAACAATGACAATGATGGATATCAAGGAGGAGGAGGAGGAGGAGGAGGTGGAGGAGGAGGATATGGAAATAATTGGAATAACAACAACAAAAACAATGGAGGATCTTGGGGAAGCAATCAAGGCGGAAATGATAATGACAACGACAATTGGGGAAATCAAGGATACGGTAATCAAGGAGCCTATGGCAATTGGAATAATCACAACAACAACAATCAAGGATGGAATGATGACGACAACGGAAATGGAAATAACAATAACAACAATGATATGGATTATGGAGATTACTACCGCATGAAAATGCGGGACCCTCAGCTCAATGCGACTATTCCACTTGTTGAAGCTCATACTGCGTCGCCAGACGACGTCAAGAAGAAGATTGACGAACTCAAAGGATTTGACACGTACAAAGCATAATTGCAGGATTAATTAATTATATTAATTAACTTATTTTAAATTTATTAATTAACTTATTTAAATTATTAAATTTTTGTTTTCTCGCATCTCCAATAAATTATTGTTTAATGAACGTTCTTGGAAGCAATCTGGAAAATTATTAATGGTGGAATTTCATTCAAAAAAAGCGAAACAAATTGAAAAAGAAATTTCTTTTAAAAAAAACTTTTAAAAGTATGATACGGTCCGTGCTAAACTCGACGCACAAATGCAGAGAATGCGTCTAAAATTGCGGTTTTATTTTATTTTATTTTAGTACCTGCGATTGAATTGAGTTTGCGCACAATTTTCATGAAAATTTCTTGGAATTCGATAATCAAGAAATTAAATTAATTGAAAATTGAATAGAAAAAATAAGTCTTGGCAATAAGCGGCATATTCTGGTAGTCATTTATTTTCGAAAAGAAAACTACGTGGACTTGTACTCTGCATTTGTGCGTCACGTATTAGTGCGGACCGTATCAAACCAGAATTCGATTTTTTTTTTCTTTTTTCGGAATAGTTTTTTCTTTTTTTTAACTTTTTGCAATGGAGTCGCCACCTAAATTTTTCAGAAACAAATTGGAAAATGTACCTTTAAAACTATCGAGGTACTGTAGGCAGTATGTGTTTGCAGATGTCAGCTGAGAAGGACGAGTGAGTGGAGAGCAGAATGCAATGCAACCAGATGGTATTCCCTTCTAAATTTTGATTTTAGAAAGACGTGATCGACCGTCGAAGAAGCGCTTACATTGCGACAACACATGCTGTGATCAATGTTTTGAGTTGCACATAAATGAATTATCGGAAGTGTGCTGATTGGACAAATCGAATTTGAGTATATTCGAGAAACCTTTAACATATTGACCAATTTTGACAAACTTCAGACGATTTTAAAATCTCTACCGATGTCACATTGTACGATGAATACGTGCAAAAGTCGAGGCATTGATCTGGAAGCAAATTCGCTGCGCAGCATTTTTGAAATTTGTCGTCTAGACTGAAAGAGCCTACGAATTTCTAAAAATAAGCATTTTTTTGATTGCAATTAAATCGGTTCAAATACATCTGGTTTGTATATTCTTGTCCCTAGGGCAGCTCTTCGTTTCGTGCACCCATATGGACCACAAAAATAACCTGTTTGGCAAGTTTTTCTAAACGGTTTGATTAAAGTTACATCATAAAAAATCTGGTATTACTTGGGACCTAAACATTCGTAGTGAACAATTGGTGGTGGTAGATCAAAAAAATTTGGAAGACACTGAAAATCGTTGGTAAAAAATTCACTTAAAGTGGAGTAACTCTACCGAAAACACGCCGGTACTCAAAATCGAGATCACAATCAAAAGCATAATTGGGATTTGTTTACGAAAAAAACCGCCATGGACAAAAAAATGAGATCATTGCGAATGCAAACACGAAAAATGAGAACAAACCGGTACTCGTTGTATGCAAATTGTAAAGAAGAATGAAGTAAGGTATAGTGCCGGATTAGCCGGATTTCTTACAAAGTACATACAAAAATTGCATGAAAACCACTATTGTTATGAATGTTCTTCAAATTTAATTTCTCGTAAGAGATGGTAGAGATCTTTAACCAAAAATGAATAATAATGTTAATGATAATAATAGTAATGACTCACCAACAGAATTTCTTCTGTTAACATTTTTTTTGGTTATTCAAAACAAATTTTGACGTGCGTATTTTCAAATTTAATCGTTTAATTCATTTTGGAATATATTGCGATCCAAATTCGGAAAGAGCTGCATTTTAAAATGGTATTCAACCCTCCTTTTTACATTCGCTTTTCGATGTTTCTCTTCAGATATCTAAAACATTTTTATTTTTTATACTATTTCTTGTTCATATAACGAACGCGTTTCTGGAAAAATCAAGTAGTTATTAACAACACAAAAAGCGTTTTGAATTAGAAATAAAATTACGAAACCCAATAGAATGTTATGAGGATGATTTGCGAAAGGTAAACGGAAAATATCAATGGATAGCGAAATGTGTTCAATTCGTCGGAAGATTGGATCTCGCTGAAATTGACACCCAAGCTGCTGATTTTACGAAATTGGTATTATTTAGAAATACGAATCATTTGGCTCCTTATTTTCAGGAAATAATAATCGGACAACTTGCTGTGATTGACACCAATTTGACTTCGTTACCAAAATTTGAAGGATTGCAGCTGATTAGTTCGAAAAATAGTCTTATCCGTATAATAATTTTCTCTCGAGATTCGAAAAAAAACGCTTTTAAAAATAATTTCAGCAATTGTCATATTGAACAACAAATACCTTCGAGATATTCGTGGCCTCACAAATTATTTGAAAGAAGTTGAATCGCGGCTTAATTCCAACTTTTTGATTGAGGGCAACTTTCAATTGGAGAATTCGATTTTTCCGGTAATTTTCGCGATGGCAATTCGCCAAACTTCGTGTTTTCAACTATTTATTTCAGAAGGAAATGTACAATCCGTACAGAAGGTTGCTTTGCGAGAAACGAAAAGCTCCTGGTGTTAATATTCCATTCGCTGAAGGCATTCCATTTAATTTAAACAGCTAATTTTCAAATCTATAGGTGTCAGTCTTGGTGCTTTTTTCATCGCATTTGCTTACTTTTTTGTGCTTTTTTTCAGCGCAATGAGCATGGGAAATAGGGTTCGGCTTTTTAAAAACGATTTTCCCTTGCAAATGTCGTTTCAGAATATTTATTGTGCTCCTGGTTATCACACGTGTTGATTTGAAGTTTCGAAAAATAGAAAATTATCTAATCGGCATTTCGATTCTATAAATTATCCATATGTGCATATTCTTTTTTTTCATTCCCATGATAAGTTATTTGGTAAAAAAAATACGTATGCAAAGAAATATGCTTGAGTTTGACTGAGAAATATTCGCAGGAAAATTGGCTGCTCAATCAAGTTTCACTTGATATTTTTCAAGCCTCGATATGTGCATTCCGTCGTTTCCACGGCGACCGCGAAGCTCGGTCGCTGAAATTGATTTCAAATATAACACGTATTCTGACCAGATGTCTCATTTTTTTACATAAATAAATTTTGAAAATAAAATAAAATGCTCCTCTCGTGCATTAATTGTTTTATGGTTTCTCGCTGGAAATAATTAGAAGCCCTATAATGAATGTTCAAAAATATATGGTTGATTAAAAACCAACTAAAATATTGTAATTAATCTGTTTCTAATCTGTTTCTCAAACCTGGTCGTCTTTTGAAAATTGGAAAAGCAACGTCTAAAAACCAGCACAAATCTCTTGTGCTCAAACCAACTAATATTGAAAGTAAACAGAGTGTGCCATCGAACCATCCAATTCGCTTATTTCACAAAAAGAAATTTAGGGGTGGGAGGTGCTCTAGAGCGCACTTGCACCATTTGGGGGGTTCCCCCAAACGTCGAGAGCGAGACCATGTGATGTGATGGCGAGGCGCGTGCTTGCCCTCCGATACACTCATTTTCACCCCCACCTCGTCCACCGTCGAGCGTCTTTCCGCTCTCCGATTTACTCGACGCACTTGCCCGTTCTTTCGCGTTCTTCACCACCTTCAAGCCTCAGCACATTCACCGAGGCCTACCATCATCCATCGATTTTGTATGTACGTTGTCTCTATTTGTTGGTATCAAATTCATTAGAACGAAACGTCACATTCAGGGGTATTCCCCCAAAAATTTTTGTCACATTTTCCGTCGGTATCACTTCTGCCTCCCCCCCCCGGCCATTTCTTCGGTCATAACACATTTGTTTTTAAATTCTTCCTTTTTCAATCATCAATTCAAGGTCAGCCCAAACCCTATGTATACGTATGATGAAAAGCTTGTCATAAGCGATAAACGACAATTAACGTAGTAATGTTTTTTTTTTGTTTTTGCACAAATAGTGTTGTTTTAATAATAGGTTAATGTACGAACGTTGAAGCTTGTCGAATTGCATCGACAAGACAATATTCTTTCAAAGAGAGTTCATTAGAAATTATGAAATGTGTGCAATTTTGCGTGCATGTGTACATGAACCATTTTCGGTTTGGCACGGACAGTGTTTTTTTTTTTCTAAAATTCTTCTTTACGAAACGTCAACTTTTCGGAGAGAACTAAATTTCATTAAAATGGATTCATATAAACCATCAACAGACATAAAATGTAATAACCAGCTTGTATCGCGTGCTTACAATGTTCTGTGTATTTCTTTAAACATATATGTTGTGCTTGTATGTGTACCAAGGTCGTATTGTGTTGTAAGAAGAATATCAAATGATCACCTAACCTACATATTGTTCACTTCAAAGGTCTCCGCCGTTACATATGAGTGTGACCGGAACAAAAAGATGGCTCCGCGAAAAAAAAAAACACATCTAATTTATTGGAGACCCTCGATTTTATGTGACGCTTTTCCCCCATTTTGTTTATGGTTTAATTTATGTGTTCTGAAAACCTCGCTCGATTCATCGTCTTCTTTTTCTCCTTTTTTGCGTAACGAAACGAACGTGAAACGTTCATGGAAATTGAAAATGTTTGAACCTGTTTTCATTTTTATCACTCTCCTGATTTCAATTTTTTCTATTTTGTCACGTGAGACATGACTTCTTATCGAACTACTGGTGATGGAATTTATTTAAAAAAAAAGTAAGAGGTTTTCAGTTGTCAAAGATCTCATTTGAATGGAAATTAATGAGGCAAATATTGGGAAAAAAAAAGAGATGAATTTCCAATCATTCCTATCCCTTCTAAGGGCACAATATGAAGTTTTTGAGTCAACGTTAATCGTAGTTTTTGTGATGGAGTGCCTCCTCGCTGAATTTATTGCCCATATGGCTCTCATTTACTAGCCGTTGTAGTTTAGCAAGAAAACGTGTACGAGTGCACAATTTCCGGTTTTTTTTTTACACATTGTGATCCAATTAACCAGAAACAATTAGTAAAAATTGATATTTGGTCTCAAACCGTCACAAGTTTGCGAGGGGAATTCCCCGTCTTATCAATTAACTTTTTTGCGAATCAGATTTTGTGGTCTTGTCATGATACCGTTCAATTGTTTGTGAAGCACCATCAGATTTTTTGCGTCGAAAATTAACTCGTCAAACTCCTCTGGCGAAACAGCGGTTTTTGCAAAACACGCAGGTTACAATATTTGGCAGCTTTGTGGAAAGAAGAAGAAATTTTTTCAATTTTTTTCACCGATGCTTCTTCGAAACGTAAAAACCCCTTTTTCGCACGATAATCGAGAAACAATGTATGTATAATTATTCGGTTTTGGCGGTGCATTTTGTCGTATTGTCGTGTCATATTCCGTGAACACTTTCACCATTTTATATATCTTTTCGCTTTTTTTTCGCTATTTTTCCAACAAACGGAAATGAATATATCCACATCATCATGTGCACATTTTACAGAACTTTATAATGGGACAAACTCTCAGCGAGCCGATAACCAAGAAAGAGTCTGCATCATGTGCCAATGAAAATTATTTGGTTGGAAGCAGCTGCATGCAAGGATGGCGCGTTGGTAACAATAACAATATTCCACCATTAATGCGAAATGTGCTTGTTTCAGATATGGAAGATGCTCACACTCATCTTCTTTCGCTTCCGGATGATCCGGCTTGCGCATTCTTCGCCGTATACGATGGACACGGTGGATCGAGAGTCTCGCAGTGCGCTGGAATTAATTTGCATAAGAAAATCGTGTCTCGTCCAGAATTCGGTAAAGTGAAATCACGAAGGAAAATAAATAAATCTTGTTTGTTTTCAGCCAAAGGAGACTTGAAGACTGCAATTGAACGCGGCTTTCTCGATTTGGACGACCAAATGAGAAATGACGAAGAAATGAAGGACGATATTAGTGGAACAACTGCTGTAGTTGTTCTCATTAAAAACGAGACCATTTACTGTGGTAATTTGGTGCACTTTTTAATATTGCAATTTTCCCTTTCTCCGTTATTTGATTTTCAAAATTAATTATCTTAAAAGCATAGAATAGACTATCACGGGATTTTTTTTCACACGAATGCCATTTTGTGTTTTAGTCTTGGAAGAATTCTATGGGAACATGGGCTTTCTAAACGTCATTGAAGTAACGCCCGCGCATGATCGGATAAGATCTTTCCAATTGAGGAAGTACAATATTTGTGCGATTAATCTTGTGTTTAGGCACATCTAAATTAAACTTTTCGATTTTTTAAGACAAGATTCTCGTTAAATTTCGATTTTCAGGAAACGCCGGAGATTCTCGCGCCGTCTGTTCGGTTTTGGGCGAGGCCCGGCCACTCAGCTTTGATCACAAGCCTGCCAATCAACTCGAGGCCGAGCGAATCGTCGCTGCCGGTGGCTGGGTCGAATTCAATCGTGTCAACGGAAATCTCGCTCTGTCGCGTGCGCTCGGCGATTTTCTTTTCAAAAAGAATGAGGGGAAACCTGCCGAGGAGCAGGTTGTCACCGGTAAAACTACTTCGCGTCAATTTCTCAACTATGGCTTTTCCTTGTTTGCAGCTCTTCCAGATGTGATCATCGACAAGTTGACACCCGACCACGAATTCATTGTCCTTGCGTGTGACGGAATTTGGGACGTCATGTCAAATCAAGAAGTCGTTGATTTCGTCAGAGAGCGATTCGCCCAAAAACGCGATCCACAGGCGGTACGTACCTCGTAGTTTCAGATATTTTCAACTATTTGCAGATTTGCGAAGAATTGCTCATCAGATGCTTGGCTCCAGACTGCCAGATGGGCGGACTCGGATGCGACAACATGACGGTAACTTTCTGATCCGTTATCTTGAACTGTGTACTTAATGCAGGTTGTCATCGTTGGTTTGTTGAATGGAGAACCATCAGAGAAATTATTCGCGAAATGCGCAAGAAGTGCTTCGTCTCCGGTAAAAATAATTTTAAAAAATTTTTCAACTTTGAAATATTTCAGAGAACGACAAATGGAGTCGTTTCATCAACTGAATCGAGCTCAACTCATACCGCAGACGATGATGGTTTTTCATTATTAATGGGCTTATGGGAAACCACTGAAATTTTCAGATGATGAACCAGCTCCATCAGACTTCCAAATTCCGTCGTAAATCGTGTTTTAAAGAAAAACTGCGCTGTGATAATCAACAAGTACTAAGAATCGAGCAGCAAATCAATACGAACTGTAAATATCCACTTGTCTACTTGCTCAATCCGTTTTATTGTATCTTGTAGTCATTTCACATTTTTTCGGAATATTTCTTGTTTTTAATTTCTTCTTCTTCTGATTCGTTTGTTTAACTTTTCTTCGAAATTCTTCTATTATTTTTTTTAATACGTGCCTAACATGATCGTTTTTTTTTCGTAATACGCCAAACGTAGAAACATTTTCTGGTGTGCGAAATGCCACAACTTGGATGACCCTCTTTTTTATTTTCCAAAATATTTTTTGTTCTTCATTAAAATCATGGCTTCTGTTTTATCTCCACATTTTTCCACTTGTTCATCTTTCGTAGATGCTAACTTCATTGTAGACAATTCGCAAATACTGTATTATAAATTCCCCGTAAAGTTTATTGATAAAGCATTTGACGTTTTATTTTTTCATTTAACCACTGTCGTAGAAGAAATGTTCGAAAGTTTTTGAAAGAAATGGTCAAAAGGGTTCGTGAATTTCGAACAATTGTAACAAAAATTTTTGAAAATTCCTAGAGAAATTCTTGAATTTTTTTTACGAAATTATACAAATTCATATCAACTTTTGAAAAATATTTCGAAGTAATTTTTCCGAGGGAATACACTTTGAACGAATTGAACGATAAAACAATATCGCTGGTATTCATAAAGTTCAGGCGAAGTGTTAAAAAAATTATAAGTACCGTACTATTGCGCAAAGGCGCACGTGCTTTTTTAAAAATTGGTTTTGCTTTGGATGATTACGGTTGATTTGATATTTTGGTACATTTTTTGGGCCGTTGCTTTTTAATAAATGCATTTCTGAATAATTTTTTCAGTTATTTTTCAGGCAATGATGATACCACCAGTACATTTAAGATTGAATGAAACGAACCCTCTTATGTTAAAATGTGCAAAGGTAAATTTAGAAAAACCTTAAATCTTCAAGATCCATTATTTTCTATTCGAAATTTATATCTCCTTTTCGATTGAAATCCTCGTAAACTACACAGATTAATTTATTTTCCTTTCAACTACTAGATTACTAATGTCTATAATAATTTTAGTACATTGACCAAGTAAATGTGCTCGTTGCAAGAAACATTTTGAGTACTGCTCAGAAACAGTTGGTAATCGAGAACGCGAATTCTATTCTGGAAGAGGGTAAAAGAACAACACTCAAAAAAGCCATTTTTATTTTATTTTAGTCAAGAATTTCTACAGTTTGGAAGAGCACAAAATGAAAGGCAAATTGTTATTTCCTATTTCAAATTTCTATTTGTAACTTTTATAGGATGCGAGTTAATTGGTTCCTTAAAATCGGTTTATGATTCTTCACACAATATTATGGAAAATAAATTAGCAATTGCTGATATCAAGAATGATATCTATGAGAATCGCATAGAAGTTCAGGAGTAAGACTATTTTCTTGGATAACTTTGCAATTTTTGTTCAGACTACAATATTCTATTCGGCAAATAATAAATTCCGTTCAAAGAATGGATGCGGAAAATAGAATTGCGAAAGAGAAGGTTTAAAAATTATGAGATGTTTTCTCTTATGTAAGTTGCAGAATAATATTCGACGTCAACGATTACAAAATGCAAATGTTGATCTTGAGAAAAGAATGAAAATAATAAGAAAAAATCTCGAAAATTCTATGGAAGCTAGCAAGTTGCGACAGGTAACTCAATTTATGTCTTTAATTCAATTTTTAAAAATTGTCGACGCTTTTTAAGATCAAACTTGAAAAAGATGAAACTGAGACAGCGGTTAGCTCCTTGAGAGAACAAGAAACTGAACTCGCGAAAAAATTGGCTGTTATGAATGCGACAAGTTTGTAAATTAGAAATATCTCTTAATTTTTCTGGATGTTTTTTAGTGAAAGCCGAAAAGAAAAAGTCATTCAAAACCGTGATTGTTGAATGTGCAAAAGCATATACCAGATACAAAGCGTTAGACCCGAAACGAGTAACTTCACAAAAGAACATTGCTAAATTAGAAGCAGAAATCGCTGCTCGTAAAGCTGGAGGAAGTCTTGATGAGACAATTTTATTCGATTCCACATTCGTATGTTTCACGGAAATTTTTTTAGAATATATTCCACAACCCTAGATGGAAGTAAATACTGATCAGAATGAAACGTCTGGCGCCCAACCGCCTCCGCTGGCTAATTCTTCTAATGTATGCACAAAGGATCCTCCTTCAATCGTAACCGAAAAGGAAAAATGTAACTCACCAAATAAAGCAACCCAAATTATGTCATCCAAAACAACCTCATCGTTAGATGAAGTGCAGGTGAATCTGTAGTTTTTATTTTCTCTCATTAAAAAGTGAAATTAATATTTTAATTTCAGAGTCTTTCTAATACATCAATTAGTAGTAGTAGTCGTCTTGATGAGACGGCTAACATTTCGATTAGATCTGACAATGCTGATGTAAACATGGGAACCGAAAATAATGAAATGGAAAATGAAGACGAGCCGATGGAACAGGATGAAGAACCGGAAAACCATGAGGTGCTCATAAGCGATTCCATTAATCTGATCAGATATTTATAGAATGTTGACGAAAATATGATGAATGAATCTGTTGATATGGGCAACCACATTATTCAAGATAATTCTGTCGAACAAGATGCAAATGCGAATATTTCGGAAGAAGATGTTTTCATGGAGCATGAAGAAGATGCCGACAAGGAGCAAAATGCAACCGAACGTGAAAACCTGGACGAACAGGAAGCTGTCAACGTCTCGAATGCATCAAATAATCAAAACAGATCATTTTTCGATGAGGTATGTCTAATGTAGCTTATTTTGACGGGAGAAAAAAATGTAAAACAGAATATGCTCAATGTAAGCAGAAATTATTAATGAGATAAAACAATTTTATTCAGCTGTTGTCGAAAAAACGAAATGATGAGGCAGTGGATAAAATTCTGAACATCAGCTCGAACAGTGGTGATGAAGCAGGTGACTTACTTAAAGAAATGGAACATCGACTAAGCGATGAAGATCAACTCAGTCAAATGTCGTCGAATGGGAATTTCTCATTTAATTTATTCAATACGGGAAATTCGAATACAAACGAAGGAGAAAGTCAGATTTAGAAATGCCTTATTTTGAATGAAAATGCGAATTTCCAGATTTCGATTTTAACTTCGGTGGCGGCGAAACGAGTACAACGAATGATTTAGGATTTGATTTCACTAGCGCTGCGACATCTTCGGATCCCTTCGGATTCGGAAATTCTACTGAAAATGCAACTGATAATGGAATGTCATTCAACTTTAATTTCGACTCTGGAGATAATAAAAATGGAACTGGTGGGAGTTCATTCTTCAATTTCTCTTAATTTTGTCCCTATTTTGCATGTACTATAGTCGATCATGTATTATTTCTAAAAGAATATATTATATATGTATTATCAGATACTTTTTGTTATAAATTTTAAAAATATTTTGTGGTTTTACGAACTCTACCGTGAGATAACTTACAGTATTTTTCAGCAGTTGCTAGAACTATTCCTGAGACGGGGCGAAACGGAATAAAAATTTTACTGACTTACTTTGAACTTCTCAATAGTAAAATTTTTAACATCGAAATATCTCGAGTACTGATTTTGGCGAAAATAGCAAATTATGTGCGTGATTTAGAAAGAAGAATGAAAAAATATAAATTTTTGACTTGAACTATCAATTTTTGACATATTTACGAAACCGCTCGGCTCCTTTTTTCTGAATATTTCGAATTGAGAACCATTTTGAAAGCAACTCGACAATAGGACAATCAGCAAAGTTATTTCCTGTCGTTTTTAGCGGGGCAACAAAAGTGGGTAAAATAAAAAGCATAAAATTATGGAATATTTCAATTTCAGATTGTTGTTCTCAAATGCCTATTCAGGTCGTACGTTAAAATTCGAAAGGAAACTGAAAATGACGTTACGGAGTTGTGCATTTTATTTGCCGACAATACACATGTTGTTTACTTCGTGATCGTTTTTCTCAGCGACGAACATATGTATAAAAAAATTGTTCTTTTTTTTATTTTTCGACTTTTTAAAAATCTTTCAGTTATCATTTTATACCATCGGCACCCCCCTTTAATGTTGGAAAAACACCGGTTAACCTTCTCCATACCTGGTTTATTTTTTATTATAGTTAATTTTTTATTTTTAAAGAAATAGCTGTGGACTTTAAACACCGCGTTTTGTCATTCTGAGAACTTTTTCGTTTTTTGACTGGTTGAACCGGGCGAAAATTAATTTTAGCTTTCGTTATATTTCTTAATTATGCCATCTTTCTTCTACTTCTTGAAATAATATTTTTCGGGCTGAAAACGCACTTAACTCTTTTCTTCCGTTCATCGATATTTTATGCAACTACGACTCGGAAGACCTAAACATTTCGAAAAAAAACGTAGTCACAATAAAAACTCTATTTATTTAATATTTACATGCATTTTTTCGCCATGTTGAATTTATTTTTTTAATTGGAATAATGGTACTGTACAGATTTCGCAACAAATTAAAAAAAACGGTAAAAAGTTATTATAAAAGGTTTAAAAACTCTATGCGGATAGCGAAAGAAGCTAGTTTTTGAGTTTTGCGAGTTTTCCTCCCATAATCTGTATAGCACTCTATGAATCTTTATGGAATATTTTAGATTATCGCGCGAAAAACTACTACGGTACGCAATTCTGCAAACACGCTACGACGTGACGGTGTACGTTCGTTGCGAGACCCCTCTTGTCATTTCCTCAATTTTATTGAACGTCCTAAAATATTTTTCTTTTTTTGAAGGGGTTTTTCATATTTTTACAGCAATTTTTGGTGTTTATTGTTATTTTTAATTTATTTCAAAATTTTTTTCTCATCTAAATGCTGAAGTTTGCTCATTTAAATTGAAAATATGAATATTTTTACGTTAAAAGTGTCGGGTTCCTAAAAATGGAATTTTTCCACTTTCCGTCAATTTTAGCATGCTCACTCGAATTTGGATTCGTGGTTTTGCAGATGCAGCATCCAAAAAACCTCGACCAATTATTCCAGACGGCCCATCTCTTCAAGACTTTGTGACTACAGGTTAAAAAAACTTAAACAGAGCTTAAAAATTGGTAATTGTTGCAGGCTCCGTTAAAGAAGCAGTATCGAAATACGAAGGGAAATTAAAGCTTGAGAAGGGAGAAAAAAGGTTGCGCCTTCCACCATGGCTTAAAAAACAGCAGGTTCGTTCATTCATATTTAAAAAAAATTATTTATTTTTCTTTTTAGGTCTTGCCTTCTGAAAATCAAAAAGTTGCCCAATTAAAAAAGCAATTAAAGAAATTAAAGTTATCTACTGTTTGCGAAGAGGCTAAATGTCCGAACCTTGGAGAATGTTGGGGTGGCTCAAATGATAGTCTTTCGACTGCAACGATAATGCTAATGGGTGATACATGCACGAGAGGATGCAGATTTTGTTCTGTGAAGACTTCACGAGCGCCGCCTCCATTGGATCCAATGGAACCTGAAAATACTACAGAAGCGGTAGTTTCTTGGGGTGTCGACTACATTGTACTCACCTCTGTAGATCGGTAACGAGTGATTTTCCATAAATTGTAATATCCTTTTTTCAGTGATGACCTTCCTGATGGTGGATCGGAGCATTTACGTCGAACGGTTCAACTTATGAAGAAAAGGAAACCGGAACTTTTGATAGAATGTTTGTTACCAGATTTTTCTGGGGATAGGGCAAGTATTGAGCGAATGGCTACCAGTGGTCTTGACGTTTATGCTCATAATATGGAGACTGTTGAAAGATTAACACCATGGGTTCGTGATCCTAGAGCAAAGTACCGCCAATCTTTAGAAGGTAAAAACGCTTCGGATAAACCTAGACTATTAAAATATATTATTTTAGCGTTGCGCTATGCGAAGGAAATTAACCCAAAGCTTCTTTCTAAAACCTCTATAATGTTAGGGCTTGGCGAAGATGATGCTGAAGTGATGCAATTCCTTGATGATTTGAGAAACAATGATGTAGATGTGATTACATTTGGTCAATATATGCAGCCAACAAAGCGGCATCTTCTGGTCAAGGAATGGATAACTCCGGAAAAGTAAATAATCAGTTATAAATGCAAAATATTTATTCATTGATTCAGATTTGAGTACTGGGCTGAAGTAGCGAAGAAGCTGAATTTTGTTTACGTCGCATCTGGTCCGCTTGTTCGATCTTCATATAAAGCTGGAGAATTCTATCTGAAGAACGTCTTAAACAATAGGAAAATTTGATAATTATGTACAAACTAATGTTGAGAGCTGGTTTCTCAACTATAAAGAATTATTTAGCCCATTTTTTCTTTCATATTGCTGTTGTTTTTACGGCGTTTATTCGCTTAATTATCTTTGTGTCTTGTTTTTATTTTTCTACTTTTATTAACTGTTTATTGCAGGGTACAATGGGTCTTACTGGAAAGACAGTCGTCATAGACGGTAAAAATCATCTTCTCGGACGTTTGGCATCTATTGTTGCCAAGAAGCTCCTCCAGGGTGAAAAGGTCGTTGTCGTCCGCGCTGAGGAGATTACGATCTCTGGAAATTTCCACCGTTCCAAGCTGAAGTACATGAGCTTCCTCCGCAAGAGATGCAATATTAACCCAGCTCGTGGAGCTTTCCACTACCGTGCCCCAGGAAAGATTTTCTGGCGCACAGTTAGAGGTATATATATATTATATATCGTAATTGTTTATTTGTTTATTTTAGGAATGTTGCCACACAAGACCATTCGAGGAAACTCTGCCCTCAAGAACTTGAGAGCGTATGAAGGAGTCCCGATCAAGTACCAGAAGGTGAAGCTTCTCAATGCTCCATCTGCCAGCAGATTCCTCTGCTTGGAGCCAAGAAGAAAGTTCTGCAGAGGTATTTATATACACCCAGTTATTTTTTATATAAATATATTTAGTTGGCCGTCTCTCACACGAAGTCGGATGGCAGTATCAGGACGTTGTTGCCAAGCTTGAAGCCAAGAGAAAGGTCAAGGGTGCTGCTTATTACGAACAGAAGAAGAAGCTCAACAAGTTATTCGAACAAGCCAAGATTAATGCCGCCCCGAAGATCGCAAAATACCAGAAGATCATCGAGAGCTTCGGATACAACTGAACTCAAATTTGTTTTGTTTTGCCCTTTGGTATCATAAATTGTTGATATAATTGTACACTAACGTTAAAGAAATGGGTTTTATCGCAACACATATTTGGAAAATTCAAATTTGGAGTGAGGAAATTGAATATTTTCAAACAGTTTTGATAAATAATAATTGATGATGGGTTTGTCAAACATCAAAGATTTTTTCTAATAATGTTCTTTTTCCGATTTTCCAAAGTTGTTAGACTTAAATATTCTGGAAATCTCGGTTATGAAATAAGAAAATATGTCTCATTCCTGTTTGAAGCCTTATAGGTTTATTCGCTTAAATTAAGAATATGCATATTTCCATTAAGTGGAATATTTTTGGCACAGGATTCCATCTTTGAGATAAACTCTTCAAGAAGTTGACAATTCCAAATGATTGATAACAAAGAAGGAATTGTTGAAGACGTGCATGGTGACAAAATCGTTGTCCGATATGAGAAAGTATCTGTACTTTTTGATGGAGTTTCTACGAAGAAATTTGCTGTTAACGATATTGTAACATTTTCAGCCGATTCTGCGCTTCCCGTAAGGTTTTTTTGTTTAATCAAATAATTGAACAATTTTAGTCTGATCATACAATTTTTCAAAAGTTTTTCAAAAACTCCAAAAACCTTGAATTTAAAGGAAAAAATATCAAGTTGAAGAAGAAAGCGCACATTGCATACGGAAAAGGTATTGTTGTTGAAGTTCGTCAGAATTTCATGATCGTGCAATGGGATGAAGTCTTTCCAAATATTAAAGTATTTTTTTTCGAAAGAAATCTTAAGAATTCCAATTTTTGCAGAAAAATAACCACAAAGTGTTATGCCTTCCTTCTGCGATGAGACCAAGGCGCGATAATGTTAATTCAGTAAATGAAAACGCTAAAAGAAACATTCACGAAACAATTTTAGGAATTTAAAATTGGAGATATTGCGCAGTTTTATGCATATGAGCAGCCTCCATCTCGTTCGATGGCCAGTTGGCGCGCGAAAATTTTTACCCACGAAAGCAACAAAATTATTGTAAGAAATAATTTCAATATTTTGGAAATGTTCTAAAATTGTCGTATTTAGGAGGAGGTTGTAAATAACCAAACGGTGTACACAGTCGAGGAAAAACAATCGAAAAGTTCGAAACTTGAAGTTGTCAAAAATGGAAATGCGGCACCATCCCTTCCTTTGACTAATAAGCCGCCTCCGGTAGCCGGTTATGATTTCAATGATTGCTCGGAAAAGGCTTGCGAAGCCCGATTTAATGCGTTTGGTAAACACATTCGATTATATTTTCTGAATTATCACCAATGCTTCAGTTGACAAACTGCGCATCGAATCACCGGATTCGATTTTACTTCGAGATGGTTTTGGAATACTCCTTCAATTGAAATATTTAAAGGAAGTTCAAGAAACCATGCAAGCTCTCAGTGTCGCAGATTTTCTCTAATCACTGTCTTAAATGAAAATCATAAATAATTAACGTCTTCAAATTTCCATTTTACCGAATGTGCTTTCTTACATCATTTTACGAACCAACCCAGTGATCTCTTATTTTATTTTAAGAAATCCACCATTTTGGTTAGCTTTATGTTTTGTAAGCTACTGGTCCAAAATTCTGCTTTAATCTCTATTATTATGTTATTTTCGAAAACTTAATAAATCTTTTTATATTATTGGTTAAAATGCTTCAAAAAATGGTGTAAACATCCTGATTTAATGAATATATCTGTGAAACGGAGTCCCACAAGCATTAATTAATAATTTTTCAGATGCCTCTTGAGGTTTCTGCTAGGTTAGACCGAGAAAAAGCTATTTATCTCGCGGGCGAGACTATTCAGGTGACGGTGACGATTAAAAATATCTCGACAAAGGGCAAACAAGTCGAACAATTGGCATGGGGAAGTGTGCAATTTGCTTGCGGTTTGGGAATTATCGATATTTGATTTAAAAAAAAATAAACATTCAGAGCGCACAATGGGGGCTTCGACGTCGTCTTCAATTCGTCAAAGACCTACAACGGCAATGACGCGATCAGCGTCAACGGTTTATTCGTCTCCTCCAAATATTATGTTTTGTGAGCTGAAATTAGCTCCTGGACAAGAGAAAAAATTTATTTGTGATGTAAGAAAATCGAAACTACTCCGCATAGCTGTTCTGTTTTATTTAAGATTCATCTTTCGCGAAATTTAATTCCTCCGACATATCGCGGTTTTCATATCAAATATTCAAGCCGTTTAACGATCGCGGTCTCACATATTCAATCGCACATCAATTTGAGGCATATTCAAATAAGGTTGACTAATTTTGGTGCGATTTCAGAAATTAAAAGAAAAATTTCAGAATCATTCCTTCTGTTGGTTTAGAAACAAAATTATCTCTTCCATCAAATCCATTTTTGGCGTCGACTATGACTAGACCGACAATTGTTGAGGTAAGAATTAAATATCTTTGCAAATCATCCAATAGAAAAATTTTCATAGACTGTGATGGCCACAGTTGATGAATTGACAATGTCGAGGAAATCGCAAGCATTCGCTCTAACCCATGCAACGTCGAAAGTTGCTCTTTTGACTCTGCCGAAAAAGGCTTATCGCCTTGGGGAAGATGTGTGCGCTTATCTGGATTTTTCCGGTTTGACAGAATAACATTTTTGCTAGAATACCGTAAACTTTAGATTCAAACACGCCTTGCATTCAATATTCTGCGACGATTGAAACAGAAGAAAAGATAATTGATGCTCACGTGGGTGAAGAAACTAACAAAAAAGTATTCAGTCATTTTTTTTTGAACTTTTAATTCGGCATTTTTTACAGACTTCTGTAAAAGTACATGACCAAACGGCTCCAGTATGCACGTTTTCACCAGATTCAACATTCCGATTAAGCATTCCTCTAACTGCTGTTCCGACATTCTCTACCGATTCAGGTATAAAATTCGATTTGGTATTGTCGAAGTCGATCTACTGCGCAAAATTGGCTAAATGCCAAAAAATTAAAAAACGGGTCTCGGTGCGTGGCGTGCACCTTTAACATAACCTTATGCATAGGGGTCGTAAATCTACACTAATAATTTTGCGCCAAGACTACTGTTTTTTTTGGCATCTAGCCGATTTTCCGCAGCCCGCGACATTAACAATAAATCATTCGAATGATCGTGTTCAGTTCAATTGAAATGGAGAATTCGCTTTATATTTGTTGTAACGGATCAGCCGTACAAACTTCGCGTTGAGAATGGTGTTCCTGTTTCAAGTGCACCAATTGGTATCTCAAATGTCTGCCCAAATCCTTGAATTTCTAATTGCAGATGTTCCGGTCGAATCATTTTCGTGGTCCACGGAAATTCTTGTGCTTCCTTGCAAACCGCAAAATGTCGCGTTGTTAGACCATTCATTCCCAAACAACACATCCTTAACAGTTTAAAGTTTTTTCTTATTAGCTTGGGGTGCTAAATATTCATTTATTGCATGTTTATTTTCTGTAAATAATAAAGATTTATATATTTAAACAAAAAATTGGGAGAAGTAACTACACCGAAACAGGCAAGGGTCTCAACGGGAATAATTATTAAAAATACAAATTTGGCAGTGGGGGGGAGACATGGTGTGCTTATTGATGCTTCTTGTCGGATCGTGGAGAAGCTACGGTAGATACAGACGTGGTGTAGAGTGCATTCGGTTTGACGTGCTGAAGGTAAACATTGACCAAGACAAGGCACAGGCAGAGAATGATTGGCCCGATGATGGCACCCTGAAGAAAAAATATTCTGAAAGAATATTTAAGAAAAAACTGGTCTACTTGTAATCCAAGCCAATACATCCCTCCGATGATGGCGAGGCCGGTCACATACGGATGCGAGCCTTTGACTTCTCGGTAGAATGTCGCGTCGGCGAACATTTGGGGAGCGAATGAAGCCAAAGCGAAAACGAGCGCTGCTGCACCTTCTCCGCGAACCAAATATAATTCGAAGATACCGAAAATAGCGACAATATATGGAGGCATTATTGGAATGGCAGCAAAAAGAGAAGCAGCCATCGATGGTACGAAAACAATGTTCAAATCGAATAAGCTGTGCACAAAATATGTATACAATCCATAGAATACTGCCATTTTTGCGGAAAGCACGAACACGCCGCTGAAGAAGTATTTAATGGGCGGATAATTAGAAAAAATACTTACAAAATAGCATGTTCGATCGCCTGAGTGATTTGATGTTGCTGCTGAGAGTTTTTATCAATTGAAGTTGTCGCGGAGAGATCTGATGCCCATTGAAGTGGAAGCCAACGATCGCGAGAAGCCGACAGAAGGTAGTAGACCATAGTGAGAAAGACAATCTGAATGCGATTAGATTAGATTACTTTCAAATTTTAAATATGTATTGTCGGCGTCGCCCGACTGCGTAAAATTGGCTAAATGCCGAAAAACAATGGTAGTGGTCTTGGCGAAAAGTGAGTGTAGATTTACGGGCGCACCGAGACCTCTTTTAACTTTTTTGGCATTTAACCAATGAATCCTACATCACTTACACATTCAATGAAAGTGTTAAGAAGTTCCATTCCAAAGCTTAAAATGATTCCAGCAAATGCGGTTAGAAGCGATGTCAAAAATGATACGTTGACAGCCAAAACAGCTCCAATCGATCGAGCAATCTAAATCGACTAAATAATTGAGTGAAGTGAACGAAACGGATATATTACCCCCATTAAAGTATCCAAGTTTTCTTTGACAATTAACGTGAGCTCATCTTTCAGAGCAGCCAAGTCGGTGACTCCTTTCAGTTGAGTCAGCCAATCACCACGTGAGACAGATTCGACAGCTGCAAATTTGCTCGTTTTCGCTATTTCTGAAAAGAGACAAACAAAACCTTGAGCATCACTATTCCTTTCCTCCCACATTCTATACAATTGATCTACAACTTGTTTGACTTGTTCCTCGAGCATATCAGCCCGTTTCGTGTCTTTCGCATTTGCAAGACTGCGAACATTCGAAGCAAGCCAAGCTCTTCCTTGTTCATATCCCTGAAAACAGGTTGGCCGATTGATGCCATCACGGCTAGCAAACGAACTTGTTGAATATAATCATCAATGTCGATATTATTTTCTTCGAGTTGATCCTCAGTGTAATTCATTGCGGCTGCAACCCAATCAGGTCGCGATGAAATTACATTCGATGTCAATCGAGCCAAATGAACCTAGAAATTAGGAATTGGATGATTACACGGTTACAATGAAATTGAGTTACAGTTTCGCTGTGCATTTGGAATCCGACAAAAATCAAAGAACACAAAACTGAAAACGCAAGAAGCAGCATCACAATGACTGACGACAATACGTCCATTTTATCGTGAAGTGAAGAAACAATCATTTGATCTGATGTGAACAACACCTTTCAAATAAATAATTTAGATTTCGAACAAAATTGAATGATTGGCACCTTAACAAACTGTCTTAATGGACCAGCGACCGTGATTTCCACTATCTTGGTTACGGTAGGGCAAAGTTTTTCCCAAGCGGAATCAATAAAGTTGCGAATGGCTGCGGTGATTCCAAGATGTTCAGCTAAAAATTGAGCTTTTTTTTGAAGAACAACATCAAAATTCGAATAGTCAATTAATCTCTATATATTACGGAAACAAGGCAAAAAATGTTAAATTTTAAGAACAATAGGAAGCCACTAAGTTTACCTAAATGAACATGAGGAGAACCTGAAAATGCGTTCAAGCACTTCGTTTTAGATTTCAAGAAACACTGCAAACAAACCAGCTTTTGCAACTACGGCGAGGAAGAATGGAATTGATAGAAGGATTAGAGCCGAATCATGACGGACGATCCATAAAAGGGCACAGAGTCCGAAAACGATCTGAATGAGACGATCACCGGTTACAGCTTCGCTTACAGTAGACGTTGAGTCATGAGAAGCTTTTTCCGCGATTTCCTCAAGTTGAGCATCCACTGAAATAAATTCAAATACATAGTTTGCCATTTCGTTTATATTCTACATTTTTCCTTCGCGGATTGTACTAAAGCATCTACTTCAGCATCACCAGACGGTTCAGAATCTTCCGGTATAGCAGGTGGTGTTTCCGGTTCAACTCGAAAAGCACCAGCTGAAAGTGCTCCGAGAACTGCAGCAGAGATTCCAAAAGCAAACGCACGGAATGGTCCGAAATATAGAGAAGCATAGGAAATTACGTAGATCCTACAATATTCCATCTCGTTGAAATGAATAATTGTCAATTCAAATGAATAACATACCAAATCGGAAGTGAGAGACTACGAGCAAGTTTCTTATTAATCTGTTTTGGTTCTTGCACGTAAATCCACGTGGCATATGCACAGAAATAAACGACAATTAACGGGAGAACCCAAGGTTTTGCAAAGAAAACGATGAATGCATCCAGCCATCCGTAAACGCGACCAATCCAACTGATCAAGTATACGAATGTTCGTTGATAGCATAGCACCTTGAGAAGAAAATATGAAAGAGCAATTACGGCCCCAGTTGAGCTAAATACCGTTTACAATCATAATTGGATAAGCTCAGAATGAAATACCTGGCAAGAGTTGAATAGATAAGCTCGGAAATATATGAGAAGCATGAAATTGGTGATGTTAAAATGGCAGAAGCCAGCGTCTTTTTTGACTCCTTAAGACCTCGTAGGTAATCTAGAATCGGTCAATTTCGGTTTAAATGAATATTGCTTTATAATTACTTTTGACAATTTCCGCAACCTTCTTTTTGAATGGAAAAAGGACAGTTCCAACAAGCACCGCCCACATGAGGGGAGCTAAGAACATGTACATCATGTTGTAGAGGGCAAACATTCCACACAAAGCAATTCCAAGCTAAGAAATGATATTTGAATATTTATCACCATTTGGAATGTTAACATACCAACACGAACAGTAAAACATTATAGAATGCGAATTGAAGCGCAGTTCTCTGATCGTCATTAACATTGTCGAAGTAGCTTTGCATGGACGTCGCCATGCCGCCATTCGCGTCCATTTTGAACAACTGAATAATATTCATTATTTGACTTTCCTTAGGCTTTATCGGATAAAAAATTATGGAAAACAGATAAAAATTAAACAAAATTTCAACAAAAAACGACGCCCGAATGCTTTTAACAAGGAAATGTAAAAAATCAAATGTTGCTTTCTCTGTTTCTTTTTCTTTTCAAGCTAAAGTAAACAACGAGTTTTCAACAGTTAAAGAAAAATAATAAAAAAAACAAGAAAAATTAAGTGAGAGACTTCACAAAAATAGGAGAGAACAGAGAAAGCAATGTGTGCGGTACACCGAATCTGCAAACGCAACGTCTTACACGAACCGTAGTTAGATTATTTTTCATTTTTTTCTAACATTTTCTTTTGAGGTTGCTGTTTTAACACATTTTAGATCAATGCTTGGGAGACTCGCTCAGGGTAGCGGGTTGTGTGCTACTCGAATTTCCTCTTCGTCTACATGCCGTGGAATTGCCAATATCCCAGCGCATGAATATCATATACGAATGGATCAGAAAGTTGGACGAAAACGGCCAAATCAGGATGTTCTTGACCGGTATTTTTTTTTTCAAATTTTTACCTAAAGTTGTTATTCACTAAAATATTTAATATATGATAAAAAATAGGAAAAATTTTAAGATTCAAGCGTCTCAACAATGGAATGTGGATCAGAGCCGTGCCAGGAAAAAATAAATTAAGATATATGAAAGATGAAACATGGCAGACAACGAGTATGTATTATGAAACGTGCACAAAGGTTAGTTTTTAAATATACGAATTCTCAATATAATATGTTCGCGGCAGGACCAATGCGAAATGCTCGACAAACTTGTAACACCGTATTGGCTGCGCCCGAAACACTATCCGAATGATCCTTATGAGGCCTATCACGTCCGCCATGGTATTATTTTTTTTCTTATTTTTTTTAAAGAAAAACCTGTTATTTAGGTATATCGAGTCCAAGAGTGAATGATAAAGGAAATTTTGTGCGAGAAAGAAGAAAGGTACTTCTAGACGATTCGACGGCATCGAGATATTTCAGCGATTGTTAGAATCCATATCCCATAGTTTGTTTTTTGTTTGTTTTCTTTCGTTTTTAATTCTGAGCTAGGATATAAATACTTTATTTATACAAAATATTACGAGTTATTATATAATATATACATTGGAAAGAGACATATTGTGCATTAGAACTTTGTGTCAAATTCTTTGGGAGATATTGACGCAACATCAGAATCCTTCGGCGAATTACGAATCTTTTCGCGAGCTTTTTTAGTCATAAATAGTAGTTCAACCTGATGTAAGAATCAAAATCTATTTTGATATGTAACAAACCTCATCGATATTATATCCTTTTGTTTCGGGAATCATGAAATACACAAAGATTAAAGCCACTATCGTACATCCGCAATAAATGAAAAACGTTCCTGTTAGCCATAACGAATTAATCTAGTGTGAAGCTAAAAATAATCAAACCATATTTGGTAGCCGCTTGACTCAATGACAAGAAAGTTAAAGAGACAATCAGATTGAAAATCCAATTGACGGCTGTCGAGTATGAAACGCAAGTACTTCGTGCCCACAATGGATAGAACTCAGCATTGAGAACCCAAGGAAGCGGTGCATAACCTTGGAATGTTTGAAATATATTCAAATTAAAAATAAATGTTACCTCCAGCGAAGCTCACAAGGTATAAAACCATGATAATAATGGGCAAGACGGTGTATTTTGTATGACAGTACGTATCATCCCATTCAAACAATGTTCCATTTCCGGTGAATTTGTCAAATTCACAAATTCCCGTGCTTGAGTATTTATCAGAATTTTTGGTTGCAAATGGTAGGCAATATCCTTTTTTGGAACCCTTTTGCTCGCAGAATCCACAATTGTCCTCGGTCACACAGAAATCGCAATTTTTAAATTTTCGACAAAATGAAGCATCTTTAGTGGTATTATCGAAATTCGGCATATTGTCGTAAAGTTTCGAATCATAAGCAAGAGCCGAATCCTAAATCAAATTTAGAAGATCATCCGAAGTTTCTCGAGATTTACATTGTTGATTAGAAGGAATGATACACCCATTGCGATCAAGAAGAGAATAACTCCGATCATCGAGCAAAGAAGAAGGACACGACGGCCAACTTTTTCAATTAAGAATATTGGAATAAAGGTTCCAAAAAAGTTGATCGCCGATGTTCCAACCGAAATCCAAATTGTTGTGTGATTGTCTTTGACACCAGCTGATCTGATTATGTTCCCTGTGTAATACCTATAATCTTTTCGTTATTCTTTTTTTTTAATTTGAATTCAATTATATCACATCACAGTGTTGATTCCCGACAACTGCTGGAACATTTGCAAAGCACATCCGACAAATAAAGCTTTTCGGACATGTGGTGTCTTGAGGACTCGAATAATTGTCGGACCACTTCCTTCGTTTTCAATTTTCGCTCGCATCTCCTCTTCGTAGGAAAACCGAATTTCATTCATTTCATATTCTACCCACTCCAAGTCATTGTTGTAGATTTTTTTCAAGACAAGTTCAGCTTCGAGTGTTCGGTCGTGCTCATAGAGCCATCGAGGACTCTCGGGAAGGAAGATGAAGCAGACGAATTGAATGACAGCGGGAACTGCGGCAAAAGCAAACATCAGTCTGAAATTATTGCTCATTTTTGTGTGTTTCTGTTGGCCAGCGTGTATTTCGAACGATTGATAAAAAGCTACCTCCACCCGACATAATCCGGATTGAGATAACTGAATGCACCACCGATAACATTGGCGATTACAAGGCCAAGAGTAATCATGAGCTGAAACCCTGTGACTAGAATTCCGCGAATGTGAGCCGGCGAGGCTTCTCCAACGTAAACCGGAACAATCATTGATGCGAATCCTGAAGAGAAACAGAAATTCGAAAATATTCAAATGTTGATGAATACCTATGGCAGCTCCAAGGAATATTCGTCCGATCACGAGAACAATTTTATTCCAAGCCGCTGCACATATAACAGCACCAACAACGAACGTCAAACTCGCGCCGATGATAATCTTTTTTCGTCCAATATAATCCGAGCCGGGACCGGAAAGCAATGAGCCCAACGCTGCGACGCCAGGAGTAATGCTCACGATGATTTCTTGCCAGACGGAATTCATCGGACTCATTCCGGGATTATTGGGAACATAAAGCATTGTAGCCGAGACAATTCCGGTGTCATATCCAAATAGAAATCCACCGATGACTGCCGAAAACGCGAGCATATAGACGAATAATCCTGTTTTTGGATTATGCGGAGGACGAGTCGCCCCACTTCCGCCATTCGGACCTGACTAAAAATTGAGAACATTTAAATCGAAGCCGATTAATTTCTGATTTTGTTTCGTTTCAATCGAGTGCGAAAAAATGAGGAAATTTGCGTCATTTGCATATGCATACAAAATTGAATTAAAATTGGACAAGGAAATAGGCAGGCGACACGTGTATGTCACATGAGAGATAACAAAACTATTATATAGTTGGCGGTAATTCGTATAATTGTTCAACAACTTTTAATAAAAATTGTCTACAGCATCAAAATGATCAATAAGAAAAACGAAACACACTTGAAATTTCCTTAACTTTAAATTTAATTTTCAATCATTTTCTCCACACTTATCAATTTCTCATTAAGCATTAAACGACTGTCAAATATTTTCGAACTGCAAAATTTCACTTACAACAGCGACCTGCACCATTCCAAATGGTTAGTACGGAACCGTTGAGTCCAAAAATTTGAAATATAATAAGAAATTTGGAATGTGTCGATGATTAGGTGTTATCAGTGCTCACACCGGAATCACGTTTTGTGTCAAATGAGCACAGATCAGTGTTCCTGAAAAATAAAAGACAGATGAACAAATTGCACCGAGATTGGGGAAGTTTAGAATTAAAATATCGAAATGCGAATTTTCAAAACAATATTCATTTTTACTGGTCTTTCAATGCAAAAAAAATGTACAAACCAGATGACACATAGAGTTTATTGGGGGATTAAACCAGGGAATGTTCATTTTGTCAAAATTTTGTATTGCGCAATTTGAAAATAATATTAAAACAAAACAACTTTAAATATATTAACAAAGTAAAATTCTGTTTGAAAAAAATGTATTGAATATTCAAACATCAAACGAGATCGAATATTTCGAGTGGGTGGTCTGCTATTAGAAATTTGATATCAAAAACAAAATTTAATATACTAAAAAGAGGTGAATTATAAAGTACTTATCGAAATGTGAGTGAAAATTCACTAGAAATTAGTAGAATAGAAATGAAACAACTTTGGCAACTCAACACCAATTGAATCCTACAAAATTTTGCCCCGGAATCAACCTTGTCCAATTGGAAATTCTACGGATAAGTTTTTTTTTGGGGGGTTTTCGGATCCGATTGGTAATTATTCGAATCCGTTTTGTTTTAATATTTCAATTCGAATCGGATCCGACAAATAATCAATCTTATCCGTAGAATTACTAATCGGATAAGGTTGATTCCGGAGCCAAATTTTGTCGAATCCGATTGGTTTTGAGTTGTCTGAGAATTTTAATCTGGTATTACAAGGTTTGCAAGTCATTGGGAGCATAGTATAAGAAACAATACGAAACGAATAAATAAAAAATGCGCTTCAAATCGTGATAAGCGAAATTTTCTTCAAAAATGTCGGAATTGATAAGAAGATTGGCGACATGTGTTTCGTGCGATTATTCAGGAATTTTGGATACCGTACAGTTTCAAATATTTATGAAATCTGAAAATTTGGAGACGAACGAACGAATTCTGAAATTGTCTCGAGAACAGATGTCAAATGCATATTTAACCTAGCTTCACCTTTTCTGTTTTTCGCTATTTTTGTTTGAGTTTGGCGTTTGTTTGATTACTTTTTGTGTGTTTTGTTTGTATATTCACGATTTTAGTACAATTGGCGCCTTTAAAAATAAAATCAAAACAGAAAAAATCAGAAATAGATTTGAATTGAAAACTGCTTAAAATAACCTGCCGATAATACTCTGGTAGATCAAAATAATTTCGCAAAATTTCGTGTTACAACTTGAATTGAATTTCGTTGGTTTTTAGATTGTAAGAGACGGACTTCCGAGCTAAAATTGGAATAGCTGAGATCCTCGAATCTGGAGAATGAATAGAAGAAAAACATTCCCATACCAGTACAGTTCCACCCCAATGCTTAACAGGTGGAATTCACAAGAGCGACCGCATCTTCAATTGGGTTTCATCTAAGAAAATCAAACTTTTGGATGGATCAGCCAGCTCCCCAACTTCAATCCCGTCGAAAACGTCTGAAGGCTTCTTGAACGTTCCGTTCGCTCACAAGGCAAACAGAATGCCAACATTTTATGAGCTGAAGGCCGCAATTTGACTGGAATGGAACAGTCGGTCACTTGCATACCTCAAGGAACTCACCGACAGAATCTGAAACCGAACATGTGAAGTGATCCAAAACTATGGAGAGACTACTAATTATTAAATTTGTTGTGTTCTCGCATTCAAACTTGTTGTCATATGGTTATTTAGACTTTTTTCTTGCGTTTTAGTCCTTAAACAAAACGAAGTTGTTCAAAGGCCCGAATTCGACCCGATTTCAAGCCAAAACTAAAACGGACGATCGCTCGATGGATATAAAGACAATAATGTTGAAAAATTGTACAAAATACAGAAAAATCAGCGAGAAACCGTCAAATCGAGGATCAGGCGAAACCCCCACAGGAACATGAGAATGATGGCGTCAGACATGGGAATGAGCATCATCGATATGGAACAAATCGTCAAAACAAAGCTTGTACTGACCCCATATCGTGTCCAAAAAGCGGCAATTCTATCGGCCGTCAACAAGCAGAAACGCTTCGAAAAAGCAAAACGACTTCTTGCTCGCACGCGGTCTGGAGAACACCTCGTCACTGTCTTCTCCGACGAGAAGCTGTTCACTGTGGAGGCGGCATTCAACTTACAAAATCATCGAGTACTTGCCCAGACATCCTAGCAAGCTTCTGGGAAGGGCAGAACAATTCATCGAGCCTCACATCCTGTCAGTGTGATGGCTTTCGGTGCCATCTGCTCAACCGGGATGTGTCCCCTGGTTTTCGTGGATCAGGGGGTGAAAATGAACAAAGAAGTCTACGTTCGGGACATTTTAGAGAAGCATGTGATGCCCTGGACCCAAACGCATTTCGTTGGGCAGAAATGGGTCTTTCAACAGGACGGAGCACCCGCCCACACTGCCAAAACTACTCAGGAGTGGTGCCAGACCCATTTTCCCGACTTCATCAAGTCATCCGAATGGCCTGATTGCTCCCCAGACCTGAACCCGCTTGACTTCTCCGTGTGGGGTCTTGCAGGAGAAGGGCAACACAAAACCCCATTAATGTGTAGAGGCTCTGAAGAAGACATTACTGGCGGAATGGGACAATCTTTCCATCGAATACCTGCGTACCACAGTAGCATCCTACCCGAAGCGTCTCCGTGAAGTCATAGCTGCGAAAGGAGGCCGAATCAAAAAGAGTTAATAGATAAATATTTGTTATTCTATAGATAAAAATATTTCGAGTCTCGTTTGATTTGCACTTTTAGTTTCAGAAATATACGTCTTCAAAGTTGTGCGGGAACTTAAATGACACCCTGTAGTCTCATTAATTAAAAAAATACAATAGAATCCAATCACCGGAAATATAACGCTCGCAATACCGCCAGAAGAAATGTATGCCGCAGAATTGCAAAGCTGTGTGATATTTAATTGGTAAAAGTTCGGATCCGATTTGTATTTTCTCGGATCCGATTGATAATTTCTTGGACCCGATTAGTAAATATTTGGATCCGATTGGTAAATGTTCTGATCAGATTTGTTTAGATAATTCGGATCCGATTCGAAATTCTTCGGATCCGATTCGATTTTTGTACTGTTTCAGATCCGATTGGAAAATTTTTCCAATTCGGATCCGATTGGTTTTTTGAGTTACCAGAGTATTGCTTTGGTCTCACCGGGTCCTTCAGAATGCCACTTTCTCTTGCTGAAAGTGATATTTTTCACTTGACACTCAACTATTTTTTCGGTAATAAAATCCCACTTTCGGTAATTAAATCCAAATTTATAGGGATACTTCAAAGCGTCCTCTTTTTCCTAATTCCGAATTCCATTTTTTTTCCTTTTTCGTGTTCTGCTTTCGATCAAACGGATAAAATATTGATTTAAAAAATTAATTTATCTCAGGTAAATGAAAATCAATCGAAATCGAGGAAAAATTCAATATAAATTGACCTAATTCGATTGAAAAATAATTCAAATCGAGAGAATGTTTAAACTCAATATGAAAACTTGGTTTCGATTGAAAAATCTTCGAAATCGATTGATTTATTTTTCATTTTCAATTCTGAAATCGTATTCAATTGAAATTTTAAAATAATTCTAAACGGATTAATTTATATTGGATTTCGAAACGAAATTATCTTCGAATCCGATTTATTTTTATTTAATAGAGAAAAATCTGTTTCCTACTTTAAATTCAATTTTTTATATAATTTTTTTAAATAATTGCGTTTCAGAAGGAAAATTAAAAACAATTGTTTTTTTTAGCACTTTTCCTTTAAGTTTGGAAAAGATGTTGTTAGACACGCATCTCAAAAAAGTCAAGCAACCATTCAAAAATATTTCTACCAAGCATCCGTGCGGCCGCTTTGCCAAAAACTGTGTCCCACTTTGCACTCATAACTCCGCCTATTTTTCTTTTGAATTTAATATTTATTTATTATTGGAGTTCTTATGTGAAACGAAACAAAACCAATAAATAACAGTTCTTTAATTAGATTTCATAATTTTGTTCAGTTAAAAATCAAACAATTGTAATGTGGCGAGGAAGGTTCACAGGTGGCTATCAAAATCGATTTGTGAGCTCGAAATCGTCGGGAACATCAAGCTTAAATGGTACTGAAACAACTTGACTTGCACAACAAATTTGCCGCTTTTTGCGTATATCTAATTGATATTTGACAAAGATGGACAAACTTCGATGAACAACGTGCCTCCGCCAGCTTCGTTAACGACAAGTAACGGTCCAGTGGCTCCGCCAACTAGAAATGTCTACATGTCAGCAGCGAAACAAAAGGAACTTGAAAAAGAGCAGGAGGTTGGTTTTGGTTTTCTCAGTGTTGTCGAAAAATTGGGTCCCGACTAGGCCCTATTTAGACAACCCTGGATGTTTCTAGTAGAAATTCTCATATTTTTCAGTATGCGAATTTAATGGCTTATGGCACGAAAACTGAGAAGAAAGAAAGAAAACGAAGAATTTATGATGATGAGTTAGTGAAAAAAATAATTAAAATTTGGGAAAAAAAATAAACAAGATGATTTAAGGTATCTGGAAGGATCCGATGATGAAAGCTCATCGAAATGTGAGAAAAATCCGCCAAAAAAAGAAGAGGAGGAAGAAGAAGACGAACTAGATGCATTTATGGCTGGAATCAATGAGCAAGCAACCAAGGATAAAGAAGTTTCTGAGCAAAAAGAAAAAGATCGAGCCGCTGGAAAAGATGCAGATCAGGATAAAAAAGGAATTGGAAGAGCGGATATTGACGAGGAAGATATGCAAGAATCAATGTTCAAGTATTTATGCATCTATTGAATTCTCTTAAATTTGTTCTTGAAGATATCTGGAAGAATATAAAGAACGACAAGAGAATGAAGAAGAGCAATACGAATATGATGAAGACGGCAACATTATATGGACTTGGAAGAAAGTTATTGATCCTCTTCCGCCGATTGATCATTCACAAATCACTTATCCGAAGTTTAATAAGAACTTTTATGAAGAACACGAGGATATTAAGTGATTTTTAAAACATTTTGAAATTTTGTAATTCCATCTTCAGACGACTTCAATATATGGATATTGTTCGGCTTAAAAATAAAATGAATCTACGAGTGGGTGGAATGAACGCACCGAAGCCAGTCTGCTCATTCGCCCATTTTTCGTTCGATAAATTGTTAATGGATGCGATATGCAAGTCTGAATTTGAACATCCTACTCCAATTCAAGCTATGGTAACATCCCATTTTCTATATGTAGTTTATTTTTTATTACCAACTTTCAGGCTATTCCTGCTGCTTTATCTGGACGAGATGTGTTAGGAATTGCCAAAACTGGTAGCGGTAAAACGGCGGCATATCTTTGGCCCGCAATCGTTCATATTATGGATCAACCAGATTTGAAAGTAGGCCTAGTTTAAAAAATTGATTAATCGATTGTTTATAGTCCGGAGAAGGTCCCATCGCTTTAGTAGTTGTGCCAACTCGCGAACTAGCCGTTCAAGTGTATCAAGAAGCAAAAAAGTTTTGCAAAATCTATAATATTAACGTGATTTGTGCATACGGAGGTGGAAGCAAGTACGAGCAATCAAATGAGCTGCAGAATGAAGGTGCCGAATTGGTGATTTGCACGCCGGTATATTGGTTATTGTACTTTCAAAATAATATTTTTTGTTTTAAGGGACGAATTATTGATCTTGTTAAAATGGAAGCCACCAATTTTTTACGGACCACGTTTTTAGTATTTGATGAAGCCGATAGGATGTTTGATATGGGATTCGAAGCACAAGTTAAATCTATTTCTGATCATGTTCGTCCAGATCGACAATGCCTTATGTTCAGTGCAACCTTCAAGCAAAAGGTAATTATTCGTTTAGTACATTTAAAACTTCTTTGGAATTTAGAAAATTTATATAGAATATTTTGGAAATCTTAGAAAATTTCAGCAAACAAAAACCGATTATATCGTATATCAGAGATGTTCTAATCGAATTGTTTAATTTTTTCAAGTAATTTCAGGTCGAAAGACTTGCTCGAGATGCATTAGTCGATCCAGTGCGAATTGTCCAAGGTGAGGTCGGAGAAGCGAATGAAGATGTCGAACAGAAGGTGTTGGTTCTTCCTGATCAAGATGCTAAGTGGGCGTGGCTTACACAGAACTTGGTCAATTTTGCCTCTCGTAAGTTTTAGTCGAGATTTGCCCAAACTCGTTACATTTTTTTTGTTTAGTCGGCAAAGTTTTGGTTTTCGTTACCAAAAAGCTTAATGCTGAGGAAGTGGCTCGTAAATTGAAACTTCGAGATTTTGACATCGTCTTATTACATGGAGATATGCTTCAAGCTGAAAGAAATGAAAATTTGTTGAAATTCCGCAAGAAGCAGCAGATAATGGTTGCTACTGATGTAGCGGCTCGCGGTTTGGATATTGCTGAAATTCGAACGGTGGTAAACTATGATATGGCTAGGGATATTGATACGCATGTGCATCGAATTGGACGAACTGGACGAGCTGGTTGTTATTTCAATAAAAAATTGAAAAATATCAATATTGGGCATTATAGGAAACAAGGGGACCGCTTATACATTAGTTACCGATAAAGACGTAGAAATGGTTGGGCATCTTGTGAAGAATCTGGAAAGTGTTTCACAAGAAGTTCCGAAACCTTTAATGGACCTTGCAATGAAAAGCTCGTGGTTTCAAAGTCAGCGTAATTCATCTGGTGGATCGGTGCAGAATCGGGGAAGGCTAGGATTGGGATATAAGCCGAAAGTGCGGAATGAGCAAAGTTCTTCGCATGATCCTCTAAAGGAACAGAAACATAAACACACTCATCAAACTGTTGAGCAAATGATGCGCAGGTAAATTAGATTAAAGCAAAGCCTGAATTATGTTTAAATCATTCAGCGCTGGTTCTACAGCGACTTCAGCTGCCGCTTCGGCCAACGCTTCTGGAGCGAACTTCAATAGAGCACAAATTATGAAGAACGTCTTCCAGGTAATTTCTATTAAAAATTATTTTTTTGTCATTTCACTCAATTGTTAAAGAAATCCTTCAAATCGACGTTCCAAAAACCACAATTCGAGTCATCAAATCTACCTCAACAAGTCGCTTCTGATCCACGACCCGAATGGAAAAAGAAAATCGACGAATTGAACGCACAACTTGCCGCGCAGCAATCGGACACACACGAAGAATCTCAAAGTGCTCCCAAGAAGAGTCGATGGCAATAATTTTTGTTATTTAACTATTTCCTATCAATATGTGATAAGAATAATAAGAAATTAATTGTAAAACTTCAACGTTGTACTCTACATTCATCGGTGTTTGCACAATTTCCGGCTCCACGCTTTCTCATTTTTCTTTCAGAATGTTTGATTCGAATTCCATTCGCTTCGTTTTTTTTTATTTTCAATTTTGTTGGTTCAGATATCGAACAACTGTTTTCGAAGATTCGTCTCATTTCTCTCAGTCTCTCATATTATGAAACATTCGTGAACAAATTTCCAACGTTTTCTACTTGTGAGTTTTTCTCAAACTTAAATATTGTGGAAAAAAAAAGTAAATTAAATTTTAAAACAAAAAAATTAAAAATGAAATGTCTTTCAGTTATACCATGGAACGAATACGCAGCACAGCTCGAAAATTACATCATCATTATCGTCAAATAATCGAATGGCGATCACCATTGACTGGCGTCTATTTGATGGCTATCAATTCTGCTTTTTGGTATTCATTTCATTTAAATTCCTTCAATAAGCCGAAATTTCAAAGGATTGGTGTGATTTATTGTGATCCGAAACTACAAGAAGCGGCGTTGGCGACGTCATCGGCCTGCATTTTCGCATGGGATATTCTGTTGTCGTCGACGAATGATCGCTCAATCATCACACATATTTTAATGTGGCCAGTTCAATCAATTTTTCGGGTCGGATTAAAAACGGATTTTTCATCATCGATGTTTTGTTTGTTTAGACTGCTTCCGTCGGCGGCTCTTTGTACACTATACACTTGCTAAGAGCCGAACAAGTTCAAAACGCATGCTACGTTGCGTATGGTGTCTGTGAGTTATCCATTCAATTTTATGAAAATTGCTGCAAAAATGATTTAAAAATAATGAGAAATTTTGTCACCAAAAGTACAAATATAAAAAATGACTAAGCTTGTTTATTTCCTCATAATCGCCGATCAAAAATCTTTTTCTTATCAAAATACACAATTTTAAGTTGAATTTCATCACATTTTTCAAGTGTAGCACAAATTTATTTTCAGTGGCTTGTTTATTGATTAATCCAGTCTGGGAATATAACGAAGTTAACAAGAAAATTGGAAATACTTGTCGTCGAGCTGCCAACAAAATCTACGAAGTATTTGATTATCTCGTTATTCGACCAATTGTCACAATCTACGAATATACCAAATATATTGTCCTGTTCCAATGGGTTCCGCGTAAGAGTTAATTTCAAATCATTTTTTCTTCTTGATTTTTTTTAGCTCTTATCAATTATATTAAGCATCTTGTGTTTAATTTCCGCGAATCTTGTTGGGAATTGGTCAATGGAATTCGGACCTGGTAGGAAAAAATAAAAGTAGAAACTCGACATATTTCGAATTCAGGGTTCGCGTTCAAATAATCGAGAGAACGAAACGAATGTTTGCCGCGATTCGAAGATTCTTCAGATATTGGTTTTACGCTGAATGGTGGCCAGGACTAAAAGCTTGGACGAAAATTCATGTAAGATTTGTAGTTATACAAGGAACTATATTTAATTGAAAATTGATTTCGGGGGAAGTACCATCAAAACCGAAAGATTAGCTATTACGTTGTAATTACCAAATTTAAGAACCTTATCAAAAATAAATATTGCTAATTTTTCTAAAATCAGTATTTTCAAGATTGGTCAACCCCTTCGCTACGCTTTCGATTATGTGTGTGCTGTATTGGTATATATTTTCTGTGCTCATTGGTTCCCACCGTTGTGGAGATTCTTCATAAAACAGATGAAAACTTTAGCATCTGCCGCCAATTTCTATATTTGGCAGCCAACCAAAGCGTTCGTTTTCTCTTTTCTTCTTTTTTTTTTTTGAAATTGTTGGGGAAAATTGGTTAAATCGCGATTATTAGGGTAGTCGTTTTTTATGAAACAAGTTCGCAAGAAACGAGCCACGAACGCCGATTTACGGCGAGTTGTTAGCCTCGCAGATTATACGTACTACCTAAATTACGACTGTTTATATTCAATTTTGAATTATTGCCTCGAAAAAATGCGATGGTCCACAATTGTGCAAGGTGCTCGTTTTTTGCGATTGTTATAGTCGGCGTCCGGCCACTGCTGTACGAGGGTAGATTTACGTGCATGCGCCCTGAAATGGTCTCGCCACGCGTGAATGCTTATTTTGCTGTTTTCACGTGAACTGATTCATTTTTCTTGATGAGTTTGGCGCTTCTTGGAATTTCTAACGTCGTTCGATTTAAAAATTATCGAACCGGTCCATAAAATTTGAAATACCCTGTTAGTCCTTGCTGGATCATTTCGAAAGACGCGTTCACGTAAATCTACCCACGTACACCAGTCGCCGGACGCCAACTATACACATATTTAATATTTAACCGATTTTCCGCAGTCGCACGACCCCCGAAAATAACTGATTTATTTTATTTAAGATTTCTTCAAGTGCAATTTGAACGTTTTCGATGTTGGCTCAGGGCAACTCTTCATGCGCTTGCAATCGCAATCAGGTTATTTCAAAATTGGTTATCAAAGTAGTCATTAGAATTTTCAGAGATTCCATTGTTTGGCCAATCTGTCTTCTTATTGTAGAAGCTGGAAAACAAGCTTCGTTGTTCATCTACCATCTTCTTCTTGAGGTTTCATCGTTTTCTCATCATCTATTTATTACTCTGTCTTCAATTTTCAGCCCGTTCTACAATATCTATACGGTCGCTATAAAATTGTCGAAACTAGCGCTTTAATTTACATTCTTGGTCCTGTATGCGAGACTGTAATAGAGAACATTCCGGAAAAGAATCCGCTGTGCGATGACAGCGACGTTGAGTTAGAAGGATTCGTTCCGGAAGTGCATGCCGAAGATGATTTCGATGAGAATTTCGAGGAGCTTGATGAAGCCGAAGCACATCTTACGCCGTCTTCTTCGATAGTTTCAGGTTAATTTGCAATATTTCTCAGAAAATAGAACATCAATTCAGAAGAAGACGATTTCGAACGCGGTTTACAATTTTCTGCGATAAATGGATCAGAATCAAGTGACGAAGAATTTGACTTGCATCATGCACCCAGGAAACAAGAAAAAGTTTTGAGGAAGCGACGAACACGACCCGACGACGGATCAGCACCATCACATGACGATTCTTATGAAATTCTTGAATGATTTGTATTTTCTAGTTCAATTTATTAATGCCGCTCAAATCACATTTTCTCGGGTCGTATAGAAGTGAGAACTTTACTAATCTACTTGGTTTCTTGCTTACTAATAATAGCTCAATTTTTTCGTAGAATTTTTAGAATTAAATAAAAATGAAAAAATTGAGTTTTGATTTCATAATAATGCCGCAATGTTGAACATAATTAAATTGTAAGTTTGGTGATTACACGATAATAAAAAATTTATTAATTGGAATTAAACATTTGATCGCGTTTCCGTTGAACTTCTGATCGATCCTATCACTTCTCGAAACGATTTTCGAGTTTCTAACACACGCTTTGCGAGTCTTTTCCGATAAAGAATATAAAGAATCAGTGTGAGGAATAAAAGGAGAAATAAACAAATTCCAATGCCCACAAGAATATTAAAAGTCGAAAATCGTTTAATTGTAACTGGGTGTTCGTTTAAGGGGTCGGCAATACAGAAAAGACCCATTTCTTCGGTCGATTGTCCACGCAAACGTGCATTTATTCCAGCACAAAACTCATATTCGTCACAATCGCTGAAAATCCAAATTATTGGGACATTCAGAATTTTAAAATCAAAAATAAGACATCTTCGACATTACTCAAACTAAAATTAAGCATATCTCTGTTTTCTGCTTATTATCAGATAATTCCTTTCGAAACGAATTCACTGTCGATTGGAAAATGTATTTAAAAAAAGATGAAATCCATATCTGTTTCCTCCAAAAGTGGATAAAACTAATCATCCGCAGATCTACTTTTCATTCATTTTCCAACGTGCGTTCGAATCGAATTGAGCAAAAAAAAATACGGAGCCAAAATTGGTCGTTTTCGATTCGAAACGAATTTCAAGAGTTTTCTATTTTGTTAACTGTCAAATTCGCACGGCGTCTTCGCTTCCAAAATGATATAATATCCTTTTTCGTCATCATGCATTCTTCCTAATGTCACTAAACGATATTGATGGCAAATTGTGAAATTGTTTCTAAAAAATGGAGATAATTGCGGATTGCAAAATGTCGACGAAATATAAGGATGTTGGCCGAGATGGGAATTCGGAACATCTAAATACAATTATTTATTACAAGTGATTATTTGAGTAGGCTCTTACGATCCGGACAACATCGTCCATCTCGGCATATTCCGGATTGCTGCGGACATTTTCCCGATGTTCGATCGAATTTCTCGACTCCAGTACATTCTGGCTCATTCAATTTGACTGTATGTCCATCAGGACACGTTTCAGTGACTAATTTTATTGTTTTATTAAGCCTTCTTTAATAAATAAAAAAAACTAACTATTTTCGATGGAATTATATACTAATACAATTATCATGATTAATATTCGCATGACGAACACCTGAATCGTTTGTTTTTACATTTTTTGCTTGGCTATCATGTACCTTATTGATTAATTTTTCAGAATTTTACATCGAATATTTATAAAATAATTCTTTAATAACACGTTGAAATGTGAGCATTAAATCGTCAGCATTTTATTTAAAATATATTCGAAAAATAAATAAAAGTTAGCAATTCTGGAAAAAACTAATTTATGGTTTAATTGCACCGCGCATGGTGACCAACTCTTCGGCAGATGTAGGATGGATAGCGACAGTTTCGTCAAATTGTTTCTTGGTGGCCCCCATGGTGACAGCGACAGCGAATCCTTGGAGCATTTCATCGGATCCAACTCCAAAGATATGAACGCCAACAACCTGCAGAAAAAAAATCGATACATTTGAATTATTATTATATTTTTTTAATTACTCTTTCTTCTTCTCCAACGCAAACCAACTTCATCGCGGCCTTTTCCTTATGCTTCGTTACAGCAAACATCATTGGATTGAAACGCGATTTGTAGAGAGTCACATTTTCTTTGCCGAATTTTGAAATTGCTTCCTCTATAATCAAGAGCTCAAAATAAATTCAAGTAATTAGTTTTGCACCTTCGGTGTATCCAACAGTTCCAATGAGTGGATGACTGAAAACAACCGTCGCAATAAATTCATACTTCAATCTATTTTCCTTTTCGCCATTGAACAAACGATGCGAAAGACGTCTACCAGCCGCAATAGCGACTTGAATCATCAAAAAATTTAGAAGATACTCTTTAAGATTATTTTACCTGGGGTGAGCTCAAATTTTCCAGTGTCATCTCCAACACTGTAAATTCCTTCAACGCTAGTATTTTGATACTCGTCGACTACAATGTAACCTTTGGAATCAGTTTTAACTCCGACCTTAATTTGATTATTTAAAACAGATTCAAAATATTGAAAAAAAAACCCTTTCAAGATGAAGTTGTGGAGTTAACGGATCTCTTCCGATGGCCCAAATCAGAGTTTCGACGTTCTCGATGACACCGGTCGTCGTGTTCACAGTCAGCAATCCGTTTTCTCCTTTGACAACATCAACAACTTGAGTATGCTTGTGAAGGTGCAACGGGTTATCATCGGCTTCCATATCATTGGTAAGCTCATCGCTTAGCATTCTGTCGAATGTTCTTAACACCCGATCATATCGAATAAGAAGATGAGTGTCTGATCCGAGATTCGCGAGAACTCCGGCAATCTCGACAGCGATGTATCCGGCCCCGACAACCACGGTCTTTCTTGAAAAAAAAATACCTAATTTACAAAGCATCATGATTAATTCTCACTTCGGAAGATCTTCCAGCTCAAAGAAACCGTCAGAGTCAATTCCGTATTCAGCTCCTGGGATGTCCGGGATGGTTGGTTTTCCTTAAACAAACAAATTTCTATTTCTATAATACAGGAAGAAATGAAAATAAAGATCTGTTGCAAAATCCAATGAAAAAAGTACCTCCGACAGCAATGAGGGTATGTTTTCCTTTATATTTGTCTCCATTCACAACAACGGTCCCGTCCTCAGCAAACTCGGCTTTTCCGCGAATCAATTCGACTTTTGACTGCAAATTATTTCAGTCGCAAAAATCAACGAAAACAGCGCCGATTTACGGTGAGTTTTATTCTGAGAAGCTATTCGTTGTACGGTATATGAATTACCATAGTTTAAATCAAAATTTGAATTGTCGCCCAAAAAATACGATGGAAAAATACAATTTTTTGCGAATGTAATATACACAAAACAACGAGTTTTGCGAAAAGCTCATCCACATAAATCTATACCATTTGCTGGACGCCAACTATAATTTAAAAAATTAATACAAACCCCATTCAATCCACTTTCATAAAGTCCGTTTAACCGTTTGATGTACTCATCTCTCGACTTCTTAATAACTCTGAAAATAGGCATTCTTCTCGAAAATATCTTGCTTCAAAACTTACTTCCAATCAAATTTGTGAACAGTAACGTCGAAACCGTAATCAGAATGGTCGCGAATAAATTCGGCGTGAAGAGAACAATTATACATAACCTTTTTTGGAACACAACCAACGTTTACCTGTAATTATTTCAACATTAATCTTTAAAATTAATCAACATACACATGTTCCTCCCAGCCTTCCGGATTCGATCAATCCAACAGAAACTCCAAATTCACGAGCTCGTCGTGCTGATGATATTCCACCAGAGCCTCCACCAATCACCAAATAATCAAACTCTTTAACTGTCGCCATTTTTCTGAAAATAACTCCAAAAACAATGACATGAAATTTGGCTGACGCAATAACAGAAATGATGACAAAGAGAGAATGTTAGCGATAAGAGAGAAATGTATGAGTGTTGAACACGAATGCGAAAAATATACCGAATACTTTGCGACGTAAGCTGGGCCACTCGAAGCATTGGTAGTTTGAAACTTTGTAATCAAGATGAACTCATCAAAAAGACAAAGTCTGGAATATTTGAATCGTCTAGGTTTCAAAGATATTAAACTTGTATAATAATTTTTAAGGTACATTTAATCGGAAAAATATAACTTTAGAAAAATCTCCTAGAGATGTTCATCACATTCAAAGTAATTTGTATTATTCGAAAATGTTTAAATTAAATGTAAATGTTTGTTCTCAGAAAGTTGTGTCATATAAATGAATTTTTTTCTGAAACAGTTGATAAAAACGAGTTTCGGTGAAAGGAAATGTCTTCAGCTCTCAAAAAATATTTCGCCGGTGTTTCGCCGGAACTCTCCTTTCATCACCGTTTCTACGGCACGATTTTCTGACATGAGTTAAATATAACAAAAAATGAGAAAAGTCACATCATCGAGAGTGGTTTTAAATTCAAATAGTTTGCGATCGGCGATGTAAATAACTATGGACGTGTTGCAATTTAAGCACCGCCCATAAATTTTAGTGCGCGAGATATGAAAATTGAAATTTTTGTGACGAAAAAAAAAACGTTTAGAGGGTAATCTGAAGAAAATTGGAAATGGCCAGCAATCCGCTTCTTCGGCTTTTCGGATTCAATGACGCCCTTAATGATTCCGAGTCGGAATTGGCTGATACGAAAAAAGGAAGGCTATCGAAGAATGGAGCGAGGTTTGTGTGAAATGTGTTTGATAAACATAGGTGTGATTTATACGAACAGAGAAGCAGAAGAAAACGCCAAAATCGAAGAAAAACCTTCGATAATAGCGAATAGAACCCGCCGAAAATCACAAATCACAGGTTCAAAAAAGGAAAATTTATACAAATGGAGGTTTCGATTTGTAGAAAATGATAAAGAACAGCAATTAGAGCGTCGAAAATCATTGAGAAGTGTAAAAAAGGAGCCGAGTAAATCACCAACGAAACTGTTAGAAGATTCAATGGATCCCGATGATGGTTTCTTTTTCAATTCTAAATTTAGCCATATTGAATTTAGGGGAAATACGACGGAGCAAACGCGATCGTAAGCCAAATAGCCGCTTTTCGCCGAGCAAAATGTCGGAAAGTGTTCGCAAAAACCGGAAAAGGAGTGCCGCGTTGAACTCCGTTGAGCAAATTGAGGAGAATGTAAACAGATGCCTCAAAATGAAAAAATATCAAAATGATGACCAAATGGCTCCGGTATTTTTGAATTTTAATAAAAATAATGGAAGTGGAATTCAATGTGGAGAACTTGGAATTTCAAATACAATTTTCGAAAAAGAGTTTTTAAAAGAAATTTAAAGATCTCAAATTTCACTCATTTTTAGAATTTCCCATTTATTAAAATTATCTTTTTATAAATAAATATTTAGAAAGACAATGATGAAGAATCATTCAAAACGAGCACTTCCGGCGACGAAGAATCTGTTGTAAATTCAGATTTTAGCGATTCTGAAGAAATTGAGGATGAAGAACCTGAAGATAGCAGTACATCGATGGAAGAAAGTGAAGTAATTTAAAAATCGAAAATAATACAAATTTACTTCTGATAGGACGAATACCTTCCTACAAGGGTATCTCGCAGAAAATCAAAGGGAAAACGCATTGCATTCAATATAAGAAAAGAAGTCCGCGAAATGTGATCGAATCAAATAAATTAGTGTATTTAGAGATTTGATCCGAAAACTGAAGAAGAAGAGAGAATTTTTTATCGAAGAAGCAGCAATTCAAGTTTTATGCCCCGACTAAAAAATTGGATGATTAATGGAAGTGGAGAGTACGTAAATTTTTTAAAAACAATATATGTATATTTAAAAAATTGTTTTTAGCTCTATAAAATCGGATAATGTTGTGAATAAACATTTTCAATTTCGAAGATCGATTCTTGGGGATGATTTCGCCCCGTTTGAGAAAGTCCGACAAATAATTGATGCTGTCAGAAGACGTCCAAGTGATTTTATTTACAAATATTTCAAATAATTGTATGTGTTATTCCAGTAATTTGGGATTTGCGTTTGAATTGTCATCGAGACCACATTCTAGTTCGAAAAGCGTGGCTACAAATCGACCAAGTACTCGGAAATGACCAAGAATTCACGCTTCATCGTCGCAAACAAATTTGGAAGAACAAACGCGATTACTATGTTAATCTCGTTTTGTCGCAGAAAACCAAAGAATGGTCATTCTCGAGGTATTTGAAACAACCAATTGAGTCAAGAGATATTTTGGAATGTGTTTTTGTTTCAGAGAAATGGAATTTTATCGTCCGATGATTCTTCTTCGCCATTCGTATTTAATTCGACCGTCAGTTCTACATCAAGATGGAGGATTACGAGAGACAGCGGTTTTAGCGAATAAGAATATCATTTGCAATTCAGATGATAAGATCAATGTCTTAAAGTGTGTATTTTCCTATTTTAACGGAAAAAAATTTTAAATTTTGAGATTTATTTTGAAATCAATTAATGATGCTGGAATTTGCGATGAGTCAATGATGGAAGCGCATGAATTAGCAATCGAACGAATTTTTCTGGAAAATTACGCTCTAATTGCGAATAAATATCGAAAAAATTGAAGTAGATCTTTCCCATTTATCGAGATTTTTATTTGTTGCTTCCATATATATTGTATTTTTAGACTCCCGTTTTATCGTTTTAAATGTTTTTAAAATAATTCATCAATTTTTCCTAATAAACAAATCCGTTTTGAATTCTGCCAAGTTTAAATTCAATTTCAAAGTATAAACGAAAAATCACAATTGTCAACGATAACTGATCGAGTGACGTTCGAAGTTCATAGACAAAAGGTAATGTACAAAAACAAAGATAGGCCGGAAGGAGATGAGAATCAGAGATGATGGCCGATCATCTGAATCGACGTAAATAATATTCGACAGATTTCGATGCAACGTTTTTTTCAAATTCCCCATTTCTTTCATTTTGTTTCTACACATTTCAAGGTAATTTTCATCTTTTTAAACGTCATAATTGTCATTAATGACTACCGGAAAGTAGTCTAAAGGCCATCACAAATCATTCCTCGCCATCACAATTTAATATCTGAAGCACATTATTGAAAGTTTAAAATTGATAAACTATTATTAAATTGTACCGCCAAAGCCACACGCCACCAAAGCCACCTACGCACACAGTGTAATCTTTATATTGCATTCGTGTGCCCCTATAAAAGGGAGCCTCAACGCCCATTTTTTCACTTTCTTTCCCTTCGTTGGTTGTTGTTCAACTTATATTCAATTTATGTCCAATTCATGTTTAACTTATTTTTAATTTATTTCTTTTACAATAAAGTTTAATTACCCAAGTTTGAGGTTGTCCATCTCCTACTGGTTAATAAATTTGGTGCATCGACGACTTACGAATTCAAGCAGCCGAAAGATCAAGCCAACAAGTTCAAGTCAACAACCAAAAGCCATCCTGAAAGAAAACGACTCAACCACAACTACGGCCATCCAGCTTCATCTTCGAATTACAACAAATCGAAGGTCCGTTTTTTCAACATTGCAAGACCTGCGTGGCACAACTCATACTTCAACGCTTTGCACGATACTAACAACACAAAGAACATCGATTTGATCGAAATCGAGTCCTAAACCATCAAGCCATCCATCCATTTGTTAGTCCTTCCAAAAAACTACACAGTCATTCATTAAAAATGAGTGAACTTCGCTATTACCTGACGGCAGCCACACGCTCAATGAACTCCCTGGCACAACAACTTATCGACGCAGAAAAAATGCGATCAGTCCTGAAGAAACAAGAAGAAAGTCATCAACCTATCACGGAAATAGAAGCCAGAAAGGTCTCAAATCGATTGAGACACATCATCCAAAACAGGAGCGACCTCGAAGAGCGAACTAAAGAGCTTATGACAGCAACCCGCCAAGTAGCTTGTGATGAACAAGGCCAGAAAACCCTCGACGAATTCATCGATAAAGCCACTGACGTAATCCAAAGAGCAAAGGACCAGGAGTTCCAGCTGGAAGACGACGAAAAGACAATCGAGACAATAATCAGATTGGAACAACCCAGCATAGAGCCATCGGAATCAAACGTTACACAACGACGAGAAGAAAGCAAACTGCCACCTATTCCAATCCCGAAATTTGCTGGAAATCTGTCAGAATGGACGAATTTCTACACAATATTTGAAGAGACTATCGACAAAAGAAACATATCCGACCTGGAAAAGCTCAACTATCTGCAACAAAGCTTACAAGGACAAGCGAAGAAAGTCATTCAGAAATTTGAATTCCGAGAGGAAAACTACAAAATGGCAATGAGCGCACTAAGAAAGAGGTACGACAACAAAGACGCCGCCATTCGCCAACTCAGCGAACTGCTGACGAACGAAAAAGCAGAAGGAACAAAGCTGAATCATCAACGCGACCTTTTCGACAAAGTATTCGCGATTACTCAGCAACTACGCAAACATGGCGAAGATTTGAATTCGCGAATAATCAAAGAAATGATTATAAGAAAGTTTTCGGGAACCATCCAACGAAAAGTTTTCGAGGATCGTGCCGAGAATTACGACAACGACGACAGATCATGGGATCTGGACGCAATTATGGACGAGATTGAGAAAACAATCAACAAAGAAGAACAACTTCAATCATGGATGCCAGAAAGCGCCAACGAAGCTGAAAAAAGTCATAGTTATCGACATCAGGAAAGGCCAGAACTATATCACCAAGGGAAGCCAAGACAACCAAAATATCGACAGGAATTGGGAAATCAACGACATGATTTCCATCGATACGAACCCAAAAATTCATATCGTAATGAAACTGATACCAAATCAGACAGAATAGTGGATAATCGACATCGAAGCTCGTTTTCGTGCGTCTTTTGCGAAGGAAATCATCTGAACAAAGAATGCACAATATCCATTACGCAGAAACGGGACGCACTCAGAAGAAAAAACCGTTGCTGGAAATGCTACAAAAATCACAAATCGAACGAATGCCCGACTTCAATCAAATGCTCGAAATGCAATGGAGATCACATTCAATATTTGTGTCTGAAGACTACGGAAGTCGACAATCAGAACTCTGGAAACCAAGGAAACCAGAACAACAATAGACGATCGGTACATTCGTCTAATCGCAGTCCGAATATAACGCATGCCACCATTCAAAGCAAGAAGGAATTACCATGCGAATCAGAAAACTCGTCCGAGATCAAATTTATCCCAAGGCCACAATCGGGAATTCTACCAACCATCAAGGCCATGGCATTCAATCCAAAGACTGACCAATGGGAAAAAATAACAGTGATGTTCGATTCAGGAGCAGAAAACACATTCTGCACGGAAAAGCTTGCTGACAGCTGGAACCTGACGAAACTCGGAACCTCGAAAATCGTTCTTCAAACGTTTGGAGAACAAAAACTGACACAACATACGAGTGAAATTGTGGAATTGAAAATGCTCATTCGAAATGGAACCGAAACCATTAAGGCAATGCTCACAAAACAACTCGTCGGAACAATACGGAAAGCGGATATAAGTCAAGAAGACAAGCTGTTCATGGCCACGTTAAAAACGAAATTCAACGAGGATGAACACAATCTAGCCGCTGTAGAACCAGACATGATCATTGGTATGGACCATTTGACAACATTCTGGAACGGATCAATGATTAAACTTCCATCCGGATTGCATCTCATTCAAACGGAATTTGGGATGACCGTGATAGGCAAGACGATCAAGCAATCAATCGAAGACGAAACCGGAATTAGTCGGAGCAACATTATAATTTCCGGAGACGACACCATCGAATGGAATGAAGTGACGAAGACTGACAACGAATCAGCAGAATTCACAGGTTCCACAAAAGAAGAAAAAGCGAAAGAAGTTGAAGAAGTATGGAAAACGTTCAATTCCACCATCGAAAAGAGAGAAGATGGATACTTCGTGCGTCTACCGTTCAAAAAAGATGCAGATCAACTTCCCGGAAATTACGCTATCGCGCACAAGCGACTGGTCAGTGTATTGAAACAGAACACACCAGCCATACTTCAACAAATCGATCAAGTGTTCAAAGATCAATTGGAGAAGCAGATCATCGAAAAGGTCAATGATCAGGGAAATGGACCCATCTCGAAAATCGTCCATTACAACCCACACCAACCTGTCATCACGCCGCATAAAACAACGACTAAATGCAGAATCGTGATTGATGGAAGCTCACATTTTCGAAACAACCTGAGCCTCAACGACGTACTTTACCAAGGAGACGTCATCCTGCCTGATTTAAAGAAACTTCTCATCCGATTCCGAACCGGGAAAACAGCAATCGTTTCCGACGTGGAAAAAGCCTTTCTTGCGGTTCACCTTCATGAAGATGATCGAGATGCAACCAGAGTTTTATGGGTTCACGATACATCAAAACCAGCATCTGGAGATAATCTCATGATCCTGAGATTTCGACGCGTACTTTTTGGACTAAATTGTTCACCATTCCTACTCGGAGCTACAATCAAATACCACATAGAACACTCACAGCAAGCGATCGCAAAGGAGATCAGCAATCAGCTATACGTTGACAATCTTCTGGTGACAACCGATGAAGAATCCCCGGAAGAACTAGAGAAGAAATATCGCGATATCAAGAATCTGTTCAACGAAATGAGCATGAACATCAGAGAGTTTAGAAGCAATGATAACAAACTAAACGAAATATTTGATGAAAAAGACCGATCAATTGAAGAAGACATGAAAATACTAGGAATTCAATGGAAGTCAACTACAGACCAACTTCAAGTCAAGTGCGACGTCAAGCCACCTGAAAAATGGTCAAAACGATCAATTTCCGGTCTCATTGGAAGCATTTACGATCCACTGGGACTGATGGCACCACTTGTCTTGCCACTAAAAATCGAACAGCAGAAAAATTGGATAGAGCACATCGATTGGGATGACAAACTAGACGACAATCAAGAAACCAAATGGAATAATCTAATGGAATCGACAATTGGCTTCACCAAATCTATTCCACGGAACGTCATCCTGAAAAGCGGAACGAATACAATTATCACCTTTACGGATGCCAGCATACACGCAACTGCCTCATGCACATTCATCGTCAATACTCTAGGATCACACCTTATATATGCAAAATCCAGCATTCGGCCAGCCAAGGAAAAATGGACCATCCCGAAATTAGAGCTCAAAGCAGCATGCATGGGAGTCACATCAACCATAACCACGATATCAGCCCTCATAGAAGGAAATATCAAAGTCGACAAAGCTTATCTTCTCACCGATAGTGAAATCGTCAAAGCCTGGATAAAATTACCTCCAGGAAAAGAAAAAGGAGGAGTCTATGTCACCAATCGACTTCGACAAATCCGCAACGACGTCGAGAAGATGAAAGAAATGAACGTTCAAATTTCATTTGGCTACGTGAGGACAGATGAGAATCCAGCCGATCATGCAACCAGAGGACTCACAAAGGAAGAAATGGATAATAAGCTGTGGTGGAATGGCCCAGAATTCATCACAAAACACGAAGAAACCTGGCCAGAAGATACCCAGCTGTTCCAGATCAGTGATCCAGATGGCGAAGAGGAAATCCACGTCAATGCAGTGAAACATTACTGCCCAGATCCGGATGAAGTCATTTACAATTGTAACCGAACAAACTCTTTCGAAAAGATGACACGGATCACCAATTACTCATTACGATTCATCAAAAAGTGCATATCGAAGATGAAGTCAAAGGAACGAATACAGGACACCATCCCGGAATTACATTCGATTCCCGAAAACTTCACAACCAACACAATGATGTCAGAAGAACTTGAAGCCGCTGAAAAATTACTCATTCGAGATCAACAAAAATTGATTACGAAGAAACAACTCGAAAATTTGAAGAACCTCGGATTGGTACAAGATAATGAAGGAATTATCAGATGCCACGGAAGGATGCAGAAGATGGACGGAAGTCGAGATGAAAAAAGACCAATTTTGCTTCCACCAGATTCAAATTTAACAAATATGGTCATTTGGAAATACCTCCGAAGACATCAATCCGACAAGGAACAAATGACAGGATTACTAATGGATCATAACCAACAACTATTTGAGGCCATTCAAAAAACAATGCGAGAATGCGCCAAAAACATTGAAAACACTTGCCAGTCATTCGCGCCGGAGGCCCAAGGTCGAGCCAGAAGCACGACAAAATCTCCAAGGCCAAACGCAAAATCCCGAAATTCGTCATCCCGCTCGCCAAGATCAAGCAGCAGTGAAACACCCAAGTCATATGCGAGATCAAATACGAAATCGAGATCACGATCGAAATCAAGATCACAATCACGATCAAGAAAAACATATCGTCAACATCATCGACGAGAATCACAAGATCGCAACAATCAACGCCATCGAAGAGAATCAGAAGACAGCAACAATCAACGCCATCGAAGAGAATCAGAAGACCGCAACGATCAACGCCATCACGGAAAAACCGGACTCATCATACGACGGATAGCCACTGAAAACACCTGCGATGGAGACGACTTGAATTGTGCGTTTTGCTATAGACCGCACTTTTCCGACAAATGCTTCGAAATCACAAACGCCAAGGACCGAGAGCGTCATCTGGAGAAAACGGATAGATGCAAGAGGTGCGTGAAGCGGAACCATCGAGGAATATGCCATTCGAAATGTTATTACTGCTCAACCCACGGAAGGATGGAAGCAGCAAAGACCCACCACACGGCCATTTGTCGACTCCCCAACGTCACCGTCCTTGAGGGGGAGTGTCATTAATGACTACCGGAAAGTAGTCTAAAGGCCATCACAAATCATTCCTCGCCATCACAATTTAATATCTGAAGCACATTATTGAAAGTTTAAAATTGATAAACTATTATTAAATTGTACCGCCAAAGCCACACGCCACCAAAGCCACCTACGCACACAGTGTAATCTTTATATTGCATTCGTGTGCCCCTATAAAAGGGAGCCTCAACGCCCATTTTTTCACTTTCTTTCCCTTCGTTGGTTGTTGTTCAACTTATATTCAATTTATGTCCAATTCATGTTTAACTTATTTTTAATTTATTTCTTTTACAATAAAGTTTAATTACCCAAGTTTGAGGTTGTCCATCTCCTACTGGTTAATAAAATAATTTTAATTTTTTTAAATATCTAATCGAAATTGAAGTTGAACTGACGAGTACAGTTGGGGAATTTGGTGAGAAATGCAATTTATTAATTGTGCTTAAATTTTGAAATTAGAAATCGAAATGCTCTGGAAAATTGCGTAGAGATTTCGCAGTTTCAGCAAACTCAAATTAGAAAAATTGCACAAATTCATTCTTGAGAATCTGAGATTTATGATCGATTTTTTTTTAAACGACAGTTTTGTCCGAATAATTGTTAATTTTCTGAGGCATATTTCAAATCTCTTATTCTCCAGACCCGTCGCGCATATTGCTTGATATCTTTGCTCAACTACATCTCCGGATTGGTTTTGATATCATGGATGTTCATCCGGAATCCCGTTCTTCTTGATGCTCTTTATTGCATCTCATCAGCACTTATTGGCATTTCCATAACTGGTATCAACTCTTTAATATTTCATTTCTCACTTTTCAGGATTATACCTTAAAAGACCTTCTCTCATGCTGCCCGACGTTTTATATAAAGTAATTAATTGTTTCTCAATTATTGCAAAGCTGAAATATCAGATATCCATAATAACTTTGGGTTTGTTCACAGCGATCGTCGAAGTTGATAAAAACGAGCAAAATTCAGTTCAAACGCTCATTTTTGTCGTCATTTCTGTGTTATTCCAAATTTATGAGGTATCGCGAATATATTTATTTTCAAATAATTATATTCAAATTTGAAACCATTTCCATTCGATTCAATTTAATTTCAGAATTATTTTCTTTTCAACGCAATCGCAGTATTTTATCGCGAACAAGATGGATTGGATCAAACTAGGCCACCGCCGAGCTACAATTTATTCGCGCCAAGACCAAATCGCAAATCGCTTCAAGACCAAAGTCCTAAGTGGGCGAGATACGGTAGAAGAACCACCGCCCAGCTATGAATACGCAATGCAGAGACTCAGAGAAGCAAATCGTGAAATGATTGTTTAGCTGGTTCAGTTTTCAAGTGTACGGGTTTTGCACATAAACAATCATTTATTATAATTTAATTATTTATTTTAAATATTCATCATTACAAAAATATATTCGGAAAAATAGAAAAAGAAAAATCCTACACAACATTCGTTTTCTGCAAAATTGAAAAAAAAACGAATCTAAATTTAAAGAGATAATCTGTGGATTTTAAAGTCATTTTTGTAGAAACGAAAGATTTCAGAAACAACTCGAATGATCGGGAAAAATGACTCGCCACGAGAATATTGAGGGTAATCGGCCAATTAAAAAAAATTGCGAATATTATGCGAATTTGTAAACAAATTGTTTGAGGCGAAAGGGTGCAAGAATATTTGGAATCATTATGTTTGTTGATTGCAAGACAACAACTAATGAGCGCGAGAAAACAAAAAAAAATAGAGAATCGGGGAAACCGGTTCAAAGTACGTTGCACGAGTAGTGCATTTTAACGTCTTAAAAGAGAAACCTGTGTGGAGAAATTTGCAAGTAAAACAAAAACAATATGTCGGAAAAAGATTGGGCCAATTTTTAATTTCCATTCAAATCCTTATACAACTCATCCAAAGTCTTCTGGTAAGCCGTCTGAATTGGCTTTCGCTTCAATTTCAAGGCTTCTGTCAATAGGCCAGTATCAGGAGTCCAGATTTCGGGGCACAAATAAATAGCCGCTGGGATTTCAACACGGCTAAGCTTGCCTAAATGATGAATTCTTTAAACATGAATATCTTTGAATGTTTCCTACTCTTCTTGGCGTGTTCCTCAAGTTGCTTCTTGAATGCGGCGACCACCTGCTTGTTCGAGCACATATCCTTCATTTCTTTCGAAGTTTCTCCTTGCTAAATTCAGACTTCTTATTAATTTACTACATTTCTGTTAACAAACCTCTTCTGCGATCTTTTCTAAATGTTTCTGATTTGGTACCACAAGTGCAACTACGCTGTTCTCCAAACTGCTACCGTATACACAGATGTTATCGACAATCGGGCAATTCAAAAGTGCGCATTCAACCTAATAAAACAGGATGAATTCAACCGTTTACGTTCTTTCTTAATACCTTTGCGAGTGAAACGTACTCTCCGTGTTGCAATTTCACCAAATCCTTCTTTCTGTCAATAACCAAAAGAGATCCATCTTCGCGTTTCTGACCAATGTCACCAGTAGCAAAATACCGTTTTCCCTAAAAAAATTTAAAAAAACGTGTTTTAAACAACGAAATGATATTCTTACTTGATACATAATGAAATCTTCAGCTGTTTTCTCTGGCTGTTTCCAATAACCAGGTGAAACATTTTCTCCAGAAATCAGAATTTCTCCTTGTGGTGGATCATTGAATGGTGAATATCCCCCTGAATTGATGAAAATTTCAAAAACGTTGAGAAATGCAATTGATTTACCTTCTGGCCACTCTCTCAAGGCGATATCTGAGCATCTTACTGGTGGTCCGACAGTTCCAGTGCTAAGGTCATTGATGTCAGCGACACATGCAGCTCCGCACGTTTCTGTTAAACCATATCCTTGTACTACTGGACAGCACATGCAAATGTTCATGAACCGTTGCGTTTCGGCGTTGAGTGGAGCTCCTCCCGACAAAACTCCGCGTAGTTTTCCACCTAATAACCGTCGGATCTTCTTGAAGACAATTCTAGAAAAGGACGAATTACGAGTGATATTTTAGTTCACAATACCTGTCGAGGAATGGACTGCAATATCCTTCCAAATAACGCGATCGTTTCCTTTCGTAGTTAAGTTTGAACAATTCTTGCATAAATCTCGGCGATGCGGCAACTTCTTCCGATACAGCCTTGAAAATTCTGTCCATAATAGCCTTAAATGTTATTCGTTCTCATTTGTCAATTCCGCTTCTAGCTTACAGGGACAGCAGCCATGAGAGTTGGTCTCAAAGCATGGCAATCTCCGTGCGTTCCTTTCAAAATCTTGCTGGCGCGATCGTGAAGTGTCGTTGGAGACGAATATCCAACCTAAAAGAGCAATTAACTTTACCATATTAAATGTAAAATAAATTACTTTCGCCCCTTTTGTCAAGCAGGTCAATTCAGCATCAAGTTCGAGGATGTGAGCCAATGGGAGGTATCCAATGTACGTATCCGTATTGCTGAAAAAAAATGATTAGAACGATTGTTGTGATCTTAACGATACCAAATGATTCCAACGCCATCTCCTTGTCCGCAAAGAGCAGCCACAACGTTTTCGTGAAGCAGCATAACTCCCTTCGGTTGCCCAGTTGTTCCAGAAGTGTACATGATCAGAGCAAGGTCGGATTTGACGGCAGGAGAAGATTCTAAAACGCAGAATAGTTGTGATACTGACCGTAATTGAAAAAATCGTACTGATAACTTCCTGGCTTCGAGCCAAAACTTGATTCAAAGACAAGACTTCCTTGAATTGTCCTTTGAACGCTGAGACGTCTGGCTGTGGGGCCTTCGAGTTGACAGGAGCGAAATAAATCTAAATTATTCAAAAATAAAGATATTCCATGCTTCGATATTACCAAATTTTTCAACGTTGGGCATTTCTTTCCAAGTGTTACGATTTTAGGGAGCAGTTCCGCTGAAGTGATAATCAAAGTGGCCTCAGTTTCCTGGATAGCATGGGCAATTGCCTGAAATATTGGTGATCCATTTTTTTCAAAATACAATTCAAAACACTCACGTCTTCTCCGAGAGTTGCATAAACAGTCACAATGGTGATATTGGTCCGGAAGCAAGAAAGAGCACAAATGAGCCAATCGGCACGAGTCTCTGCGAAAATAACCACCTTCGGGTCTTTCTCGTCTTTCTCCAAATCCTTAATTCCAGCGGCAATGCGTCCAACTTGATTCTCAACTTCGCGATAACTTTGCCAAACATAATCTCCCAGATGCCATTTCTCGAAAATACGTCCGTCTTCCTGTTTATCTTCGTGAACTTCCAATAGTTGTCGAGTTCCAAGACATGGTGATTCCTCGTACAATTCAACACAGTGTCTCCAAACCTAAAAAAAAAACACTTCATTCGATGAAAAATGAAACGAACGGAAAACCTTGTCAATGGTATCTTTTCCAATAAATGTCTCACTCGCATGCCCATGAATATTCCGAATCGGTCCATCTCTCTTATCAACCCACATCGCCTAAAATATATTAATTTCTAAGATCAAATAGTGAAACCGAATGATAAAATCACACCTTAAGCCTTTCAGATTTGCGCAATTTCGCTGTCGGCGAATTAAACAATTGATATGGAAGATAGTTGAGACAATCGTATATGAAGAACCAAACTCGGAGAATGCTCATCAAAAAGCGAATCCATATTGGCGACTCTCCTTTGACGACCTGAATCTCATTTGTCAAATATTTATATCGGTCATTCAATCTTTCGGAATTCGATAAAATCACATCGAACGGCATTTTCCATTTTTGAAATATTCGAAAATCCGTCTACCTACCATTATTCTATTTGAGGAATGAACGTTACATTTCAAATATTCTTTCGAATACACATACACGCAGTTTTTATAAATCCAGTAAAGTTTACCTTTCCCAAAGTCTGATCTTTCGATGAGTCGTACACAGAATTTTTCCGCTTCATCTGAAAATGCGTTTTTGCAATTAATATTTGAAAACCAAAAGATATAAATGACTCAGTTCGACCGGTGAAAATGCGATGCGTCAATAGGAAAAACATACAAATGTAATGGTGCGGCAGGCAATGCTTCAAAACTAAAAAAAATGGATGACACAAATAATAATTGCCAGGTGGTATTTTTGTTAAATTAGAACACGCAATCATCATTTCTGGGTTAATTTAATATTTTTTATATGAATCTTCGCTTTTTTCTGGTGAATTTAGCTAGAAGTAGAGATCTTCCGAAACGCGCACAAATATTTGATCTTATTTATATTTGCGCACTATGTTGCGAAAAAAACCTTCAACAATTTTGTACTCAACAAAAAATGCAGCGGAAATCTTAGGTGATAAGCAATGAGGATTTGAATGACGTTTGATACGGAAACCATTGTATTGATAACCAACCGGAAATAAACTTATTGAGCTGATTAAAACCGTCGTGTGACAAAGAGACTATTCTGACTAATCACGACGCTTTTAAGAAACACGGACAAATGAAACAGAAAGGAAATCGCCGGCAAAAGGACATCGACAAAAATTTTCTGAGATTAAATCGGAAAATGAAGCGTCTCGACTGAACAGGAGTGACATCCGAAAGAAAGAAAATTATTTTGTTTATTAAATGAATAGTGAATGTTTCGAACTTTAAACAGAAAATTAAAGCATCAAAAGTTGACCACTGATTAAAATTTGCTACCGACTGATAACCACCTCGCGAAAATAACTGATTTGATCGTTGTGCAAACAACGTTGATTAGACGATTTTTGTATATCAAGTTTCGATTTTTCGTAATCAAGTAATTAGTATTCAATTTCCGAAAAATAAAACAATCGAGACAAAATGAATGGGAGAGGAACTCTGTTTTAGGAGGCACGAACACGTTTCGGCTAAGTTTTGGGCGCGCGAAAACAGAACGGAGCCCGACAGATACGCAGCCGGACAGTTGAAATTGATGTAGGCAGGCTGAGTTGGAGGCCGGGAAGAGGAAGAGGAGGCGGCGAGGGACGCAGCGCCCCACAAAAAGCCAAGAACGCGGCGCGGAATTTGAGTGAGGGATGGAGGAGGCAACGCAAAAACACTACTGCATTCATATACCGCAATTTTTGTTTTTGTTAGACACTTGTCGATAGAATCGCGGCCAATAAATTAATGAGTATTGTCCATATGCATTATATTAACGCTGCAACTATTTTTCCCAAAGATTCAGAAATATTTGTAATCTAAAAACGAGAGACTGTAATCGAAAGTGCGAACATAATCATAAAAAAGTGCGAGAAGCTGATAAGTGAAAACTGTGTTGAAAATCATATGGTTTGCGAGGAAAACGCACGCCATAATGCACGCCATAGCTCGAAAGCGTGACTATTTCAGGAGAAGAGACGCAGACAGAATGGGCACGTAATTTCGTAACTGGCCGTTATTACACGTTTCATATTAACTTCCGTGACTCACAATACCCGGCGTTCCCACAAAAAATTTCAACAGTCTGGAAATTATGCATTTTTGAGTTGGCAAACTTCTAATTTACGAAATAAACGTTTGTTAAATTTTTCAACGATTGATACTGTACAAATTTTACTAATGGATACGAAAAATGGATGCGAGAAATTTCGAACAAAAATTGAAAATATACAGAAAACAAATCGGACGCGACAACAAATCGTAGAATTACAATACGGATCGGGTTGATTCCGGAAGTTTCGAGCTAACAGAGAAATATTTAAGGACTAATTCATGTAACAAAAAATGAAAAAAAAAAATACGCATTTTTATAAGGCAGGTATTTTTTTAAATTTTATTTAAAAATTCACATTTAATGGCATTTTTAACATTTTTCTAAATGATGCATTTGAAGAGTATGCCCATAAAATATATTGTCGGCGTTGCTCAACTACGAACAGCTTGGCTAAATAAAAAACCAATGACAATGGTCTTGGCGCAAGATTAAAAGTTTATATTTGCGGGCCTAAGGATAACGGTGATTGAATTGTTTAATTTTAAATTGAAGCTTCGTTACGAACCTTATAATAGAAATTAATAAAAAAAAAACTCGGCAAACTCACCGGGCGAAACCGGGGTTTTTTCGTGTTCGGTGTAGGAGTGGAAAATTTTTTGAGAATCCGGGCGGAAAAAAACTGAACAAATTGGTTGATTTCCTCAAGCGGAACCTGGGCGTTTCGTCAAAACTGAGAAACATCCGCCGTTTTCCCAATGAATTAACCGAGAACACGAAAAATGACAAAAAAAACGTCAAGACGATTTGAAGATCGAGGTTTCCCGCAATACGCAAACACTAAACTCTACGCAACGGCTACAGTAATCCATAAAATTTTAAATCCCATTAATAAATAAATATCGAATTTTTAAAGCGCGATTTTACGGCCATCTATAAAATTAATCAAATTTACGAAATCAAATAAACCTTGTAATAATATATACTATAGTTTATATAAAATTATATTATTTGAAGCCAAATTTAGATATTTCGAAAGTGAAAAAATTTTAATATTTATGACTTTGGGAGTTTTTATTAGTGTTTCAATTTACATAGTGGGTAGAGTGAATATTTAACGAATAATATTATAATTATTGATGAATGTGATTTTCTTCGTATACTTGGTTCATTCCATGTTCGTCCATCACATTCAACTCTTGATCTTCAAGATTTTCCTACAATAAATCAAAATTAATTGAACGCGTTCATTCATTAAAAAAAACCTCTTGAACTTCATGTTCAGTTGACTGAACATATCGTGTAATCGGAATACGCATCGACGCATCATATTGTGATTGAAGTATTTTCTCTTGTAGCTTTTGTAATTTCAATTGACGTTGAAGAAACTGAAATTCAATCAATAGCTAGACGCTTAAAGAGACAAATAAAAACGAATTTCATATTTTTGGCGTTGAAATAAAAAAAAAAAACAAGACTACTGAGCGAAACGTTTCACGATTTTATTTTCATTTTCTGATAAAATTTAACTAAAACTTTTTTTTTTATCAAAAGCGACTTATTTTCGATTGCGAAAATTTGGCTAAATTCCCAAAAGCAATGGCAGTGGTCTTGGCGCAAAACTAAACGCGTAGTAGATTAGGCTAATGCCCTTTTTTTTTAACAATTTTTGACATTGACCCAATTTTCTGCGTCGACAATAAAACATTAATTGTGCAAATAATCCCTTAAACGAAACATCTGACATTTCCTTTAAATATTCAAAAAATTAGTATTCAGGATTTTCTAATTCAAAAGTTCCACAATTATTAGAAAATGACAATAACAATAGTGAAACTCCAAAAAAAACACGAACCTCTTTTTGCAATAATGTAACTTCTGGATCAAGCGATGGCATCAAACATACTGGAGGAAGTCCTATTAATTCAGGCCTCGACGAACTTCCATCAAACTGCGCGACGTAATTTGGATTGTTACACTGCATCATTTTCGTATCTACAAATCGAAAACGATATATTAAAAAATCACCGGCTCATGGATTAACCGATATTATTCGAGTCTCCTATAGCCATACTAAATCTCGCAGCCATTCCGGATATGCTCGGTTGGTCTCCCTTTCGTTTCTTCGTCAGACTTGTTGTAGTTGTCGATCCATTCGTCCTTCTGCGAGATGTTTGAACATATTCAGCATCGGCTTCTAAAAAAAATCAATTATTATCAAAATGAAACTTCTAATAGAATACCGGATCGTTTAACAGGATATCGCAGCATTCGATGCTCCTGTTGTTTCGCCATCTGGTTTGATTGTATTCGACTAGTGTGTGCTTGCTCTTCGACATCCACTTCCATTTCACGTTGAATTCGATTTGCTGTATGTGATTGATTCATATCCTGCAAATTTTTTCGGATAATCAATATAAATGTTCACTCGCCGCATTCCTTAGACGACTTTTATTTTCAAATTGTTATGCCTCAATATATTAAACAAACTGAAACCTGGTCGGCATCCTTATTTGGATTTTTATCCGTCGAAGTCGATGCTTGCGCAGTTCTGCTAGGCCCAGCCTGAGAACTATTCATTGAACTGTCCATGTCAACTTCTTCTTCAACTTCTTCCTCTTTGAATTTCATGTTTAGTTGTTGACCATCGAGTGTGATCGGCTGACCTGAGAAAAACCGTTCAATTATTAAATTCAAATATGTATTAATAATAATTATCTTCATATTCTATATAATTTCCGCCTGGACACGTTTGTTCGTCTGCGTTACATTAAACTAACGACGATGGCATTCTAATAAATTTCGATTAATTGCAAAAACATTGAGTAGTTGCAAAGAATTTGCATTTCGCAGCGCACTATCGCAACTTTTTAGAATTTGACGAAAATCACAGAACAAATTCGTCATATTTCTTTCAATTTTTTACATTGCAAAAGCACAAAATTGGATTAAACGTGGAATACAATTTTTCATCTATTTTTTAACAATTTTTTGTCCGTTTTCTAGTTGCAGTGTTCGGATGGCCTAAGCAACGAAGCAATGTGAAGTCTCAAATCTGGCGAGATTTTTTTAAACGCTTTCCTCTAAAATGAATTTAAAAAAAAAACTAACCATCTCCTCGTCGCCTCTTCATATCGATCGAATCAACTATTTCTTCAACAACTTGCTCATACTCGGTGCCATCTTCAGCGTACGGAACACTTCTTTGCTCAAATATTTCTATAAATTCAGGTTCCTAAAAATCCGACATAAAATATATCATTTTTTGCAATCAGTAACCATAGTTCGACTTCTTTGTTGATAAGGAAGTAAGAATCCAATAGCAACATCACCGTTTCTTTTAATGTAGGGTTGTCTACGAAATGTCGGAACCTTAAAATAAGGACAAATTAAGAAAAAATAACTATTATTATGATATACCTGTGGTTCCCGAAGCGAAAACCTGGATCGATACTCATTTGAGGTTTCTTTAAAAGTATAGGAAGTCATTCGAGTGTAAGCTGCATCACGTACATCTTGTTCATTATATCTTAAAACATAAAAAATGACTCGAAAAAATAATTTAAAAAATAAAAACGTACCCGACGAGAGTAAATTCAAGCCTGTCTCCATTTGGTAAACTGCTATCTCGAATAGAAACGTTGATATCGAAGTTCTCACCTTAAAAGATAGACGAAATTGAACAATATACAAGCAGACAAACTGGTTATATCAACAGGTGACTTTACTATCTTCCGGCCTTCCAACTTTTTCTGATTACAAAAATCGCACGATATCACAAAATTTTTAACATCTTGACGTACAGAACGCCAATAAAGTTTACGTAAAACGACGATCTGTCTAAAGATGTTTGTTTGAGTTGTTTATACATATTTACAAAACATACGTTCGCTTCTGGCCAAGATGACCTATGAGTTCATGAATTCTTTCCAATACTTTGCGAACTTCACCTTTTTTGACAACAACCTGAAATAAATGCTACTGATACAAGAAAAAAAAATGATTGATAAGCATCTACTTGACAAGAATAAAAAGTGGATGTTTGTGAGAGATCGATTTGCAAAAAGGAACCAACTAGCATTGATAATCTAATAAATTATTCTTCCCACCTTTGGCTGATCATGAACAGGGCTTGTTGGGTTGTAATATAGCAATGTTTCGTTATCATCTGCCATCGTAAATCGAGTGCATTTCGATCTCCAATGACTTGGTGCACTTCGATCCATCCTCTTGTCAATGGAACTTGGGACGAGACCCGTTCTATACAACAGCATCGAATTATATATTAAATAAAAAATTAAAACCTTTTGTATTCAACTATATCTGCGTATAACTCCGGTGACATTCCTCCATAACCATCGCCATCTTCACTCCGCATGTCGTCATCTTCATAAGCTATCGATTCATTACCACCTTCGCTTTGGACAACAAGTTCCTAAAGAAATATTAATTTTTTTAATTTTTTTTGTTTAAAATTGATTTCGTACATTCATATCAGCCACTGCAATTTCTTCGTAACCTTCAACAACCATGTTATCAACAACGATTTCTTGATCGTTTAGCATCATGTTTCCTGTAAAAAGGAAATGAATTATTAGCAAGAAATATTAAGAATATTCAAATTTCCGCCAAAAACGCTAGGAATGCGCTTTACGGGGACGCAAATTGACGCAAACATGGTGGGCGATTGATGAATTGAATGGGCGGGGTCAAGCCGCAACACGCTGACGCAGACCGCGTGCGCGCTAGCGCTGCGTCGCGTTCATGTGAAGCAAGTCTGCTCCACGGACAATTTTCAATTCGGGCTTTGCTTTTACTTTTTTGACGCGTTTTTTGCGTTTTTAACATCATTAATTGATTTTTCCCATTGTTATAAACTCGTCAATCATTGAATAATCGTGACTTATCTTATGAAAAATGCAAACTATTTATTTTCATCAAGTTTTTTAACAATCTACGTTAGTAAAAAATGCACTGTTTTTCATATGTTTTTGTGTTATAGATGGATTCCGGAGAAGGTAGCAGTAGCGGAGGTTCGAAAATGAAAAACTTCAACGATCGCTTAAAAGAATTGCACAAAATGAGGCAGAAGGCAAGAAAGGAGAACCACGAGCAAGTTGTTGAAGAAGATAGACGAAATAAGCTTCCCAGAAACCACGAAGCGCGAAAAGAACGTGAATCGTGGACCATTAAAGAACTTGAAGAGCGAAAAGCTGCGGAAGAAAAGGGACTTGACTATGAAAGGTTAGATTCTCTAAATTTTAAATAATTGCGAAATCGACCTGGTTACAGATTAAAAGCGATAGAAACACCAGCAGAAATTGCTGATAAACTTGAATTGAAGCGAAAACGAAAGAAAAACCCAGATCTGGGTTTCTCGTCGTTTGAAGACATGACACTACGACAACACACAAGGTTGACTTCGGCGCTCGATCCCGATCTTCAGTCATACAAGAAAATGAGAGAAGTGGTCGGAGACGATCAGTTTTATCCTACAGCAGATACTCTTATTCATGGTATTTCGACAATTGTTTTTTTTTTTTTACTATTTCGATATACAGGTTCACATTACCCAACGACGTCGGCAATGGAAAAATTGGTGAATGACGTCAAAGGACAAGTCAAACGGCGTGAACAGTTTCATCGCCGTCGTTTGTATGATCCAGACGCGCCTATTGATTACATCAATGAAAAAAACAAGAAGTTCAACCAAAAATTGGAGAAATATTACGGGAAATACACCGAGGATATCAAAGACGATTTGGAGCGTGGAACAGCCATCTAAACTGCTTTCCATTTTTCACTATTTATTCATAATTCTTCCATTTTTCCTTTATAACCCGTTCTGTATTTTTCTGTGTCGTTCTTGTTTTGTTCGCTTTTATGATTATTCACTATAATAAATATATATTTTCAGGTGATCAATGACCCAGTTCCTTCCTCCGAATTTACTTGCCCTATTCGAGGCACGTCCTCCAATCCCGTATTTACCGCCTCCGGAGGATTTGCTCATTGATAAGAATGCGAAACGGCCACCAATTACAGGAGTTGCGCAGTATTTGTCACAATTTGAGGTAAAAAAAAACGATACTGAAAAGAAACATCGAATTTTCTGGTTTCTAGGACCCCGCAGACACTCCGCCAAAGCCAGTTGTTGAAACGAAGGAGCAAAAAAGGCAAAGACGTCGAAGAGAAAAGGAAGAATTATTGGCGTATAAAGTGGAACAAGGAATTGCGCAGTGGAATCCTGCTGAAAATGAAAAAGCTACCGAAGATCCATATAGAACGCTTTTCGTGGCACGAATTGTAAGTATTGTCGAAGTAGCACGACAGAAAAACGCTTATTTTTAAATTTAATTCGTTGTTTTCAGAATTACGAAACGTCAGAAAGCAAACTTCGAAGAGAATTTGAGAGTTACGGAAAAATCAAAAAGGTACAATTTTGTTGAAACATACTGAATGCTTATTTTTATGTTTAGTTGACAATGGTTCATGACAAGGAAGGAAAACCGCGAGGATACGCATTCATCGAATACAGCGACAAATCAGAAATGCATAGTACGTGACAAAAACCGCGTATTTTTTTTATGATTTTGAAGTTCAAAATCATTGAATAGCTGTAATTTTACAGCAAATGCACTTGGCGTATGCAAATGCCTGAACTGACATTGAATTTCTTCTTCCACCTATCTTATTCATTTTGATAGGTTTGTTTAAAAGCGGTTTGCTGAAAACTAAATTCAAAATTATTTAATTGATACTTTCGCCAATCTTTTGCACATAATTACATTTTTCTAATTTCCGGGTAAGTTCTACTTCCGGAACGCCCTTAGCGAAATTGCGGTAAGCTTGAAAGCGGCTGGTAAACCACTTTTGGAAGTAGATATTGTCTCAGTTATCTTTATTAGGTATTTTTGGCTGAAAAGGAAGGTAAAATGGTAAATGTTCTATTTGTTTCGTTTTTTTTCGTCGTAAATCAATTTTGGGTAAGTAAACGACTTCTGCCGAAATTGCGCGCAAAATTATCAAAATTTGGGGTTTGTAGTAAGTTGATTTCAATGGGTAGGTCCTATCAGCTTTTGCTCTTGACTCAAACCTCAAGAAAACCTTGTTCACTTTCTGTTGAATTGTTGTTAACTAATCTCCGCAATATTTTCGCTGTTGTTTTACTGACTATTATAATTTCAGATGCTTACAAGAAAGCGGATGGAATCAAAATTGACGGAAAACGCCTAGTTGTTGATTACGAGCGAGGACGAACTCAGAAAACCTGGCTTCCAAGAAGACTTGGTATATTTAATAACAAATATGTATGTAATTATTGAACATGTTTAGGAGGAGGAAAGGGTGATACTCGCAAAACTCGAGAATCGCGCGCCGCTATTTTAGAACGAGAAGGAGCTTCTGGATTTGACGAGCATGATAGAGGGTGAAGCGATTTTATATGAATACAATTGATCTATTAATTTTTTAGAAGCCGAGACAGAAGACATGATTCATACAGAAATGGAGAACGTGATCGACGTGATAGAGGATATGGAGGGTATCTTTGATAAATGCACACATTTCGATATAAATAACATTTTAGTGGTCGCGATTCATACAGAGGCGGCAATAGTGGTGGTGGTGGTGGTTATGGAGATCGTGACAGAGATCGCGATCGTGGAAACCGCTATGGTGGTGGTGATCGCGGATATCGCAGTGGAGGTGGTGGTCGGTATGATCGTCGTTAACAGAATCGGCTTAATGCATTTTTCGTTTTTTTTTTCTTGGTCGATTAATTTTTTCCTCTTCTTCTTTTTTGTTTTGAAGTCACCATATTGATCTTCGACATTCCCATATTTCGTTTGAGAAGATCACATTGTGATTTTTCTTGCTCCAAATGTTTATTTAAATTTTTATTGGTCTCTTTCGACGTAATCTATAATTTATTGGGAAAGCTTTTTTTTTAAATAATAATTCTATATTATCGTGTTGCAATAAAATCTGTAGATTAACTCGCTGATTCTATTATTTTTTTTGAATGGTTTTGAGCCATATTTATTTCTTGTTTAACATTGAAATTTAAAAAAATCTTATTTCTTCTATAGATGCCTGGTGCGTTGAGTAAGGTTGGTGGAATGGCCAGCGGGTTGTTGGCGGCATCTCGCCAGGGAACTTTGGCAGCGAACCAAATTAGGACTGTCGTTCACAAGAGCTTGTTGAGGTATTTGATGCCTTTTCGTTATACTTAGAAAAAAAAGAAACTCTAAATTTTAATTATTTTCGAAGAAAACCGATATTAGAATCAAAGCATTGCAGATTGCCAGCAGATCATCCGGAACCATGGGATTATAAGCGCTTTGGATTCAAAAATATTGACGGTTTGAAAGACGATACCCAAGCCCATTTCCATCAAAATTCGAAGCTCATCGTTATCGAAGGAAACATTGGCTCTGGAAAATCGACACTCGCTGCTCAGCTCGCCGATCAGTTGGGATTCTACTATATGCCAGAATTCCGAATGGATGACATCCTAGTTGATCGATATGGAAACGATTTAAGAAACTATTACCATTTGGTGAGGCAACAAATAATAAAAAATATTGTAAAAATTAATAACGATTAAGTTCCCGAAGAGCTATAGAATTCCGGACATGGAAATGTTCTACAAGAATCCAACTGACGATCTTTCTGCTGTCATGCAGGTTTTTATTCGAAATTTTGAAATTTTGTTCTAAAAAAATTTTAGGATCGAATTTTTAAATGCAGATTCGATCAGTATTTGAACGCTCTTGCTCATATTATGAATACTGGACAAGGAGTTGTTCTTGAACGAACACCACATTCCGATTTTGTATTCGCCAACGCAATGAGAGACAAGAACTTTATTGGTCCAGAATGTGAGAGATAGTCGATTTCTCTTAGTAGTTTTTTCCCATTATTCCAGACTTCAAGCATTATTATTACACGAGAAAACTCGCTGTTCCACAACTTCACTTCTGGCCACACTTAGTGATTTACCTGAACACGCCAGTTAACAAATGTTTGGAAAATATCAAGAGACGAGGAAATGTTAACGAGATTGCTGTTGTCGATGAAGGTTATTTGAAGACCATCGAAGAATCGTACAAAGACTCGCTTCGCGAGTACCGTGTCCATTCGAAGATTCTTGCTTATGACTGGACGAAACCTGGAGATACTGACGCGGTTGTTGAGGTCGCGTAATTTCCTCTACCCTCCACAATATTATATAATTTTTTACAATTTTGTTTTTTTTAGGATATTGAACGAATGGACCTCGATTTCTTTGAGTGGCACAGCGGAGATGTGATGGAGGAATGGAATACCATTGTCGATTCTGTTGGATGGAATGGATGGCGACAATAGTAATCTAGTTCATTCAATTGCTTTCAAAATAGTAAATATTTAGCGTTACATCAAAGTATGATGCTCGCGGACTCGCATTCGAAGGAATTCCAACTCATGAAGTTGGAGAATTGTACGTGAACCCTCGTGACACTGGCCACTTCTTGCACGTGATGCGCAAAGAAGTCCTGAAGTCGCCATTCGGATATGGATACATCGCAAAGAACGGCGATCATCAAGCCGGATTAAGCAACTGGCAGATTGGACATCATCTTCCAGAACCATGGTAAGCACTTCAGAATTCAGAGAAATATTTCAATAGTTAATTATAGGTACGAATATTACTACAAGGAGGCGTACTATGATGATTTGACATCTCACGAAACATCGTTGGATTTCGATTCGGATTCATACGATCCAGATTATGTACATCATCATCATTAGAAGCGAAAATAATTTGTTCAAATGGCTATGGAGTAGATTTGTGTTCTATGTGTATTAGATTTTAGATAAATATGCTAAGTTTAAGAGATTTTTCGTTTTCTTAACTTCTTAAAAAATAAAATTTAAAAAATCTCCTTGAACTGTTTTGTTCTACCAATCCTTGATCTCGCTTTGTCGTTTTGGTTAGAAAAAATGGTAAAATCTATTGTAGTATTGATAATTCTCGTTGGATTTGTATCTATGGAAACCCGCACTTCCGCATTTGCAAACGACCCATTCAATTGAATAATCTGCCATTTATGGCTGGTCGAATAAATTGGATTTCCACCTGTCAGTTAGAACAAATGAGTGGACTCGCGAATCGCGGAAGGAGAAGGAAAGCATTCATGGAAAACAAATGCTGTGGGAGATATTAGCAGTTTAGATATTATTTTAAAATTATTGATGGACTAGCAATGTTAGGCGGAATTCCGTTTTTGAAGCTTATATACCAATTAGGAGACTCGAAATAATATTAAGCTTTGAGTGAAAAAGTCGTCAGTTGTAGACATCTTGATTTCTTCAAAACCGAACTTATTTAACAGAAAGGAGATATTTAATAAAAATATTTCGAATCGCCTCCAATTTCTAAAATGGGTTCTTCTTTTTTCTTCCACATACGAATGTTGGAAGAAGAATTATTTAACTAATTCTTCGGCTTATGATGTCCGCGAAAATCTTCTCGGTCTGCTATCAACATTTTCTCAACCAGACGTATCACAGGATGTTACTCTAAAATGTTTGGTTTTGATAAATATCTATAGTTAAAACAAAATTTTGATTAAACCTACCCTTCGAACATCAACTTATATTTAATGAACATATTCTGCGATTTTAAAATGTTTCTTGCAATTAAAATTTTTTTGAACGTCGCTGAATAAGAAAAAAATCAAAAATATATTTTTTTTCATGTCGCATTATAGGTTGAAAAAAAAAACTTAACAAGACACTTTTCGCTATAAATATTTCATTTCAATCTAAATCTCATTTCAATTTTAAAATCGTACATTCCAAGATGTTTTCTGTGAACGTGAGAAATATCGAACACTCAGTTGAATCAATCGACGGAAAAACGAATAGGGGGAAATTGTGTTTCGAATGATTGCGACTAAATTTAAATTGGCCATAAACCGATACACATCGATATGATTTCTCATTACCAGATTTCGATTCTGATTCACTTTTCGCAAACCTACAACAATACAGCACTCTCCGAGAAATAAAAAAAATTTTTTTGTTTCAACTAACCAAAAAAAAAACTATTGTCGGAATTCTTGCAAATTACACGATATCGGACCGAAGAGTGATTCGTTTCTGTTCTTAAATTATAGACAGTTTTCGCAGTGAATTTGGAGATAAATTGACCAGTATTCGTTATTATATTGATAATCTCGCACATACAAAATTTTTATTCTGTATGCTAGAATTTATATTTGAATTTTCGATATAGAAATGCAAGGAAATGACAAAAAGTCCGAATTGCAATTAAATATTCTTGTCAAAATTTAAAACCAATCAATCAGACATGTCAAGAACACACTTCAAGACGCAATTCGTAATATGTATACGCGAACCATTATGCCGTCAATCTCTACAGACTATAAAAAATATCTAGCACGTAATTGTTTGAACATCGTATTTATAATACTAGCGATTCTTAATATTTTCTATAATCTTTAAGCACATCTTGTCCAGCTTAAAACAATTTAGAGCAATTCGCCATCGATTTCTTCGATTGTTCTGCATTTGGAAAACTGCGAATCTAGTTTTTGGCCGAAAATTTTTTGTTTTGCATAAGTATTCTATAGAATTTTTATAAATTAGTATAAGGTTCCCATGTATCTTTCTTATTAAAATTTAAACGTTTGAAGGTTTTTTTAATTTGCTCGAAATGCATTATTCAATTGCTTGATTTCAATTGGATGCGTTTGTTTGATGATCTCGCGATGTTCAACTTCATCGTTGAATGCAATTAAGTGTGACATCATAATTCGCATGAAATGTCTTTCTCGATTATTCGAGAATTTGAATCGATTTTGTTAACAAAAAAATAGCACAGTATCCTTTCTCGTTGAATTCGTTTTTCTTCTCCAACTCTAATTGAGATTCTGAAAATTGAAGTAGTGATGAAAACGGCAAATGCGCGCGGAGAAGCAGACAATTCGGAAATGGAGTTCGAGATAGTGTGTGAATAGGCGGAGTGCGTCGAATGACGCTGTCCGAGGATGGATAACGAGAGAGTGTGTGATGCGGCGATGACACAGACACTTCTCTCTCTGCGTCTCTCAGGTGTTTATCATTGGGATTGCCGTCGTTTCGAACGCGATCGCCGTCGGAATTGTGTCGCTAACCTCTCTTGCACCATCTCGTTCTCCTCTCACTCACACTCACACTCACACTCACCCCTACTCATGCAACATCTTTTTTTAAAGCTTGTCTGAGTTTTTTATGACAGAGTCTCATCGAATGACTATTCATTTTTTTTTCAATTATCTCGCTCTTTCTTCCAATTTAATGTTTGCTTATTCATTCGGCGAGTGATAAGGAGATTGTTGTAAAAATAAAAATATTGTGGATTTTTGAAATGTCGTAGAATCGGTTTTGCTCTGGCAAAGAGTAGGCATGGTTTATGATGTTTAAAGTCATACGAGAATCCGAATTCCACAAAATCCTTTTAAAATATTTGATTCTAGTTTTTCGCGGTCTTTTTTTTTTAATTAAAGATATTGTGATAATGAAATATTCCCCTTCTACATACAAATTTCAATATTATTCCAACTTTTTTGGTATCTCTAAGAAATGGTGCGCTTTCTGCAATTAAAAAACTCTGCTCTTTTCCCAAAATTGTGTCGATGAAAAATCCAGAAACGATGTGCGTGCATTTGTGTATTCAGCGGAATCAATCGAAATTGTCGATTTGATATTCGTGTTTCGATGGCTCCCATGTAAGGCCGTCCGGTGTAGTATTACATTTTTTTTACCGAAAAAATTGTTTGGAAAACTTGGTGTGTTTAAAAATTCAATTCATTCTCGTCAACCGGCAACCGTTGGCCGCAAAATTCGAATTTACACACCGTAGCCATGTTTTGCGTCTTGACGCGAAAGCCCGCCAATTTCAAATTGCCGCCAGCCAGCGACATTGTGTATAAGTGATAACTCGATGCGTATCGATTCGTCTTATCCGCGAAAGCTGAATGAGGATTAGAACAACAAAAATATATATATATATATATTGATGGAAATTCTCATGCATCATTAGGTAGACCAGTACTTTGTTCGGAAGCCCAGAAGAATAAAACCAAAATTCAGCATATTTTCTTAGAGCATTTAGAGAACAAGAATAGAAACATTTGTATAGAAATCGGCGAAGAATTAAAAACTTCCACATAAATCGACTTTGCTTATAAAATGCTCGGCCGAAACCACCATTTTTCTTCTTCGTCATCATCATCTTCTTCATCTTCTTCTTCTTCTTTTATGTACTTCTTCATCTCATTCCCCCTGAATTATTTATGACACCCGGCTAAATATTTCCAAGAAGCAATTTCCGCCAAAACTTAAGAAATTTTTTCGCCCATCCATTACACCATTCGTTTTTTTTTTATTATTATTATCGAAAAATTAAATCGATGTTGAGAAAATGCCTCGGAAAAAAGTAGCGATTAGTCAAAATGTCGGGATTGGCACGTAGCCAAACGCGAATATTAAAACATTTTTGGTCGAAAGAATTGAATTGTCGTATAACGAGAAAACATATATACACACACAAATGATAAATTGATAGTTATTTGACCTGGTTGAGACGTTTTAAGATGAACTCCATAATCTTTCATTTCTTTTTCTGTGAAACGTGAACTGTGATCCCTTGTTTCTTTGGAAGTAAATGAGCTTCTCGCAAAAAAGATGAACATAGATTATCTCTTGGTCACACGTGTTTCGTTAACATTCTAATTTCATTTCATAAACGAATTTCCTCATTTTCGAAGTTGTTTGTAAAATTTTGTTCTCGTTTTTTCTCGCTTCCTTTATTTTCTTTCGTTCATAATTGTATCACCACACGCAGGAAAATTTGGAGAATTAATTTGAAATTTGGCTCGGTGCCAACGTGTGTAACAGTTGTTCAGTGAAAAGAGAAAATGCTTTACTTTTGAAGTTTGATGTTGGCGATTTATGATTATAAAAAAAATTTATACCGGCGATGTTATAGAATTCTATCGAAAATGAGATGAGCAAATAAATCAAATCAAAATCAAGCTTCAAGTTTGTTTCGCAACCATTTTCGGAATTTTATCGGGTCGTCTGATCAAAGAACCAAAGTTCAAACGAATATTTTTAAAACGTGTTTTCAATGAGCTTCCGAAAGCAATTTACTTTTGATCATATTTCGATGAAGTATTTCAAGTTTAAAACAGCTTACTAGCCAAATCATATATTTGATGATGCCTAACTATGTTCCGGTTTCTTTTGGATCCAACATGTCACGTGACTTCTAGGCAAATTTGTTGTGGTCAGCTCGTTCGTCCCATTTTCTCTCTGTTCATCATCTTTCGGAACCGCGTGCTTTTAAAATATTGCTGATCTTCGTGTATTCTCTTGCTATCAATGACTATCATTGACGGTAAGTCTGCGTCTCGACACGAATTCCGATTGTTTAACGGTTGTCAGCGTTGTTTGCACTAGTCGTTGGCAGTTTCACCCATTTCTCTGCCTCCTCTCTCTTTCTCGTGCGCGAATTGCGCGTTCTCAATTTGGAGCGCTCACGCCGCCCTTTTTGAGCGTGGCGGCGTGAGTGTTTTTGTGTGGCGAACTTGTGTGTGTGTGTTTCTGTTTATGTATGTTGAGTTTACGCCCACCGCCTCCTCATATCTTCATCAAAAAAGATAACAAATGATCTAGTTCGACGTTACCTTGAACCGAAAATATAGTGGAGAACGATCAGTGATCATTTCAACAAACTCATGTTCTCATTTTTTTTATTCACAATTAAAACTAACACATTCCAAGTTTCGCATTTGCGATAAATAAAACTTCTGAATGAAAAGAATAGATCAAATGTTATGTCGACTCCGAAATACCATATATTTGTCAGGTTCTCTCAAAGTCAAATATATCAGTGCGTCATTATGGCATTCAATCAAATGAAATTTGTGAAAAACTAACGATTATCAGAGATACTTCCTTAAATAATAGAGATTAAGAGATTTTTGTTTAAAATACTGAAAAATCAAGCGCTTTGAAAAAAAAATAAATGTCGGTGGAGCGCATTTGCAGTCTCGTAAATCTACCCGACATTTTCATTGCCAAGCGACTTATTTTTGAGGCGGGTTTGTTGTAAACTTCATGCTTATTATTAGCAGTGAAATTTTTAGAAGTCGTCAAAGAAATTAATATAATTTTTTAATAATTAATGTTTTCTATTTTGATTAATTTTTTTCTACCCATTTAATTAGTGTTTTTTTGTGTTATAATTCCTTCCTCATGTGTGTGTGTGTGTGCGTGTGTTATGTTCATATTTCTCTAATTCGAACTTTTGTGTGCAGTCAACACATACTGTATGAAGCCACGCCCATCCACTGCGGCAATCGTCGAGACGGTTTCACCTGTCGTCTCTAAAAAGTATTACTATTAAAATATTGATTCGCTCATCGTGTGCCTAAAATTAAATCAATTTGAATAGACTCGAAAATTCCGCGCTGATTATAAATCGCACTTGGAGCAATTTCGTGTTTTGGAGTTTTCAACAACCTGTAGTATCGTATCAGTAACCTGGAAAAAGAAGACAATGTTCTGTTTTGATTTTTGTTTAATTGGAGTTGATCATTGAATTTTGTTTTTCAGACATTTCCATATTCGTTTTTATATTAGTACTTCTCATTTCCAAATTAGCCCAATTTGAATGAACGAATATGAATTGGCTGTATCACTGAACATTAAATATTTCTGCTCGCTGACGACGACATCCGCTATTTGTACTTTTATGGAACACAATTGGTGGATGATCCTCTTGGTGTTTACAGATAGTTTCTATTACGCGAATGGTTGACAAATGAACGGGGATTCTTCAAGTATGGACAAGCAAAGCTATATGGGGCAGTCGTATAATAAGGTTTGTCGTTTTCAGCTTGATCTAACTTCTCAAAATTACTTCAGATCATCGGCGCCACTGGAGAACAACTTGCCCCAGGTGCTGTTCCACAACATCCAGTACTGGCGCCTGTTGTTGCTAATCAAACCAACCATTATCAAAATCTGTTGAACCAGGGAGCTTTGAAAAACGTAAGATTTGAGAAATAATAAACATTGTATAAGTCAAGTTTTTTTTTTAGCTTCAGCAAGTTCTAAATGGTACGGCGACAAGTAATTCGAACGGCCCAACAACTTCGACAGCAGCGAATGGAACGGAATCAACACGTATGATAATACTTTGTTGGTTTTTATTTGTGTTCATGAGATAATTTATTTTAGCCGAGAAATTGGTTGAACTGGCACATCGACAATTCCAGGCTGGCGATTATCTGACAGCTGAAAGAAACTGCCTTAGTATATTTCAGGTTTGAGTATATTTTTTAGTTCATATTTTTCATAAAAAAAATGTAATTTATATAGTTTGTGATGAGTATTATATTAAGTATTCATGTCATTATTCTTCAAAACCAACAACGTGTTCTTGCAGAATGATCCGAACAACATAAGCGTTCTTCTTCTACTGTCTGCCATCCATTTTCAACTGAAAAGTCTTGACAAGTAATATAATTTTTATCGAGCCTTTCATTGAAATAATCGTGTTTAGATCGATGAAGTATTCAACGATGGCGATCAAAGCGAATCCGAACTGCGCTGAAGCATACAGCAACCTGGGAAATGTATTTAAAGAACGTGGTCAACTCGCAGAAGCCCTTGAAAACTATCGGCACGCGGTTCGACTCAAGGTGATTTTAATAAACAACAGTTCAATTTGGCAGCAGCAAACATCAATCACACTTTCTGTCCTTTAATAATCAGTGTTATGCGAAGTACAATAATAACAATTTATACAGCCCGAGTTCATTGATGGATATATTAACCTGGCTGCAGCGCTTGTTGCTGGAGGAGATCTGGATTCAGCAGTTAATGCATATTACAGTGCTTTGCAGTGTAATCCAGTATGTTTGAATAAAATGAGTGGGTTCCTTTTATTTGATTGTATTTCAGGACCTCTACTGTGTCAGAAGTGATCTAGGAAACCTGCTGAAGGCAATGGGTCGATTGGAGGATGCGAAAGTACGAAAATTTGTGGAATCAAATTGCATTGTTTTATTTCAGATGTGCTATTTGAAAGCGATCGACACACAGCCGGCGTTTGCCGTTGCTTGGTCAAATTTAGGATGTGTTTTCAACGCCCAAGGCGAAATTTGGCTAGCCATTCATCACTTTGAGAAGGCAGTCACTTTAGACCCGAATTTCCTCGACGCTTACATCAATTTGGGAAATGTACTGAAAGAAGCAAGAATTTTCGATAGGTTCGCGTTCAAAAAAATAGAGAGTAAAAAATTTAAAAATTGATTGATTTCCAGAGCAGTAGCTGCTTATTTGAGAGCATTGAACTTGTCTGGAAATCATGCTGTCGTCCATGGAAATCTGGCATGTGTCTATTACGAACAAGGACTCATTGATTTGGCTATCGATACATATCGACGAGCTATTGAGCTTCAACCTAATTTTCCTGATGCTTATTGCAATTTGGCTAACGCTCTTAAGGAGAAGGGATTGGTTCAAGAAGCTGAGCAAGCTTATTTAAAGGCGTTGGAGGTAGTCGTTCAATAAGCAAATCTTAAATAAACTTCAAATAATTTCAGCTGAGCCCAACACATGCTGATTCGCAAAATAATCTCGCGAACATCAAACGAGAACAAGGAAAGATCGAAGAAGCGACTCGGCTGTATCTTAAGGCTCTTGAAATCTATCCCGAATTTGCTGCCGCTCATAGCAATTTGGCTTCGATTCTTCAGCAGCAAGGCAAACTTTCGGAAGCGATTCTTCATTATAAAGAGGCGATACGAATTGCTCCGACGTTTGCTGATGCGTATTCGAACATGGGAAACACGCTGAAGGAGATGGGCGACTCAACGAATGCACTTCAATGTTATACTAGAGCGATTCAGATCAACCCGGCATTTGCAGATGCGCATAGTAATTTGGCTAGTATACACAAGGTAAAAAGATCTAATAAAGACACAAAATGCATTTGATCTAATTTCGATTATTTCAGGACGGCGGCAATATTCCTGAAGCGATACAAAGCTATTCGACGGCGCTCAAATTGAAACCCGACTTTCCGGATGCTTTCTGCAATTTGGCTCATTGCTTACAAATTATATGTGACTGGACCGACTACGAAGAACGGTAATCAGCAAATCAAAGAAAACCGAAGTGTTTAACGTTAATTTCAGAATGCGAAGACTTGTGCAAATAGTTGAAGACCAGTTGGTCAAAAAGCGACTACCGTCGGTGCATCCGCACCATTCCATGCTTTATCCACTATCGCACGCCACCAGAATTGCGATCGCCGCGAAACATGCCCAGCTGTGCTTCGATAAAGTCCAGATGCTTGGTCGTGGTCCATTCACTCATCCTGACCGATTAAGTGTCAAAAATGGACAACGGTTACGGATTGGCTACGTTTCGTCGGATTTCGGAAATCATCCAACATCACATTTGATGCAAAGCATCCCCGGAATGCACGATCGAAACGTTGTTGAAGTTTTCTGTTACGCCTTATCTCCGAATGACGGAACGAACTTCCGGGCGAAGCTTGCAAAAGAAGCCGAACACTTCATCGATCTGTCTACGGTAAATTAATTACAAAAACTTCCACGAAACTCATTTAACTATAAAGGTTCCATGCAATGGAAAAGCGGCGGATATGATCGCGCAGGATGGAATTCACATTCTCATCAATATGAACGGTTACACGAAAGGCGCACGAAATGAGATTTTCGCGTTGAGACCCTCACCAATTCAAGTAATGTGGCTGGGATATCCCGGAACATCTGGTGCTAGTTATATGGATTATATAATAACCGATGCGATCACATCGCCTATGCAATTATCTCATGCCTACAGCGAGAAAGTAATTATATGAAGTAATGCAATATGGAACCATTTGAACGTTTTAGCTCGCCTACATGCCTCACACATTTTTCATTGGAGATCATGCACAAATGTTGAAGCACTTGACGGAACGAGTTATTGTTCGAGACAAGGCGGCACCTCAGAACAAGGACACCGTAGTTGTTATGAATTCGACGAATCTCGAGCCACTTCTCTCGAAAGCTGATGTTACTGTAAGAAAACTTACCAAATCATGACATGCGATCAATTATCTATATTCAGCCATACGTACGAGAGGCCGAAGTCGTTTGCGGACCCGGAAAAGAAGTCATAAAGACAGAAGTGATAATGCCGATAATCGAAGTGCCGACGACGGAGCCGTTGAAACAAATGATAGGAACCGGTCAAGTTGCGACGAGCGTCGTCGACGGAGTTCATGTACAAAATGGACTTGCGCAGTCTCAAGTTCATCACAAAGCGGCGACTGGCGAGGAGGTGCCAAATTCGCTTCTCGTCACTTCACGACAGCAATACAGCCTTCCCGAGGATGCCATCGTGTACTGTAATTTCAATCAGCTCTACAAAATCGAGCCGTACACTCTTCAAATGTGGATTGAAATACTCAAACGCGTACCAAAGAGTGTTCTTTGGCTTCTGCGATTCCCATATCATGGCGAACATCATGTGCACAAGTACTGTGCAGAGCGAGGTGTTGATCCGAAACGCGTGGTGTTCAGCAATGTCGCTGCAAAGGTATGAGAGCGAATCAAATTAAAAAAAACACGAATAAGTATTTAGGAAGAGCACGTGCGAAGGGGTCAACTCGCCGACGTTTGTCTTGATACACCACTTTGTAACGGCCACACAACTGGAATGGACATTCTGTGGACTGGAACCCCAATGGTCACGATGCCTTGTATGACAAGAACGCGTGCGAAATGTTTTTTATATTTAAATTTTTCCAGTGGAAACCCTAGCATCACGTGTTGCTTCTTCTCAACTTTATGCTCTTGGTGTTCCCGAACTTGTTGCGAAGTCTCGTCAAGAGTATATTGAAATTGCAGTGCGATGTGGAACTGATCCGGAATAGTTGCGATTCATCAACTAGAACTTCTAATTGATCTTCGATTTTCAGCTTATCTGGTCTACGTGCGAAAGTGTGGAAAGCGCGAACGACTTCGACATTGTTTGATGTTAAGCAGTATTGCCGCGACATGGAAGCACTTCTCCATCAAATGTGGAAACGATATGAAGAAGGACTTCCTGTTGATCATATCACCAATAACACCACCACACCAGAAGGATTGGTCTAATTTTTGCCCACATTGGGTTTATAAGTAGATTAGATTTTTTAAGGAAATTGTTAGCTTCATATATTCCAAATTTCATTTATTTGTTTTCAAATGCTCATCCTGATTCTCCCCACGGGCTACCATGAATATATTTCATTTCCGGCGTTTTTTTTTCTTGTTGCTGGCCAAATGTTCGTAAATCTTGAATAGTTCCACCTCTCCATCCACATTGTTTATCGTTTTGTTGATTCGAAATAACGGTCGCTGTGATTTTGTAAAATTTGAATATTCACTAACTCATTTATTTTTCAATTCAACGGGTTTGATTTCGCATTCGGCCTCTGTGAGGTGTCGAACGTATCAAATGGTATTTCACTAACCCTCCTTCTATAGTACACTATCTTCTACCGTAAATGACTTTGTATGACACTTAATAAGTGTTTCAGAATGCGAGTTTAGTTGAATGTTTGGTCTCGTTCTCTTCAAGTGTATCCCTTCCGTACCTTTTAGCCTACCTTGTGTTATTCACACGGCCTTCCACTTTTGTAATTTGTTTTTCACGTGTTGTTGGATGAACATTTTATTTTTTTGACAAATTATTTTGGATAGAAACAGTTAACGTTGTTAGAAAGAATGAAATCGCTATAAATTGACGAGTTTGGTGTATGTTAAATAATACTCAAGCCAAAAACTCTAGTTAGTGACTTCTTCGATTTCGCCGGCGATTGCGACCGCCTCAATTTCGACAAGCCCACCTTTTGGAAGGGCAGCGACCTGGAATTTTTGAAATATTGTTTTGTATATCACATTTAGTCGGCGTTCGGCGACAGCTGAACGCGGGTAGATTTACGAAGATTCGTCTTTCTCTGGGAATCGCGCGGGAGAACTGTTTTGCATTTGTTGGATCGGTTCGATAATTTTTAAATCGAACGACGTTAGAAATTCCAAGAAGTGCCAAACTCACAAAAAAACCCCTTCACGTGAAAACTGCAAAAAAAAAAGCGTTCACACGTTGCGAGACCATTTCAAGGCGCATTCGCGTAAAGCTGCCCGCATACAGCAGTCGACGGACACCAACTATATGATACATCGTAGTACGATACACAAATTCCATTGTTTAAATAGAAAAGTGAATTATCGCCACGAAAAAGTGCGATTTTCCACAATTATTCAAAGTGCTGATTTTTTTTCGATGGTAGTAAATGGAAATATGCAAACTTGGTAGGCGGCTCTTGCTGGATATGGAGACTTGAAATATTGTCCGTAAACCTCATTGACGGTGGCGAAGTCAGAAATGTTTTGCAAAAGAACTGTGGTCTTTACAACTAAAATTCGTACAATGTCAACCTTGAATTTTTGTATTTTTCGATACCGTGAGAATAATCAGCGCCAGCAGCTTTGAGGACTTCTCCAATGTTCTTGAGTGATTGATGGGTTTGCTCGACGATCCCTTCCTTCAATTCTCCCGACTTTGGATCCATACCAAGTGAACCGCTCAAATAGATCGTGTTTCCAGCCCGAACTGCCTGACTGAAAATGAATTAAATATAAAATTGTAGCTTAAATTATAAACCTGTATGGTCCAATAGCAGATGGTGCATTTGGGGTGCTGATAATCTGGCGAGTAACTTTCTGTGCCATTCCAACGATTTTGGATCTCCTGAATTATTATTTTTTTAAATTTTAGTTTTTTTAAAACATAATCGAAGACAAAAACAAGTGTGAGTAATAACTTTCACCAACAAGTCCCGTATAAACATACTTGGCGTTGTCATCTGATTCTTCCTGTCCCGTTTGGGATCTTTTGGAAGCGTTTGTGGGTGGAAGCATAGGCATTATTAGAAAGAATGCGAATATCAACTGAAATCGATAAAAACTAAACGAGACGTACATTTCGCTATATCAGTGTCTGAGTGTTTGTGCGTTGCTAGCTGATCGGTATCACGAATAACCGAAACACACAAGGTCACGACGCTTATCAGTCAACAATCTACCCTACAATTTTTTCTAATTTCCGGTATTTGTTTTTTTAATATTTGCTCCATTAAAGTTTTGCCTCACCCATATTTTTTCAAAAAATGACACTTTCACGAATTTTCAAAAAACGCTTGTATTGTTAAAATATGGCTCGTAGGTGTTCTCTTTAGTATCCCATATCAGATTTACACTTACGGAGTCATTAAACAAATTTGCTTTATTTTCCGAAAATTACGTTTTGGCGATCCACAAAAGTATAGACAAAAGTATATTTTGCTTTATTTTTCTTAAATTTGCTACTTTTTAAACTTTTAGGCTAGAATTATGTATGTTTCAAGTAATGCCAGCAGCAAGGCCAAATTATAGCCAAACATCTTTCGAATCGACAAATCGCTCGAGATTTGGGGCATTGCCAAAAGCAATCAATAATTTTCTGAAGAATCCATCCGATTATGGTACTGCGACACGGTCTGGGTGTCGAACCGTCATTTCTTGAAGAGAAATAAGAATGATCCTCCGAAAATCATCGAACACTTTCACTACGTGCATCAAAATCAAATCAGAAATGGGACTTCAGAGACGATTCGACTTGTTCTGAGCAAGTCCCAACATGTGAGGAAATGCAAAATGCGTAGAGCTCTAATGTTGACCGCAAAACATCGCGAAAACTGATTGAAGTTTGTGAATGAGTTCAACAGAACGGACTGAAGAAAAATGGGATGTGATTAAATTCGAAGATGAGTCAACTGAATTTTAAGTGATCTTCTCAAAAGAGAAGAATTTCAATTGTGATGGTCCTAATGGATTCCGCAGCTACTGGCATGATCTTAGAAAGCCGCCAATTCGATTCTCGCGGAGAAATTTCTAAGAATGTGGTGTCATGGTATGGACAAAAATGAGTTCAATCACTCGGGTGAAACTGTGCTTCATCGCAAAGAACCTGAGCGGCTCTTACTATCGATATTTTTTGCGTCCTGAGCTTCTGCCCTTCTGGTGTCGACATTGTCACAGAATGATAGTGTATCGCAGGATGGTGCCCCAATTCATCGGGCCCGGCCCACTATCGCGTGGATATAAACGAGAAATATTCCAGTTCTCAACTGGCCTTCTTGCTCCCCGGACTTGAATACCATCGAAAACGTATGAGGATACGTGGCCAACAAGATTTACGAGAGAAATAAGTCGCACGATATTCTAAAACAGCTGAAAATGGCGATTATCGAGACTTGGAAGAAAGTCGACCAACAACTGATTGACAATCCCCATTTATCGGTCGACACCAGGGCTGTGCGGCAATCGGAAATTTCGGCAATTCGGCAATTTGCCGAAAATCAAAATTTCGGCAATCCGGCAATTAGGCAAGTTGCCAAAAATAAAAATTTCGGCTATTAAATTTTTTCCACGATAATTCGAAATATAAATACCGAATTTTCACGGTATCCCAAATTATTCAATGGACATTCCTTTTTGTTTCGCCGATTTTTTTTTGACACCAAATTGCCGAAAATATAAATTTCGGCAAATCGGCAATTCGGCAATCCGATAATTCGGCAAATTGCCGATCGAACGCTCTCTTCGGCAATTCGGCAATTTCGGCAATTGGCAATTCCATTGCCGCACAGCCCTGGTCGACACTCGACTCTTCCAAGCGGCACGCAATCAGGACGACTATTAAACCAATTTTCTGTTATGTTACTGTTGTTATTTTCTGTTTTTTAGCGACTTTTTTCTGGTGAGGCTATAGTTTTGTGGATCGCCAAAACGCAATTTTCGAAAAGAAAACAATTTTGTAATGGCCAGGAAGTGTAAATCTAATATGGGATACTAAAAAGAACCCCCTACGAAACATATTTTAACAATACATGCGTTTTTGAAAATTCGTGAAAAATGTCTCTTCTGAAAAAATATGGGCGAGGCAAAACTTGTGGAGCAGTGTAGTTGAAAAAAGACGCCGATTTAGAACAAAATTTTAATAAACTGGAGATAATTTTTGCTAATAAATATAACAGATAATGCATGAATATTTGTTTGTTTATACATTTCTCGTTGAAACAACAATTTATTCAAAGAGTAGATAACAAAATTTATTGGACTGGAGCCACTGGCTGTGCTGATGGAATTTGGATGTCCTTCTTCTCTTCCTTGTGCTGCGAGATTGGCTCCTTCGGAAGTGGCTCGTCGATTGGGTCCTCGATTTGGACGTGGTCTGGAAGAGCGTTCTTAGGTCCGTTCTGTCCACGTGGGTCGTATGGGAGCATGATCTTGACCTTGATACCAATGACTCCTACAAAAAGCAAAATTCTTTATGTTGCGTTTCTCTCTATACCTTGACGAAGTTGAACGTGTCTGACGGCTTGCTGAATGTAATCGTTGACTGGGTTTCCGGAATGAATCATAAGTCCGTCAACGAACTTCATAGCCTTAGCACGCTGTCCTCTGAGCTTTCCAGAGACGATGACCTGAAATCCAAAAAAATCAATTAATAAGACTACATCTGATTTTGACTTTTATCATCTCCAAAATAAAATTATAAAGAACAAAAATAATTCGATTTTTTTTATCAAAAATGCCCATAAAGTTTAAATAAAAAATACATACCTCGACTCCTTGAGCTCCAGATTCCATGATAAATCGGAGGACTCCGTAGCAAGCACGACGGACGGCAAGTCCACCAACCAACTTGTAGCGAAGAGACTCGCACTGGGCAACAGCGCAGAGACCTCTGTTGGAAACCTTCTCGGCGTAAAGCTTAAAACGTACTTATTGTACAATTATTCGTGTAATAGATAAACCTCGACGGATCCTTCCTCAAATCCGAATCTCTTTTGGACTACAGACGTGAGCTCCTTAATACGGCGTCCACGCTCTCCAAGAACGTTTTGAGTGCGGGTAGCCATGATGATGACCTCAGCTCTAGCTGGAGTGCTACGAACCTAAAGTGAGCAATTATTAACAATCACGAATAAATTTCTCACTTCGACACCAGAGTATCCATCCTCAGCAAGCTCCTTCATCAAGAAGTTGTTAAGCTCAGCCTTGAAGATTCCGCCCAAAACGGCCTTCTTCTTCTTAGTCACGTTTTGATTGGCAGCCATGTTGCCCAACGTTTGTTCTACAAAAAAAATTCAATCATAATTAATCTGTATAGAAAATTATACGATTATAAGTTAATTTTCCACGCGCGAAAAATTTTTTAGATAAATACCATACGTATATGAGCAAGTTTTATCCATTAAAATAGGAAACCCCTAGAAATTCCGCCTTAAAATAGAAAAAAAAGAAATAAAATCGAAATAATCCATTGCAATCGGCACTCACGCAATGTATTAACGTTGAATACTCAGTGAACACGGTGAGGCAATTTGGCTGCTTCGTGGTGTGGTACATCGCATTCTAGCGACACATGCGCCTTTAACTGACTTCTCTGCGTCTCTTTCATACCACGCTTTCTAATATTTCAATTTAAAAAGGGTTTTCCTTTTTTAAAGATTTCAAATAATATTGCGATTTTTACGTTAAACTGATAATTATTTAAATTAACATGTAAATTTACCACGAATATAAATTATATCTTATTGGATTTTATGCATTTGTTTTTACAAAATTTTCCTTTTGTTTAATTTTTATGTCGATTTTTAAGTCATTTTAATAATTATTGTTTTGTCAATCGATGTATTTTTTCAGTAGCAACATATTTATTAATGGAAGAGGGTAAAATCGTTTTAATTGGGAATGAATCAGATTTGCTTCATTGTGGTTACAACCACGCCATCAAGGATTCTGGTAGAAGGTAGTATTTTTTAAAATGAATATGGTTCATTTTATAAATTCATTTAGGTATCCTAGTGCCATTCATTACACCCATTGCATGATATTGTCTCAGTTAAATGTGAACGAATCAGCTGTAGATGAATTATTGTGTACGCCCAGCGAAGAAGTTCCTGAGCGTGCTCAGAAACTTTTACTGGAGAACATGCCGCATGGTCACGATATGAGCAGTTTAGCATCTTATCTACATGGCAGTAGGCAGTCATACACAATGCAAGGATTACGATTACGAGTAGAACAAGATAAAGGTATCTTCAGTATATCCGTTAAAACTTTTATTTATAATACATTAGAGTTCGAACGTACTTTAATGGATACAAACGAAGCTTTATTAATTGTTTGCGATGGGAAAGATAGAGAACTTGGAATTGGAATGGATGAAAAAAAGTTCATGGATTGGATGGCCAAGGAAAAAGCTGATTCGAGACAAATTGGATTCTGGATGAAAAATGACCAGAGTCGCCCAGCAGAGTTGGGACAAAATCAGTTAGGGTAAGTAATCAGCTAGTTTTATATTCATTAAATTGATTTGATAGGTTCTTTCTCATGTGGTTACGATACGAAGTGAAGGAACTTCGGAAATCTCAACTTCTTACTCGCGAAGTATGCCAAGTTGATGGATTATCCAGCGACAAAGATGACAATCCTGTTCAAATCAGTGTCAATGATCTCGTGATCTCACTACAGGTATAAATTTTTAATTTTCAATTAATTAAGAAACTTATTCAGGGTATCTTTCGCCCACTCAGTAATTATTACTCATTCCCGTTTGAAATGAAGGTAATTTAATTATGGGCTCAGCCTCCGCAATTTTTCGAATTTGAGGGAGAGCGATATAGATCTGTTGAACATTATGCTTATGAAAAGCTTATAAATTCATTAAAACTTGACGATAAAATAGTGGAAAAAATTCAAACGACCGTTTCGCCTCTAGATGTTCCTGTTGTCGCAGAAAAAATTTTCAAAAAATTCAATGTGAGTCTTTTTAGTTGAAAAATATATTGAAAACGTTGCTTTTAGGTATCGGTAGAAGTAATTACTGAAAAAATTCCAAAAATGGATAGGTGGAGACAATCTGCGATGAAACACAAAATCATGCATAACGAATATCTTCAACAGCTTCTGTTGAGTACTGGGGATTCGATTCTTATCGATTGTGCAGGTTAGGAAACATGAAACAAAAATTACTTCTTGAAAATTTACTTTACAATAATTAATCAAGTTTCAAGTTTGGATGCTATATTTAAGGCCAACCGTTTTTTAACAAAAAATATTTTCGAAAAGGCGACTTGATTCTGTATGTTAATATGTCAAAAATCAATTTCATTTTTTGTAGAAGGAGATCCTTTGTGGACTTGCGGTGGTAGCGAAGCTGAAATACAACGTCTCCTCACGAAAAACTATGTGAATCCTGTGAAACTGATTGATTGGATGCGCGGTGACAAAGATGGAGCTGTGCCAAAATCTGTACGGCATTTACATGGAAACAAATCGTGTATTCTACTGATGGAGTTGAGGGGAAAACTTGCAGCTGCCACACAAAGCAGAATTCCGTTGGTAATTTTATATTTATTCGATTCTAACTGAAACTACTTGAATTTAGATTTCCCCTATAAACGCTCAGCCACTCAGCGCAATTGTCTCAGCAAATGTGATTTGCTTTACCGCTGAATCTGTGTGGCATCCACTGTATCCAGCTGAAATTCGTATTGCTCCAGATCAACCACTTCTACCTAGTCCTGTTCATTATGTTGCTATGCAAGCAGTCAAGTGAGTCTCAATTCATTGTATTTATATTTGAATTGAATGCTTTAAAGGTTCTTGGGAATGAATAAAGAGGATAGTGATTACGTAATGGGAACAACATCATCACTTGAATGCTGGTCAAGACTTCATGAGGTTATCGAATCGAAGGGAAGAGGCCTCGAACGCGAACAAAATTGGTGGATGGAGAAACGACAGCAGGCGATCAAAGAATCGCTGCAACTGCTTCTCGAACAGCATCCGCCGCTTCTTCGAGCTCTGCTTGATACCGGTGATGCTCTGTTGGTATACTGCTCGAGATTTTCTTCAATCGATGCAGAACTGAGCATTGGAATGAGGGAATGTGATTTGAGGGTGTGGTTGCGCGAAACAGAAGTTACCACAAAACAGGTATTTAATTACTATTTCATTTTTTTCGAATTATTCGAAAAATTTCTTAAGATGATTGAATTGTGCTGTCGACCAATGGCTTTCCGACCTGCTTATTTGGGTGGAAATCGACTTGGATTAATTTTGATGGAATTACGCCGAGAATTCGTTTTGAAAGGAGTTTTCCCACAAAATTTACCCCAGCTTCCATTAAGTAAGTTTATTCAATAATGATCTTCAAAAACTAAAAAAAAAACCATATAGGTGTGGAAGCCATTTTGGGAACCGATTCGCCAACCGAAAATATGATGACTATGGAATATTTTGATATTCTACACCCTCAAAATTATACGGCTCTTTGGATTAGTAAGAAAAATTCTCAAACTGAATTATAGAAGTTGGATGTTCATTATTCAGACCCCCTGTTTCTACTTGCCAAAAATGGAAATCAAGAAGCGATGTCGGCATGCACAATAGTCAAGCAGCCACCAAGATTAGTTACTGTAGACGATGAAAAGATTACCCATATTGTTGAGAGATTGTCTCATGGCGATGGAACTTCGGTAAATGAATTTGAATCAAAAAACTACGAAATTATATTTTGTCAGCTAGAAGAAACTCAGTTTTTGAACAACATTGCTCCAGAAGACCTAAGAGCTGTGTTTATGAAGTATTGTCAAAAATTGAAAATGTATATGGATTCACTCGAGAAACAGAATATGGAAATCCATATAACAGCGGCGGAGGTATTTTCATTGAACATTTATGCAATTTCTTGTGTTTTATTATTTTTAGACTAATCGGCTTCAAGCTATCCGTAGGAGTTTAACAGACACGAAGGAGAAAGAAATGGGAGCAACTTCATCAGCTCCACCGCGTATAAATCTACCTCTAAATCATTCTATTCCGCCCAGAATTGCCGCCGGTCGCAATTATGGCAGCGATTCGGATGATCTCGAAGAAGCTCCCGTTAAATATGTGCCTGTTCGAAAAGAACGCCAGGAATATAAGATTCCGACAATTCGAAAACCTTTTGCCAAAGATAGAGATAAACGCGAGGATCGAAAAACAACTACGGTAAATACTCGAAAAGAGGTTAGACTATTATGTGATTTGCAAAAAAAAACCAATTTTATTCGTTTATTACAGGAACCACGAAAAAGGCCTCTTTCTCCGCCAAAACGAGCAGCACCTGCGCCGGAAGTCAAAAAGAAGCCGACGCCTCCAGCAGTTCCTCCGAAGCCGAAGCGAAGGCCGGATGAAGAATTATCCGATGGTGAAATTCTGTCATCTGATGAAGAACAATAATCTTGTGAACGATAGAGCTTTCTCTTCATTCTTTCTTGTTCTTGTGTGTAATTTTTTGAATTTCATAAGTTGAAAACGTGTATTTTTTCCATATTCCCGGATTTTCTTGTTTTTTTTTTGTTAATTTTCACTTTTGTCTTACTCTTCTTTTATGTACTATTCGTTACTTTTTGGTCTCAAAAATCATTTTTCATAAACTCTAAAGCAAATAATAAATAATTTATTATTGTCGTAGTCAAACGACTTGACGAAATTAAAAAAATTATTGGCTATGTGCCAATGCGTCTCGAGGCAGCGAGATTGCGTACATTGCATTAAAGCGTACGCGCATTAAATATTCAGTCAACGATTAATTTAAATCTACATTAATTTCGCGAATTTAAAGGCTCCGCCTTCCTTCAGTCGTTTGACGCCGACAATATGTGCAATTGCGTTTGATATACGGTACGCTAGAAGGGATGCGTATTCTGTGCAAACACGTTGACGCCCAAGGGAACTACCGGCAACTTTCATTTTTCCATCTTTTGGCCAGTCTGTCGTAATTTTCATTATAAAAACGTTGTTAATTCATTTTTCTTTTCACACTTTTTAAATCGATTAGTGGAAATATACATTTATTATATTACTGCTTCCTTACAGATTGTTAAATAGACAAAATCTTTAAAAATGAGAAATATAATTTTGGCCTAAATAATTTTGAATGATAAAATTTTAAAAATGGACCTATTCATGAAATGTAAAAAATTGAATTAAATTTGTATCTTTTTACACTTCTGTATTGAACGATGTGTAATTTTTTAAACGTTTTTAATAGTATGAACAGATCCATAACCAACATTGTATCCAATGTTTCTTTTGACGAAAAAAATTAATTATTTTTCTATTATCCTACTCCCTTCTCTCAAAATTTGCCATTGCTTCGTCCGATGAGTTTTCCGAGAAATTGAAATTTACAGAATTTTGTAATTATGAGATATCCGGAAAATTAACTTTAATGAATACTTCAGGGTTGAGTGATTTTTTTTCACTAGTAAAATGTAAGATTTAATTGAGCAGCTCATTGAACTGGTATGGATTCAGTTATGAGATATTAGTGATAAAAGATGTCTTGCGGAGGTGGGGAATACAAATCCGACCTAATCAATTTGATCTCGTAATGGTTTGTGCTATAGCTGCTCATAAAACACACCGAACCACAATATAGATCAGATGCGAAATTTAGTTATTTTTGCGCCAAGTATTCAAACCGAATTAAACGTTTATTATTTGAATTTCCAACAGTTGCCTGTCTTTGAAAACATAATAAGACACCATTTTACTTTTATGATTCGATAAGACTTTAAAAGGCAGGAAATCGATTTTTTAGACAGTATTGCGAAATGAATTATGACATGATTCATTCACTAGTATTTCACAATCACTCGATAATCTGTGCTTCTTCATTTTTTCAATAGCGAAATAACTGTAATTGATCATTTACCAATTTTGGTTTTCTAGTAGCGTTTTAATTGCAGCGGTTTAAAAACCGGATTTATATTTATATTACGAACCCTAAATGAAGTAGCCTGCATAGTTTTACGGTGAGTTTTATTTGCAGGTTATCTGTAGTACGGTACCCGAACTCCCACTGTTAAGTTCAAAATTGAATTACCGCCTCAAAAAATTTTGATGGTCCATGAAAACCGAGGCAGATCTGTTTTTTCCATGTTAATATAATAATTCGATGACAAATTTTGAATTAAATTTGTTTGGAAAGTGCAAATTTTTCTACGCACTTGTAATCTTGTCGCATATCTCCTCGCTATACTTCCTCTTCATTTCGTACAACTCACTGGTGAGATATTCGTGCTAAAATGGGCCGTCCGAGAAAATCGATGAGAGCCTCTCCGAGTGTCCCATCTCGTCGCTCTCTCCGTCGCCCGCAATGCTTCTCACTTCCTCCGTCTCTCGTTGGCCGACAGACGATGAGGCGTTCTATTCATTTGTCGATGTGTGCCGCTCTCAACCGACGACGGAGTTCTTGTACAATTTTACGGCAAGATGCAAAAATGCTGGTTTCATGTTTTCGTTTCTTCTTTTTCTCTATCTTTCCATATACAGAATTGATTTTCTTTGTTCTACCCAACTGGTTTTTTCATGTGTCGTCGTTCTTTAATTGTCGTTCACAATGCTTTTTCCTCTTTTTCTCTAGCCAATTTTGTTTATTATTATTATTATTATTATTATTATTATTATTATTATTATTATTATTATTATTGTTATTAATAGATATCATCTTTACCAGTTTTATTTTCAGGGTTGATCGCATATTTTTGCGCGTGTTTTCTTTTTGATGGAAAGTAACCAATCGACGAATGGAAGCGGTAGAAATGCTGCTGTGAACTCTGGAAGATCTCGCTATGTTCCGCCGCACATGCGAAATGGTGGCGGCGGAGGAGGCGGAAACGAGCGTGACGATCGGTAAGTGCCTTATTTGGTGTTAGAATTGGCTTGATCAAAACCTTCATTGGAACGCAAAATGAAATTCGAAAACCTATAATTATAAATGAAAGAAGCCATAGACGGATTCGTGAAAAGCAATAGAATTTATTACGACACAATGAAATCACGGTGACCGAAACCGAAAACCGAAAATATATTCTTCTTTTTATTAGATGTTTCTTTATAAGAACAGAAGATGTATGATAGTTGATCCTTTTTAAATCTTACCTCAATACAACGTGATGTGCGTTATAATTGATTCTAAGTAATATTAGAAATGAAATCATCTTGTGACCAACGATTCAGTGTTTTTTCCAGATTTTATATACTATAAGAATAAGAAATTATAAGAAATTTATATAAGAAATGTCCATTGGGAATTTTGTAAATTTGTTTTCATAAGAAGATATCATAAATTGAGAGAAAAATATGATTCATGATTTTTTTATTATTGAAATTAATTATAATTATTATTTCAGAAGCAATTACAACGGTAACAACGGTGGTCGAGACTACGACAATCGCGATAGACGCGGTGGAGGAGCCGGTGGCTATAATCGCGGATACGACAATCGCTATGACGATCGTAACTCCGGCTTTCGCTATGACGATCGCAACTCTGGCTCTCGCTATGACGATCGTAACTCAGGCTCTCGTGGAGGGAATCGTGGACCTCGTCAGGATCGCGGCGACGGCGGATACAATCGCGGATATTCTGGTCGCGATTCGTACGGATCCGGAAGATCGTTTGGTGATCGAAGCGAGCAAGGCGATCGCAGGGATCGTGCGGAAGGCGGAAATTCGCGATGGTCTAATCTGGATGCTCCGACTGGCGGAGAACGTGGTTCGTCGAAATGGGATCGACAGGGACCTCCAGACGAGAGAGTCGAGCAAGAACTCTTTTCGGGACAACTTTCCGGAATTAATTTCGATAAATATGAGGAAATTCCAGTCGAAGCTACTGGAGATGACGTTCCAGCTCCAATTTCGTTGGTTAGAATGAACAACTTGATGAAAAACTTAACTTAAATTCAAATTTTCAGTTTTCTGATTTGAGTCTTCACGAATGGATTGAGGAGAACATCAAAAAGGCTGGATACGACAGACCAACTCCAGTTCAGAAATACTCGATTCCTTCTTTGCAAGGTGGTCGCGATTTGATGTCATGCGCACAAACCGGCTCTGGAAAAACAGCTGCGTTCTTGGTACCTGTGATTAACGCCATCCTCCAAGTAAAAATCAAACGTGGAAAAATAAATAATAATATTTTTTTAAATCAGGATGGCCCTGATGCTGTGCATCGTCCGACAACTGGACATGGTGGAAAGAGGAAACAATATCCAAGTGCTTTGGTTCTTTCGCCAACAAGAGAACTTTCTCTTCAAGTATGTTACAAATATTATGAAATTTCATTGTTTTAAATAATTCAGATTTTCAATGAATCTCGCAAGTTTGCTTATCGCACACCAATTACATCTGCACTTCTTTATGGAGGTCGCGAGAATTATAAGGACCAAATCCACAAACTTAGAGTATTGATTTTATTTTTTCCAAAGCACATTATTTTTGATATTTTCAGCTTGGGTGCCATATTCTTATTGCCACACCAGGTCGTCTAATCGATGTGATGGAACAAGGATTGATTGGACTTGAAGGATGCAGATACCTTGTTTTAGATGAGGCTGATCGCATGCTTGACATGGGTTTTGAGCCACAGATTCGTCAGATTGTCGAGCTCAACAATATGCCACCAAAGCATGAGCGAGTTACTGCAATGTTCTCAGCCACATTCCCGAAAGAAATCCAGCTTCTTGCTCAAGATTTCTTGAAGCCAAACTACGTCTTCTTGGCGGTCGGCCGTGTCGGGTCGACATCGGAGAACATCATGCAGAAGATAGTTTGGGTCGACGAGAATGAAAAGAGATCGTATCTTATGGATCTACTCGATGCCACTGACGAGAGTTCGCTTACTTTGGTATTCGTGGAAACTAAACGCGGAGCTTCGGATCTTGCCTACTATTTGAATCGTCAAAACTATCAAGTCGTCACCATCCATGGAGATTTGAAGCAATTCGAGCGTGAGAAGCATTTGGATCTCTTCAGGTACGGAATTCGATGAATGTGAAATATAACTATTGAACCTCGTTTCAGAACTGGACAAGCGCCAATTCTTGTCGCTACTGCTGTCGCTGCTCGTGGTTTGGATATTCCAAATGTTAAGCACGTCATTAACTACGACTTACCATCGGACATAGACGAGTATGTTCATCGTATTGGAAGAACCGGACGTGTAGGAAACGTTGGATTGGCTACGTCGTTCTTCAATGACAAAAACCGCAATATTGCCCGCGAATTGATGGACTTGATTGTCGAAGCTAATCAAGAACTTCCTGATTGGCTCGAGGGTCTTTCCGGAGAATCGAGAACTGGCGGAGGTTACCGCAATGGAGGACGCGGGCGTGGAAACGGACAGAGATTCGGAGGTAAAACTATTTAAAAAAAAAACATTTTTATGAATGATGTGTAGGCCGCGATCATCGTTATCAAAATGGAGGAAACAACAGTTCCGGTGGAAGCGGAGGCTTCGGATCATCGTCGCGTTCAGGTGGCGGTGGAGGAAACGGCGGAGGCGGATTCTCGAATCACTCGCGTTCGAATCAGCAGCGCCCACAGCCAGCACAAGACTGGTGGAGTTAAACAGTTCATCTACCTTCTTCGATTTTCGTCTCTTTTCAAATTCCTTCCTATTACATTTTTTTCTCTCCTTTCTATTCCGTTAAACCGTAATGTTAGAATGCTTATTTCATTATTCCCCAAAAAACCAGAAAAACTCGAAAAAATTGGTTGTCGCAATCTTCGTTTGCTATTAGAATTTCTTTAATGATTTGTCTGTTGTGGGTCACAATAGGGTGTGTCGCGCCCCCCAAACCTTCAATCCTTGGTTTGAATTCTCTTGCATTGTTGTGTGTGTTTCAGTTCCAACACATTTCTGTGGTCTGCTCTTAAATTGCCTAATTGTTGGCTCTACCCGTACGATTCGGTACATGTTTCCTGTTTACTCGACTTCGATCCATTCAAGTACGAAACATGCCAAAAACGAAGGTACCGAATCGGATTTGTCTGTTTCATCTTCTCCGCTTCATCCGATGTTGCGTCGAAGAGGTTATGGGCAATTACGGTGGCGCTATAAGGCAAATGCATCACCCTCATTCTTGCTGGTTTTTAACGTGTGCTTATTCGGTTCAACGAATCGACTAATCCGATGGAAACCAATAGTCTATTTATTATAGTACAAATGTTTGACAATTTCTAGGTGTTTTCTCGTTCCCATTTTTTCATCATGTTTTCCTATTCTATAGGAAAGTATTTTGGGAAATTCTTTCTAGGCCCTATCCAAAGTAGACTAGACTTTAATTTATTACCTGTCTTGTTTCACTTTCATTGATAATTTCAGCCAAATTGTCTGCAATTTTCGAAATAACCAACCGTGGGATAATTGTCAATCATTGTTGTGAAGCACATTCAATGCTAATTGTATTTTTTCCATGTCTCTTTAATTTTTGCTCCGTTTTTGAGTTTTGGTTTGATTGTATTTCTCATTTCCACCTAGTGACACACTCTTTGTTTGGTAATTTGGACATGGCATATGGAATCTCGTGTAATCGTCTTGTTTTCCGCGGGATCTCTTTGTCTACTTTATTCATACTGATCCGCAGCATTCACATGTTCTCGTAATAGCGACGGGTTTGCATCCACAAAAATACCATTTCTTTTTTTTTTTAATTTTTCCGATTTTTTAATCCTTTTGTTTCCTATCCCAATTTCTTCGAATAAGGATACTTGTCCACATTCTATTCTTTTTTCTAATAAAGTAATCAGTTTTGTGCATTGTATAACTAAAAAGAGCAAAAATATGTATGAAAGAAATATTGAAACGAAATTTAAGCTGGCAATGGAGATTGCAATCCGTCTTAAAATTTATATATAATACAATTTTTAAATTAACTAGAAGTTAGCGCAGGTAGCGAACTACATCAATCGATTGAACATTTTCCAAAAAAAACTGTATGCAAAAAATAAAAATTTCAAGACGGACAGCAAATGACCTCTCTTGTGAAATGTATTGACGTAAAGCTAGTCTGTGCCTAGAAGAATTTCGATATTTGCAAAAAAATTGAGGCGTTTCAATTTGAGTTTTTAACATTCACATATTTCAAGAGAAATTCAATAACTCAATTGTATCTATTAGCTTATTTGTGTGTTTAAAGACATACGACTGGCTTCAATTAAAAGTAACGTGCGCAAGTGCGCTCTGTCGCACACGTTCGAACGCCGTTTTTCCTAATCCTTCTCACATCTCTCTATCCCCACGCATTTCTTATAAATTAAACGCGGGTTTCAGAAATGTCAGTATTCCGTCATCCGCAGGCAACTCCCGGACGCAATGTGAGTTCTAGTGATCCCGGTTAATTTTTGTCGACGCCAGAATTTTCAGTTTCAACAGTACGGAAATGAAGGAATGCGTATGCCGAAACCACCCGAGAGACCGCTTCAGCCCTACATGAGATACAGTCGAAAAATGTGGCCACGGGTATTTTATTTAAAAAATAACTCATTGATTGGAAAATTGAGCGACGAATTTCTAGGTGCGTGCGGAAAACCCTGAAGCTCAATTATGGGATATTGGAAAGATTATTGGGAAAATGTGGAGCGAGACAACAGACGCAGAACGATCGATTTACCAACACGAATATGAGCTGGAAAAGGCCGAATATGAAAAACAGATGAAAAATTTTCAAAATAGCGGATTTGGAGGATACATGACTGCGAAGGTAATTTTTATTTTTGAGTTTAAAGTTTATTATATTTAAAAAGTTTACTGCAATTACCACCTCTCAATTCTGATTATTTATTATGAAGCAAAAATGGTTTATTCACACGAATTTAGTTCATGAGAAAATACTGAAAAAAACATATGTTGCGTTTTTATTTTTCTTCTTATAGGGTCGCGCTAAGAATAACGAAAAAATGTCGCGAAGCAGAATGGATGCTGGAGGCGTCGTTATACAACCCGTCGATGAAGATGATGGCACGAATGAATTAAGCACCAGAAGGATCGCTGGATTACGGTTTGAGCGAAATAATCGGTTGATCAGTGATCTTTTTTCTGCTAATATGGTCACTGATCTTCGAACGGTACTTTATGATTCGGCATTCATTCAGTTGAATGATTTTTCTAGATTGTTGCTCATAACCGAATGGAAATGTTGAAGAAACAAGCAGCTTCACTTGCCCAACATCAGAGTAAACTTGAAGAAGAGCTGATAAAGTACACCTGTAAATCTGAATTCATTTTATTTTGAGATTATGTTCAGACTTCAAGCAATTCACAACGATCGGAAACGAGCTATTGAAAAAGGAAGCGATGAGTTCCAGGAAAAAATGAAAAAGGTTAGAAGATTATTTTGGTTTAATAATCGATTAATTTTGTAAGTTTAGGTTGTCAGCGAGAAACCGGTTATCGATGAGGAGAAATTCCAAGAAACAGTGAAAGAATGGGAAGGAAAACTCGCCGAAGCTTATGTTGAATACAAGAAGAAACAAGACGAGATCAACGCAAAAGCTGGTTAGTTATTCGATAAAATGATTTACGGAATATCTTGAAATTAGCTGCGAACAAGGAAAGTGCTCCAGTTCTTCGAAACCTTGTGATGGGATCACCATCTCAGAATGGAGATAAGGAAAAGACCGACGAAGAAAAAGTAAATGGGGAAGAGAAGGTGAAAGAAGAGGAGAACGAATCTGAAAAGAAGGAAGAAAAAGACGATGAGAAGAATAAAAATAAGGAAGAAACTGCAACCGAAGACGATGATAAAGTGAAGGTGGAAATGAAACCCGAGGAAGAAGCCGAGAAGAAGAAAAATGAAGGTTGATTTATTTTAAATATATATATATATATATATATATATATATATATATATATATATATATATATATATTATATATATATATATATATATATATATATATATATATAAATCACGCTAAATATATAAATATATATATATATATATATATATATATATATATATATATATATATATATATATATATATATATATATATATATATAATTTAGCGTGATTTGTTTATTTCTATCAGAAAAATTTCGAATATTAGTTTAAATTAAATATAATTTCTATACTTATGTAATTTTGTAGAAGCACCCTCTAAAACAGAGGAAGAACCAGCGAAAGAAGAGGAAGCCGAGAAGCCAAAGGAAAAAGTTGAGGAAAACAAAGATGAGGAGAAAGTTGAAGAAAAAATGGAAGGCGTCGAAGAACAAAAACAATAACTTGTATTCACTTGTATTTCACAATATGTCTTTTCTTTTTTTATTTATATAATTTAACCTGTGGGTTAACAAAAAACGATCTGATTTAATGTATTTATTACTCATTTTGTCTGCTTATTTATTTATTTCCAACATTTTTCCTTATCTTATCGATCCAGTTTAATTTTCGATAAATTTATTTGATCTTATGATTTCAGCTCCAATGCCAAGACCCAAACATTTCCGGTTTGTGTGCTCATATCTTCTTTATCTTATGTAACGAACATATGAAAGAGTGGAATTCTGAAAATTGCAGATGTTTGAATTGAGTGACGAGGCGATTCAACGATTCCTTCATGATAACAGAAATTGTCGAATTGCATTCGTTACGGTATAATTCAAGAATTCAAGCTGACAAAAATAAAATAAAATTTTTGTTCAGAGTGGTGGGACTCAAGTACCGTTAGAGAAAAATACTGTTAGGTTCATTGATAACTTCTCGATGGGAACGAGAGGAGCTGCGAGTGCTGAGTCCGTTGTTTTATTTTTTATTTATATATATATATTTGATTACGAAATCAAACATTTTATTTTTTCGAATTGTGACGCTCGAGAGGATGAGGAGTCACAGAACATAACATCTAGAATTAATTTAATTTTTGAGGTATTTTCTGCGAAACGGCTATGCGGTAATATTCATGCACCGCGAGGAATCATTGAAGCCATTTTCTCGACACTTTGGAAATATTTTTAATTCGCTTAAAGTTGTCAACAATCAGGTTTTAAATCTATCATTTCCTCCATAATCATCTTTTTTTCTGTAGGTTGTTTGCGATCTTCCAAATTTGGCAAAAAATGTCGAAGAACGTGATAAATATGAGAAGAAAATTTTGTTCGCCAGTTTTAAAACGTTCGAGCAATATATGCAGCTTCTGGAGCATATCTGCAAGCATGTCAATGTGCTCGGAGCGCGAGTTGTTGTCTATTTGGCAGCAGCGGTTTCAGATTTCGTTGTGACACAACTGGTTGACATTCAACGGCCTGAATTGAAAAAAAATCATTTAAACATTTTTCAGCCGACACATAAAATGGCTAGTGATTCGCAGTTGAATCTCGCATTGAGCGTTGCTCCAAAAGTTATCGAACGAGTTGTCAATTCATATGTGCCAAATGCATTTATAGTATCATTTAAGGTGACTCGAGATCTTTGATATTTCTCGCTCATTTGATTCTTTATACAGCTAGAAACAGATTCGAAAAAATTAATTCCAAAAGCAAAAGCGGCACTAGCCAAGTATGGACATCAATTAGTATGTTCAAGCTTTAAAATCTATGAATATGAAGCGTTTTCAGGTAATAGCTAACATATTAGAGTCCCGAAAGTATCGTGTCATATTCGTCCGACCACAAAATGAGGATGGAGAAGAAATAACAGTTAGCGAAGAAGAATTAAAAGCGGGCTGCGAAATCGAAGAGAAGATCATAAATAGAGTAAAAACACTTCACGATTACTTTATTTCTAATCAATAATTTACATAGATTCATGTATATTTTGAGTAATTAAATTTTCTCTGTAAGAGATCGAATATTAACATCTACATGCTAGATAAACATTTTTACCGAGTCATTGTATTTAAGGATCGGTCATTGGGGGTGGGCAATGTTCTTCGGGATGTTTGTTGGCATGCAAATCTCGGAGACTTCCGGATTCCATGACATGCCCTTTACAGACTTGTGTAGTTTTGGCAATCGATGGAATCTGAAAAAAAAAAAGAATTAAATCTATTCCAGCTTTTTTTCAAACAAAAATATCGTCAACGTTGGCGGAATTCATGTATGCGCTTTTATAAAAATTATCATAATTTGCCTTGATTCAGATAACCACGTTCATTTTTCAATTTCTCTTACCGTAAACGCAAACATTCCGTGTTGTCCTGGCTGTCTTAGTGCTCCTGGATTGCAAACTTCATTTGCTGGCGGCGCATTGCAAATTTCAGCTTCATCGATTTGTTCGCTACGATCAAAAGAGAATAGACTTCCGAACATCATATGTTGGACTACTGGGAATTTCTTTAATACCTGAAATCGAAATTAGTCACATGGAGCCATTGGTATTTAGTAGAATCTACCTCTCCCTCGTACATTTTGAACATTCCTTCATTGAGTTTCTTCCAATGTGGAACAGCAGAAATATTCCAAAGTTGATTAGAATGCTCATGGAATGGTCCAGATTTAGTCTAAATCACACATTTTTATCATAAACGAAACTAGAATAGTCTCACCTGGTTGATAAATTTGATAGCATCAAGGAACAGACTGTGATGTGCATGCGATTCAACAAAATTCTTATTAATATATGAATCAGGCACAATGGATTTGGCGCCAATTAATTGAGCACTTCCGAAAATGAACGGAGCAAATTGAAAATCGTCCAATGCGTGAACTCCGCGACTTCCAGCTGGCTCCATTTTGAATTTGGTCTGCAATCTGCGGCACACTTGCAGATACTTGTTGAACAGGCGAAGAACGAGTGCTGGGTAATCTTGTTCATCGAAAACTTTGAGCTTCACGAGGCACATCAGAAAAATCAAAAAATTGGCCTCATGACCAGAGCCATAATCAATGCGAGTTGCATTTCCGAACGACTCGACGAAGTAAGCAACAAGCTCGATGAGAGCCGAATGCAAATTATCCGGAAGAAGAGATTTCAGCAAGTTTTCAGCTTCCTGAAATTTTTTTCTCAACAAAAAAAGACGGTTTGCTTACGTCATTAAGCTTCTCTGAAAATTTGCGATAAGCCTTGTTTCCAAAACGTTGCTCGCTTTCATCTTCCAATGGAATTTCGTCAATCCATTTCTATACAAAATTTTTAAAACCCATATTTCAACAAAATTCTTATTTCTCACCTCAATCACTTCGAGCATTTCGACATAATTGATGACGACAAGACTACATTTCACATCTGCAGTAGTACGAACTCCAACAACTGAGTTATTCAAATTGTGCAAAAACGTCATATAGTCCTTGTAAGCCTGGAAATAATCTGGGTTTATAAAACAGATTCAATACATATTTACCTTGGAGAAATACCAGGGATTCAAGTCGAACACATTCTTTATTCTGGTTTGCGGTTTTACAAAAGTAGAAGTTTCTTCCGACATCTACATAAAAACACATATCAACCATACGTAACCGTGGTTACATAAATTCGAACAAAAAAGTTAATCATATATTAATTCTGTTAAGGAACAGATAAATAATCATTTTAAATACATATTTTAGGTTTAATCTTTATTAATAATATTTAGTATTTTCGACTATTAATTGAACCATATTATCCAACCGTTAAAATTGAGTTTTGAAAAATATGGGAAGCCTTATTCAAAAATTACTGTGACAATACGAACCTTGACCATATCAAATTATTACCATCGCAAAAAAGAAACGATTACAGTGGGTTTGATATGCATGTCATCATTAGAACCGCAAAATATTTCCCACTACTAAATCCAAATTACGAATACAGAAACACACGAGGATCCGTAAACACCCAAGGCTATCGTTTTTTTTGCAAAGTAAATGTATGTATATTTAGTCATCGTCGGAACTGTCAGAAGCAATAAGTTGTTCATCATCTTCTGTATCCTCGCCGTTAGCACATTATTGACATATCTGCCAAATTTACTTCGCATTATATTTGACTAAAGAAGAAAATATAATATTTTAAATCATTGAGCGATCTTACAAAGAACGTTGAAGCTAATTGGTAGACATATTCTGAAACTTGGCCGAATTCGCTCACATCATGTCTAATAGAAACATCAAAACATGCCAAGCGATTTGCACAATTCTGGAAACGGTCTTACTGATTCCTATAGAGTTTTTTTCTCACATACCCAATAAGTTTCATCACTTAGTCCACTCGTGAACATATATTTGAGTAGAACGGTTCCAAGTTTTCCCAAATCTATTTATCTTGGTCGCAACAAAGGCTCACATTACCTTAAACTATGTATGGTATTGATAAAAAAACTTTTTAAAAAAATCTTACCAAATAATGAGATTTGTGTCGATGTTTTGGTAGAACTGATATTCCAATTCGTACAAGTAAGCAAGAACCGAATCTCGAGAAATCAATTCATTTGAAAAAAGAATATTTCTCATTTTTCTAGGAAAAAAAAATTAATAATATATTTACATTGGGCAACTTACGTCGATTTTCTTGACCATGTCTTTGTACAACATTCGGCGAAGGAAGATTAACAACATTCAGCGGAGCATTTCTATTGCCTAAAATAACACCATACGTATTTTCTAATGGATTTATTCATGAATTCTGATAGCTGAAAAAGGTATTTTCGAATCCGCTAGGTAATTTGTTGGATTCGATTTGTAATTATTCGAATACGTTTTGTTTTAATTAATTTTTCTTTTCGAATCGGATCCAACAAATATCCAATTGGATACGAAAATACCCAAAAAAAACCAGATTCGTCAATTTTACAACTTTATCAGTAGAATTTCCAATCGGATGAGGTTGATCCCAGAGCCCAATTTTGTTGAATCCAATTTTTTTTTGAGTTACCAGAGAAAAGTATTTTTTACAATAAAAATAACAAATTATGTTAAATGTAATTTTTAAAACCTGAAGTCCATAATAAGAAATTTTCATACCATTTGGTTCGAAATCATAATCGGCGCCTGACATTTCTGCCACTTGAAACTGAAATAAACAGCGTTTTGTTTTTCATATAGAAAAAAGAGTTTGTATGTGATTTTGAGAGACGGATAGATTTTTTATCGGCGGTTAACAGAAACTGGCTCTTCTCCGTCGTTTGTACAGCTCGATTTGTTGAGAAAGCAATAAAATAATAATCGAAACATTGTGGCCGAACTTTGATTCCAAATGGAAGAACAACTGTTCGGCCATTGTTGCAAGTATGCTCCATGGCGACGCGTCTGCGTGTTTGCTATTTCACAGCGTGTTCCGCCCGGAGTGTATGGTTATGTACGTGCGGATGTCCCGTAAATCTCCAACGACATTTCACAGCTCCTTATTGATTTTTACCGAACTTTTTAACTTCTCCTGGCACATTTGAGATTATCAAGCTGTATTTTCAGTATGCCTGCTCAAGTCGAGGTTCCACCAACCACCTATGAACGTCTGAAGAAGTATCAGGCAAGTTATAATTGTAAAAATGTTGAAAATCTGTTAATTTAAAGTGAACAACTTAAAAGCTCAGAAATGTTGGAGAAACTTTAGCAAAAATTGTACGATTAACAATTATTACGCAAACTTGTTGTACTTTGAAAGATTCTCTAGAATTGAGATTATTCGGAAGAAAAGATTAATTAATTTAATTCTGTTCATTTTTCACTTGCGTGTATTCATTTAGGGTTTCCATAATGTATTTTATATTTATTTCTTGCATCTTTCAGGAGAAATTCTCCGATGCTCTTCGTCACCCAGACTCTCCGGATTGGTACAAGAAGGAGGTTCACGAAAAGGTTAAGAAGGACATTCTCTGGGCTGCCCCATACGATGCTCGCTTCCCGCAGGTAACTTTTTTTTCGTGAAAAATGAATACAATAATAAGAAACATGAAAGGCGCCCAAAATCTCCCCATTTTTTGAATATATGAGTATTTTCTGTGAATTGAATTCGCTGACTTGGTCAATATTTTTTTATTCGCTGGCTAGGTCAATTTTTTTAATTCACTGGCTATGTCAATTTTTTAATTCGCTGGCTAAGTTGATTTCCCTAGTCACACAACAATATGAACTTATTAGCTTTTTTTAAATTACAATTTTTGAGAAATATTTACCCACTGAAAATGAATGAAATCGAGCTAGGAATTTATTTTCTGTCTTGATTTTCTGATTATAAGTATTTAAAAGTTTCATTAAGCAGTTAATTAGAGACGAGGTGACAATTATTTTTAAGGTCCGCAAACAGCGTCAATGCTTCGCTTACTACGTCGATTTCCATCGCTGCAATGAGTTGATGGGACAGGATTACAAGCCATGCAAGTTCTTCCAGAACGTCTATAAGGTAATAATTAAAAACGATATATAATTTATAATGCTTTTATTATTCAGGACTTCTGTCCAAACTTCTGGGTTGAGAGATGGGATGAGCTTCTTGCTGAAGGACGTTTCCCAGCCAAATTTGATCGCTAAGAAACTGAATAATCGACACGACGAATTCCTTCACATTTTTGATAGTAACTAGTGATTACATTGTCTTGATAAATGTATTCAAGTGTAAACGTTACGAATTGCATTTTAAGTGATTTATATGCGACAATAATGCGTTAACTTGCGCTATAGATATCTGCCCAGAATTGTATTGCAATGGAAGCTGGTGGCACTGAAGAAAATGTTAAGGTTTCAACCGAGTAATGACAGAGTCAACTCGTGTGAGCGAGCAAGAGCTCGAACGACGAGAATCGTACATCCGAGCTAATCACATTCAAAGAAACATTGCTGATCCGTTTACCTGGCCATACCAATGGAAGGTAAAGTTCTTAGAGAATGTGAAGTTTTCAAAATGGATCAATTCGGCATATTTGACATTTTTACCCAATTCAATCCTGTAACATTTTACAAGTTTCACTCTTAAATGACTATTTTGTATTTCACTGAATTGATCATAACAATTTAACTGAAAAAATAACACATGTTATTCTATGAAACTTTAAAAAATGTTTTTGAATTCGGAGTTTATCTTGAGAAAATACTGTTTGGAATTTTTTTTCAACTTTATTTGGCCCATCGTTGGTGTCGTGCAATTGCGGAAGACAGGCGAAATGCCAACATTTTCAGAGGGGGTTGGGTCTTGGCGAGCGTATAAATTTATGTTTGGCACACATTAGTTCTTTAAACCTTATGTTACATTCGCAAAAAAACGAGCGCCCTTCAATAATAATATTTTTAAGGGAGCCGGTGTTATGCTTGGACTTTCGCTTGCTGCAGCCTTTTTACACAATAGATGGAACAAAAAGCCGTATTATTACGGTATGATTCAATTGACATACTCGAGTATACTTGAGTAGTTTAGCAATTATCCCGCGAACTGTGTTGATCGCTGCTGCAACTGCCATAGGATATGGAGCAGGAGCTCTTCGTGTTAGACATTACCAAACAAGAGATGCTGTCATCGAACATTACATGCAACTGCATCCACAAGATTTCGATCACTTTAGCGACAGTAAGTATTTATTTCTCTTTTTTTGGTAATTTTTCGAGCCACATTTTTTTTAATTGATTGAGAAAACATTCTGGAAAAATTAAGTGTGTTAAAAGTGTATTTGCATAATGTTTATTTCTGCTAAAGCGATAATATACATTATTTCAGAGAGTGGCCGTCCATTCTCGCAGGTTCTTCTTCCATGGTACCCACGTCGTACTCAATACACTAAATACGACTAAAATATCGATTTAATCCGATTTGTAGTTGTGCAGTAGGCATTAGCTACTCCGTTTATTTTTCTACAGCGTGTATTCGATTTTTTTTGTAATTAATGTGAAAATAAATGCATCACATCTTTTTTAATCATAAATTATTGCATTCTTAAAAAGGATTTTATCCACTTCTTATTTCTAATAATGAAATGATTCAAAATTGATAAAGTATATTATTAAGATGGATGTATCACTTCAAGAAACGAATGAGAAATTAATTGAAGCGAAAAGGGAAAAGTTACTAGCAAAACTGACGGCACAACATAAGGATTTGAAAAAAAACGAAGCAGGTTTATAATTTCAAATAAAAATGAAATAATTAGCTGATTTATTTGTTCAGGGAAGGTAGTGAAAGATGAAAACAATGAGATTGAGGAACTAATGGATGAAATTAGAAAAGAATTATATAACAAAAATGTCGATTCGACGAAAGTCGACAGATTACGTGAGCTGAAATATTTGAAAATTGCCTCTTGAATTACAGATTTATAGAAAAATATTTAACATTTTCAATTGGAAATCATCGGACCAAAGCAATTCAAAATTTGCTCGAAGAAGTGAGAAAATTCAAATTATCACAGAAACCGCCAGCAAAATTTTCCGGCTTCTCATTTTCGGTAAGTTTTTTTCCTATTATTGGAGAAAAAATACAAAAAAACTAGTTTATTTCATTATCTTTAATCGATAAAAACTTCAATTTAGAAATCGAAATCAACTACGCCGGCTGCCCCTGTCGAATATTCAAAGCCACAAGAAAAACCAATCGAAAATCCAATTTTTTCTGCTGAAAATATTGTTGAAAATTTGGTTGAAAATTTTCTAATTTTTCTTTTAAAATTATTTTTTAGAAATATAAAAATGAAGTCATCCATGGAAAAAATCTGGAAGATCTGAGTTTGAGGAATATTGAAAACTGCAATCTTGAGTTCGATTTTGTTCCCTCCGTTGTTCATATTAGGGTATGATGTATTCAACGTTGCGTTTCAAAATGTTATTTTCAGAATATTAAGAATAGTAGCTTGAAGTTCACAAAATGCGACCGTTCAATATTATTGCATGATTGTGAAAAGTAAAAAAATAGTTAATTAAATGAATTGTTTTTTCAACAATTTAATATTTAGTGTCCACTTGCATGTTGCTGCCCAACAAATCAGATGTCATACATCGAAAAATCTTCATTTGCATGTTGCAACTCGCGGAGCTGTTATTCTCGAAGAATCTACTGGCATAGTGATGCATCCATTCAGGTTCAATCGACATAATTTGTATTCATTTGATTAAATTCTATTTTTTGTTCAGAATGAAACACAAAGACGGAAGCGAAATAGTAGAAGAAGACAATGGTGAATGGAAGACTCCGCGAGATTTCGATTGGCTTGCGCAGACACAGAGCCCGAATTGGCGCCTCGCTTCTGAGGATGAAAACACTTGGGAAACGCTTTCATTTTAATGTTTTATTTCATTTTCCCATACGGATTTTTGCTAAATTCATTATCGCTTAATTAATTGTTTGGTGATAAATACGACGATCTCAACTATTTCTCATTCGCATTTACTGCATAAAAATGAAATTAATTCATAATTGTGTGATAATGTATAAACAAATAAACATTTATTGCATATAATGTGGAAATTTGAGAAGATTGCGCCGAACTTCACTTTTCCCCCATGTGCTAGTTTCCTATATCATATAATTATATTGATTTCCTTTTCATTCATTTGAGAATATTTCGTGTTGAGAGATAAATGCAGCCTCCCGCATGGATTGCTGAGTAATGTGATGAAATATTTATAGTAATTATCAAAATTTAATAAAGAATTTTCATGTGCCTTTAGCACCCGTGATGATAGATTTAAAATATTTTTGACCACGCGTAACTCGCAGGTCATTTTCCCGATAATATTTTACACGTGTTATTGTTCAAGAGCATTTTATTGTCATTTTATAGTAGCGAAATTTACATGAAAAATGTTCCTGATATAACAATACATCTAAACGCTTTGAACGGGAAATTCAAGCGCATTTCCGGAAAAAGCCGAGTGTAATCGCAAATAATTCACAACAGTGAATGTCGAACTGCATAGAGTGCAAATGCGCCCCAAGGCTAAGCGAACGACGGCGCGCGGCGGTTATCAAGATGACGAGGAGACTCGGTCGAACAGAAACACTGGCGAGTGTGTGCGACTGATTGACGAATCACCGCTCGTTTGTTGCCAGATTCGCCAGCAATGAGCAAACGCGAACATCTGTTTCACTCAACCTTATGATTTCATTCTGATAATGCTTCTCATTCACGTTTATTCGACGCGTCTTCATTTGTTTCAACTGCCACATAATTTTAATATTTTGCCATTTCAGGGTCTAATTTATTATTAATTTATTGCAATTCATCGATCGATTGTCTAAATTTTTACGCACTAATATTAATCGATTGTAAAAATGTCTGGACCTCTTCCGATCAAGTTCCATGAGCATCTACAGGTATCTTTTGTGCACTTTTCTTATCTGTATATTTCTTTTTTCAGCTTACAAATGTTGGAATTCGTCCTCCTAACATCACATTTGCGAATGTGACTATGGAGTCTGACAAGAACATCGTTGTCAGAGAGATGATTGGCGATCAGCAGCAAGTTGTGATCATCGACATGGCAGATCCATCGAATCCAACAAGACGTCCGATTTCAGCCGACTCTGTAATTATGCATCCAACCGCCAAAATTTTGGCCCTCAAATGTAAATAGACTAAATATCGATTTTTATAATGATGAGTCATATTTAGCTGCGAAAACACTCCAGATTTTTAATATCGAATTGAAAGCCAAGGTCAAGGCTCATCAGAACGCCGAAGACGTTGTCTATTGGAAATGGATTAACGAGAAGACAATTGCTCTTGTTTCGGATACGGCCGTTTACCACTGGTCTATTGAAGGTTTTTCGTCGATTATTCAAACAGCATATAAATATGGATGATTATTTTAGGCGATGCTCCCCCAATAAAAATGTTCGATCGCCATCAATCTCTTGCTGGCACCCAGATTATCAACTACCGTGCTGATGCCGACAACGTATGGCTCGTCCTAGTGGGAATATCTGCGAAGGATAACCGTGTTGTCGGAAACATGCAGCTGTACAGTACCGAACGAAAAGTTTCGCAGCCGCTCGAAGGCCATGCGGCATGCTTTGTCCGCTTCAAGGTAACTCAATCGTATTTCACTGAAGTAGACTTCAATCTCTTATTCTAGGTTGATGGAAATCCGCATCCATCGAATTTGATCGTGTTTTCCGTTAAAAATGAAGCTGGAGGTAAGCTTCACATCATCGAAGTTGGCACACCACCAGCTGGCAATCAACCATTCCAAAAGAAGAATGTCGATGTGCCGTATACAACGGAAACTGCTCAAGATTTCCCGGTTTCGATGCAGGTTAGATTATTTTTCTTTACTATTTTTGTATGAGTCATTAGTCCATCCAAACAAAACCAGTTCCGCCTGCTTAAAACTTGATTGAATGCGAAGGTCATCGATGTGAGAGTGATTTCTGCGCAGGCGACCACTGAGAGATAGCAGGCTGCAAGAAAGAGACGCAGACAACGACTGTTTGATTGTCTTTCATTCTCCTCAAAAATGTCAAGACTCTGGGCTTAGAACAGGTTTTTTCTGACCATTCCACCCATGTTGGAAAGAATGTGTTTCTAAATTAGATATATAATACCATAGAGGGCTTGTAACCAAAAGTACATATTAGACATTGATACTATGTTCCTTTTTAAGCACTTCAAGGACTGTCAAATTCAAGAATTTTAAATTCCAAGCTTCATATTTGTTTAGTGTCGATCCGACTGGTCTTGTTGTCGTGTTTTTTTATTAGTGCTCGACAAAAAAAGCGGTGACCAGAAATGGAAATCGATTTTCATGGAGATCAATTTTTCAAACACAAGTCCAGAAAGAAGGGAATAGTTCTTCCGTGTGCATTCCAAATGCAAACGAGTAAACAATTTGAGAGAAATATGATACAGAGTGACTGAGCGTTTTGAAATTTGTAAACATCGATTAAAATTGTTTATAAATCAATTTGCAATTGCAAGTTGTAGGTTTCGGCGAAGCAGGGCATCGTATACCTCGTCACGAAGCATGGATTTGTGCACTTGTATGATATTGAAAGTGGAGCTCGCATCTACTCAAACCGTATCTCAACTGATACAGTGTTTGTTACTTGCGAGTATACCGCCACCGGAGGAATAATGGGAATAAACCGAAAAGGACAAGTGCTTTCTGTTTCGATTGATGAGACGAATTTGGTTCCATTCGTTACCAACAGCCTTCAAAATCCTGACCTTGCGTTGAAATTGTCTGTGAGATGTGATTTGCCGGGTAAACAGGAACATTGTTTCTGAAATCGAAATTCGAAATTATAGGAGCCGAAGACTTGTTTGTTCGCAAGTTCAATTTGTTGTTCAGCAACGGACAATTCAGCGAAGCTGCCAAAGTGGCTGCATCGGCACCACAAGGCGTTTTGCGTACTCCAGCAACTATTCAGAAGTTCCAACAATGCCCAGCAACTGGTGGCGGACCATCGCCGCTTTTGCAATATTTCGGAATCCTTCTCGACCAAGGAAAATTGAACAAATACGAAACTCTGGAATTGTGCCGTCCTGTGCTCGCTCAAGGCCGCAAAGAGCTTATCACTAAGTGGCTCAACGATCAAAAGTTGGAATGCTGCGAAGAGCTTGGAGATTTGATCCGCCCAACCGATCCAAACACAGCTCTTTCTGTGTATCTCCGTGGAAACGTGCCGCATAAAGTTGTTCAATCGTTCGCCGAGACTGGACAATTCGACAAGATCATATTGTACGCCAAGCGTGTTGGATTCCAGCCGGATTATTTGCTCCAACTTCGCCAGGTGTGCGAACTATCGCACGATGTTCGTAAATTGAATATTTCAGATCTTGCGGTCGGGAAATCAAGAAGCCGGAGCCAAGTTTGCCCAGATGTTGGTCTCTGAGAGCGAAAACGGCGAACCTCTCGCTGATTTGACCCAGATCATCGATTGTTTCATGGAAGTCCAAGCTGTTCAGCCGTGCACGTCGTTCTTGCTTGAAGTTCTCAAGGGCGACAAGCCGGAAGAGGGCCATCTTCAGACGAGACTTCTTGAAATGAATTTGCTTGCTGCGCCAGCTGTCGCTGACGCTATTTTGGCGAACAAGATGTTTTCGCATTACGACCGTGCTGCAATTGGTCAACTCTGCGAAAAGGCTGGACTTCTCCAAAGAGCTTTGGAGCATTTCACCGACTTGTACGACATCAAGAGAACTGTTGTTCATACTCATCTCTTGAAGCCAGACGTAAAATTAATAATTTTATTTTAATTGAATTAAAATTTCTTTTCAGTGGCTCGTTGGATACTTCGGAAGCCTCTCGGTTGAAGATTCTATTGAGTGCCTCAAGGCGATGCTCACTCAGAACATTCGTCAAAACTTGCAAGTTGTTGTCCAAATCGCCTCAAAATACCACGAGCAACTCGGTGCTGATAAGCTTATTGAGATGTTTGAGAGTCACAAATCCTACGAAGGTCTTTTCTACTTCCTCGGTTCGATTGTGAACTTCAGCCAAGATCCGGAAGTTCATTTCAAGTATATTCAGGTAAGAAATATATATTTAAATTTGTTTTCAGTTCGAATTTTTTTCAATTTAGGCTGCTACGCGCACTGGACAAATTAAGGAGGTTGAAAGAATCTGTCGTGAATCTCAATGCTACGATGCGGAAAGAGTTAAGAACTTCTTGAAGGAGGCCAAGCTCACTGATCAGCTTCCGCTGATCATTGTTTGCGATCGTCACAACATGGTCCACGATTTGGTCCTTTACTTGTACCGCAACCAACTTCAGAAGTACATCGAGGTGTTTGTCCAAAAGGTCAACGCCGCTCGTTTGCCGATAGTTGTTGGAGCTCTTCTTGACGTCGACTGCAGCGAAGATGCAATCAAGCAATTAATCATCAACACCCGCGGAAAGTTCGACATTGATGAGCTTGTTGAGGAGGTTGAGAAGCGTAACCGTTTGAAACTTTTGAGCCATTGGCTCGAGTCTCGCATTCAAGAAGGAGCAACTGATGCCGCTACTCACAATGCTGTGGCCAAGATTTACATTGATTCAAACAACAATCCGGATCGTTATTTGAAGGAGAATCCGTATTATGACAGCAAGGTCGTCGGAAAGTATTGCGAGAAGAGAGATCCTCACTACGCTTTCCTCGCTTATGAACGCGGGCAGTGCGATGCTGAGCTCATCAATGTGTGCAACGAGAATTCGCTATTCAAGAACTTGGCTCGTTATCTCGTCAAAAGAAGAGATTTTGGACTCTGGGAGCAAGTGTTGAACGAGGAGAACGTCTACCGTCGCCAGTTGATCGACCAGGTTGTGCAAACTGCTCTTTCGGAGACTCAGGATCCCGAAGACATTTCGGTTACTGTCAAAGCTTTTATGGCTGCTGATTTGCCAAACGAACTCATTGAACTTTTGGAGAAAATTGTTTTGGATAACTCTGCATTCTCCGAGCATCGCAATCTTCAGAACTTGCTCATTCTTACAGCTATGCGGGTGAGAACTGAATAAAATGTTCTTACTATTGCTATTCAAATTTTTCAGGCGGATCGCACTCGTGTGATGGAGTACATTCAGAAGCTTGACAACTATGATGCTCCGGACATTGCAAATATTGCTATCACTTCTGAGCTGTACGAGGAAGCGTTCGCCATCTTCAAGAAATTCGACGTCAATTCGAGTGCCATTAATGTTCTTATTGAAAATGTCAACAACTTGGATCGCGCCTACGAATTTGCCGAGAAATGCAACCAATCCGATGTTTGGGCGTCGTTGGCTAAGGCTCAGCTTAAGCAGGATCTTGTCAAGGAAGCTGTCGATTCTTTCATCAAGGCTGATGATCCAGGAGCATACATGGAGGTGGTTAACAAGTGTTCTCAAACTGGTAAGACATTTTTAGTATATAATATGATGAACTCGTGTTTCTTCAGAGCATTGGGAAGATCTCGTTCGTTACCTTCAAATGGCCCGCAAGAAGTCCCGCGAGTCGTACATTGAAACAGAACTCGTATACGCGTTGGCTAAAACTGGACGTCTTGCTGAGCTTGAAGAGTTCATCGCTGGACCAAATCATGCCCAAATTGGGCAAATCGGGGATCGCTGCTTCGATAATGGAATGTTCGAAGCTGCGAAGATTTTGTTCAACAACGTCTCGAATTTCGCCAAATTGTCGGTAACTCTCGTTCGTCTCGGAGAATACCAAGGAGCTGTTGATGCTGCGAGAAAGGCTAACAGCACAAAGACATGGAAGCAGGTATGAGTATATTTTGTTAACTATCAACTCATAAATATATTTTTTAGGTTTGCTTTGCGTGCGTCGAAAATGGAGAGTTCCGTTTGGCTCAAATGTGTGGATTGCACATCGTTGTTCATGCCGATGAGCTTGAGGAACTTATCAATTTCTACCAAGATCGCGGACATTTCGAAGAGCTCATCTGTCAGTTTTTCTATTGAATTCTCAGAAATATGAATTGAAATTTTAGCGTTGCTCGAAGCTGCCCTTGGTTTGGAACGCGCCCATATGGGAATGTTCACCGAGTTGGCAATTCTCTATTCAAAATACAAACCGGAGAAGATGAGAGAGCATTTGGAGCTTTTTTGGAGTCGTGTCAACATTCCGAAAGTGTTGCGTGCTGCGGAACAGGCGCACTTGTGGGCTGAGTTGGTATTCCTTTACGACAAGTACGAGGAATACGACAATGCCGCGTTGACAATGATCCAACATCCGACCGAGTCGTGGCGTGAACAGCATTTCAAGGAAGTTATTGCTAAAGTGGCAAATGTCGAGCTGTACTACAAGGCTATGCAGTTCTACTTGGACTACAAACCGCTTTTGCTCAACGACTTGTTGACTGTTCTCTCTCCAAGACTCGATCATTCCAGAACTGTTACCTTCTTCAACAAACGTACGTCAAGTACATGTCATCAAATACAATATAACCTAATATTTTAGTGAAGCAAATTCCGCTTGTCAAACCATACCTTCGTCAAGTTCAGCCTTTGAACAACAAGGCTATCAACGAGGCTCTCAACCAGCTATTGATCGACGAAGAGGACCATGCTGGTCTTCGTGCTTCTATTGAAGCCCATGACAACTTTGACAACATTTCGTTGGCTCAGCAACTCGAGAAGCATCCACTTGTTGAATTCCGTCGAATTTCGGCCTATCTCTTTAAGGTTCATTCTATTCGCAAATTCTGTCTCAATAATCGTATTTATAGGGTAATAATCGCTGGAAGCAGTCAATTGAGTTGTGCAAGAAGGACAAGCTCTACAAGGATGCTATGGAATACGCAGCGGAGTCGAGAAACGGCGAACTCGCTGAAGAGTTGCTCTCGTTCTTCTTGGAAGAGAAGCTTCATGACTGCTTTGCTGCTTCTCTTTATCATTGCTATGATCTTCTCCATCCAGATGTCATCATGGAGCTCGCCTGGAAGCACAAGATTATGGATTATGCTATGCCTTACATGATCCAGGTCATGCGCGACTACCAGACGAGACTTGAGAAGTTAGAGAGGTCGGAGGCCGAGAGGAAAGAGGAGAAGGCTGAGCAGCAACAGCAAAATGGAATGACATGTATGAATGATACTTAAAATTCAATTGTAAATTTGTGAGTTTCAGTGGAGCCTCAGTTGATGCTCACATACGGAGCGAGCGCAATGCCACCACCTGCAGCCATGGGATACCCTGGTGCTCCACCTGCTGGTTTCGGAGGAGCTCCATTTGGACAGCAATCTCAGTCACCATATGGTGCTCCTGGATTTATGTAATTCATTGTAATTTTTACAATTCCACATCTCTCCTATTCGGTTGTTCGCCAACAAATGTTTTTTGTTATTCCATTCATCATAATCTATACGCCATCCCTAAAATTTTGTATCAATCTAGCCCAATTCCATCGCAAATAAAAGGACTTGTTTTATTAGTTATTAAAATAATGATTATTCCCCAAACCTTTACCCAACGGTTATTGTGATCGTTTCTTTTTTGGCTTTTCAGAGAAGTTTTTGAGTCAATATGTTTTGGAACTTGTCATTCCAGGATTCCAAATACTTGTTTGAAAACAATTTTATTTATTTATGCACCCAAAAAAATGTGCAATTTATTAACTTATTGATTTTATGGCATGATTCTTTTTCTCTGTCCTTATGTGATTTATAATTTCCCAATGAAATAAATGTTTTATCGTGTATGAACTAAAATGGGGCGAAAAATTGTTGAAATCTACGAGCTAAATTGCTACTTGGATTTGATAGCGGAATTTTTAAGCGAATTTTTTTACCTTTAGTTTCTAATGACTTCGAAGCAGAATTTTTGCAATGAAGGCGGAGATTTGAGAGTGAAAACGAACGAAGGTATTCAAATTTTTCTGTGTTCTGTTGAATTTTTTTATTAAAAAAAAAAAAAACAACTAGCAGAAATGTATTCCATGTAAAATTTATTTCTTTCTGCTCTTCTGGTCTATGGACCAATCAAATAATTCAATCTCTTGATTTATCAGAAAACGTTTAATTTCGATGTTGAGATTTGATTTTACGAAATCGCGAGTTTCTGGATTTGGGTTTTTAAACATTTGCATCAGCAAAAATGAGCTTTTGATTATTATATATACAATTTTTATGCGCACTCAATTGCATAAATACTTCAAAATAAAAAGAAAACAAATGTCGTGCTTGTTCAGGCGAGACGTTCATTACTGCAACTCAAAGGCCCGATGGAACATGGCGAAAAGCACGACGAGTCAAAGAAGGGTAATTCATTTATTTTGGGGTGGTTGTACAGTTATTGAAACAAAAATTATTAGGGATTGAAATTGAAATGAAATGACAACGAAGTTTAATTATTTTCAGCATTTTTAAAGCTCATCAAACAAAAAAGCAGAAAATAAAAGAATTTCGATTTTATTGTTTGATTAAAAAAATGGGTGCCTTCAACAAAATTGCATTTGTTTTTATAGATATATTCCTCAAGAAGAGCAACCAAAATACCAGAATAGAATGCAAATGCAAGCTGGAAGAAGTAATATGGCGGCCGGAATTTCGCCAAGAGCAATGGCTTCTGCTGCTCCGAAAAAAGCGATTAGTGGTATGATCCGATATTACTGTCGGCGTCTCGCGACTGCAGAAATTGGCTAAATTCGAAAAAAAAACAATGGCAGTGTTCTTGACGCAAAATAAGAAGTGTAGATCTACGGGCGAAAAATATAAGGATAGGTTAAAGGCGCACACCGCGTCCCGAGTCCTCTTTTTAAGTGTTTCGGCTTAGCCCATTTTCCGCAATCGCGCGACGTCGACAATGTTTTTTGAATTACCGCCTCGAACAATTGCGATGCTAAAAAAATTATGCAATGCGCTCGTTTTTTTGCGATTGTACATAAGAAATCGAAAAAAGAAGTTAATAAGAAAATCGATGGCGAACAACATGTGTATTTTCGGCAAATGCCACAGTCAGCAATGTCATCTTCGGCTTCGATTCGAAATTCAACGTCTTCTTTGTGCTTCATTCATTACCTAGTAGACCTGAATAAGTGATTCGGACGAAAAAATCAGTAATTGAAATATGAATTTCAATGAATGAACATGTCGCGTGTTTATAGTACGAATGTGAATTTTATTCTCCGAAAATACACATGTTCTTGACTATGCGATCGCCAACTAACGTAAAATTTTCATTCATTTTTTTTTTGATTTCTTATCTGGTTTCAATAAATTATTATTGTTTTAAAATTTACCCTCTTCCCCCTTTTAAGAAAAATCCATTTTTTTTCAGCTATAGTGAATCCAAAAGTTTGCATAACTCCACAAGATCATGTTCAACGGAAAATAGACTTGGTCAAAAAGAAAGTAGAAGATATTGAAGGAATGGAAGTGAGTGGCATATTGCGATTCTCCCCGACATTTTAAATAATTTTTTAGAAGAAAGTAGCTTCTGGAGAACTTGTTCCTCAACCGAATCAAGTTAAAAAGATAGGACGGAAGCAAGAATATTTAGACGAAATTGATAAATTAACTAAGGAATTGGAAGCGTTATAACTTTGCTTGAATCTCGATTCACCGGATATTGTTGTTTTCCGGGTATTTTATAATCCGGTGTTTATTAATATTCTTGTTAAATTTGATCACATTCTGTTAAAATAATTTATAGCAAGTTTGTTTGAAGACCCCGTATGAAGTTTTATAAATGTATCGCTTTATTTTGTTGTTTTCTTTGGAGATTCTGTTGGATCGGCGACGGCAGCTGGCAGATTCTTAGCTTCTGAAATGTAATAGTACTTTTTGGTTTGAATTTAAAATTACCGTAAGCTCTTCGAAGTGTTTCTGTTATTATGTTCATATCGTTATCAATCGCTTTCGACCAACTTTCTACATCTCCAATTTCCTGGGCAAAAAACATCAGATAAGCGATTATAAAATTTGCTAACACCTTTAAAGCATAATTAAGTCCTTCTGTTATAAATAACCATTGCTCAGTCTGTTTTGCCAGGGCTGCTGCATTGTTTTCAAAGCGTTTTGCCTCAACATCGAGACGTTTTTGATTAACGTATGCTTGAGAAACTCTTAAAACGAATAATTAGATAATTATTTGGATAAATTCAGAAAGCGTACTTTGCATTTAAGTGATCGATTACTGCAGTTGACAACGTCTGTGCAGCGACAATCGCTTCGTTCTTCAACTTTTCTGTAATCATTTTCAATGTATTCCTCATAAAATATAATTTAATAACCTTGCATTTCTTTTCGCAAATGCTGCTTCTTACTGTGTTCTTTAAGCATGTTTGAGAGTTGACCTGACATCTTCGACTTTCGTTTTAGCTTAGAAAAATCACAAACTAATCATCAAATGATTATTCCCTCGAAAGACGCTAAACACATCCCACTGACGTAATAGGTGTGCTGACACGTATCGAGTGCGCCCACGATGCGTGTGAATGCCTGCCCGAAAAAGGAAAACGACGGGTGGCCTTGGCTTCTTTTGCGATACTCTCGTTCACCAAAAGTATTGGAGAACCGAGACGACTAGGGACCATCTTTTATATCTTTGCACACTATTGTTCCTGCTTTACACTTTTTTCCTCAGTTTTCATGTTTTTATGGACTGGTTTTCTCAAAGAACATAATTTATTATTAAAATGTAACTGAATTATTGATTTTGGGACAGAAGCAAGTTCAACTTATTTAGAAAAAAAAAATGGCTAAATCATATGTAATATAAAATTGTAATCTAGAAACGTGACCCCATTTAACAATTTTTCTAATAAAAATTAACTCCACATTATTACGATAATGATTGTTTCGCGCGTTGTTGATGTGTATGTTATTTTCTTTCAAATATTATTGATTTCCATTAAATTTTCAGCGCCGTCAATCCGGAACGGTGGTTCGAAAGTAGAATGACGGACTCGAAATATTTCACAACCACCAAAAAAGGTTTGCCGTTGAATACGATTTGTGTAGATTGATAATTTAATTAATTAGGTGAAATATTTGAGTTGAAAAATGAGCTGAATTCGGATAAGAAGGAGAAGAAGAAGGAGGCTGTAAAGAAAGTTATTGCCAGTATGACTGTCGGAAAGGACGTTAGCGCGTTGTTTCCCGACGTTGTCAACTGTATGCAGACCGATAATGTTGAATTGAAGAAGCTTGTTTATTTATATTTAATGAATTATGCCAAATCTCAACCCGATTTGGCTATTATGGCTGTAAACACGTTCGTAAAGGTTTGTGATTCAATATTCAAAAGACAATTAATATTTGTTTCAGGATTGTGAAGATCCAAATCCGTTGATTCGCGCGTTAGCCGTTCGTACAATGGGTTGCATTAGAGTAGAGAAAATTACGGAATATTTATGCGACCCCCTCAGAAAGTGCATGAAAGTCCGTCATTTTCCTTTGGTTCTCATTATTTTTTTTTTTTTGAAATTCTTATTTTAGGACGAAGACCCGTATGTTAGAAAAACCGCTGCTGTTTGCGTTGCGAAACTTCACGATATGAACCCTCAACTAGTCAAAGATCAAGGTAATTTTCGATACTTTGAAATTAAATTGTTTAAAACATCTTTTAAGGGTTTGTTGAACTGTTGAATGATTTATTGTCTGATGCGAATCCAATGGTTGTCGCCAACGCTGTTGCTGCTTTAACTGAAATTAATGAACAGGAAACTGTAATTGAGGTATTTATTAATAATTTTAAAAGTTAGATAATCCTATTCATTAATTTAGGTTAACAGTCAAATGGTTAATAAACTTCTGACAGCTCTCAACGAGTGCACGGAATGGGGACAGGTTTTTATTCTCGATGCTCTTGCTGGTAACATTTTATTAATATTTTCTTATGCATATTTATCTTCTCTTTTTAGGTTATTCTCCTCGTGATGAACGTGAAGCTCAGAATATTTGCGAACGTATCTCGCCACGTCTTGCTCACGCCAATGCGGCCGTTGTTCTGTCGACAGTTAAGGTGTTGATGAAGCTTATTGATATGATGCCTGCCGATTCGGATTTTATTACTCAGCTTACCAAGAAACTTGCACCACCAATGGTACTGAGCAATCCGGTTCTTAAAAAAGACATGATTGAATTTTAGGTGACACTGTTGTCTGCTGAGCCCGAGATTCAGTACGTTGCCCTTCGAAACATTAACTTGATTGTGCAAAAGCGACCAGATATTCTGAAGCATGAAATGAAAGTGTTCTTCGTGAAATATAATGATCCGATTTATGTGAAAATGGAGAAATTGGATATTATGATCCGTTTGGCCCAGCAGAGCAACATCTCGCAAGTGCTCAGTGAGCTTAAAGAATACGCCACAGAAGTCGATGTGGACTTTGTGCGAAAATCTGTTCGAGCCATTGGAAGATGTGCTATTAAGGTTAAAAAAAACTATTGAAATATTTGTGGAAAAGTTAGTTTTAGGTGGAAGCTAGCAGTGAGAAATGTGTTCAAACTCTTCTTGAGCTCATCCAGACAAAAGTAAACTATGTGGTTCAAGAAGCTGTCGTTGTTATCAAGGATATCTTCCGTAAATATCCGAATCGCTATGAGAGTATCATTTCTGCGTTGTGTGAGGTACGCGTTTTATAATATGTGAATGAAAAATTTAATTGCGCTTTACAGAACCTTGACACTCTCGACGAGCCCGAAGCACGTGCATCGATGATATGGATTATTGGAGAATATGCTGAGAGAATCGATAACGCTGACGAGCTTCTAGAGAGCTTTGTCGAAGGATTCCATGATGAGAACACTCAAGTTCAGCTTCAACTCCTCACTGCTGTCGTCAAACTTTTCCTGAAGAGACCAGGAGCCGCTCAAGCTCTGGTGCAAAAGGTGCTGTCGTTGGCGACGCAGGACAGTGATAATCCGGATCTGAGAGACAGAGGATGAGTTTTTTTGAATTTTACTATTGTCTGTTAAAAAAAAATATTAGGATACCAAAAGCAATTGTTGCGAGACCAATATCAGTTTGTATAAGAATTTTATATATAATGTAATGTATTTTTATTTTTTGATTTGATAGTTTTTTTCCGAATTTTAATTAGCATTTCTTGCAATTTAATTGATAATTCTCCAAAACGCCTAATCGATTTTTTAGCGGTCAGACTTTATGTCAAATTTACTATTTATCAAACCCCATATCTAATTCTTGAATTTTACATTCATCTACTGGCGACTTCTTTCCGCTGATCCAGCTGCTGCCAAGAATGTCGTTTTGGCAGAGAAACCGTTGATTTCGGAAGAGACTGATCTTTTGGAGCCATCGCTTCTTGAGCAGCTCGTGTGCCACATTGGAACCCTGGCTTCAGTCTACCATAAGCCGCCATCGGCGTTTATTGATCCAGCAAAAGCTCCGCTCAGACAAATCAATCCAGTCGCTTCGTCAAAGTAATGTTTTGAAAGCATATTTTGAACTAATTTATGGATTTTAGTGGTGCAAATCTTTTGGATACTTCATCCAGTCGTAATGGAGGTGCTGCTGCTCCAACTGTCATTCCATCTCAAGATCAGGTCATTGCCGATCTTCTGTCTCTTGATTTGAATGCTTCGGCTCCTGGTGTTCCGTTCAACAACTCGATGACCGGAACCACATCATCCGGAGGACTTGACGACCTTTTGGGATTGGGAGGAGATGTTGCTGCTCCAGCAGCTCCAGTCGTATCGCAGAATCCGTTCGATCCACTTGGAAGCCTAGGATTTGGAGCGCCTGCTCCAGCCGCACCAACCCAACCAGCAGCGATTGGAGGTCTTGCGGAGATCTTCGGAACCGCTGGACTGGCGCCATCAGCTGGTTACACGAATCCCAAAGAGATTCTTTTGAATGCTTCAAAGGCAATGGGAATGCACGTCGAAGGAACGTTCAACAGAAGAGGCGGAAAGATTTACATGGATTTGACGATCACGAACAAGGCGATGCAAGCGATGAGTGGATTTGCTGTGCAGTTCAACAAGAATTCGTTCGGTCTCATTCCAATCGAGCAGCCAAACTCTTTTGCGCCACTTTTGCCGAACCAAAGTCAAAACGTAAAATCATAATAATGACCAAGTATTAGATAATTTCTTTTTTTTTAGTTCTCGCTTGCTTGTGACACAAATGGACCAGTACAAGTTTCACAACCGCTCACAAATCTCCAGGTAATTATTATTTATTGATTTATTAATGGAATACACGTACAGTAATTGGAATAATTGGTGTAAAAAGAAAAGAAAAAAACTCAAATCATAACAATCGCGCTTGTGTGAAAAATGAGGAAATGATCTCATTCTCAACGGCGTAGAATATAGTTGACATCAATTGCGAATCGGTTGCTTGTGTGTATTTCATGTAGTAACTTTTCTTATCGTTATGATTTTTGAGAATCTCCTTAAATCGGTTCCGAATCGAGTCTTTGAGGTATCCATATTTGTCGTCTTTTCCTTTCTTGTCGCCTTTTCCTTCTTTGTGCGATTTCGGAACCACCCCAAGGTATTTCTCGATTTGTCTTTTTCCTGCTCCGCCGTCGTTCTCATTCATCAGCAATTCTTGACAAATCTCTTCGAAACGATCTTGTTTGTTGAAGAATATCATAACAGTACACTGATCGACGCCGTCGAGATTGAGGACGTTCTAGAATATTCGCATTTGTCTCGATTATTCCAAGCCAAATAAACCTTGAAAATGGCGGCGCTTTTGTCGAGAACAGTGCGTCCTTTGGCGTCTCTGTCGGGCTCTTGGAATGCTGCCAATGACGAGACATAAAGCAAAAAGCATTGTCCGCTGGTTGATAAAAACTGCCGCATAAATTGTGGAATTTTTATCTGATTTTGTATAGCTTAAAATTAATGAGATTCGATTATTTTCACGTACCAATTCGCTTTTTTGACCTCCCATGTCATGAATTTCAACGCGAAGTTTCTTTATGCGGAATTTGTAGCTTTTAAATGATACTGTAGGTTTTCTCACGTGCACTGAAATCGTTATTTTTTTTCAAATTGGATACGATTTCAGCGCTTACCGATATCGTCGTTTGTAAGCTGGTAAGCATCGTTGAAAATATTCTTGATCCGGCCCTCGTCTTTAATGAAATAGCGAGTTCCGTCTTCAATTTTGACACCTGCCGTCGCAGTCTCGAGTGTTCGTGTGATCTATTATTTCCAACATTGTCTTTAAAGCGTTTGTAACTCACTTGTTGATCTGCAAGTACTTCGATGATGAAATGCCCAAATTTGGATTCGATTTGGTTTGAGGAATCATATAAATCGACGTCTCCTTCGTATAACTGGGTGCACTTTTCGAGAATTTCCTCTGCTGCATTTGAATTCGCCAAAATCTCGTCAGATTCCATTTCACGCGTTCGTTTAATCAAAGCGGCGACGGCGGTCAACAAATTGATTCGAACCACATTTTTGAGGCCTTCGAGTTCTTGTTCGTCAAAGATTTTCTCTCGGTCAACGATATTCCAATAATCATCATACATCTATTTGAATAGTAGCACGGCAATTGCGTTCTAGAGCGAATACCTGATAGTTGTGCGGTTTCTGCATGCATAAACATTTCAGCTGACGAATTATTGTCGTTTTGCCGGCGCCTTCAATGCCAAGCATGAAAAAGTGAATGATGTCGCCTTGCTAGAATAAATTAAAAATTTGGAAATTGGAGTAAAAGCGAAATAAAAAACATGTTTCGGTTTTTTGCTGTTTGCCTTCTCGATTGTTTCTGCGTTTACTTCTCCTTTTGGGCAAAGACCTCCCATTTCTGAAAAAAAAAATGATGTAGATGGCTTTATTTGAGAGCGAAAATTTGGTGGAATTCGAAAGAAAATCTATTGTGCGAAAATTCAAAGTTTGACAGTCTCGAAGTGTTATCAGAAAAAAAAGAGCGGTTGAGATAATCGTTGTGAAGCAATCGATTCAGCGCGTACTGAAAAGAACTGTGCGTCTCGCCATGTATGTATGTTTGTATGTATGCTTGTGTGTGGTGTGTGTGCGGCTGCGTGTGTGTGAGCGGGTGAGAAAAGCATACAAATAAATGATGGCACCACAAGATATGGGCATTACTGTTATCATTGGCAGAGTTTTTCGAGTTTGCGTTTCCAGCCGAAATTTTTTTTTTGAAGGTCGCCATCAAAAACGACATTAGTGTGTTTTACTTTGCTACTTTGGTACCGCTTCTTGTCTACTTCCGAGAGGATGGACAGATGGAGAAGCGCGAGTTCCTTGAGGAATGGAAGGGAATCCCTGAGCAGAATGAGCAGCAGTTTACCATTCAGAATTTGCACAATTTGAATGCCGGTTGGTTTTTGTACTATGATGATAAACATACCGATTATGGCGATTACAGACGCTATCTGCAATAAGCTGCAGCTCAACAATATATTCACTGTTGCTCGGCGACAAGTTGATAATCAGCAACTCCTCTACCATTCTGTCAAATATACCAATAATCTGACGGTTTTGTCGGAGCTTAAAGTCAACTCATCGAGCCCGTCGATTACCGTAAGCTGACATTTGAATTATGATTAACAAAATACGTCTTTCAGCTTTCGTTGAAGTCGAAGAATGTGATGGCGATTGCGAATATGAATGAAGTGTTCCAGGCAATTTTGAATAATTGAATCGAGAAAACATAATTAAACGTACGTCCGAAAAATACTCAAATAATTAAACCAATTCCTGTTTTCTTTGCCATTTCACAAGTTTAGTTTCGATCGTTTTTTTCATTACCATCATTGTGGTCACTTTAGTTCGTTTTGAGACTAAACGGATGTAAAAAGAATTATTGCAATTTGTCTTTTTCGGTTGTGAAAATAGAAGAGAGTTTTTATTGTATCCAAAGTTATTATTATTATTTATTTATATTGCTAACCTAAAACTAATTTATTTAGTAAATATTATAAGATTCCGTTTTTAATTGTTTTCTCTTATTGCTAGCTATAATCTATTGTATTTGCATTGAATTATAAATTGATATAGCTTCTATTGTTTAAATGTTCATTTATTAGATTTGAGATACGTTGGTATTTTGAGAATTTTTAGGTCGGCGAGGTGGGCGCACTGGTGTTTCTTCGGGTAGAACCTCGTCGAGAACTGCTGACAGTCGGTAGGCGACGGGCGTTGAATCGGGATAGACGGAATTTGGGAATCCGCTTGATGTTGATGGTAGACAATCGGCTGAAATTGAATGTTGGATGGAAGAGTGATTCTGGGGACTTACGTCGAACGGCTTCAATATTTGTTTGCGTTTGTTGATGTCTTTTAATCTGTCCTTCCTCGATCTCGTGTCCCATTACAGCTCGAATTACTGTCACATCGCCTGTCTGAGTTGCCCATTTTGCTGGCTCAGCTCTTCAAATTTTCCACATTCTCCCTCGTTTTTCTCCATCTTTTTTTATTTACCTCGCAAAAACGATGAACACTGAATTTGTGAACGAAAGAACGGCTCCATAAATGGCAAACACTGTTCGCCATTCTTGGAAACTGTCCGTTGGTGTAAGAGCTGGAACGAGGAATGAGCCACCCATAAGAGATACCATTGCTGTGATCTGAAATCATCGAATTCGAATATGGGAAATGCTGAAATGGTTGGTTTACTTGAATTACAGACATTACGAAGGGAGAATATTGGCCGGCAACCATTACCGCGCATTTTCCATAGCCGCCGGATGAGAAGCCCAAAAGAGCCATTGGAATTGCTTGAAATAATGGTGTTGAATTATCTTATAGCCAAGGAAATAGTGACTTACACACAAGTGCCACATCCGCTGCCCGATTTCCACCCGGTTTAGAACATGAAAGAACGATGAAAAATATTGAAGAGCCTAAATATTCGTATTTTTGATTCAGACCCTATTAATTTATTTTACCTAATAAGGCGCATGTGTTGAACAGTTTAATTTTATTGAGCTCACTGATGCTCTTAATGCGATCCGAAAAGAATCCTGTACAGAATTTGATGACGAGAAGACACGCCATCGGAATGAGAGTGAGAAGACCGGCTTCAACTGGCTCGACGCCGATCACGCCGCGCATATAAATCGGAGCGTAAGAAATTGAGAATTGCGAAACCAAAAAGTTGCCGATGACGGCGATCCACACAGACCAAATTACAATTGAGCTCATGATTTTTCGAATCGGAGCCTGAAAATGAATTGATTGAATCCAAAATGAACTTTTTTTTCAGCAAATGATACCTTTGGAGTTTTCGCTCCGGTTTGTCCCTTTCCTAAACTGATTTTTCGCCATTCCGGCTGTCCGACGAACGGATGGCTTGTTGGGCGGTCTCTAACATCCATAAGTATTACGATAATATTATATTGAATTCGAAATCTAACCTATAATATATTGCCCAGAGCAAGGTGAAAATTCCGATGATAATGCCATGTAGATAGAAAACCCACGGCCAACCGGCTGAAATCGGATGTTTTGTGACAATTAGAAGCGAACGAAACACAAATGCCGAATACCACTGCTTGCGACGGCTCCCGAAACAGGCATTGTGAAGACAGCACCGAGTTCGATATGGGCAGAAAGCGACGAAATGAAGAGGCCTTTTTCGTTAATAGCACCCCACGAATTGCACACAACTCCGGCTGCTGTGAACATATTCGAAAATGTCATTCCCTGAAAATGAAACGATATTTTCAGATTAAAAATGCAAAGTCGTACTTGTAAAACACGAACAACTACAAATACCGGAAACGACCAACTGATGACAATCGGAGTTAGGAGGACGAGAATTGTCGAAAGAACTCCGAGAATTGTCATTATCTGAAATGTTGCAATGGTTATGAAAAAACGCTTGAGCCAATGGTTGCTCACTACCGATTTTTTAATGCCAATCTCCGGACACTCATTTATATTGAATTTTAGAAAAATCGAAACCTTTTCTTTTAATTGGGATGTTGTAAAATCCGTTTGTTCGCAAAAAATAAGTTTTTTGGTTAAAATCGAATGAAAATGTATGCGAATATACTGAATTTGATTTTCCGCCTTTGCTCAGATCAATGATTCGTTGAATCCAGACCGCTTAAAATTTTAGAGGGAATAAGATTATTGAACGAATTATTGTACCTGAACAAGGTGGCAAGTTTTAAAATTTTACAAATTTGAGAATAATTTCTGCCTAAGCCAAACATTTGAGAAAATGCAATCATTTTTAAAAATTGAAATTATGACATGCGGACCGATAGACTCCGCCCATCGACGGCGCAACAGGGTGAAGATAGGACCAATATTCATTCTACCCTTTACCTATGGAGTAGGTCGCATGTCTCCTCTCGTGTTGCCACCCACTATCATGTTCATATCTTATTCCAATAAAGTATTCTATGGCTTTACGAGAAGATAATAAAAGCGGGATGTGAGTTACTATTAGGAACCATAGCAACCCCCTTCCCCGACAATATCAAAAATGTTATATTAAAAAAATAGTCGGTTTTTTTGAAAGTCCACTGATGCACAAGAATCATAGGACCTCAATAATTCCTCGTGTTATAGGGGCCCACAATAAATTGGACAGAAAGATGAGTATAAGAAAATAGGTAGTAAAAATGTAGATAGTGAAAAAGCGGTAGCGAAGAATCATTGGCCAGTTATAAATACCAAATGAATGCCGAATCTTCGAGATAATTCAGCAAGTGGAACAACGGCGATAATTCCGCCCAGGAAACCACCTGAATTCAAAAATCAAATAAATGTTTTACAAATGAAAATTGATACCAGCAAATCCGAGACTTTTATGTACAGTAGTGAATGCAAAGCGGCGATCTGACAATGGCAAATCGGACGAATTCCAATCGACCTCGTCGACCGTCTTGTTTGAGCTCACGAAATCGTCCCATAGCGGCGACGATTCGAGATTGACGAGAGAAACATAAGTTGCATTGTAGGCGATCAGCCTGAATATCTCGAATCTCTTAACACGACGATTCTGTTTTTTTTACATACGCCGACATGTGCGATGAAAAGAAAAGAACAGCGATAATGAGAATGATGAAGCGATTCGCGCCGAGACATCCGAATTTCGGATTCGACGACGCTTCGCTAAGCACTGGAATATCAGACATGAGTCTTTTTAGCACAGAATGTGTTGAAACGAATTTCAACGTTTATAAAAAGAATGATGATTATTCAAATGAGCCCCTCCCATTTCACCCCGTCGTAGTTGAACTGTGATATATGTTCTATATGATCTGCTGAAAAAAAAAAACGGAGAATTGATTTCTCTCAAGTTCGAAATTGTATTTTGAACATGACGGAACTCGCTTTGATACGACATTGTTTATAGTTATTATTTGTATTATTTACAAATCGGAAAAAAGATTCGTAGAGTTCGAGGATACATGAGCCGTTGAGCGAGATGAGCTGGAATAAATAGCAGGACTGATGTGAGATCGAATTTTGACGAATTTGTTTTTGGACCAAATTGTAGAGAATTTTGTTCAAGTGTTTCGAAAGATAATGTGGATGAAGGGGTATTTGGGTTGAAGAAGAATATTGATTTTGAGCGATTGTGCATTAAATGGATAGCTGATTCTTGTATATGACACTGTGTTTTTACTAAATTTTACTGAAACTATTCGAACCTTGCTTGATTTGAAAACAGAGATGTTTTGATTCAAACGCTCAGCAGCATGATCCGAATCCAAACAGTACCGCTGAAAAATTAGCAAAAGATTTTTTTCTTCATAACATTTGAAGAAGTGGTCCAATCGATGTGAAATTTTTACTGAATGTCAAAAACACGATTTGAAAACAAACGGTAGAGTGCATTGCTAAATTTTTTTAAATCTTCAAATCTTGGAAATATCAATAAATTTTAATCATTTCTATTTTTTAATACATTTTTCAGTTTTTTATAATTTTTATAAAACTTATTATTTTTAAGCATAGGTCGACCAAAATGTTTCTAAAAATTTGTTAGAGGTTTAACAGAGACAAATGAAGATGTCGATTTGTCATCGGGCGAAACAGTTCTCCACAAATATTTCGACCATCTCGGCGTCATCAAATAAATATCATCAGGAAGACCACCAAAACATCTCTAACAATCCATTATTTGGATGAGCAAAAAGAAATCCGAGGCTGGCAAGTCTCGACATCAACAGAGAGCTTATACATCAGCTTATTTTTTGGAAATCCGAACGATTGAATCAGTATAGGTTTGCGATGAGACTGTCAAAATTCGCTTCCGCAATGCTGGATTGTTTGCTCGTCGTCTGGCGAAAAAAAACCAATGATCCCGGAAAAAATAAGAAGTTCTCATCTGAAAAATTTAATAGTGGTCCACGAATCAAAGTATCTGATAGTTGGAACTGATCGTATCACACATGAACGACGTTCGTATAGAAAGAAAAGATTTCTTCCGAAGTACCATGTTCCAAATTGAAAGCATCGGGGTGGGACTGTATGGGGATGTTTTTTCTTCTGCTGCCGATGGTCCTTTGCGTAGAATTGAAGGTATTATGGACAAGAATTTGTTCAAATACATCAGAAAGGACCAATGCTACCATTTGGATGTTCGAAACTTTTGTGTGGTTGGAGTTTTTTATCGGACAACCATTCTGATACTTATCGAACTTAGAAATTGGTTGGCGCAGCGTCGGTTGAACGCTATGGTGTGGCCAAGCGAACCTGAATTCTATCGAACACTTTTTCGAAGAGTTGTTTAAAACGGAAAACTGTCCGAAAAAATAGAATTCGATTTCTAAAGCCATTTGAATTTGCTCACTGATTTTTCTGATTTTTTTTATTTCGTTTTTTTTTCGCGAGAAACAGTTTAAATAAATAAATTCTATAGTATGAACTTATTTTTAAACATTCATAATTGAATCACTCTTCAAAAGAAATGAAGAAAATTATTAATTTTTCTGCGGAATCATGTCTGAAATACATTATTATGAGTCTATTCAGTATTCTTAAATTCAATTTTTATTTTCATTTATTTTCGGAGTCAAAAGACTTGATGAAATTTAAAATATTTCTGGTTATGTGCCAATGCGTCTCAAAACAGCGTAAAGTAAGACTGCGTACATTGCATTATATTGTACGCGCATTCAATATTCAGTCATTGATTAATTCAAATCTACACTGATTTCGCGAATTTGAAGGCTCTTTAGTCGTTTGACGCCGACAATACTTGTCGAAACATTGAGTTTCCAGAAAACGATCAGTTGATCATCGATCCACGCGAATTTTCAACACAGTAGCGCAAAATTGATCATTGAAGTATTGAAATGAAAGGAATATTACATGTATTCGAAAAAATAGGCGTTTATTTGCGACGAATTTTGCGTCTCTCGGTTTGTCGCACAAAAATGTTGGCGACAGTTTGTGCGAGTGATGATAGATACTCTCGGATTTCAATAGAGTGTTTGTTTCGCAGATCCACGAGTTGTCCCGTCAGTCACTCGATCGGTGTTCTTATTTATCTTTTGCTCATTTCCTTTCCGCTTTACCATCATACATAACGACGTGCTCCTGCTCGCGCACCTCATTCACTTTTCGCCGCCGCGCCATTCTCCATTATCATCTCATTCGCAAATATTCATGTACAACCGCATAAATACATGCACAATTTATTAAGTGCTCCGACGAAAATCGTCGTTGTGTTTCTTTTCTTCACCGCGATTTTTCATATTTTTTTGCCGACATCTCGTCAACCTTTTTTTTGTTTTTCACATCCAAATTACCTTTCGAATAATGAACATCTCATCTTAAAATGTTCAATAGTCCAATTTTTTAAAAATATATTCCGAATAATTTGAATTTTCAACTCACCTTGTCTACTTTATACTATTTCTCAAGAGTTTTTCTTTTTTCCTCGAATACCATCGTTCGAAGAAAACAAAAAAAGTCGTATTTGCGAAATAAGTCGATTTCTATCAGTTGAAATCAACAGATTTTCTAAATGTTTCCATTCAAAATACGAAATTTTCGAAACAAAATTAGATTGGTTTTTTTTTCAGTAATTTGGTAGAAAGAAATATTTTAATGCGATTCATAAATCTGAAATATTTTTAGGCGTGCTATCTTTTTATTAAAAATGAATGCAAATTAGAATCACGAGTTTTAATTTAATGAATGTATTCATTTTCTACTTTCTCTAGAGAGCAAAAACCTTCATCCAAATCGAAAACATTTTATTTCAATTAAAAAAAAATGTTGTTTGTCTTGATTAAGTAAGTAAAACGCATGTACAACTCTTTCAATTTCTCTCTCTCTCTCTCTCTCTCTCTCCTTGGTTTCTCAATTCACAAATTTCAGATCAGCGCACTCAAAATGTCAATTTTGTTTGATTTATCCGCAACTGAATTGCAAATATTGATAATACAATTGTACGATGAAGATCAATTAGAGAAGATTAGGGATATTGCAACCATGCGATCAAAAGTCTCGAAATTTTCCGACTTTTTTTTGAAATTTCATTTTTTGAAAGGTAACTGAATGGCTTCTAATGAATGGATTTTCGACATTGCATCGATTTGAAAAGTGCTCGGACTCGGAGCTGTTTGTCATACCAGAAGCCGAATGCCAATCCTGCAAACATGTCAAGTTCGGATACAAAGGTATCGAATCCCTTTATAATTCCAAAAATCGCCTAATTAGGATAAATTCTTTGTTTAGATCTGCCGACATTCCTAATCGAAGAAGCTTCCGATTCGGAGAATGTGGATGAAACGAATGAGCAGAAATCGTGTGTGATCTACCCCGACAGCATTACGAGCACCGGCTCGTTTTCCACAAACCGCAAACGGTAATGCAATGACTACCGAGAGTGCTCATCGAATGCTCATCTGATTGCAGGGGATTCATTGCCCGATACTATTCGTCGCCGTGCTCCTGCCTTCGAGCTCTTGCGAGAATATGCGTCGATTGTTTCGTGTGTTGCAAAAAATAAACAAAAAATTTTCATTGATTTAAGCATTTTCAATTAAAATTAATTTTCTTGTTCATTTTCGCGACGAAATGTTTTCGAGCGGTCGTTCGAATATCATCATAAAAGCATCTCTTCATGTCCTCGAATCTAAACGAATAAATATGGCTTATTCGGCCGTCGAAACTCTCGACACGAACCTGTCAAGACATGGAGAATAACTGTAGTCGATTGGGGTATAAATGTCGGGTCGTTGATCGCAGAATGTGAGGCATCTCTCGCCGGCAGACGTGTCTCCAACCCCTCGTCCTTCGCAACACTAAATAAAAACGTAGAAGGAAAACATAGCAATCGAGGAGAATCTGAGACAGACATTTTTGTGATCTCTTCCTTGCGCTGCGCAGAATTGCATCTCGGGAAGGAAGTCGAGCGGACAGTCGTCAGTTCCGACGAACATCGATTCAAGCTTCAATTTCTCAAATTGCATTCTCGTTTGACTATTATTGACAGACCACATTTTTGTCGTAAATATTGAAATGGCATTTTTGGATACACGCTGGTGGAAGCCTTCTTTCTTCGCAACATAAGTGGAACAGATGGTTCGGATTCTGAAATCGTATTCAATTTCGAAATGAGCTACAGTAACCCTACCGTAAGTCGAGCGATGTTTTCGTCGGTCACTTTGATGTCAGTATCATTCCAAATCTTCAAACCAAAAATGTTGCCGTCATCTTTTTCGTCGAGTTCTTTCACATCGTCAATATCCTGAAATACATGTTTAAAGGAGCATGACAGTCCGAAAGCAACTCACGACACGATTCGCTGCTCTCGCTTTCGCCTTCGCTCGACATCCACAACAACCGCATGCGCCATTCGATTTACACTAAATAAGGGGCGAATGAATTGCATTGTTGAACTACTGTTACCGTACCGCATCTACAGTAACCAATAGCAAAATAACAACGAATAAAAGTCGGTAGATCATTTTTTGAGAGCTCAATATGGTTTCATTTGTTTTTATAAGCCAATAAATCAACTAGTTTTTCTTGATTTTAGCCTAATTATGCGCTCAAATTATGTGTTCAAGTGTTGTGGTAATTAAGTTTCGAATCGACAAACTATATAAATCGTTTGCGGATTTCGTCGATTCGCTCTCGACAACAATGCCCAACGCCTATTCGATTCTTGTCTTATTTCTGCTCTCCGGTGCCTCACATCAATGCTCCGGCGGATCCGGCGGCTGCTGTATGCGGCAACCGCCGGCGGTGAGTTGCGGCAGTGGATGTCAGCAAGGATATAGCTGCGGACAATATGGATGTGCGAAGAGAAAAGCGTTCGCCGGACTAACACAGCGAATTGTGAGAATTCCAGCCGATTGATTCAAATTGCCGAACAAATATTCAGGATGGTGTTCTCGTGGAGAATGAGAGCGAAGAAGAAGCTCTGCTCGCTGATGCCAGCCTCTCACTTGTTCCAGAACCCGCACACCCAAATATCACGATTGAAAGGCTAATGGTAATGCGAAATCGTTTCTGATTTATGCTCGAAATTCAATTTTAGAACCCAAATTTCATTTTCCATTCGTGTTGTGAAGCTCGCGGCCTTCCAGATTCATGCCTTCGCCACTGCCATTTCAATACTTACACGTCAGAAATTGTAATTTTCGTCATAGCAAGAAGTAGATCAAATTATTCAGTTTTCAGCTTGAATCAATGTTCCACAAGATCGATGGATGTCCGATTGAAGCGATCAATGAAATTCATTATTGCGCTGCTCAAGGAATTGATCACAGTCCGGTTAGTATTTTAGTATTTGACGTCTCCCTAAACGTTTTGGGGCATAATGCCGATTTTCCGATGTCCCGTGACGACGATTATTTCCGATTTTCACAACTTTCGCTTTTTTAATCTGCATGGTCTCATAAAGAAATTTCGAATGTTCTCATCTGCATTCGAACTCTTTCAAGATGTTTCATACGAATTTCAGTGTTGTGCTTCAACTGGGGTCGCAGATACTCCGGCCGGCGACAAATGTCTTGCATTCTGCGATCAGCGGCCGAATCGGTTCCAATTTTTGACATTTTTTAATTTATAATATTCCCCGTTCGCTATTTTCAGATTTACTCTAGTCGACACCACTTTTCTTCCGTGCCTCGATGTCTTCGAAAATATAAAAAAATGCTTCTTCTTCGAAATCAAGTAAGATATTTCGTTTTGTTGAATTCGTGTAAACGCTTGAATTTTGAGAAAACGAGCAGAAAAGAAATTCAAACCAAACGGAATCGCTTCGAAAATCAATGATGCAAATTCGAAAGGCTTCTAATATGTCCTCTATTATTTTCTATAGAACTTATTTTTATTTATTTTTTCCTTTTTATACATTTTTTTATTCACACCAATAATAGAGAATCACAAATAAGAATGAGAGAATAAGCAAAACGGAATGTATAATATACATAAGCAGAAATGTGCACCAAATCGGAAATTTTTATCACAACTATTCAAGAGAATCGGGACCTTCAAAAATTTTGCGCTCCTGTGTTGAAAATTCGCGTGGATCGATGATCAACTGATCGTTTTCTGGAAATTCAATGTTTCGACAAGTATTTTCGGCGTCAAACGACTAAAGAGCCTTCAAATTCGCGAAATCAGTGTAGATTTGAATTAATCGTTGACTGAATATTAAATGCGCGTACAATATAATGCAATGTACGCAGTCTCGCGTACTTCTCGTTTCCATTTGCACATAGCCAATAATTTTTTTTTAAATTTAGTCAAGTGGTTTGACTCATTAGATTTGAACAAGTGCCTATATGTAGGTCAAAAAATATATTATTCTAGAATTGAGCAGATGGAAGTTAGAGTCCGAGGAATTGAGCAGATGTTTCAATAAATTCCAATAATCAATGGCCACATTTCTAAAAACTTTTTAGTGTGTGTCTTGCGTGGTTGAATGATAATTGTTGCTCATCGAAAAGTCACAAATTAAACATACTGATGACTGTATATGGTTACTGTGCAAACACCGAAAATGGACACATTCAAACAATAGGAAGGCAGCTGCACAAATGCGAAAATCGCGACAAATTGAATACGGTGGAAATGTATAAAAGAGGCTGAATTGTGCTAGAATCATCATTCGATTCGTCGACATGTTCTCTTTCAAGGTATCACAATCAAATCCATTCGATTCGCTTCAACATTCGCCGATTTCAGAACTTTGCTGTTTACGTTCTCCTCGTCATCGCTGTCTTCGCGGTTTACGCTTCGGCTGAATGCAAAGACGACGAAGGTAAGAAGCGTTGAAAGCATTCGCAATGGAATATGCGTGCTTCAGATGGCCACTGCACCGTGTTCGCCAACCTCTGCGACAATGCTGACTTCGCCACCTACACCGCAAAATGCCGCGCCACGTGCGGAAAATGCTAAACGCATTTCCTCATCGGGAATCGTCGTCTCCCTATTCGCTTAGGTTGTAGCACATTCCCCATTCAACATTTTGTCTCGCTATTTTGTATTTTCCCACATTACAAATTTCCCGAATATCGCTTCCCACCCCCCGTCCCGTCGAATCTTCAACATCGCCCGAATCGAATCGTTTGTGCAATGCAGACTGGTCATCTGCAATTTCACCATCATCCCAACGATATCCGATGTGTTGTCATTTCCTGCGTGTGCATTGTCCCCCGTCCCCCCGTCCAAAATGTCTTCGTCGTCACTCCCATTTGAATAAGCATTGTCAATAAATTAAGCGTGATAATTGTACTGAATGTGTGAGTTGCATAATAATGAATTAGCGGTCGCGAGTTGTGCAACGTTGCTCCGCCAGCACGTTCTCGGTTGTCATGTCAACGAAATGGCCAAGCGACAAAGTGGTCAGCACAACAAACGAGCGCCTATTCGCAAAGCCGCGCCATGTTTAATAAATCTCCCGTTCAGGTAACTTTTTTCCCTCTCAAAAATCAACACCCAATAGATTTATAAATATTTGAACTTCTTAATAGAATTAATCTTTATTATACGAATTTCAACGAACAAATTGATTAGATAATAAAGGATTAAAATTATCATGCGCTGAAAATATATAAGGAGAATAAAGAGCACAATACGATTATTCTCATTCTCAGGTAAATGAAAATCAATTGGATTTAAATAAAAATGAAATATAAATTAACCTGATTCTATTGAGAAAATGTTTAAATTCAATTTGAAAAGTTGGTTTCGATTGAAAATTCTTCGAAATTGATTGAATTATTTCTCATTTTCAATTCTAAAATTGTATTCGATTGAAGTTTTAGAAGAATTCGAAATAATAGATTAATTTATATTGGATTTCGATTGAATGAGAAATTATTTTCGAATTCGATTGATTTTTCATTTAGCGAGAACAAAAACATCAATTTCTTTCACAATAAACATAAAAATGTAAAAAATAAAACATCAAAAAAGGAAGTGTTTTTTACCTTTTGCGGTTTATGAATATTTTCTAATTTTGCGCACAAATAGTTCGCGAAATTCCCTATCGAGTGCCCACTGCCGTTTTCTGCGAAAAATAACTATTTCCTGTTTGTGTCACGTGCCGGAAGACACATTAAACATTTTTAATAATGCTGTGTTGTGCTCTTCATCTTTTATTCTCGAAAAGTTCTAACAAACCCAGTTTTTTGTTTTTTTTTTTCAATTATTTTCATTTTATAAAAGAGACAATGTGTTCGAAAATTAATTGAAATAAAACTCGAAGAAATGTTTTGAGATCATATTGCATCGTCGAGCAGTCATTAAAATACGTAGGACACGAAATTTGATGTTTTGACGTTTAATTGCTCCATGCGGATTAATTAGTTTCAATTTTTCGCAGAAACGCTCGTTAGCAGTTAGCTATTAATACATGTTCATATATATATAGTTAATTCAATTATTTCATAGATATATTTTTTTTTGTGTTCATCGAATGTTTTTCAGAGAGAAAACGAGGACGAAGCGGCGATGAAAATCCAGAAATGCTGGAGAAAATCGCATCAAAAACGCGAGGATTTAGCATTAAGAGCTCGAGAAATGTTTGTATTTCCAACATTTCGTGTCGCGTTTTCAGAAATATGATTTTGCAGTGCTGAATGGGATGGACTTGTCGAAATTTCGCAGCACAACGACGAATTGATGGAGAAATTGAAGGAACTTCGCATTTCAAAAGTCGAAATATTCTTTGGATTCGCATTTATGACGCCCGAATTTTTAGAATTACGACATTCAAAAGTTCGACACACTTCTCCGAATGCCACCTCGTGACGTGAATGGATGGCTCGAGAACGAATTCAAACGAAACCGTCGGCAGAGAATCACCGAATCCGACAGAATTCAACTGCAAATTGTTGACCGGCAGAAGGATCAGGCGGCCAGAACATTACAGCGATATGTATGATTTCTCTTTTTTAAAATTGCATTTTTGCGATTCAATGAACCGAATTTCGCAAATAGCATTTCGAGCATTTTCAAATTTCTTTTTCGCATATTGTCGATTTTTAACTATAAGTCACCGTGGTCTCGAGACGACGAGACGCGCGCTGTGTACTCCACACGGACCGTCTATCACTTGACAACGTGTTGTAAATCTCGCCGCGCGTAAATCGACAATTGTGTTGCGAGACTCAATTCTACAGTAGACCACACCGTCCGCAGTCGCTCTTCTTCAACTATATCACAGAATTAGTTTTTATCTTTGTTAAAAATTTAATTTTTTTTTTCAAAGAATTTGTTGAAGATTATCAACTGTATGCAATTTTGCGTCAGTGTGTATGAATTATTTCTGTCTTTACGTCGTCAGCGCATTTTTTATGTGGCTAAATAATTCATGTAAATTGTTTTTTTTTTTGTTATTGTCGGCCTCAAACGACTAAAAGAAGGCGGGAGCTTCAAATTCGCGAAATCAGTGTCGATTTAAATTTTTCGTTGACTGAATATTCAATGCGCGTAAGCTATAATGCAATGTACGCAATCTCGCTGCCTCGAGACGCATTGGCACACAGCCAATAATTTTTTAAATTTCGTCAAGTCGTTTGACTTCGATACTTCCATCGCAAAAAAAATCTAGCGCCTTGAATAATTGTGGACCATCGCACTTTTTCGAGGCGGTAATTCAAATTTGAATTTAAACAGTGGGAATTCGGATACCGTACTCTGGATAACCTGCGAAGCTAACTCACCGTAAATCTACACATGCGCTGCTCGTTTGTTTTTTGCTCGTTTGAATGTAATATGTAGTAAATTTGCACGTCAACAATAACAATTATAAAAACATCAAGCGCTATGAATCATAACTTTCAAAAAATTAACTTATTTTAGTTAATATATTCTCATTTTTAATTATTCAAGGTTAGTCATTCAATTAAGCAACAAAATTCGGCGACAAATGTTGTTCTAAAAAATAAAATTGTTTTTGCAGTTTCGAAAAATCCATTTGAAATCAATTGAACGAAAACATTGCCGTCGATTGAGTGTACTGAAACCGAAACGGAGAATGGAACTTCTCGATCGAATCAATAAACGGCTTACAGAACGAAAGTTGATGCGTAGAATTCGTGGAGAGGATGTCGTTCGAGCGGTTTTTCAAACAATTTCGATGAATTCCAGTCAACCATCGTTTTTTCAGCTAAAATCGCATCGCGAACAATTGAAAAAAATAAATTGGGTAGCCGAATTAGATGCTGAATTATTTCGGCATAGCAATAATTTATCAAGACCAAGTATTATTTTTTATTTATTCCTTTTAAATAATTCCATTATCGGGTTATTAATTTCAGATTCTCCAATAAATTTGAATCGAAATATCCACTCGTTATCATTGGAGAAAGCTAAAAGCTGTCATGACGGTGAAATGAGAAAAATCGAAAATGGTATTGCGAATCGCATTCTGGAGTAAACAGGGCACACTTTTGTATTAATTCGACAATATTAATGCATATCATTTTATATTTTAATAAGAAATTAGTTTGAATAGTTAATGACATTGTCTGAAATTTTATCCGTGATTTTCCCACGAAAAGAAGACACTTATTGGTTTGGGATAACCGACGGAACATTTCGGTGCAGACAGGAAAAAAATTCGCCGACACGCTAAATGGAGGGCGATGTGTAATTGGAGTGTCGTACTGGTAAAACATTTTGGGACAAACCTCGGAAATTTTTGGGAATCCCTCGTGGATGTTTAAGCCAAAACCAACCACGGTTCGTTCTTTTCAAATCGTCGAGGTCGTATTCACACAATTTATAACATTTTGAAAAAGAACAAGAAACTATCATTAGCAATACAGCAACTAAGTATTGGAAGTATTTCAATGTTATATTTTTATGGACCTATTCATGCAATGAAAAAAATTTAAAAAAAAAAAACACAATTTTTTTCATTTGAATTCCCTATGCACGTACGTCGAAAATTACAAAAAATTGACGCGATATATCGTAATTTTCCGTCATTTATTTTCAAAGCAAAAAGTAGTGCGGGTCACGTCGGGAAGTCGGTACTGTATTTTTAATTTTTTGAGCGTTTAAAACGTTTTTTTTTTGGAAATCTGTAAAAGTATTTTGTTTAATCAACGCTAAAGATTCATCAAAAGCGTCATCGAGCGAAGTCTGCGTCAATCAACACAAATATTTCAATTTCTCAGGATAATTGGTATCTAAATGACGAAAAATAGACATATTGTTGTCGAATTAGGAGTATTTATACCAATAATTGTTTTTTTTTTTCCATGTTCTTCAATTCGTTACTCATTTCCTCTACAAAGTTTTCAAAAAAATACGGAAAAATAACACAGAAACGAAAAATAAAAAATTACAGTACTGACTTCGCGACGTGACCTGCGCAACTTTTCGCAGGCGCCTTTGAAAATAAATAGCGGAGGATTACGATATACCGCGTCATTTTTTTTTTATAATTTCCGATGTGCGTGCATAGGGAATTCAAATAAACAAAAATGATTTTTTAAAAATTTTTCTTTGCATGAATAGGTTCATTATATTGTTAGTCTCAAGCAACTGATCGCAACTTAGAGGTCTCGGTGCGTAGTGGGCACCAGGGCTGTGCGGCAATGGAAGCCGAAATTATTTGTCGGCATTTTGTTGAGGAGAATTTAAAAAAAGTTGTAATTTTATGTGAAACTGCTGTACGCGGGTAGATTTACGCGCATGCGCCTTAAAATGGTCTCGCCACGCGTGAACGATTATTTTGCTGCTTTCGCATGAACGGTTAATCTTTTCTTGATGAATTTCGCATTTGCTTGAATTTCCAACGTCATTCGATTAAAACCTTATCGAACCGGTCCATAAAATTTGAAATAACTTGTTCTTCCGTGCGAGACCAAGAGAAAGACGCATCCCCGTAAATATACCCGCGTACAGCTGTCCCCGGAAACCCTCGAAATTTCCGATTTCCGCACAACCTTTAGCCTATCCTTATGCAGCCTTATCACCGGAAAATGTACACTTTTAGTTTTGCGCCATTGCTTTTTGGACCTTAGCCAATTTTGCCCAGTAGCATTACAAATACCAGTTATTCGTTTTTCAAACTTATAATTTTTTGCCCATAATAATTTTTTCGGTCATCATAAGCTGGCTGGCTCATCGAGCAGCTCTCTGACTTCAGACGTAATTTCCAATTTTTTTTAATCCATTCTGAACTATTTCTGACCTACAAGGCTGAAATTTCGTCTTGAAATCGAACAGCAGACCTCGCAAAACCACTAGGCTCTCCAAGATCGAAACATCGGCCGTGCTTCAAGAGAGGATCGCCATGGGACTGCTCCGTAATGTAAATGGAATCATGAATCGATAGCAGTACGAGAATATCCTGGAAAACACAATGAGACCTTCGGCTGTGCGTTTGTCTTCCAGCAAGACCACGACCCGAAACACACGTCTGGACCAGTGAACCCTCTAATATTTATTCTAATAAAATACTTGACAAAACCACCCTAAGAGAGATCGGCCTTGAAGCTACAGTGGTTGAGCTCGAAGGGAAATCGCTGCGAGACCTTCTCGTAAAAAATTGTCTCTTTGACGTAGAATGCGGGAGCAAAGTTGTAGAGTATGTCCCGAATTTAGTTTTTTTGCACTGAATACTCAAATCTAAACCCTTCTCGGGATCCGATTTAAACGAAATTGGCGACATTAAGAGCCACCGAAAATAAACAATTAAAAAACTATTTTGACGGCCTTGCTGGATTTGAAAATTGAAAAAAAACGTGTTTGTAAAAATGATTCACTGCATTATATCCATTATTGATTCATCAACTTTTCATCTGTTTTTTTCGATCACATTTGAGATTTGAACTAAAAACAGATGAAACATGTATGATGGATCATGGATAAAAAATTAATCTGCCACCGATCCCGTTTTAATCCATTTTCCATCGTGTAGTGTTGTTGAGCAGTTTGAAGCGGGTTGTTGGGTTGCAAGATTAGCCTAAAAATGAATACAGTCGGCGTCCGGCGACAGCTGTGCGCGGGTAGATTTACGGGGATGCGTCTTTCTCTTGGTCTCGCAAGGACTAGCAGGTTATTTCAAATTTGATGGACCGGTTCGATAATTTTAAAATCGAATGACGTTGGAAATTCAAGCAAATGCGAAATTCATCAAGAAAAGATTAACCGTTTACGTGAAAACAGCAAATTAAGCGTTCACGCGTTGCGAGACCATTTCAAGGCGCATGCGCGTAAATCTACCCGCGTACAGCTGTCCCCGGACGCCAACTATATGTATTTAAATATTTATTATTGAACACATGACTCACTTAAAGTGCATATGTGTACACTTTACCAACAAATTGACTCTATCTTCAAATAGGCTAGTTTTTGATAACAAAGGTCGACATAGCATTTATCTGATAACGTGCTTAAAATACTATAAAACTTTTTCAAACATTCCGTCGTTTTTTTTTTCTTATTTTTCATGCTATTGTTGAGAAATGACAAATGTATCCAGGTGTCGTGGGATCCTGCGTTTTGTACGCAATGCTAAGAGACAGTTACCGTAATCCTCGCAGCGATTTACGGTGATTTTTTTTAAAATTTTCTTTCAATTTTTTTTGCTGAATTTTCTTATTTTCTTTAGAAATCTTATATTTAAAACCTGTAGAAACCGAGTTTAATGATTTATTTTTCAGAATACAGTGCGTTTCACATTTATAAAGCCACCCCTGTTTTTGGGTGTAACTTTGTCAATTGTAAACATTTTTAAATTCTGTTTTCAAAATTGAATTCAGGGCTAAAAAATACGTATATCTACCAATTTTCATAATGATATCTGAAAAATTGGCCGAGTGGCATTGAAAACACTGAAAATTGGTCACTTGCAACCGTTTCACATTTATAAAGCCACCCCCGTGAAAGGTCTGAAAATGTGGAGACCTGAAGAAGAATGAGCAGTGTAGTTATATTGTCGGCGTCAAACGACTTGATGGGGGCGTGGCCTTCAGTATATCGTAACCAGTGTAGATTTACGAGCGGGTAGATTTACGCGCTGACCAAATATTATATGGTTTTTTTCTCGATTTTTTAATATTAAAAAAATGTTATGCGTGTTTTAATCCTGATTCCCATTGTCATTTGCATTCATATAATGAGTCGACCTCCATGCATACGTAAAAGTTCGCGGAACTAACGGCATTTACTTAAACAAGCGAAAGAATCGTACATTTATCGAATATTTTAAGAGCACCACAACAATGTTTTATTTACCGTAAAAATAGTATGAAAATTATTGTTCAAAGGGGAAAGTCATCCGATTAATTGAGAATTCTCGAAATGCACCAAGACGCCGCACAATTGAAACTTATAACCGAAAGCCAAACGAGCGTTGATTCCAATCGCCTAAAACTAGTAATAACTTCACATTAAATACAAAATTAAAAAGAAAACTGAGTCTACAAAGATTAAAAATTATAACTTACTTTTGGGAAGAAGCTTGAAGTCATTGAGTATCTTTTTTCCCTTTCCCTAGGGTTCGAAGGGTTCAATATTTGATGCCATTGTAGTCGCTGCAACTATAATGATAAAATAATGACAATTTTAAATAAAAATAAAATAATACCGTCTTGTTAACTTCAGTAGTTTTCAAAGGCCTTCGGCTCCAGTTCAATATGATTGTGTTTCCTAAAATGTACTAAAAATTAGGAAACGGAAAATGATCAAGAATAAGTTTTTACAATGTCAAATTAATTAAAAATGCCTTTAAATATATGAAAATTTTAAACTATCAATCAGCGATTATAAAAATATAAGATAAACCGTAAAAATAAAAGAAATTGACTAATAAAAAAAAGAGACACAGAAAAATTCTCAAAAAATAACGCGCCTAAAAACACGCTGCGCAAAACACGCTGCAAAGTGTATGCCACATACACTTCTCTTCGCCTCGAGAAATCTGGCAATTAGCCAATATTTTTTAAAATTTCGTCAAGTCGTTTGACGCCGACAATAAATAGAGTACTGTAAGATATTTTTCTTTTTTTCTGCCTATTTTAACCAATATTTGGACATGTCCCGGAGATTTTTGCTCACCGATGCCGAAAAGGCTACCATAGATTCCTTAAAATTCGCTGGATGGTCTAACCGAAGGATTTCTTCGCACCTGAAGCGGTCGAAAACTTGCATTATTAATTTTGTCAACAAGATCGACAAAAACCAGCACCCAAAAAATCCCGGATCGAAGGCGAAACTGAATTCCCGAGACCGAAGATTGATCATCCGAGTAGCATCCAACACGATGAAGTCATGCAACGACATCAAAAACGAGCGGAATCTTGATGTTAGTAAAACGACGACTTGGAGGACACTTAATGATGATCCCAACATCATCCGGGCAGTTACGCGTCCAGCGTCCAGAGAAAAAGTTCAACCTAGATGGTCCCGATGGAAATAAATGTTATTGGCACGATTTACGGAAGGACAACCCAATTTTTTCAAAGCCGGACATTGATGGCGAGAATATCATGGTCTGGAGAGCATTCTCTTCGACGGAATTTCGCAAGCTGGCATTTGTAAATGGTCGAATGAACTCGCTGGACTATCAGCGAGTGTTAACGGACTATCTGTTACCATTTCGAGGACGATTTCGGCGAAGAAAGTTCGTATTCCAACAGGCAATGCCTCAATTCATGCGAGTCGATCGATTTTGGATTGGCTCAGCAAAGGAAATATCGACGTTTTGAGGTGGCCAGCGTGCTCACCAGACTTAAATTCGATGAAGAATGGTTAGGGAGAACTGGTTAGCAGCTTTTATCGTCATGGCAAGCAATATCGACCCATTGATGAATTGAAAACGGCGATTACCGACGAGTGGGATCTATTGGACCAGAAACTCAGCACCAAGACCACCCAAAATATGGAAAACCTGGTCCAATCGATGCCAAATCGTATTTACAACCTTATTTCTTTGAAAGAAACCGCACCTAAATAATAATCTGGCTTTATAATAGAGTTTTTACTGCGTTCACGGGGGTGGCTTTATAAATGTGAAACGGTTGCAAGTGACCAATTTTCAGTGTTTTCAATGTCACTCGACCAATTTTTCAGATATCATAATGAAAATTGGTAGATATACGTATTTTTTAGTCCTGAATTCAATTTTGAAAACAGAATTTAAAAACGTTTACAATGGACAAAGTTACACCCAAAAACAGGGGTGGCTTTATAAATGTGAAACGCACTGTATGCACTTTTCCATTTGTCTAGTTACGTTGGGAATTATTGTGAAGATTTTGACGCCCTAAAAATTATTTTGAAAATGAAGAATACAAAAACAAGATAATAGAAACGCATACAAAAAGCAAAACACGATTAAATAATTTTATTAACGACAAAAATTATTTCTTTTTAATCTCTGCTGTTTTTACCAAAAAAATATCGTTTAAAAGTGCTTATTCTGCTAAATTCATTATTAAACTCGGTTTCTGTAAAATTTAAAAATTTAAATTAAAAAATTTCGAAAGAAAATTTAAAAATTGAACGAAAAATAAAAAAAAATGAATATGCGAAATTAAATAAAAAGTCCCCGTAAATCGCTGCGAGGATTACGGTAACTGTCTCTTAGCATTGCGTACAAAATGCAGGATCCTACGACACCTGGATACATTTGTCATTTCTCAACAATATGTGTATCTACGTTCATAAGTATTTTAATCATTTTTGCCACTAATGCTGAAATTCGGAAGCATTGAAGTATAGCATCTTTAAAAATTTGTATTAAAAAAATGAAAAACTACTATCGCAAAAAACGAACACTTTCAGTAATTGTGGACCATCGCACTTTTCGAGGCGGTCAAATTTCGCGACTTCGACAATACTGTAATTTCACTTCTTAATGTAGAGGGGGTAATCTTTAAACGTATTAAAATATCAAGAAAACTAGATAAGAAATCGCAAAAAAACCGAAAATTCTACGTTAATACGAGCGTCCAATTTTATTGTCTCAGACAGTTTTTTTTCAATTCTTTTTTTTTTGTCTCAGAGGGCGTCAAACGACTGAAAGGAGGCGGGGCCATCAAATTCGCGAAATCAGTGTAGATTTAAATTTTTCGTTGACTGAATATTCAATGCGCATACAGTACAATATACGCAGTCTTGCGTACCTCTCGCTGCCTCAAGACGAATTCGCACAATAATTTTTTTTTATTTCGTCAATTCATTTGACTCCGTCAATAAATACGAATGAAAAATTGTCCAAGGATACCAAAAATAAGCGAAATAGAAATTGTTGCAGACGATGCATTTTATTTTCTACACATGTTGTTTCTTCGCGATCGAATTTCTATGCGACGAATTAACGTAAATAGAATTTTCGTTTATTATTATTTTTTCGATTTCTTATTTATTTTCCATCATCCTTTTTTTTTACTTTAATGGTTACACCCCTTAAAAGAATTCGAAACACAAATACTCATGAATAAATGTTATAATTTTACAACGACGAAAAAATTAACTATAAAATAAAAATTACGAGGAAATCGCAACCATTGTTTTTCTATATTGTTGCGAAACAATAAAAACTGGAAATTTTTTTCCCATAAATAGTTTCACATTGATAATATATTGATAATATTAAAAATATACAGCGTATAGCATTGAATTTATACAAATTAATCTAAATTTAAATTTATTATTTGAATTCGAATAGCCCCCGATCACCGAACTTATTTTTCAGTTGTGATTTCTATTAAGTTAGGCTAAATAATGTATCCATAGAGCGCATTTGTGGCGGAGTTCCAAAAAATTGTTTCACAATGTTTATGATTATTATTTTTTTATGTTTCCATTAATGCTGACACATTATTAAATTCTTGAAACAAAGTTTAAAAATTATTATATAGAAGAAAAAAGTACTAATTGAATATCATTTAAAAATTTCACGTAGTCAGTTTTTTTTTCATGCGATATACAATGCGTTATTTGTGAACACTTAAAAAAATATAAAATAACTCAAATTAATTGTTTCCTCGAATATACGAGGCATCGTAATCTGTGTGTTTCGCCAAAACCGAGAAATGACTATTTCGCCCGATGCAACTCAAAAAAATATATAAAATTCAACAAGTTGTTTTTCTTAATCGATTGTTGTTGGTTGTTGTTTTTAATTTTTTTTGTTTGTTTTGATAGCTTTAACGCGATAATAATGCTCCTCTGTGGTCACTATTCATTTGAACGTTCTCAAACTTGTTTTCAACCCGTATCAAACCAAAAACAAAAACTCATCGTCATTGATATGTAGTCAAGATTGCGTAGCAGGTGAAATCGCAAAAAATCCAGAAACATTCATAACATCCCCCACCGGAATTTATTGCTTTTTTCCTCTTATATCTTTCATAATGTATTATTACAGATGCTTTTATAAGAAAAAGCCAAAGCATGTCCACATTAAAGCAGTTTCGTCTTCTTCTTTGGAAGGACTTGATAATAATCAAAAGGAATAAAGTATGGGCTCTTTTCGAAATGCTCATACCGACAGTAATGTTGGGACTAATTGTGTATTTAGTAGTAAAGGTTAGAATAGCTCTTGGGTTTTTCATTTTGTTTATTTTTCAGAACACATCGTCCGATCTTTCTCCTGACCATAAATTCGAGCCTTTCAATTTAACCGGTACAGTCGAAGATGCTTTTGTTGTCACCTACAGTACGTCAATTCATAGAAGATGGTGTCTTAAAGATAGTGTGATGCTGGCATACGCGTTTGTTTTTTGTTTTTAAATTTTGATAATTTGGATAATTTTAGGGTCAAAAATGAAAATTCAAAGAAAGAAGTCGATAAATTAATGAAAAGTGTCTCTCAGAGATACCAAAGTTCAAGATTACAAATGAATGTGGAACGATTGGACAATGGCACTCATTTATTAACCGCTTTAAAGGACGATCTTCCGGAAAACGCTGAGGAGGCGATTTGTGGAATTGGAAAGTTCGTTTTATTAGTGATAGTGCCATTTCGGTCCATTTTTCTTTTCGATACGATATTTAATTATTCCTAGAGTGTAAGATTTCTATATTATTGGCTAAATGTCTAAACATTTCGGAATAGGTCTTGGCGAGCATTGTGCGCTTTTAACCTGTCTTTATATTATCCCGTAAATTTTCAAACTTCTAAGGTTAGTTTCGCGCTGTACCAGCTGTCATAGAAATTTGCATGTTTACTGCAGTTTTCGAAGCCAATCATAATAATTTTTGCGTATGTTCATAAATATTACATTCACAAAACAAATGAGCACCTTACGGTGAGTTTGATTCGTAGTCCGTATTACAGTACCCAAATTCCCACTGTCTAAATTCAAATTTGAATTACCGCCTCGAAAAAGTTCGATGGTCGACAATTATGCAAGGTGCTCGTTTTTTTGCGATGTAAATAACAAAAACAATTTAAAATTTGCGGAAGCGGAAGAACTGATGTTAGATAGATGATAAAATGGTTATTCCATTATTCATCTAACTGTACACTTTTGATAAGAAAATGTTTACCACATGAATAAGAATTATTTGGATTATGATTAATAAATAACTTTTAAAAATTGAATTTTCAGTTTAAAAAAAGTGTTTTATGCTGTAATATGTAAATATTTCAGATTTGTTGGTGGAATATTCTTCGAGGAATTCGACATTGCCAATAAACAGCTTAAATACCAGATTTATATTCCAAAGCGTCTACAAGATTTGTGGAATCTCGATGAAACTTGGGAATATCCATATGGGGCAATATCAGGCTTCTCATCTCGAATCCCTTCGATTCCGCCATATTGGATGTCTGGCTATCTTACAATTCAGCATGCGGTCGAAACAGTTTTCACCGAGGTATTTCAACGTTTCGTATTGAGAGTTGTCTGAAATAAATCAATTTGACAGAGTTCGAAAGAATCGAGCGTCGGAAGCGCGAATATCGAGTTCTTGGCGCTTCCAGTTCCAAGATACAGACAGAGCTCGCTGGGCACTTTCATCTCATTCTTCCCAACGATTTGGGCATTCTGCACCTTCGTCATTGTAATTCATGTGACACGAGAAATTAGCGCTGAGAATTCAAATGTCAAGGTATTTCATATAATTCTTTACGAAATATCATAATAACTGATTTAATATTTTTACAACAAATTTCCAGCCATTTTTATCCGCTATGGGATTGTCGACGAGCATGTTCTATTTGGCGCATATTACTGTCGCGTTCGTTAAATTCCTGATCATCTTCCTCATTTGTACAATTCCACTTCTCACTGTCATGGATGTACGTGATATTCCACGAATTCCTCTCACGGCAAATGTTTTTTTTTTTAGTTTGTGAGCCCTGCTGCTCTCGTGACCGCCAATGTTTTCTACGGATTGGGTGCAGTTATGTTCGGTGCTCTCGTCGCTTCGATGTTCAAAAACCATAACTCTGCAGTTAAAGGTTGTTTTACTAACAATTTGCGTATTTTTTTTTAAATGAATGTCCACTTTTTTTTTAGTAATATTGGTCCTCTGGATTGGAATGATCGCCTTATCAAAGTTCACGCAACCCGCGAATCATCGTCTATTCCTTTGCGCTATATATGCGCTGAACATCAATGGCGCATTTTCACTTGCCGTTCAAGCGATTTCAGACAGCATGAAACGAGGTGAGCGTTTTTTCTGATATTCCACTTTTATTTGATTTCAGCTTTTCACCTGTTTTGTAGCGAAAAATTCAGAAAAGCACGAGAACTTTTAGTTACTTGGCCTTAAAACGAAACGAATATCGAATGAAACGTGCAGAAAACAAAAAATTTGAAATATAGAGAATGAAATAGAAATCATCTTGAATTACTACAAACTTTTTCAGAGCGCGAATTAAATTTGTTCACTATGTTCAACAATTCGTCTCTGCAATTCTCGCTTGGATGGTCCCTTGTGATGATGGTAATTGATATTCTTTGGATGTGGGCAGCTACAATGCTTATTGATCATATTCAAAATAATGTTGATTTTGACCCGCGTAATTGGATTTTCAAAGAAACATTGGTATTTTCGATAGTCTGTTAGCAACACGAACATTTTTGTTCAGGATGATGACGAAACGGTTCCTGATGGTATCACAATCACTAATACTCGTCAGAATGAGGTGTGCACATAGAAAAATGTACGAAATCTCACTTGTTTAGATTCAGATGAACAATATTTCGCCGAATACCCTCTCGCCACCCAACAATGATTCGGATTTGCTGCTTGAAGGGGCCACAGAAATTGACGGAGCTCGAGAAGCGGCAAGAGCCGACATTATCGTGCATCGACTTGTGAAGGTTTGATCCATGAATGTACGCGGCCAGCTATTATTATCGTGCTTTGTTTAGATTTGGTCGACGACGGGTGAACGAGCTGTTGATGGGCTCTCCCTGAAAGCGACTCGCGGACAAGTTGCGGTCCTTTTGGGACACAATGGCGCTGGAAAGAGTACGACGTTCGCGAGTATCGCGGGAATTATTAAACCGACATCAGGTAACAAATATAATTTTCAAATTTAAAAGAAAACAACAATTCAGGAAATATCACGATTTGCAATCATGATGTTGTTCGAGAACTCACTGAAACGAGAAAACACATTGGTCTGTGCCCGCAGTACAATCCGCTTTATGAAAAACTAACGGTTGCTGAACATCTTTCTTTAATTCACGGATTGAAGGGATCAGAAAAGCCGTTCGAAGAGGAAATGAATCGCTTGCTTGAGGATATCAAACTGGATTTCAAGAAAAACGAAATTTCGATGAATTTGTCTGGTGGAATGAAACGCAAACTATGCGTATGCATGGCTCTTATTGGACAAAGCGATGTTGTTCTTCTCGATGAGCCGACGGCTGGAATGGATCCTGGAGCAAGAAAAGATGTCGAAAGAATGTTGGAGAATGAGAAAGCTAATCGGTTAATTGGTCAATATGGAAACATTTTATGAAAATTCGTTTCAGTACCATTCTATTAACCACCCATTATATGGATGAAGCTGAAAGACTGGGGGATTGGGTGTTCATCATGTCACATGGAATGCTTGTTGCTTCCGGAACGAATCAATATTTGAAAAAGAAGTTTGGAACTGGCTATCAGTTGACTGTCGTCCTCGGACACAGCTCTGATAAGAGGCAAATGGCGGATTTGTTGGTGAAAGTGTGTGCAGTCTATGTGGATGGAGCGACGAGAGGCGAATTGCACGGACAACAAGTGGAAATTGTGTTGCCCGAGCAGAATAAGACGAACTTTCCGCAGTTGTTTAGAGCATTGGAAGCAATTCAGGAAAGAGAGTGCGTTGAACACTTCTGAATTTTTGAAATAAGATCATCATTTTCAGTTTTAAATCACCTGTGTTGTCAAGCATTCCGAACGATGTCAAATCTCAACTGGCGAATCTGATGCTTAACAATTTCGGATTGTCGCTTAACACTTTGGAGCAGGTTTTCATTAGTATCGGAGATAAGGTCGATGAAGCTCTCGCCAGTCGTCAGAACAGCACAATTAGCAGAAATCCGAGTGGAGCAAGCAATCTTCAAGTAGCTCATTGATCCAATCCAATCGATAATATTATTCATTTTCAGATTCCTGGCTATAATACTCAAAGTAGTACGAAGAGTGCTGATAGCTATGCGAGACTGATGCAATGCCAAGAAAGTAAAATATTGCGCATTGTCGATTTTTCTAATCTCGAATTACTGCAGGAGGAGCTGATTTACATGGTTGTTCGCTGGTCATGGCGCAATTTCGCTCAATTTTCCGCAAAAAGTTCTTATATACACGTCGCAATTGGACTCAGCTATTCGGACAAGTTGTGATTCCTTTGATCCTTCTTGGTTTTGTCGGATTACTCACATTGATCGAACACGATATTCGCGACAATTGTGAGTATTGTTTTTGTTGTGATAGAAACCGTATTAAATCAAAATTCAGTGCGGCATTTTTCAATTTCCGAAATAACACCAACTCGAGTTTTATGGAGATTTGATTCGAATGTTTCCGGAGTCGACGAGCAATTACTCAAAACTATCAAAAGTGAAAGCGGATTTATTATTGAAAACTACTCTGAATCGAAAACGCTTATGCAAATTGTTGAATTGATGAAAGGGGTAATAATTAGGGAATTGAAAAATTTGAAATCAACTTTTAAAAATCCAGGAAATGCCACCAGTTGCTTTTGGATTGACACCGAGCGAAAATATGAATTCGTCTACAGCTCTGTTCAATAATCGAGCTTTTCATGTGCTCCCAACTTACGTTAGTATTATCAATTCAGCAAGAGCTGGAACGCAGAAGTCGGCTATCGAAGGTGGTATTTCATTATATACGAAACTGAGTCAAACGGGTCAAGTACGAAGAAATATTTTCGATAGATTTCGAATTGATTTTTTGAATTTCAGCTTATTCCTAAAAATCTCATCGACATCCTTCTCGCACCATTCCTTGTTCTCATCTTCGCAATGGTCTCTTCGAGTTTTGTCATTTTCCTTGTCGAAGAGCGAATTTCAATGTTTGCTCATCAGGTATTTCAAATATTGATTTTTTTTTAACAAATTTTTTCTTTTGATAGCAATTCCTCACTGGAATCTCTCCGATCACATTCTACGTCGCTTCATTTTTCTACGATTTCGTTGTTTATGCTGTCATTTGTCTAATGTTTGGATTAATATTTCTAGTTTTCGGCTGGATGAAGTCTCACTTCCTTATGTAAGCCTATTGGATTCCGTGCAATTTTCAAATAATCTGGCTCATTTTTCAGTTTGATTCTATTTTGGATACTTTATTTCATTTCGTGTGTTCCGTTCATCTACGCCGTCTCATTCCTATTCGAATCGCCGTCCAAAGCCAATGTTCTCCTCATTATTTGGCTCGTCATCCTCTCTGCGACCGCAGCAATTACTGTCAAGATAATACAGGCGATTCCGATTTCGCAAATTCCACAAATGATGAAAGATACGATTGGGGTTAGAATTCAATTAGATTTTCTTAGAATATTCCGGAATTTTATAGGAAATCTTCTGCTTCTTACTTCCGTCGTATGTATTTGGAGAATCTGTGGTGAAAATCAGCGCGTTGGGAATGGTTTTCACCAACGAACAACTTTTGCAATGGGATATTCTTGGCAAAAATATAGCATATATGTTGACATTTGGTGCATTTTCAATCACATTATTCCTTGTAATGCAATTCAAATGTGTGCGAAAGAAAATTGCTGATATCATAACAATTCGTAAAGGCAGCAACAATATCCAACCATTAATGGTTTGTAATTTTATCGAATTTTTTTTCGTAAAAATGTTTTTCAGTCGGATCTTCCGCGATGTGATAGTGTCGACAAAGAGAAGGAATTGGTCAGATATGGAAATACACAAGAACACGCCCTTGTTGTGAAGGTATTCAATTTTTAAAAAAATCCTCGTTTTTACTTTAATGTATATTTATTTTTTAATCCGTTTTATTTGAAATGAGAAATTCATAATTGAACACCGTTATTTTCATTTATAGGATCTTCGAAAAGTTTACGGAAATTTGACGGCGTTAAATGATCTGTGCTTGGCTGTCCGCCAAAATGAATGTTTTGGCGTATTGGGTGTGAATGGCGCAGGAAAAACAACGACGTTCAACATTTTAACTGGCCAAACATTTGCTACAAGCGGAAGTGCGACGATTGGAGGAAGAGATGTCACCGAACAGATTTCGATCGGCTATTGTCCGCAATTTGATGCGCTTCTTCTCGATTTAACAGGACGAGAAATTCTCGAGGTATTTTCATTTTAAAAATTTTAATCGATTAGAAAAAATTTTCAGATTCTATCCTTGATGCACGGCTTCAAAGACTATGTGAGTAGAGCTTCTCTGGTTCTTGAATGCGTTGGAATGCTCAAACACGCCGACAAACGCGTCCGATTCTACAGTGGAGGCCAAAAACGCAAAATCTCGGTGGGAGTCGCACTTCTCGCACCGACGCAGATTATCATTCTGGATGAACCGACGGCAGGAATCGATCCGAAAGCGCGACGCGAGATTTGGGAACTGCTGATGTGGTGTTGCGATCACTCGAACAGCGCACTCTTGCTAACTTCTCATTCAATGGATGAGTGTGAAGCCTTGTGTTCCAGAATTGCTGTTTTGAATCGAGGAACAATGATTGCGATAGGAACCAGTCAGGATTTGAAATCCTTGTAAGAATATTGATATCGAACTTCATGACAATTTTTGTTCTTTTTAGATACGGAAATAATTTCACAATGACGTTGACACTAAAAAGTATCGATGAGCGATATGAAATTTGCCGAAAAGTTGCTCTTCGCATTCCAAGAGCTGTTCTCAAAACAAAAGAAACGAACAAAACACTCAATTTGAAATGGATCGTATGTTTTCTAATAAGTCTATTCATAGTTCCAAATAATTTGTAGATTCCAAAAGAAGAAGGTGATCGATGGTCTGAAAAATTCGAAATGGTTAAGAATTTGGCGAAAGAGCTTGATGTATGTTTGAAAAATGAATATAAAGTAATTAATTTTTCAAATTTTGAGGTCAAAGATTATATATTGGCACAATCTTCATTAGAAGAAACATTCTTAAGATTATCTGGACTTGATGCCGAAGGAGAAGAGAATGAGGTTCATAGATAGAGACATCTGGCTCTCAGCAATGTATAAATTTCAGTTTGACTCTATTTAATTTTCAACATGAAAACGTCATAATGATTAATATTTTGTTGCCGCCCCAAATGATGTAAAAACGGACGTATTACCGGTTGTCAATTGTTGTGAAAATTTTGTAATATTCAATATATTCAATTCGCTTTAATAAATTATTCTTTATTTAAAGACACGTTTGGTAGAATGTGGACCAATCAGTTCTAATGGACCTATTGATGCAATTTAGAAATTGTAAAAAATAATATTTTTCCAAAAATACATTCTAGCACAGTATCATTCTGCAAACACCACGACGCCATATAGCACTATGTATTACATTGTTAAGGATTGAAAATTTTTAGACGTCTTATTGCACACTGTGGTGGCCGAGTTTGCACGGCCGCGCGCGAAATGACATAATCTCTTCCATTTAACCTCGCCAAAAGGTGTTTTGATTTCCAGATCAAACTACATATTCCCAATTGTTTTAGAAATTTGTTCGACAAAAAGAAGGTCCTTGTCGAATGAGCACTTGGGAAATCTCTCATTCAGCACTGTTAATTTTAGAGTATTCGAGTTACAGATTAGATTAAGTTTGTCTTCCGTGTTTCGTCAAAATCTTTTTGTTCTTCAGTCTTCCGTTTTTAGAAAATTTAAGCTCCGTGCCGCTCGGATATGGAAGTGATACAAGTGACAACACCGACATTGACGAGGAGGCAGAAGATAGTGACGAGGTTGAAGAAGATTTCATCGAAAATTGTTGGAAATCCGTATTTGTTTTTATCTATATGTTCGGTTTTCATTCTTTAATGCAGTTTTTTTTATTGGATATATATTTATGTTTCTAATAATATAGATTCACAATGCCATTTTGACGATCAAGTCCATAGTTTATGAATCGAAATTTTCATTGTTGTTGCTCTTTAACTCTCCCCATTGCAATTGCACGTGTTTGTATGTGGAGAGCACCAGATGAAGAGAAATTCTGGTTTGAGTCTGAAAAAAAAGAACAGCTCGGTTTACATGAAATAAAGAGTTGTATTCGAGCAATGGACCTAGAACAGCGAAAATTGACATTTCTACTGACAAAAGTTCCACAGAGATTATATTTAAAGCCTGCCTAGCAGCAAATGGCAACATACTGCTTCTTTGTTCAATTTCATTCCTAAGGTCCATTATATCTTTAAGGAATTTTAAGTTTGACATCCAGCGAGTATCAAAATTAAAATTAAAAATTCAAACAGCAACGAGAGAAGTCTGATCATTAATTGGCACATTGTGCAATTTGAGCGGGCCAATAATTTTTTGCTCCCCTTTTCTTGCTCCCCCCCTGATTTTTGGCACCCACTTTTGTTGCTTCCAGTTTAATAATTTTTTGCTCCCATTTTTGTTGCTCCCCTTTTTTAAATAATTTTTTGCTCCCATTTTTAACACCCTTTTTAAAAAGGGTTTTTTTACTACTTTTAAATTTTTCCTTGAAATAGGAATTCACAATAGTCATTTTTGTATTTTGAAGGCTTACTCCAACCATTATAAAATTATCACAATTGCTTAATGGAAAATGTTGAATTAGAACAAAATTGGGCAAAATGGCGAAATAGGATCCATGGATGCCACTGTAAAGTTAAACGAAAATCCGTAGTAAGTCAATTAGAATATATGATTTGACTTTGTTAGTAGTGTCCGTTAGTTTAATGAAAACAACTAAACACATTTTCTATTAGGCAACATATTTATTTAAAACATTTAATTATTGAATTATTTTTTAAACAATAAATTAATTGTTGAATTATTTCGATAGGTCATTTATACCGTAAAATCTGTATCAAAATGGTACTTCTAACAAAAAAAGCCTTCAAAAAACTTCTCAAAGTATAACGGTGTTCTGTTTTTTGAATATAACGTCTTTCCTGAAATTTGATGAGGAGTTATAAAAAGCTTCGAAAAATCGAAAATGATATAGTTTTCAAACAGGCTTAACGGTATAAACTTTAAAAAAAATTCCGCAATAAATAAATTAATAAAATTTCACTTATTGCGATATTCAATCCCGTTCCTTTCCTTATTCGCGCCCTTTGTGGTTTTTACTTCTTATAATTTGTGACTCTCTTCCAAAGAACATTTTTTTATACAAAAATTATTATTTATTAAATTTAATAATGTTTCAATAAGTTTCGTGCGGTTAAAAACTGCAACGAAAGATTAAAAAAAGAAAAATAGGCCAATAATAAAATAAAAATATTCAGCGTACGGTATATCTGTGCAATTAGAATGTTTACGGACTACGTGTTTTCACCGAACAATTTTTTTTTAAATTTTCGGCCTATTTTTCTTTTTATAATAATTCTTTTATGTTTTTAACCCCACAAAACGTTTTCAAATATTAGTAAATTTAATAAGTAATAATATTTATATACACATCTCGTTCTTTCGCAACATTCTTCGTCGTTTTTAACGTTTTTTATTACTAGTGGGAATTACTCGAGTTCTTCATATTAAATTTTACAGATTGAGCAAATCGAGGACTTTACCGGATAAAAACTGTATTGTAAAACAAAATATTCGATGTTTCCAAAGGTAAATTTCAGTTTAATCTATGAGTATACCCTTTCAAAAAGTAATTAACCGTACGCAATTTTTCTTTTGAAATTTAAAAATTGTGTTAAACTGAAATTATTTGCAGGAAGAGAGTCACAAATTATAAGAAGTAAAAACCACAAAGGGCGCGAATAAGGAAAGGAACGGGATTGAATATCGCAATAAGTGAAATTTTATTAATTTATTTATTGCGGAATTTTTTTTAAAGTTTATACCGTTAAGCCTGTTTGAAAACTATATCATTTTCGATTTTTCGAAGCTTTTTATAACTCCTCATCAAATTTCAGGAAAGACGTTATATTCAAAAAACAGAACACCGTTATACTTTGAGAAGTTTTTTGAAGGCTTTTTTTGTTAGAAGTACCATTTTGATACAGATTTTACGGTATAAATGACCTATCGAAATAATTCAACAATTAATTTATTGTTTAAAAAATAATTCAATAATTAAATGTTTTAAATAAATATGTTGCCTAATAGAAAATGTGTTTAGTTGTTTTCATTAAACTAACGGACACTACTAACAAAGTCAAATCATATATTCTAATTGACTTACTACGGATTTTCGTTTAACTTTACAGTGGCATCCATGGATCCTATTTCGCCATTTTGCCCAATTTTGTTCTAATTCAACATTTTCCATTAAGCAATTGTGATAATTTTATAATGGTTGGAGTAAGCCTTCAAAATACAAAAATGACTATTGTGAATTCCTATTTCAAGGAAAAATTTAAAAGTAGTAAAAAAAAACCCTTTTTAAAAAGGGTGTTAAAAATGGGAGCAAAAAATTATTTAAAAAAGGGGAGCAACAAAAATGGGAGCAAAAAATTATTAAACTGGAAGCAACAAAAGTGGGTGCCAAAAATCAGGGGGGGGAGCAAGAAAAGGGGAGCAAAAAATTATTGGCCACTTGAGCGAACTCCCGAAGCAATAACCCAGGTAAATGAAAATCATTCGGTTTCGAAGATTTTAGAATCGGTTTCGAAAAAAAATGAAATATAAATTAACCTGTTTCGATTAAGAAAGTATCGAATTCGATTTGAAAACTTAGTTTCGATTCAAAAAACGTCGAATACGATTACAAATTCTTCTATTTCGATAGACGAATTGAAATAATTTCGATTTCAATGTTGTATTATTTATTTTTCTATTAAAGCAAAACATTAATTAAAATTAAACATTAACAAATTTCCTTTGCTCCGGTGCGTTTTTGTATTGTTCTTACACCATTCCTGAAAAATATTTTTAAAAAAATTATAGTTAAAAATTGAGAAAACAGCCGTTTGTTAAAACTTCGGTTTACTTTTAGTTCAAAACGAAGTAAAATTTTTCGCAAATATTGTATAATTAGATGACTTACAATCGGTTGGCGACGTATATTAGTAGGAGACTGCTGATCGTGATATGGGCGGTTTCGTTGTCGATGTCAGCAACTGTTATGCTTAAACAGAAAAGGTCTAAATGCAAACAAAATTAACAACACTTAAAAGTGGAAGTCTTACCAATCATAGCGTTTATAATTTCATTTGGAAATGTTTTGCGGCCAGCCTGTGGCCTAGAGCTGGTCAAGTAACGGCACATCGTTTCTGTAGGACAGATCTAAAAAGTACGGTTTTTTCAAATTAAATGTTTAAAATTTACTTTTACTAGAGTATGACTAGCTAGCTTATGAATCAGAAACTTCAAACGATGTTTCATGGCTGGAATTTCGCAGAGAATTTCCGATATATTTATCAATTCTGCGAATGTGAAATTTCTGCAAACCATGTACTATTTAGCGTACCATTATTAATTCCTTTTACAGTTTTTGGTGCATATTGATGGATTTTTGCCGGGTTAAATTGTGCAATTTTTCCCTAAAATGATTATCTAAAAATAAACGAAATCGGGCAATCATCTCAGTCATAATTTGTGATGTTTTATTCTTATTTAGCTTTTTTTCGCAACTTAATTTCCGGTTTTAGGGTTCATAAACCATCTCCTGTTTTTATGCAGAACGTTTTTTATGCCCTCGACGAATGACATGACGATTTATTGTCTGAATAACTTCGTAGATTGATCTAAATTATTTTGTAGTTTACTTTTGGGGTACAAGCACAGCAAAAAACTTTAGTTAAAAAAAATAAATTAAAACAAATCAAATGATTTTACGTTTTATTAAGACAATGAAGGTCCTTTAGACAGCGGTAAAACTACGGGAGATTAAAATTTTGACACTAATACTGCAGGACCGATAATACAAGTTACTGGCAAACATAAATATTTTGTCCGTCACTGCATAATTCCAGTAGATGAAAAACGGTTGAATGGTATATAAAAAATAGATGAGCCAGGAAAACAGATGAAAAAGGGTTAAAAAATGAAAGAAAAAAAGATAGCGGAAAAAAACAGAT